CTCGGACGCAGCAAGATTACCGTTCTCGCTCATAGACGCGAGCACCTCGAGGCCTGTTTCGAAAGCCCCGATATCGGCGGGGCTACCTATGGGGACAAAAGAGGACATGGCAAGGACTAATGAGGCGGAAAAGAGATAGTGGGCGTGAAAGTAGCCGAAGACGGGGAGGGAGCCGTTGATCCATTTTGTAAGGATGAGGGAGTGGGAGTGCCGGGCCGCGTGGATGCAGGCTTCTCCTAAGGTAAGAACGGGCTGTGAGATGCTCTCCTTTTCTGCATTTGCATTTGAATTTATGTTTGAGTTTGGGTTTGCGTTGTCGCGAGGGTTGCTTGTTTCGTTGAGTTTGAGGAGATGGAGGAGGGTTGGGCGCGTGGTGAGGATGACACACTGTTTATTAGCTGCTGGGTCGTGATCGAATGAACGAAAGGAGTACTTACCTGGTTGAATGCAAGATGTATTGACGTAATATGTTTGGTATTCGTTTCGGGATCCTCAACATTGAGGCGAAGATGTTCAGGCAGGGTGTCTACCCAGTTCTTCAGTGCCTTCAATAGCTTCTGGACCCGCTGCATGAATGTCTCATTGTACTTGCGCCGACTATAGACCTTTGCTGTTGTTTCACCAACTATCCGCGCCAGGTTTATATTGGCTTCAATGTACTCGGCATCGGCGAACTGCTCTTCGTATACCTGTTTGGGCTCAATCCTCGATGGCATGTCGAGATGAATATCGTCGTCTAAGATCTGTGACGGCAGGCCCATCTTTGATGCCCACATGCGGTCAAAGATATATATCGTCCACCAGATACGCACCCGGTGTTGACGCTCGACAGGGTCAATGGGTTGGGACTCGGGGATGTTGTGGTTTAGCCCAATGCACAAGCCCAAGCGCATGGCGCTCCCGATTAAAACATAGGCCGAGTGCCGACGATTCAGATAGTACGAAAACAACGACTATATCGTCAATAAATCTTGAACATGGCCGATTTCGGACAGGAATAATTCATACCAGGAGCAATAAAGTTTCGAGATGTGTGATACTAGTCCTCTCCGGCAGCACCTGCACCAAGCTCAAAGAGCGAGCAAAATACGAGGTACCAGGAACCCTAGAACCAGAAGACGGCTCACTGCGCATGGAATATGCCTCTCCAAACGCGAACAGGGCAAAGAACTTGCATTGATTAACAGTGCATTCGAAATCACCCGTCCGATATATCTCCTCTAGCTTGTCCAATGTCGACTTCCTAAGCAGCACATGGTAAACACAGCTGATTTGTCGAATGGCGATCTTGACCAGCAAGCGCGCCTGTTGGAGACTAGGCCATCGAATGTCGCCCGCATTGGCAAGTGCAATGTTTTCTTCCTTGACATACTGCGTGCGCCGTATATGCGCTGTGGTATTGGTTCCTGACAGGAACTGGCGCAGGCGAGTTGCGAAAGCGGTGCAAGCCGCCTCGCCAACGAAAATAGGCGGCGCTGACGGATCGTAGGCGTGAAACCATGCCCGATCGCCGATTATAGGATTCCGAATACTAGTACTGCCCTCATCCGGCACGCCGCCAGGGGGCCGTGGCTGCTCTGGCTCGGGATGGCCTGCCTCGGGGGTGTTGGCCGAGGATGCCGATTGCTCCTTCAAGCGCTGGTTCTCTGTCAAAATCCTCTCTAGGTAGCTGTTTTCAGCAGTTAGCTTAGCCTCGACCAGCATGGAAAAAAAAGAAAGCAAGTATGATGCGTAAACTACGCACCTCTCGCTGACTTTAACCTGGCGGTCTCGCGACGGGTATTGACACTCGTCCGCGCAGCCAACAAGCCGACATTTGGTGCAAGGCTGATCGCCAGAGCATTTGATTTTATGGGAATGACATCTTTCGCAACTGGATATAATAGACCGAGGTTCACATTAATGGCTGGGTGTCGGTGACAAACGATCAGGGCCAACGTACGCGACGATCTTCCTCCGCTTCGACGATTCACCTGGGGGATCGGCAGTTCTGCTATGTCTTCTGGAATTCATTGTTCATGCTTCATGAATCCTCCGAAAATAGTGCCAATTCTGCCGACTGGCTGATGTACTAGATTGTTAGTCGTGCAACCTGAGAGGGATGAAGTTCGGCGAAGTGTTGCCGCAGATGGTGGCGGCTCGGTGTTTTGTCAACTTGCCGAGCGCTCACATTCCACAGGCAACGCTCGCGGCCGCGTTCTAGAACCTTGTTTAAGAAGTCAACGAAGGTCAAGTGAGTCATTTATTCTACGATTCTTGATCTGCGTCTTTACGATAGAAGTATGGTTTTAACTATAGAGGCATATAAGCAGCCAGCTTGGCGGTGGTTCACAAATGCAACATTGGACATCCAAACGCTCTGGTATTATGTACGAATTCAGCCGGTTATCATAAGACTGACTATCTGCCATCGACATCTGGTTAGCGATGAAACATAGACTCGAGGAGACAGGTAGGTGGGTTTAAGAGGAAGATTGGCCGTTAATCATAAAGCCCCAATGACAGAATCGAAAGGATTTCAGTATGCATCCTCCTCGCCTTGCTGGTAAACGTGCCGCGACCGTGTAGGATCTTTGCGCATCTGTTGACCGGACCCTGTAAAACCAACTGCAAGCTATTAGCACCGCCAATTCAATAGTTATGAGTAGTACATACCTCGAGCGTTGACACTATCACCAGTTCTGAACATGCTTTCCTTCTTTCCATATTTGGTCTTGCTGGCAAAGTCCTTCCACTTGTTCTTACCAGCCTCAAGCTCCTTGTTGGCTTTGACCTTCCGCGAAGCTTTACTAGGGCGCGCGGAGCCATCGCTAGCCTTGCTGGGCTCTTTACGGGCCTGCGTGGCCAATGCGGGGTTTATATCTGCTGCCGCCGAAATAACACTCGCGTTGGGAGGTTGAGGAACTGGGGAGTGGTTTGAGGAACTGCCTGGGCTTCCATCAGCCTTGCGTTTTCGCGAGTCACTGTTGGAAATGGGTTTAAGGTCTTTCGCAGTTAAAGATTCTACTGTCCCATACGACTTAAATGAGACGATGTAGACGGGATTGCTCGAAGAACCGGTTATGGATGTGATGCGAGCCGGGTAGTATGAGTTGTCGCCCGACACCCAGCGCGCAAGCACATGCTCATTCACAGAGAACGAAGCGGGAGCGGGAATCTCATCTGCATGCTCGGCTGCTGGGGTTCGATAATTGGGTTTTGATGCATAGTCGTCTCTGGCACCTTTCGATCGGGCCGGTTCGCTGGATGGTTGAGGAGTGGCAGGTTTGAGTTCGGCGATTGATTGTTCAGTGAGGGTTATAAGTTCTTCCAGCTCAGTTTTGAGACTTTGCAATTCCGTGTTATCTGGGTCTACCTGCAAGCTAGTTTGAACAGTTTCAAGCTGAGTCTGGTTAGATATGTGCTTAAGAATTGCGCGTGGTGAACGAACCTGAAGCTTAAACTCCTTGACTTCAGCCTCTAGGGCCGCAATGTCTGTCATGGTGATGCGAGGTAGTATCTAAGGGGAAAAACAAGGATAGAGACGGGAAGCTTGGGTGGGTCTGGATGCTGGCAGGGCTGGTGGTTTCCTCCGTAGTCTCGACTACTGCAGGATGTCGTGGGAGGAGTGAGATTCCGCCGCGGTTGGCGGGACACGTGACCGCGGAGGGCGCCACATGGTCACATCATCGATGGCCCGTCATAATTCCAGCAGATCTATGAAACGGACTTCTGACGCTTCGTCGCTGACTTGTTTGGGTGGGATTATTTTTTTTGTATCCGGACCCCGACGATAAGCGAACACGCAGGACCGGTGTTCGCTGCTACAGTGTTGAACCTACGTATGACGAGCCAAGTCCACCATGAAGCCTCGAGCCGAATGGGGTGACACCCGGATCGCCCTCGACCAACTCGACTAGAGTAGAGTGTATGAGGATGGTCAAACCCCGATGAGTCAGACCTGGGCCTAGAATCTCTGAATATCGAATGAGATTTGGGTTTTCCGACCAGGGATCCTGGTGACCGGAAACGACAATTGAGAAAGGTTTGGACACCGAATGGTCAGCCCAATGAATTGGCGTCATGCTTTCCCCTTACTGGTCTAAAAGCCTGGTTTTCCCGCGTTTTCTCCCTCGACCGGATTGGCAGCCTCGGGCTTTGGTGATTGGCGGTAGGCTATCGATGTTGTGGGTGAACCAGCCACGGAGACTTGCCGCGCATCCGAAGAATGGGGGGTCTGATAAGACCGATGTCGATCGAGAAATTGAGAAATGCGTGATGAGCTCATAGGGTAGCTATGTAGTCTTCAGTCAAACAAAGGAGGGTCATCTATTCGAGGTCTGGAAATTGGAGACCAAAAGTATGAAGGTGCGATAACGGAGAATGAGGCTGAACTGGAATTATTATTAGCTGTCTTTAGTCTTCAGGGACGGAGCAGAGTCGGAGATAAAAAAGTCTCCAGAGTCGAGAAGGTCAGAGAATCGACCATCCTGCCTGATTTCTAAGCAGTGTTGGCCGGTTTTGCAGTGTCAAAGCAGCAGTCCCGGCGGGATCACATCATTGGCTACCAAGTGGTCTTGACCAATCAAATCCGTCAATGACTGCCGCTGCTTTTCTCTCCGCCACACCCCGTGACTGCTTCAACCGTCCCCTCCTCTGCCTGCACTTCTTGCCTCCACGCTTCACCCAGGATTCCTCATCTCGTCCAATATCGGCCTGAATAGTGGCTCTTCCTCTTGTTTCTCTGTCCAGCCAACCACCGACGGTTGCCGGAGGCACTAGTTCCCCTGCCGATTCTTCTTCTGACTTCATTTCGTCTCATCTCACCCCTCCGCTACCTGTTTCACCTCCACTCTCACTTCCTATCAATCTGGCCATTTCTTCTCGAAGAAGGCCCCCTTTCGTGTTAGCACCGCGTCTTGTTTTACTTGAACCTCGATAACACAATTGCCATTCTTCTGAATTGCTGGCACCGAGTATCTTTCACGCTTTGTCGTCATACCTGCTCGGTCATTGTACATTTCGACACCAGCTGCCGATAGCTTCAGCACTGTAAATCGACCTTGTCGTCAGTATCGAGACGGCAAACGGGCGGGAAGCCCGACCTGGCTATCAATCGTCAATAGCTTTCGCGTCTGCAATACCAGCCACCGGATTCATTTAATCGACAACTCTTCTTGCCTTTGCATACTGAAGTCTTTCAAGTTGCATTGCATATTTTTGCATCTCCATGATGTCCGACTTCAACACTCTGTACCAGCAAGGTCTCTACCTTTCCCCTGGCCAACAGGATCTCCTTCTAGCCGCTCTTTCTTCGAACAACAAGCAGAAACCCAACGGCCAGGCACCAAAGACCGGGTCAAATCCTACCGATACACCGGGTCAAGCGTCCACGGGAAGCTTTAGTGCGTCTCCGGCATTCGATGGTTCGAATCACCAATTCGACAACCTAAACTACGACGAGAGCCCCTTCCTTGACTTCAACCCAGATCTCGAATGGGATTTCCCCGGCTCGGACGAAAACCTGATTGGTGATCTGCCAGGAAGTGCGGTCTCGGATGATCATGAAGTCGGTGATAAGCGAAAGGATTCTGATAGCACGAGCGAAGTTTCTGGAAAGAAACGAAGGGAAAGTGACGATAAAAGTGATGAAAAGGCATCGAAGAAACCAGGAAGAAAGCCGCTGATGTCAGAACCGACTTCGGTATGTATAGATGGCAACCGATGTAGAAGTACTGATTGCTGATTGTCTCCTAGAAGCGCAAGGCACAGAATCGTGCAGCACAACGGGCATTCCGCGAACGAAAAGAGAAACACTTGAAGGATCTGGAAACAAAAGTAGACGAGCTACAAAAGGAATCTGACGATGCTAATCAGGAAAATGGATTGCTCAAAGCTCAGGTTGAGCGTCTACAGGTTGAATTGCGAGAGTATCGCAAGCGTCTTTCTTGGGTCACACAAGGAAATGCGCTTTCAGCTATCAATTCATACCCAGGCAATGCCAACCGTATGTCTGGGTTGAACAATAATGACTTCATGTTCGATTTCCCCAAGTTTGGGGATCTACCCGGAAACCGTATCTTCAACGGTGGCTCGCAAGGCAAAACCGGCCAGAACAACTCGAACGATGCCACACCGATACCTGGAGTTTTACGACACCCCGCACTCCAGACTTCAGCTAACAGCAGGGGTTCTAACTCTGCTTCCCCCAAGGCTGCCACACCAGCTAAGCCAGCTAACGCATCACCGGCCACCACGAATGGACGCTTGACAAACCAAGCCCCGAATTTGTCTGCCTACAACTTCAACCGACAGACGGGGCAGAGCCACGACACCTCGAATTCCGATTCTCCATCGTCTTCCTCAGACTCTCATAACTTCCTTTCGTCTAACGGTACCTCCCCAGAACCTAGCGTACAGTCTCCGGAAAATAAGCCCAAGGAATCTCACGATGCTCACGACGGGCACGCTTGCACCATTGACGGTGAGAGCTCATTCTGCGCGCAGCTTGGCTTGGCCTGCGGCAACATCAATAACCCAATTCCAGCTGTGAGACACCGGAGCGAAAGCGCGACGAACACCCCCACCGAGCCAGAGAACACCGAAAATGTTCCTGGAATTGATTTCATGGCTCAGCAGAACGGAGGCCAATTTGACCCTCTTCTATTTGGGGACTGGCGGGAGCCTCAAGATGCAATTCTATCCCAAGATTTCAACACGTTCTTTGACGATGCATTCCCATTGCCTGACCTGGGTAGCCCGTCTCATAATCTCAGTGAGGCTGGCACCCATACACAGCCCAAGAAGAGCATCCTTGATGAGATTGATAATAAGATGGATGAGGAAGTTGTGCCAGGGGAGGACAAGGCCCAAATGATGTCTTGCACCAAGATTTGGTATGTATTAGCCGTTTCCTTAAACGCCGTCCTGATGTGCTGATTTTTGTTTTCGCAGGGACCGATTGCAATCCATGGAGAAGTTCCGCAATGGGGAGATCGACGTCGATAATTTGTGCTCTGAACTACGCACGAAGGCTCGCTGCTCCGAGGGCGGTGTTGTTGTGAATCAGAGGGATGTGGATGATATCATTGGCCGTGTCTAGACGGTCAATCGACGCATTGAAGGAATATGCAGTGCCAACAACCGTGGAATCATCTGCTTCTCGAATTCGGATACAGATACCCCTCGATATGATACCTCGATGATATTTGGAGTAACGGGATATGATACAACTTTGTCTTTTTACTAATGGGATGCACAAACACAACTACAAGTTGAATTGGTGCAAAATGTCATGATTTATGGATATCTTTTATGTTTTCTCTTTTTCTTGCTTCATAAGGCGAATGAGCGGTGGATGCGCATGCAATTGAACCAGAAACCTGTACACCAAGAGCATCATATCTGCTCGAATTTGGGTTGAATTTTATGCCACACCGCAGGAGGAAATTACGTCATCTATTCATATAGGAAACCCGGAGTTGCTTCGGACACAAAGACACATGGAGAATATTGGAAAATCGGGCAGCAGGGAAGAGGCGCTTTCGCGTTTGCATTCATTTATATCTGTTATCACATTCATTGGGTTTTATACTTGGTGGGCTCATTCAGTCTACGTTTGTACTTATCTTGATGACAATTTCCTACTATTCTGCTTGTGCTATTGTACTTCCTTCAATAATGGTCAAGAACAACTCAGCTCAAACAAACAAGCGTTAGACAGCGCTGCATTGCCAAGATCTTCTTCCTCCCCATGCATGCATGCAGGCTCTAGCTGGCTTTTATATAATGGGCCCACCGAGGAACCATATCTCCCGTGCATTACTACAAAGCGTACGCAAAGGAGAGAGCGCTCTACCAGCAAATATGTCCTCCAAACATCAGGAGCAGACACCTTACGAGTAACAAGTGAAGAAAAGAAGTTGTTTTTTTTATTACACACAAATGAAAATTAAGCTCCTAAGAACCGTAGAATTTGGTTATAGCGCATCACATCACAGGACATGGGCCGGATAAAGGTAAAAAAAACCCAAAGGCGGCCAATAAAAAAAAGGGGAAAATTCACACTGAAGCGAAGAGGGAATACAAGATACTAGAGGGAATACTAGATGGAAAAAACAGGCTAATAGACCAAAATCATGCCTTAGGCGTCACCAGACGCAGCTGGCTTATCACCAGTCGGTGTCGACGTTGATGGAGCAGATGAATCCGTTGGGCCTGACTTGTTGAATCCTCCGCGACCACCTCGGCCGCCGCGTCCACGGTCACCGCGTCCACGGCCGCCGCCTCGCCCACCCAAGCCTCGTCCGCGTCCGGTCTCGCTATCGCTCGCTCCTCCACTCTGGTATCCTCCGCGTTGTGATGCGTTGCTACCGCCTCGGTTGCTGCTTTGCCATGTGCCGGCATTCCCGCGGTGACTGCCACGGTCTTCGAAGAACTTGACGTTGGGCTTTCGTGGTTGGCCGGGAGGAGTGGACTTCTTGTTCTCAATGGGGAGGTGATCAAGAGCAGCCTTGGCATCCTCCACGGTTCCAAATGTGGCAACGTGGTTGTACTTGCCCCATTTCTCTACCTTTAGTAGCTTTGCCTTGTCCTCTTCGCCGAATAGCTCCCGCGCAGCTTGCTCATTCTCCACATTCGAGATGAATAGAGCGTTGCTCTGCTTCCGCTCCGTCTTGGGGGCTGGAGATTCCCCTTGCTTTTCAGGGTGTGCCGAGCCATTGGCCTCGAGAGTAACCGAGCTCTCAGCAGATTCAGCTGTAGTAGAGGGCTGTGGGGTTACGGACTTGGGAAGGACCGGAGCAGGAGAGGTGCGAGCTGCAGCGGCAGGTCCCTTACCCTGTGCAGGGGGTGCGGCACGAGTGGGAATGGGCTGAGTCTGACCAAACTGAGGTGTGGCAACATTTGGACGAGTGGAATTGACGGGCGAGGGTACGCTAACTGGAGCACCTGTTTGGGGAGCAGGCTGGGGAGCACCAGAGGGTAGGGGCTTGCCGGTACGGTGAGCAAAGTTGAATCCCTGAGCGCGCATTTCCGTGCCGATACGTCCAGACTCGATCTCAAGGACCAAAAACCCGAAGGCAGCATCCGCCAAGTTGAAGTTCCACATGTTCTTGAACGCACTCTCGTCTACCTGGCCGCTAGCACTGCCAGGGTTGACCGGGCCACCGAAGGGGTTCCCGCCATTGGCCACAGAAGGCATCTTCTCAACCACACCAAGGGCGTTTTCCAGCAGTGTTTTCTGAGCGTCGTTCTGGTGAATAGCGGACTCGACCTCGCCCCGCACGGTCTCCCACACATCATTGAAAGAAGCCTTGGACGCGGCCAGCTTGCCCCGATAGTGGTCGAGCGAGGGGTTCACAGAGAACTCGTTGTAAGACGAACCGTAGCGGAAATGAAGACCGGCGGAAACTGAGAAATCGGCCTTGAGAGTCACGGAAAGCTGGTTCAACATACCCTCGCGGGCGGGTGAAGCGTGCGTAACAAAGATACGGGTTTCCGACGGGTCGTAAACACGGTTGGCGGTGTCGATCAATTCACCCATCTGTAGCAGAGTCGTCCACATGGTTCCTTGGCCACCCGCAATAGTTGTCTTCCCTTCACCGTTGTCGAAAAGCTTGTGCATCACAACCGCGCCTCCCAAACCCAGCAGGCGCAGCTTGACGCCACCAATGTCCAGCAACCGAGAGTTGGCCTCGTCAATGATGTGCAGCTTGTCAACCTTGTATTCACCCGAGCGGAACTTCTCTAGCACTCTGACATCCTCACACGCACCCCAAACAGTGTATACAGGAACATCGAGTGTGAGCCGCTTATCCAGCAGCATGGAGAGCTCTGAAAGGGGTAGTTGATCTGGTGTGAACCTCGACTTGATCGACTGCTGGGGAGGGGTCTGAGCAATTGCGCGCTTCACGCCTTCCGGTAGCAGGGGAGAGTATTGAGCGACATGTTTAAGGGTTCTATAATAGAAGTTCACTCTTGTTAGCCGACCAGGTCATTTTTCACAACAACTTGGGTATCAAATTGAAAGTGCGCCAAAAAGTGTTACACCCCGACTGCTTTTGAGTACTCACTTGTCCGCAATCCGCTCCAGCGAACTATCATCGTAAAAACCAAAGTCACCGGTATGGATAATGTGGTCTGCACGGGCTTGTCTGGCCAACTCGTTAAGAGACTTCAGATTTCCTGTGGACCAAAAAAGTTTAAAAACACTGGCGTTAGCCCACTGATTCATGTGTATTCTTGAAATCCAAATAAGGTTGTCAGGTGATCGCCACAAAACCTACCTCGCACATCTGCAATACACAGCACTCTCACAGGCCCATTTTGGATAACTCGTCCGTTGTTGGGTAGTAGAGGGGCGGCGCCAGGGACTGGGCCTGAGGCACCGTTAGGGAGCGAGTAGCCTTGTGGTCCGGCGAAGCTGTGAGGGGGACGAGGCTACAACGAGAGGCGGATGAGGTTAGCATCAAGTTCTCAAATATAACGAAGTAGCTTGGACGCGCGGAATAGCTGTCCGACGCGTGCATATTTCGAGGTGGGAGAATATGACGTTGGACAGCTAAGCTTCCACCGAACGGGGTCGGGGGTTGCTCGGGGGCGACAACAGCAGAGGGGGGCACTCACAGAAGCCATGGGGAGAACACAAGTCAAAGGTCAGGGAAACGGAGAAGAAGACGGAAGGAGATGAAAGGCGAAAACGAAGAGAAGGAAGGGTGAGAGAGACAAGAGCGTCAGTTGGTGAGGAGGAGCAACAGCAAAAAGCAGCGGGTTTGGAACTTTGGAAAGAGCTGCGATTATGTAAGCCCAGGGGCCTGCACAACATTTGAGCATCTACAAACAATTTACTGCTTCAACTCTACAAGTAGTGTGAAGGAGTATGTTCAGCATTGACGGCATTTATATAAAGTGCGTGAGTATGCGCATCTAGGTCGATACGTCTACAGGTCCTCTCTTACTATCTCGGATGCCTCTTTCTGCGCATCCTCGAGCTCTCGCGCCACCGCAGCTTGCAGGCACCTGGGCCCCTGGAGCGCAACCAGGGCAAAGTGGCCACCAACTGTCGGTCGCGCGCGACACAGAACTGGACGCCCGGGATCATTACCCTGAGCCGATGTAGAGACATAGCGATCGGAGAATGGCCAGTTGTGTTTGCCGTTGGACATGTATGCCCAGAGATCGTGGATGAACTCACGGCGAGTGGCCTTGTCGTCGAACGTGGCCGCCAGCCACATGTTCCAGTCAGATTTGGCCCAGTCCTGCCGGTTATCCAATGCGACACCGTACTCGGCACGGACTCCCTTGAAGAAGGTGTCTCCCATCTGATAGGCTTCTTTGGGGAACGTTTCGAGATCGAACAGCACGTCCGGGAATAGATTGTACGGAATCTTCCATGACGCAGGCTCGTCAGGGTATTGCAGGGCAAAATGGGATTTTTCCTCGTCGGTTCCAAGGCCCTGGGTGAAGAAGAGCTCGGCGCGCTCTTCACCGATCCGCGAATACTCGGTGAGCCCGCTTAGCTCTCCAAATGCCTTGAGCCCAACTGCCGCCTTTATCGCGAGGTTGGTCTCATTGGCGAGAGGGCCTGCAGCATCGTTGGAGGACAGCTGCAAATCAATGTTGATGCTGTTTTCAACCAAGTAGTCTGCATACTTTCGCAAGAGGTGGATGTACCGGTCCGCCCAGGCCATGTCACCAGTTGCTCTTACGTAGGCCAGAACGAGAACCATTAGATTTCCACACTCCTCAATAGGCATCGGTTCTGCCTTCTGGTCATCATGACCAATGGCATTGGGGTAATGCGAGCCCATATCATGGATCACGTACGGCTGCTGCCAACGGCCAGCAGCAAGGTAGCGCATCATTGGTTCCAGCAAAAGGCGGATATAGTCTGGATCCATAGCGTAGTAGATGGGAAATGCAGGCATGATGACGTCTACCGTATTGAGATTGCCGTTGCTGGAGAGCTCCTTGACGAATGCCAGCACGTCGTCTGCGTCCAGTGAGTCGTTGGGGATAGTTAAATCAAGCCCTCCCCAGGCCTGGCGAGCCGAGAGGGTGACAATATCCGCATATTTAGCACCACCAGCATTCTTTGCCTGTATCTCCATCACAGAATCGACGATATCGGATTCAAGAGCCGCAGCAGGGTAATCTTCGAAGAAATGCGATAGCGCCTTGTAAGTATTCGGGTATTCGGCCCTGTAGTAACCTGTGTACGGCTTCCCTAGGTAATTGATGGCCTTTTCCCTCACATATCCAACTGCGAAGTTTACGGAATGATTCCCGCTAACAGCTCCAACATCATGAGCAAACGCAACGATTCCGCCAGGGACCCAGGTGTCGTCCTTACCAGACAACTTGCCGTGGTTAACGAACTGGGAGCGCACCTCTCCGCGCTTCCCCGAGGAAAAGGAAAGCTTCGATTGAGAAGTACGCTGCGATGAAAGGATAGCTTCACCCCACGTAGCCATGTCGCTTTGTTCTGTATAGGGAACTGCATCCTTCACCTTGAGGGCATATGCCAAGGTGGACCCGTCCTGATGGAAATTGCGAGCGGTGGCCTGCTCTCTCCCAGCCCATCTGCCATCGAAACTTGTATATATCTGGATATCATTTGAATTGGCTTCAGAGACACTCGCAGTCAGATAACCTGCAGTATAGATTAGCCCGGTACAGAATTACTGAAGAATCAAGACAAGCCATACTGAATGGAAGCGACTGCCTCAAATAATTAGACGGGGATATCGGAGAGAAGAAGTCCAAAGTAAATATAACCGGACCAGCAGAAAGCGTAAATACAGAATGAGTCGCAGTATACTCAGCGGTTCGCACAATAGCAGGACGGATCTTATCGCTGGGATTCGTGATGCTCATCAGACTATAAGACTGGCCGTCGACTCGCGCCATAATGGACCAGGTCAGGCTCTGACCAGCCCAGAACTGGGGCTCTGCATATGGCAGTGTTTGTACTTGGTCGCTGGGCATCCATGTTGAGAGGTACGGACTCCTAACAGCCAAGGGATATGAAGGAGGTCGCGTGGGTCGATGGGTGACGATATCGCGCTCACGGGTAGTCGTTGAAAACGCCGCGGTCGCTAACGATATGAGTCCTAGGAAGAATCTGGGATTGAGGAGCATGTTGAGTTTGTACCTCTCCAGTGAATGAAGAAGGACATCTGATGGAGAGAGGACTGCGGAGAAATACCCAGACGTTAGCTATAGGTGGAGAGGGGGCAATGTCGATCCTGCAGAGCATCAGCCATGTTTCGTCATCAGGTGGCTCGGTCGGTTAACGTGAAACAGGAGACCAACACATTAGAAGCTGCGAATGCAATGAGATATCGCTCTGGGGGATACTCTACATGAGGTTGAGGATGGTCTTGAGATAGAGTGCGGGGACGGTATAAATAACCGGCGTGACGCCCAGAAATGCGGGGCGCCAACTCTTTATTTTCATTAATATATTTAAATGATAAACATATGTATATTACTTCGCATTATAATAGAATAAGAATTCAAATAATAACTCTATTTGGCACACTGGAAATGCCAGAGACTCGCTGGTGCCTGAGGACAGGCACGGACCCGTGACTGCCTGTTGATCTCAGCCTCATATTTGAATTTCTCACTCTCCCCTCGCTCGTCTTTCCCTCATCCATCTTCCCAGTCATTCAGTTATAATGTATCGCTGGCATGAATCCGGCTGTCGACGGCCAGATGTCTCTGCAGCAAGCGGCCTCCCTTGCTGCAGCTACTGCTTCGCAATTCCATCGGAAGATCTCACAGTTCACCCCCAGCCATGCTCAGTGCCTGAACTTGGTGATCGGAGGCGAATGAATCTGTCATGGCCAGCCGCGGTCACTTATAATGATTGGGAGCTCGGAAACGGGAGCGGAATATTCCAGGACGATATAAAAAGTGGTCTACGGGAACCAGAACCCTCAAAATCGTTTTTACCAGAACTTCCGTCCGAAGACAGTATACGCCTCTTGCGGCTGAAGCCTGGCACAGACGGAGACCCGATCCACGTAGACCTCGAGACTGTACACATCAACCAAATACCTCTTCCGCTGTACGACGCTCTATCGTATACCTCCATGAATGATATCACTGACTCGACCGAACCATGCCCGGTATTTATAGGGAGTTATTGGGATGTCGCATATGTATCCCCCACCTGTGGCAAAGCCCTTCGGCGGCTGAGGCGCCGGAAGGGCGATAGAATGCTCTGGGTGGATTCGCTGTGTATAAACCAGACAAGCCCAGTCGAGAAGAATAGCCAGGTTCATATCCTACGGGAGATATACGCGAGGGCGACGAAAGTTCTGGCCTACGTTGGAAACGAACCCTCTAACTTTGGCCCAGCTTTCAGCTTTCTCAAAGAGATTACAGCATTTCAACCAGCGCCTGGCGACCATCCCGTCATGGACAAGAGTATCCAGGATAGTGTATCTGCGTTGCTTGAACTGCCGTACTTTTCCCGTCTCTGGGTTCTTCAAGAGACTCTCATGGCCCGCGAGCTGGAATTAATTTGTGGGGACCACTCGGTGCGCTGGCCCAAACGCGCCTTTGGGGGCTCTTGCTCTGACTTGAATATACCGTCTTGGTTATTCAAGGATTCAAAATGGTATCCCTTTACCGGGAGGGATCTGTTGAATGTCATGGTGGACGCATCCTCGTACCAATGTTCCGACCCACGAGACAAAGTTTTTGCGGTCTTGGGCCTGATGGGCGAGAAGTACATTAGCCCCGACTATCGGCTGGCTACTGAAAATACATACATCGGCATTGCTGCATACTTTGCTAAATACTGGGACACGATGGACTTTCTTGCGGTGGCGGGACAGAAGGATAGGACCCTTGGCCTCCCGTCTTGGGTTCCTGACTGGTCCCAAAAGTTGTCACTGCCTTCTTTGGACACTGTCATGGAGACTTGGGTCAGGGGTGAAGAAGACGACTTGCTGTTAGATGATGCCATACAGATCGGGTTTGACGGACTTGGTAGTGCCAACCGCGACATCGAAGTGGGGCTTTCCACGGGAACGATGCGACTACAAGGCTCCATGCTGTGCATCATAACAGGTGACAGGAGAGCATTTGGAGGTTATACCTACATCGAGATACCGACACGCTCCCGAGGGTTTTGCGTGCTGTCCATTCCTCATCCGAACTATGAAATTGATGAAACAGACGGGTTGTTTGTATTGAATGGATACCGCCACCCTGTGATCCTCAGGAAGACAGCGAGAGAGGGTGCGTATATTCTGGTATCTGTGTGTGCTCTCTCAGTTGGGCCCCCTACCTCGAATTTCCTTGTCCCTTGGTATCAGCGGGGCAGCCGAGGGAAACCTTCAAGGTTGAATGTATCAGCGATGGCCCCAGAGGAGGACAGTTATCTACAGCAACTGTACTCGAGCCTAGAACCTAACCCTGACCGCGAAACAAACCTACCATCGATTGCCACTGTGAGAGAGAGGGTCCTGACCTTTCTGATGCTGTACCACCCGGCTCTCGAAAGGATCGAGAGACAGTTACGCGAGGATTGGATTAAGTGGAATCAGGAATTAGGATGGATGTTCCGCGACCAGTCGGCCATCTGGCAATTTCTGCTAGAGGTCAACCAGATGAGCTCAAATCAAAGAACAGGCGAAGACAAAATGGAAATTAAGCGACTCGACTTTTACTCTGTTGGTCAGACTGGAAAAAAGTACCCGGCCGTATATACATGGGATTTATCTCGATTCTGCTGGTCTTTTCTCCAGCCAACAGACCCCACGGAATCAGAGCCGGAACTGCAATGGTCGCCAATGGTAGACCGACTACGCTCTCACTTATCGGAGATTAAACAATGGGCACAGGCCACTGAAAAGCTCCTGAAACACTTCGAATACACCGCGACCTGTCTTGGAGAATCATGGGCGTCATTCCCCGGTACGCAGCTACCGAGAAAATGGAGCGATAACCACGATGAATTCCTCGCTGCGTTAGGACCATATATTCATCATGGAGCAGACATGCAACGAAGACCGCACCTGGTGCCAAAGTATCTCTGGAGCCATTCCGAATTCGAGAGTCAGTTACATGCTCGACAGGAGATCTGGACTCTCCGGGGACCTGAGGGGTATTCCGGCGGCAGTAATGTCGAAGTCCATGCGTTGTTGAATTTTCTAGGGTTGGATCTGTATAATGAAAAGCGTATTGACATTGTTTAGCCTACACTAAAATACAAGTTGGACCAGAGAATTTATACAAAACCAACCAGATCTTATAATGAGCATCACGCGAGATAATAATCAATACCATATACTGTTTTTCCATCAGATTATAAACATCTCATCTTTCACTAACAGGAATATACTTCCACATCCCAAACCCCTTCCTATCCCACTCCCCAGTCCCATTCCCCTTAAGAACACCCGTAAGCCCCAAAAAAGCCCTATAATCATCCCCATCCAGGAAACTCCTGATATTAGCCTCCATATCCCTCGTCACCCTTCCGCCATCCCATATCTCATAATATGGGAAAAGCAGCATATCGGGCTCCGCTTTCCGCTTGCGATACATTGCCTTGACGAGGTCACTGTCCACCCAGTCATCGTCGGGACTCCATAGGACGAGTTCATCCTGGGACGTGGTGAATGTGAATGTTTCCAAAACTGATGGGGCTGCTGAGCTCAGGGACTTGAAGAGGGTGGACCAGGTATTGCTGTTGTCGTCGCTGGCATCACCATTATCAACACCAGAACCAGGATCCGAAGTATTGTCAGAGTCAGGGTTATGAGCGCGACAGAAAAGCAACGCGATCCTTTCCAGCGAGATTGAATGCCGTTGCAGAAACGCTGTGAGTTCCGCGCAGATAAAGATATTCGCTAGGGTGATGCGCTTCAGACTTGGCATTGTTGCATTCCCTAGGCCGATGTCCTGGACATATGCGGGATTTTGACCAACATTACCCATGCGAGGAGCGGAGTTGGAGGGGTTGAAAGAGAGTTCTTCGAGGGAGGATAGGTGGTTGAATAGCCAGGGGCCGAAGTTGTTGAGAGAGATGGAGGCGGACTGGGGGGTGATGACCTTGTGTAGGGAGAGGTAGTGGAGAGGTTCGAGGGTTAGTTTGAGGGATTTGAGACGTGAGAGGAGGGAGTGAAATGGTGTTGTTGTGATTGCAGGGAGGGCGATTGGGTTGAGGTTGTGGATTTCGAGGCAGGGGAATTGAGGAGCGTTGTCGTTGGTGTAGCTCGATGTGATGGCACCGAAACCCGCTGATACTAATCCGCGCCAGGTGTCTTCTCGTTTCTGGACTGTGCTGGCGTCGGGCCCGTTGTCCTGGTTATGGACGCAGCGGAGGAGTTGGATATTAGAGTGATCGAATGGGAAGTCGAGGCTGAGGAGCTGGAGACCCCTGAAGCAGGACAGACTTGAGAGGACATTGTCCAGTCCAGGCGGGTACAGTTCCTCCAGCGAGGAGTCAATGTTGTCTAGGAATATCAGCTGAGGAGTCCGATATCAAAATGGAATTGACGCGACTCACAGGCAGCAGCATACCGCAACTCTCTGACATATCCAGAGAACTTCCCTGTTGCAACTGCTTGGACAGATCGAGCGCTTTTCGCAGTGTTTTGCAGATAGATCGACTTGAATATGCGCGGGCCCAGAAGGTCCCGGAAATAAGTGCAAGTACTGCTCAGAGATATCAGGTCGCTGAGGTGCGGCGTCAGCGCAGCCAGGCTCTTGGGTTTCCAATATTCAGCCGCCTCGTCTGGGCTGCCTTCAGGAGAGCTGGATAGGGATGGCTGGGAAAAATTCTCGGTTATGAGATGCCACACGTCGTCTACAAAAATTCGAGGCTGGGATTGAGAGCTCGTGCTGGAAGAGAGGGCCATGCTGGGTGTTGTGGTGAGGTTGTGATGTTCCTGGGAGACAGTGGAGTCATTGTTGGCTTACCGTATGATAGGCAGCGTGAGATTATATAACCATAAAGTAGACTATCTAGATATAGCTAGTATTGTTATATGATCTTTAGGCTGCGACCCCAGTCGTGTACCTTCAAATCGCCTGTTTAAACAAGGTGATACCAACTACCGGCTTGTTAATTTACCGTGGAAAACATCAATAGCGAGTGTCCAAGCCTATCTACGGGAGCTAATAAAGCGGGTCAAGCTGAACCAGCGTGGTTTATTCGTATACTCAGAAATATTCTTATAAACATGGAGCCATCTACAACGACCTGTTCACCACGTGATTCTCAAGACCCTAATTCCATCATCGATCATCTTCATCCATCTCGGACAATAAACCCTCCATAAACACAATGGCCCCATTGAGCGCAGGCGCAATAACACTCCCATGGTCTTCATCAGGATACACTTTCAACTCAAGTACACGCAGGTGTCCCGCTGTCAAAAGACGATCATACAGTTCACTGCAATTATCCGCCATGCGTCTCCTCTGAGCAGCAGCATTCCTCCTCTCAAATTTCTCTAGGGATTCACCTGGCTCCCGTACAGGGAACTGCTCCCTGGACCCGAATGACAACCGCAGAACAGGAGGGTGTTTGAGAGGAAGACTTTCACAGAACCGAGTTAGCTCGGAGAGAACGAAACAACCATTCCACCAGATAGACGGACTCGCAGCAAGATAGAGGTCGAAGCTAGACGGCTGCGTGAAGAGAGAGTGAAGCACAAACAGCCCGCCGTACGAGTGACCGAATAGCGCTGTCTTTCGGAATGAAATGTTAGGGAAGACCGTTAAACGTATAAACGGCTGCACGATCTCGGTGATGAATGTCAGGAACTTGTCGGCGCCCCCGTGTCCTTCGAGCTTTGGCTTCCCGTCTGCTCCTTCGGGGGGGTTGTAGTTGTCGCACGGTGGAGTGAGGTCGGTGCTTCTACGGGGGCTGAAGAGGGAGTCCGTGAGGGGGTATCCTATAGCGACGACAATGGTTTTTGTAGCACGGGCACGGTGAGATTCCCTTCGACGGAGGGCTTCCGTTGCAGTGAGGAATAGAGCATTTCCGTCGACAAGGTAGCTGTGTTCGAAACATTAGACACGGATTGTAGAAGTCTAGACCCCTTACAGAGCATTTGCGACGGAATGTTCCTGTGCAGACCATCCGAGAGGCCACGAAACATCGACCTGGTATACCTCATCACTATTATTCTGCGGCGAGATGAGCCATGAAGCCGTATTGCGGACTCCAGGCTGGCTGGGGGTAAAGATCCATTTGCCCATCATACGACATGACACCGAAAAGGATACCAGCGGGGAGAGTGGAAGAAAGAAGCAGACACCAAAGCTTCGTCGAAGTCCGGCTGGGCAGACATTGGCATTCGTTATCTGATTCCCTGCTCTCCAATCACGACGACTTCACAGTGATTAATACGAAGACACGCCCCGCTTGTCCCCCCCCTCGGCCGGTTCTGGTTCTTGATTGGGGCGAGATTAGATTAGATTCGCTTGCTTGGGCCGGTTTTGCATGAATACGAGGTCCACAAACCGGGAAAGATGATCACAGCATTCCGGAAGACCGGCGGAGGTTACTTAATACTCGCGTCTGCTGCAAGCCTAGCCAGAAATTCTTGTCACAGCCTTACACAACTTGGCATTATGGCTACAGTCGACGAGATCGCGACGGTGCCCAAGGGCTCACCCTCGCCAGCTGCAGACGTACCTGTAGAGCCTGTGACTGAAAAGACCAACTACGGTCGAAATGAAGAGTCTTCAGACTCAGACAGCCTCCAGGCAGGTGTACGCAGGGCCGAGATGCTGCGCACGGGCTGGACGCGCCAAGGGCTGATTATAACCTTCACTGGGTATGCCACAATCAATCAACCGATAAACGACCTGCCTGCCATTGCTAATTGGATAGATTGTTCCTGGCGTCTCTGGTGAACAATTTTGGCGACTACTCTACCCAGGTGTACGTGCCGTATGCAACCTCCTCGTTCAAGCAGCATTCGGCAATGTCGGCTGCTAATGTCGTGGCCAATATTACGCGGATTGCGGCGTACCCGATCATCGCGAAGCTGGGAGATGTATGTCAATGAATCTAGTCCTGGTTGGTACTGACATTCGTAGGTATTCGGACGAGCGGAGATGTTCACGCTCTCTATCCTGTTCCAGGCTATTGGATATGCCATTTATGCTGCATGCAAGAATGTTTCCCAATATATTGTGAGTATCCAAATGTAAACCTACGACCATAGCTCGATCACAGCTAAGTGCACAGGCCGGGGGTATCTTCGAGAATATCGGGTACGTAAACCAACCCTACATCCAGTCTATACTAACAAGCCAGGTCCACCGGCTTCGGCCTCACGCAGCAAGTCTTCGTCGCAGACGTCACGAACCTCGTCAACCGCGCCGTCTGGTCCACCCTCCCCGACTCCCTAACCGTCATCCCAGCCCTGTACATCGGCACCGAAATCTCGACCCGGATGCTCGCAGACTCGCACTGGCGCTGGGGCTATGGAATGTGGGCAATCATCCAGCCCGTCTGCTCGACACTCCTAGTCGGCGCAATGCTCTACTACCAGCGGCGCACGCCAGCACCCAAGAAAACTTCCGAGATGATCGGCTGGAATGAGAGCAGCAGCAGCTACTGGAGGCGCATCTACAACGTAGTCTGGATCCAGCTCGACGGATTCGGCGCTGTGCTTCTTCTCCTGGGCCTCTCGCTCTTCCTCATTCCATTGTCACTCACGGGGTCCGGAAATAGCGATGACTGGCACAAGGGCTCGTTCATTGCCATGCTTGTACTGGGCGTTGTCATCTTTGCTGTCTTCATTGCATGGGATACCTGGGTTGCGCAGAAGCCATTCATCCCATATCGCATGATCAAGAATCGAACCGTCGCTGCAGCCTGTCTGCTCGGCGCTCTGGACTTCTTCCACTACTCCGTCTTTACTGTCTTCTTTACCAGCTATCTCCAGGTAGCTGCGCATTACGGACCAGCCACAGCGACGCGGATTGAGTACGTCCCAATATTTGCAATAACATTAAACTACAACAAACTAACAGCCTCTAGCAACTCCCTCCGCGTCGCCTTCCAAGTCTCCGGCATCTTCGCCGCCTATTTCATGAAATACACCCGCCGCTCGCAGATCTGGGTCCTAACCGGCGTGCCCCTCTGCGTGCTCGGCATGGGCGTGCTCCTATATCTAGTCGACATGGGCAACGGCCGCGTCGGCAACGAAGCAGCATTCGTAACCGTGAAATCACTCATCGGAATCGGCCGCGGGTTCTACCAGACTGCAGCGCAGGTCTCCGTGCAGGCCAAGGTTTCGAGGGGGGACGTCTCCGTCGTCACGGCCGTTTTCTTTGCCGCTATGAGTGTTGGGGCTGCGATTGGGACTAGGTATGTCTCTTTATACCCTACTTGTATTTGTAGTAAATATGAAGTATCTTGCACTAACAAGCCATACTAGCGTCGCCGGCGCAATCTGGCGCAACACGCTCCCGGAGAAACTCTCCCAGCATCTCCCGGCCGAATACAAAGACCAGGCCGGCGCGATATTCTCGAGTATAGTCGTGGCGCAGGAGTATGAGGTTGGAACGCCTGTGCGTGAGGCGATTGATACCGCGTACCGGGGTTCTCAGCGGCTGCTGGCTATTGCGGCGCTGGCGTCGCTGGTGCCTATGTTGGTGATTATGTTCTTTTTGGAGAATGTGAAGCTTGATGAGAGGACGACGGCTGTAGGGAAGGATGATGACGGTAAGCCTGGGGTGGATGGAGAAGTTAGGGAGAAGGCGTGATGATATCTGGTAGAGATTAAGACGAAATGTATTAAGATGGGAGAAGAAAAATAGATTACTACACCATCTGCTGAAGGTATAAAGGCAAGGCGTCTAGACCACTCTTCCATTAGCCCAGGGGTAACTACAAAACATTCCCCCTAGTCTGGCTCATGGTCTTGACATTCAAATTCCTAATCATCCCAATCCAAACAAACCCCAGCACCATCACCGCCGTGCCCGCCGCAAGCATCCGCACCTGCGCATACCCATAGGCATCATTAAGCACATCCCGCACCTCCGTCCCAGGCGCATACCCCAGCTGCGTTGGCAAATCCCCATAGATAAGCGCATAGTCCCCCATAACCTCCGCAGGTAGATTCCGGCTCAACTTCGCCCCGAATGTATTCGTCCAAATAGCGCCGGAGATGGCACTACCAATCCCGCCGCCGATATTGCCCATTACAAAAAGCAGGGCCAGAACCGCAGAGACGTGCTGGTGGTCTACAGTGGCCAGGACGGCGATCTGGCAGAGGAGGATGAAGATACTGCCCGAGACGGAAATGAAGACTTCGCACATTACAATATACCCGATATACCCGCCCGGCTGCCGGAAATGGATCATGAGGCCTAGACCGAAGATGTAGAGTGGGAGGCAGGCCCAGAGGATCCATTTGAAGCGGCCGGTCCAGCGGATGAGCCAGCCGGCGATGAAGAGGAAGACAAAGGAGACGACGCTGAATGTGTTGGCGACGTATCCTGCTGTTGCGACGTCGACTTCGTATACGACCTGTAGGAAGGAGGTGAGGTAGGATGAGTAGCAGAAGTAGGAGATTTGGTAGGTGAGGTTGAGTAGGCAGGCGCCCAGTACGGTGCGGTCTGTTAGGTATTGGTGTTTGAGGAAGGGGATGGGTGCTGCGTAGATTTCCCACAGGCCGAAGAGGATGAGGAGGACAAAGCCGACGACGATCATTGCGATGATGTACCCGCTGCGCCAGCCTGAGGGGGCGCTGGCGGCGAGGGTGAAGGGGAGGAGGAAGACGACCATCCCGGCGGCGAAGAGAATGACTCCAGGTACTGTGATAAGCATTAACATAAGTATTCTCATCACCGTATATGATTTAGGGTACGTACAGTCAAACTCGATAAACGTCCACCAGATCCCACGCTTGATAGCGTCAGGGGTAATCGACCAGTGCTTCTTCTCCTTCACAATGAACCCCTTCTTCGTAGCCTTGTGCAGGTTCCACGCGAGCATGAGGTAGATCGGGATACCAAAGGCAGGGAGGATAATACCCCAGACCCCAATCCCCCATCGCCAGCTGACATGGTTCAGGAACTGCTCCGCCGCCTTGGATCCAGCAAAGGCCGAGATCAAAGCAGGCGACGAGGTAAAGGCAAAGGCCAGCCCTCGGTTTCTCAGGTTGGTCACATCTGCAGAGAGCACATCGTAACTGAAACTGAGACCACCGAATCCCACTTGATAGAAGACCTGGCCGGCGCAGTAGGTCGGCAGGTTCTTGGACACAGATAAGAGGATAATCCCCAAGATGCAGAATCCTAGCATGACGAGGAATCCCTCTGCACGGCCCCAAAGGTCGAGCGCCTTTGCCATGGGGATGTACACCGCGCCGGCCATGGACGAGGCAACAACAGTGATGACCGTAAGAAGCGAGTGACCCAGGAACGAACTGGTGGCGTATGGCGACAAACTGTCGACCACGACACCGCGCAGGTTGTTGACCAGGGTGATGAACCAGATGCTAGGATCGTTAGTTGTGGACATGGATTTTACACCGGGGGTACTTACAGCACCAGGAGAACGTAGACGGAGCTCTTGGACCAGGCCAATGTGACGGCCTCAATCTTTTGAACACCAGACTGAGCATTCTCAGCCGGCTTCTCGTCCTTCAGATCTTCAGGGAAGCCTGGCGCAGCCTCCTTGTCATCAGCCCTGACGTGGAGGGCGATCGGATCATCGACCGTCGCGCTCTCAGTCTTGCCAACGACACTATGGACTTTATCGAGGATAGCCATTGCAGCCGACAAGAACAATGAAGTAAGAAAGGGTCGGATTTCCAGATCGGCGTACGGAGAGACCAGCCGATACTCAGTTCAGGGATCGTGAAGAGATTGAAAGGCACTCGGCAGAGGGTCGCGAACGGGATTAAAAAGGAAGTGATCCCACGCCAGAGAAACGACGAGGAACAAAACCTTGCTGGGTTCGGCTAGACAGGCGCTTATGCGAGGAGAGTCATGGCAGGATGGTCCACCCTGGCTGGGCAGCCCACATAGTGACATATTCAGATTGCGGTGCTGGAGCCGGTCGGAGCTCCCTGGCAGTACGGGTTGGTGTATGAAGGGATGGCATTTCTATTTAGCTTAGTCCATGGGTAGTTGACTCGCATTTGGGAATTTGTAATATAGTACATCTATCTGATGTTGAAGAATGTTGAGATCGGATCAGATTAGATTAGATAGCCTCGTGCACCGCCCCCACTTTGTATCTTCCCTCGTTCTTCCTCGCTTGGGGCAGCTTGTGGAGGTCCGAGACCGGCCGCCAAGTGAAGCTGAACAGAGTCTAAGAATGCTGAAAAGTCCAGTCTGCTTGGCCTCGGCGTTAAAAGTAACTGCTGCGGGTGAAGTCGGAGTTTTGATCTTATCTGATCGATATCACTACATAGCTGAAAAGGAGCAATATGGGAGTATTTTGTTGAACAACATTATCTAATTGATCACTCACTGCTTAGTTATACAAAGTAACTTATTCATTCTAATACGGACTCCGGACATGTTTACAAAATTCTAGATCGCTGATAGCCCAATTCCACGCCAAAACCGAGGCCATCTCCAAAGCCCGTACTCCACTAGCCATTTGCTGAATTGCATGCTGCTAAAAGGTTAATTGACTTAGATACCTGCCGCGATGCTACGGATAACGAGAATCTCACCAGACCTTGGCAATGGGGCTCCAAGAAATATAAATTGAATTTGTAATCCATCTAAAACTTAACTATAATAGCGGCATATTACCAGGTTAAAAGTGAGCCACAACCACAGTACCTAGGTAGAGATAGATACCAGTCTCACTCGTTATCCAACCAGTCGTATTTTATTTTACAAACAGGAGTATATAATCTTATACAGTTCAATCAATCCACTGGCGGGAATATTATGTAATCACAGCGCCACCACTCTCTCCATCCATTCATTCACTCGGCTTCTCTTCCCTGGCCTCAATCTCCAGTGACCCTAGCAAATAGCCTACTGATAGGCGGGACAGAAGCGATCTAGTAGACGATGGACTCGGGCCAGAACGGTAGTTTTACCGGCAATTCAATACATTCTATACACAAGTGCTTACGAACATTAGATGATCCACCAGTGATCGATCCGGCTCTTCTTGATCTCAGCCGGTCGAGCTCTGGGAATTTCGGCATAGATCCCCAGCTGTTGGATTCTCGCAATCACGACGCAGGGACTGGCGTCGAGCCTGTATCGCATCGGCCGAACTACCCACCAAATGAATCTGGCCGCGGGCTCCCTCGACGGAGAAGCCGATACCTGACCAGAAACTCAGCAGCTGGTCCAGTTGTTGTCCCCAATGCCAGTTCCCTTGATCCCATGGAAAGATGGCGGAATTCTCCCCCAGAAGAGGAGCCGGCGCTGATTCCGGATATCATTGATGCTTTGAAAACCACGCCAGAACCTGAGAAACATGGCTCAGGCAATGCATTCCGTGACTATCGTCGCGCTGCATCGACGACTAGCGGCGAATCCAGTGCCTCCTCTCGAGACTCGCAGCAATCAGGGCGCTCTGGCTCGTCAGGTAGACGGTTCCGGGCTGGAAAAAATACGCGAAAGAAGCAGAGCACCAATGCGCTGCGCCGCTACTGCTGCACCTTTTGCTGCGACAGATTTAAAAGCAAATATGACTGGGCGAGACATGAAAAGTCGCTGCATGTCACTTTAGAAGCATGGTACTGTGCGCCTTTCGGCACCACCATCCCATCCAATACACCAGGCGAAACCCTCTGCGCCTTCTGTGGCATCACCAATCCGACCCAAGCACACCTAGACACCCACGAACCAACAGCCTGCGCCTCATCACCAGAACCCCGACGGTCCTTCCGACGAAAAGACCACCTCGTCCAACACCTCCGCCACGCCCACAAGCTCCCAACCGCAAGCACACCACCGGATCTCGAGTCCTGGAAAATCGGCCACTCCTCCATCCCCTCCCGGTGCGGCTTCTGCAATAAATCCCTATCTACCTGGGACGAACGCACCGAACACCTCGCTGAACACTTCCGGCACGGCCAGACCATGGCCGCCTGGACAGGCGAACACGACTTCCCACCATCTTTCGCAGCCCTCGTCGCAAACGCCTTACCGCCATACCTCATCGCCTCGGAATCACACAGCTGCATCCCCTTCTCCGCAACAAACTGCGACGTGCAGGACCACTTCGCACAGATCTCATCTCGGGCGGTCGTGAGCGCAGACGACCAGGCAGAGGCGAGCACAATCGCCGCCCCACAGGCATCGAGCGTGGACCTGCCACTACCATTACCATTACGCACCATCGCGCCGGGTGTTGCGCCGGAACAGCTCAGCTCGTTTACGCAGGTTCTAACACTACATCTGAGCCGGTTTGCGCGGGAGCAAGTCCACAGCGGTGTAGTGCCGAGCGATGAGATGTTCCAGCGCGAGGCGCGGCGGGTTCTGTATGACTCGGAGGATTCGTGGAATCAGACGATTGCGGATAATCCCGAGTGGATGACGGCGTTTCGGGAGTTGCATTGTGATGGGTCTACCTAAGCTAAACCGTTACTAAACCAAACTGTGTAATAGTCCGTATTTTGGCGATGCGATTATCTGGAAAGGCGTAGGCGTAGGGCGTGGCGTGGGTATACCATAGGGCGCGGTGCCAACCAACCCACAAAACCACCAGCACGTCAGTATTGAAAAAATCAAAAATCATGTTCAGACTCAGCAGGTCCATGACGCGGAACTACTCGAAACTGTCACAGGCACTCAGGCCTCAAATCCATGTCCTCGGACTGGGAAGTATCGGCACATTCACGGCGCACGGTCTCAAGGATATTCCAACCCCCCCGAAAGTGACCCTCCTCCTCCATCGCGAATCGCTTTACGAAGAATACATCCGATGCGGCGGGGGAATAACCCTGCGCACACTCGACGGAGGCATAACCAGACATGACGGGTACGATGTCGAAGTCTACAAGAGCGGAACATGGACGTCTACAGCAGCACCAGAACCAGCAATCGAAACAATCAACAACCTGATCGTAACCGTCAAAGCAACGCAGACAGTATCTGCACTCGCCGCACTCAAGTCCCGCCTGACACGCTCCTCGACCATCCTCTTCCTCCAAAATGGCTGCGGCATGATCGACGATGTAAACGAGCAACTCTTCCCAGACCCCTCGACGCGACCGAATTATATCGTCGGTGTAATTTCGCACGGCGTTACACTGGATTCAGCATTTAATGCAACACATACCGGTGCCGCTGCAATTTCTCTAGGACGCGTTCCTACGCAATCCAGCAGAGATACCACAGAAGAAGAAGGAGGAGGAGGATACATGCTAACCGCCCTCCCCCGCTCCCCCCGCCTCGCCGCAACATCCTACAACTACGCAGACGTATTGCAAATCCAGCTCGAAAAGCTCGCCGTGAACGCCTTCTGCAACCCGGTGTGCGCGTTGCACAACTCCAAAAACGCAATCCTATTCAACTTCCCAGACCTGCGGCGGGAAATTCTCTCTGAGATCTCGAAAATCGTCCTCCATCTGCCCGAACTCGCTGGTGTTCCTGGGGTTAAAGAGCGGTTTTGTGTTGAGAGGCTGGAAGATACGGTGAATGGGATTTTGGACAGGACGAGGGAGACTGTTTGTTCGATGGTTGGGGATTTGAGGGCTGGGCGGGAGACGGAGGTGCGGTATATCAATGGGTACTGGGTGAGGAGGGGGAGGGAGGTTGGGGTTTCTGTTGCTGTGAATGAGGGATTGATGCGAGATATTGAACAGGTCAGTTTTAAATAATAGAAGTTTAGATGTACATTGAGGCGAGTTATGGATAGTTCTATATAAGAATAAGAATAAGAATAAGAATTTCTCCTATTCTAGTACTCTGTACTACCTCTACCATTACATCATGACATGGCTTTACGAGTTCGTGTATTTATCCAACACCCAGTATATACCAATATCTAAGCTCAGTCACTCAGTCCAAGTCTGTGAAAACTCGGTCGAAACTCGGTGGCGAAGTGGCGTGTGGAGCGGGTTGATGCGCCCTACGCCCTACAGCTATACAAAAGCCATCTATCCATCCGACTGACTAAACAAAGTAAAAAAAGCTTAGAAATCTGTAAAAACACTCCGAACGAATCTTCCAGCTCGAAACACCAAATAAAGGTATAAAAGGTAAAAGGCCTCAAGTAGACCATGACCATTGCACAATCTCATCCTACAACCCTAACCACCAGTCTCGACCCGACAAGACAAACAACAACAACATGACAAACTGGCCTTCAATCCCCATAAAGCCCGCCCAGGGTGTCCCCTTCTACACCCCAGCGCAATCCCCTCCGGCAGGCACAGCCCGCAATCCACAAACCAACGGCAACCCCATCCCCAAACTCTTCCACCCCTTAACAATCCGCAACCTCACCATGCAGAACCGCCTCGCCCTGGCCCCAATGTGCCAATACAGCGCCGAAGACGGCCACATGACACCCTGGCACAGCGCGCACTACGGCGGGATCGCACAGCGCGGACCAGGCGGGGTGATGATCATTGAAGCTACCGGCGTCGTCCCCGAGGGGCGCATCACGCCTGGGTGCGTGGGTCTCTGGAAGGACTCGCAGATTGCGCCGATTAAGGAGGTCATTGACTTTGCGCATTCCCAGGGGCAGAAGATTGGGATTCAGCTTGCGCATGCGGGGCGGAAGGCCTCGACGCTGCCGCCTTGGGTTGGGGGTGGTGTTGCCACGGATGAGGTTGGTGGGTGGACGGAGAATGTCAAGGGGCCTAGTGCGATTCCGTTTGGTGAAGGGGGGATTCTGCCCAAGGAGATGAGTTTGGAGGAGATTAAGCTGCTGAAGGAGGCGTGGGGAGCTGCGACGAGGAGGGCGCTTGTTGCTGGTGCGGATTTCGTGGAGATCCATGCGGCGCATGGGTATTTGCTTTCGTCGTTTATGAGTCCGACTTCGAATCAGCGGGGCGATGAATACGGGGGTAGTTTTGAGAATCGGATCAGGCTGACGCTGGAGATTGCGCAGTTGACGAGGGATATTGTTGGCGATGGTGTTGCTGTGTTTCTGCGTGTTTCGGCCACGGACTGGATGGAGTCGGAGGCTGATGCGGGCTGGAAGGGCGAGGATACCGTGCGGTTTGCAGAGGCGCTTGCTTCTCAGGGAGCGGTTGATTTGATTGATATCAGCAGCGGTGGGATTGTCGCTGAGCAGAAGATCAAGTCTGGTCCTGGATTCCAGGTTCCGTTTGCTGCTGCGGTCAAGAAGGCGGTTGGGGATAGGATGCTTGTTGGGGCAGTGGGCATGATCAACAACGGTATCCTGGCGGACAAGATCCTGGCTGAGGATGGGCTGGATGTTGCCCTTGTTGGACGTGCGTTCCAGCGGGATACCGGCCTTGTGTGGCACTTTGCAAAGGACCTGGATGTCGAGATTGCCATGGCTGCGCAGATCCGATGGGGGTTCACCAGTTTCCGCAATGCGTCTGAGTATATCCAGCCGAACTCGATGAAGGCGTCTATTTTTGAGTAACTAGACTATTAGAGATAGACTATAGACTGAACATCATTTGAAAGGTTCTGAAGTCCAAAATAGTAAACACCGTAAACCGTTCATCCAGATTTCTAGCTCAGCAGCCTAGATAAGACTTAACTTCCAAAAGAGTTAGACCAACCGAGTCGCAATCCAACAGGCAAAGACGCGCAGATACAAAAATCGCATGGCTTAAATCCATTTCAACCTCGCAAGTCGTAGTGTATCTGATATTACTATCCACCAGAATCAGTCTATTAGGGCTCGGGCGGTCATTCCGAATTGGGAAACTATAGACTGGGTGGCGCTCATTCGCTGTTTTACTGATAGTGATTCAACATACATTTGTACCAGTTTATAATATCAAACAGTTTGCTTATTTCTCCGGCAACCGCCCATTAGCTTTATACCTTATCCACCGTACACTTAACAACGTCCCATAAAATAACCAATTTGCATCACCTGCAACTATCGCCAAAGTAAATCCCGAACGACCATCTGACTGGCCGCATGACCATCCCAGCCGCTCATCCGCCCAACCCTGCAACCCTCCTTGCAAGATGGTCCGTTCTCTGCTTTAGTCGCGGTCTGATCCGCGCGGGAGCAACGCTTGCCACATTCTTCCCTCCTGGCAATCCCATCTACATGCGACTAAACCAGTCACATGGCAAGTCGGAGCATCGGGTTCTCCCAAGCTCTAAACCTTCCCGCCCTCTACCGCTGAGACACCCATCCACTACGTGTGCGGGGTTGGTAGATCGGTCGGGTGTCGATCCGGCTGAGTACATCTACTGCTCTTATGTTGGAGTGAAACTGCAAGTATTGGTCTGATTAGGACCTGATCTGGTCCTTAGGCGTCAGGCGACCCTCGGACACACCACTCAGTGGACTGGACAGGCAGTTCCCAGCTGCAGTTGGCCAGTGTGGTCTTCTGGTGGGTTGTCCTAATCTGGTATTCCGATTCTTTCCGTTGTTTTATGCCCTGCTTGTGGGCTTTCTTGCTATTTCTTGTTCGGAACACGTCTGTATTACTATTACTTGCCTACGGCTTAGGGCATGGTAAGTGGTATAATACACTTTGTTTATGAGAGCAACCAAGGCCCTGGTAATTCTTAGTAGTTACTTGTCTCTCTTTATATAGTTCCACAATGTCATTGTTGGCTCGAGGTTTTCAGCAAACTTCTCGACCGCATCGATGTCAGTTACTGATGAGGTTTGGGAAACTCCATGCCGAAGGCAGATATGCTGAATATAGTTGTGTGACAACAGCCGGGAAGCTCAACGCGTAACATCTAGCAGACACACAAGACATAAACACCCAGCTAACCACAGAGAAAACTGCCATTTGCCACTCTACTCCCGATTCCCTGAAGTCAGCCTAACAGGCACCACCAATAACCAAGGAAGTGTACAAACCAACCCTACCAACAATCCAAACAACACCCGATTGGTGCAGCACCTCTACATACATACAAAATCCCAACAAAAGACGAAACAAAACTGCTTTCCTTAGTCCTTTGCGGATAAATCCAATAATCCCTTCAAATCCGCCTGGGGGAGATACGAGCTGAACTTCCTGGTCTAGCCTGTGCCACAGAAAAACGCCTTGCAGCGCCGCCCCCACTTGCACCACCACCACCACCACAGTCTCACTCTCTCGATTTCACCCTCGGTCGGGGTGAACCCTCTCTTCTACCACATTCCATAAAACTTGAATGACAGAGACAGTTCCAAGAGTCCAGAACTGAATCGACTCAACTCCCCCCTACCATTTTAAGATCTAGCCACGCTTGGAATGGATGTAGCCTGGATGAATGGATGCCTATTGAGCCGCATATTCAAGACTCCATTATTGGATCTTTACTTCTGTGTAGAAACATTCCGATGTGATTTATGCCTGGGGGTGCTGCCAGGTGCATATGCAGGGCGCATCGCTCCCTTGTGTTGACGAGCTTGTTGAAACCAAGGGTCTTGTCTGGGCGGTATCGGTATCGGTATCGGGCTTGGATCGGATAGGATAGGGAGTAACTTGGAAAGACAGGGGAGATACTCAGGACAGGTAAGGTTCTGAGTGAGCGAGTGAGTCACTGCCTAGATCTGAAGAGAGGAGGGGGAGGGGACCAGGGTGCGGTGGGTGGTGGGGCATGTCATCTTCAGGGCGGATGGTTCTTGTGTAGACTGCAGAGTCGTGCATGCCTTGGCTTCGGGGGATTAAGACAAGAGTCTTTGTGAGTGGGGCGGGGGGGGCTGAGATAGAATGAGTAGAGGATTCAAAGTGGTTACAGTATGCTATTTATTTGACGACTAAGGTGGATGGAGAACTGAGCAGAAGATGGGAACCAAATGATTCTTGTTCGTAACTAGAGATATAACATGACAAAGGAAATGGTACAGGTGGACAGCCAAATACATGAATCAGTTCGGTGTGCAAGTATCCAATAGCAGCGACCAAATTCAATCCTTCAATGCGGGGACCTCGTTCGTGCAGAAGCTCGAAGCCAAATATGCACGAGGTGAGTGACTCATGAGAATTAGCCAGTAAGAAGCAAGGCAGGCAAGCTCAATGTTTTTCTGCTTTTCATCGAATTATCACTTTTTTTTTTCCAGTCGGGGGCTCTTTTCAACACCGTATTTTGAAAAGCGAATCGCAATGTGGATGTATTATTGCGTGGTAAAAGGAGGCCGTTTGGGACGGCTCCAGCGGGTAATCGCATGAGGAATGGACCCGTGGGTGGTATCAACTCATGGATAGCAAACCCTAGAATAGATGTGCGCGGTGAATCCGGTTCACTCTAATGGGTTTGGGGAGGTCGGAGAAATTCTCTGACCCGGTCGTAGCTGGGAGCACCTGGCTGCAGTATGAGGGACGGTTGATCGAATCGGCAGTGGTAGACGACGAGACGTGGACGGTATCGTACGGCAGTTTGTCACATTGATTCAACGGTGGTACTCAGCCGGGCGGTAGATGCGCGAGGACTCCTTGACCCGCTCGATACGGTCAGCTGCATCCGAGTCGTAGAGCGATCCCCGAGATGGGGAGCCACGGCTGGAAGATCCACGGTGCGGAGAAGGGTAGACGATAACGCGGCGGCTCTTGATTGTGCGCGGCTGGCGCTCGATGATCTCAGTGACGGTTGAAGAGCGGCGAGGGGCAACGGGGTATGAGCGGTCGTAGCTGATGACCGGAGCGTTGGACTTGTCAGTCAGGAGCTTCTGGGCCTTTGCCTTGTGCTTCAGGACGAGGCCGTCCTCGATAGCGAGGAGCAGTTCACGGGTAGCGATGCACTCGCGTGGGATCTTGACCAGTGTGGGCTGGTTGCGCTCGCGGTCGACGGTCGAGTATGACTTGCTGTTCTTGGAGTAGAGGTACTTGTCGACGTCGGTAGCGTACTGGTCTCCGCGGTCACAGAGCTGGCGGCCCTCCTGGTGAGTCCGGAAGGGGTCGTTGCACTGGTAGCAGTGGTCGGCGTGACGCTCAAAGGACTCCATGACGTACTCCTCATCGGCCTCGAGCTCCCTCACGGGGAGGACGGGTTGCGAGTTGACAATGATGGGGGCAGGCATGCTGGATGTGCGTCGTAGACGGGGTTTCTTGGGGACGGTAGTCGTGGCAGGGACGCTGCGACGATATAGGGTCTCCCTGATGGAGAACGGCGGCCAGGAAAGACGGGACGATACGTAGCGCGACAGCGTGACGGTGGTGGATGAAGTAGTGGATGTGTTGATGTGTTGATGTATCAAGTGTGTAGCAGTAAGGTAGCACGAGTGTTATGAGTGACTCTGGTATGCGTGCTGGTTGGGTTGTTGTGGTGTGTTGTGGTATGAGAAGAAGTGAGGATGGGGGGGGAGGGGGAGGGGAACTATATAGATATGCGGGAGGCATCCAAGTTCCACTTGAGAACCAGAACCCACCCCCCAGTCGCGGACTAAAGATTGGAATGACGGCATTGGTCACAGGAGGCACAGTGATGGAGGGAGAAGTGCACGCAAAGCAGAGAAGAGTTCCTACAGTAGCGGCGGATGGCTGCCTGGGGCGGATGACTCGAGGCACTAACTTGGTGCCGCCTAGCGCCGTGCTATTCCTTAGCTGCAGGCTGTGCTTCTCTCTCTTTCTCGCTCTTTGGAGGGCCTGCAGACAGTCTGATTGGCCCAATCCCTGCTTTCTGCTCCCTTCAGTCGGTCAACTGCTCTTGCTCGCTATTCCCTTCGCAGTAGTCGGCGTCGAGGAGTCACCACCGAAGAAAGCCTCTTGTGGCTGACCCTCGTATCTGCGCCTCATTCCCCTCATGAGCACAGCATAAGCCACATCCTGTGTTACTGTCCAGCTCCTGCTGCCTGTAATCCCAGGCTGGTTCATTCTTTGCTATCCGCAATCAACCTTGCATATATCGCGATTTCCATCGATCTCATCGGTTGGTTCTTGAGCCTCGCTGCAGTTCTGGCGACAAGCAGTCCCATTCGCTCCACAGCCGCTCGCCTCTGCTCGACCCTCATTCTGAGACGATGAACGTCTGATCCGTTCTGTCGGTACCAACGTCTGTCCATCGTCGTGCCGTCTAAAAATAATGGTATTCTGGCCGTCGCACATTGTGGACCGAGCGCTAAGGATCAAACTGCCAAAGTCCACACAAGGATAACAGTAACACTCGGGAGGAACCACGGGCGGACCCTGTGCCTGTGCTGACGGTTTGACGGCTTACCGTCTCAGCCTCATGTGGCTCCACTTGCTGCGACTCAGCCCCGTTGTGCCAGTTCTCGACGCTGTTTCGCTCGCTCGTATTTACCTGCCAACGCTCCAGCCACAGTCTACGACGATGTTGGTCTTCTCACGAACAGCTCTGGCGTCACGGAAGCCAATGCACACCATCTCATGCACGTCACCACCCAGTCTGCCAGTATCAGTCCCTGCTGTAAGATCGGATGACATGCTTGACGCCGCGAGGCGAAGTCTGAGCTTCAACGTATGTCATAGGTACTCTCTTCTCTCAAGCCTTCTAGCGCCCGGATGTTTCGTGCGTTCTCACGCAAACCGCATGTCCAATAATTTCTGCCTCAGTCAGGACAGACTGAAACCGTTCGAATACCATGGCAAGCGCCGACACAGTTCCCTCTGAGCGTTACGCCCCAATTGCAATGGGAGCCCTCCTCCCCCATTGGATCTTCATTGGTCTCGTGTTCAAAGTTCGACCACTCACGAGCTAACAAATACATCTAAAAATATTCCGTCCAACCCCTCAACCGTCAATATCTGGCCTTTTTCCCTCCGTCAACTCTCAACCATGATCAACATAGGCTCCAAAGTTTCTCCGGTTCATGATATTCTGGCCCCCAAGCAGGTCACGCACACCCGGCTCCCAGAATTAGACCATGCTACGGTCAAAACCGGGACGACGCTGTTACTGGCTCACTCTTTGACCCTTTCAGCAGCCAGCCGCGCTACCTCAATTGGTAAGCGTGAGACTTGAGCTCAAGACTAGGATTAGCTCCCGTTCAACAAGTTGGCGGTTCACAGGGTACACTGTTGCTCCACGGTTCCACCTGCAGCCCTACTATACGGGTCCGTCGTAAGCCACGGGGCAGTGTTTCTGGAGGAAAACAACAAAACTCCGCACTGCATAATATTAACTCCAGGGGGAATCTTTCATGCGTCACAGGGGTAAACCATCATATTGAAATTGTCATCGAGCTTGTTGGAGTTCGCGACCTGTGGAGTTCCCGTCCTGTGCTCTGTTGACCAACATTGCCAAGTACTTTCTTAATTCGGGCCCGGCCCGCTCAGGAACCCAAATTTAGAAACTCAATGTCTCCGGAAAACACGAGGAGGAAAGGTAGATCCTCGGGTCGTGAAATTGGCGAATTTATCGAGAGGTATTCTATTTATATTTGGACTTTAATACGAGGAGGGCACGTGTGAGTTGAATTCAGTTTTTTGGAGATTCTTGGAATTGCTTGGAGATATATATTTGTTTTGCTTGTGTTCTAAGTACAACTGAAGTTTGGTAAATGATAACATTGATTACACGAGCAGCACATCTGAACACCCACGAGTCCCCTTTGCCAACTGAGTGTGTTTCTAAGTATACATTTTTCTTGTGCTTATTTAAAATAGAGATGATCTGTTCTATATTACGATGTACAATACTAAAACAACATGTATTTTCCGACAGGACCCCAATTCTAAATTCTCCTCGTACAATGGCCACAATCAATTGGCGAGAAAACATTCAATCCACGAGCAAGAGAATGTAAGCTTGCCTCACAGACATATCCGCGCTGCTCCTTTTCTATCTCAGTCAACAGACTGTGGTTGTGAATTCTCCATTTTCAGCACACAGAAGTAGGCAGGAATGTAGGTTATCGATAATCGTCCTCAAACCCGTCGAAATCCCAATCAAAACCATCGAACCCATCAAAGTCATCCATATCCATATCCATGTCGATATCCCCACCATCAAATCCATCCCAGACCACCCCACCCAACTCGGCAAAAGCTCCGAAACCATGCAATCCCTCCAGGATAACCAGCTCGGCGTAATCGTTCAGAACGGCCGAAAAGTACGCAGGGTCTGTGCCGTCCCAGCCTAGCCAGAACATGTCCATCATGGTGTAGAAAGCAAGCAGCAGGTTGTAGAATGGGCGGTAGGCCTGGTCCGTTTGTTAGTTGTGTTGAAAGTTGGGTCGTGGTGTTGATATGGGTGTTTACCGTGATGAGGTAGAAGATCTGCCGGGGCCATTCTCGGATGTTGAGGTTTGGCATGGTGGTTTAAATAGATTGGATAGCTCAACATGGGCACCGTGGATGAAAGAGGATTGTTTTGGTTGATTTGGTAGCGGGTGTGGTTTCTCAGTGGTAGCAAGAGAAAGAGAAGTGCCGTCAGCTTTGGCATTCACTGAATGGATCAGAGCATCATCATTGGGTCTTGTATTAATATGCGGAAGTAGGCATTTCTGGTTTGCTTGAGGTATATGAAGGAAGCCTAAGTCAGCGAGGCTTTGACTTTCTAAAAATCTTGAAGAAGGTATTGGTAAAAAGTGAAGTTGATGAAGAACCTCCGTCATGAGTGAGGCCGTTTGTACCCTGCCTCAGGCGACAACTTGCTGCTTCAACAAACACTCAACTCTACAACTCCCCAACTTATCATCATTTCCATCCTCTATGTTCCATTCGTGGAACATTTATCTCTTTCCAGCATACTTGCAGAGACGAAAGGATATCAACAACATATCAACAACAACCGCAATGTTGATCGACACAAATACAAGATACCTAACACTTCCAGACGATAGCAAAGACATCTTGGAATGGCAGAGCAAATTGTAAAAAGATGGTTTCTGCTATTCAATGTCTACACTAATTCAAACACTTCGTCTTCAAAAAAGTCAACGCCCCAACAGCCATCGCATCCACCGCTGTCTTCAGTGTTGGCTTCATATCCGGTCCAAAGAACGGCGAATGGTTACCAGGAAGCTCGTCTACTGCATCTCTCGAAACCGCATCGTCCCATTTCTCTGCTTCAATTCCTCCAAACAGCCACATCACATACGGCGCCCCGACGGCTGTCGCCAACAAGGAAAAGTCCTCGCTCGCCGTCGCCGGTTCCGTTTCCACTAGGCTGTCTCCGAAATAGGACCCAAACGTCTTCTGCAGCTCCTTTACCGTTTCCGCGTCATTGTGAGTTGCCGGGGCGTTGATGGTATGCGTGATTTGCGGCTTCTGTGGTGCCCCCGATGCTGCACACTCGGCTTCGATGATCCGCTTGACCGCTGTGCACAATCGTTTCCGCACCCTGGGCTCATAGGACCGTAGACTCAGTTTCAGGTCGCACTGGTCTGGGATAATATTCGGCGCATGGCCGGCCTGGATACTCCCGCAGCTGACAATCGCCAGCTCCCCCGGTGTAATCTCGCGGCTGACGATGCTCTGCAGGCGCGTGATGATCGAGGCACCGATAACAATCGGATCAACGCACATCTGCGGCGAAGAGCCGTGACCACCACGACCGAAGATTCGCACGTCAAAGGCGTCCGTGGCCGTTAATAGCCTCCCCGGCCGAACGGCAACCGTCCCGGCCCTCATGCGGATAACGTGCTGCGCTAGGACAATATCCGGCTTGGGGATTTTATCATAGAGCCCATCATCGAGCATTGCTTGCGCACCGTTCAGTTCCTCTTCCGACGGCTGGAAAATCACGACCAGGGTTCCGCTCCACTGGTCTCGTGCGGCATACAGCAGCTCCGAGCCGCCTAACAGGCCCGTAACGTGGGTATCGTGTCCGCACGCATGCATCACGGGGACTTCTCTCCCGTCCTTGTTCCGGACGCTCCTTTTACTCGAATACTCCAGCCCAGTTTTCTCCTCCATCGGGAGCGCATCCATGTCGGCGCGGAGCAGCACGGTAGGGCCCGGTCCGTTTCGCAGGATGCCGGCGACGCCGTACCCGCCGATATTGCTGTGCACCTCGAACCCCTGTTTTCGGAGATGGCTGGCTACTATTGAGGAGGTTTCTTTCTCCTGTCCCGAGAGCTCGGGGTCGCGGTGTAATCTACAGTAGATGGCCTCATAGGGTGCCATGTCCGGGCGGTATTGGTTGACGATGCCATGGAGGGCAGTGTTTTGTGAGTCTGGCCAGGTTAGGATTCACATTCCTTAGCCGTTATTATTTTATCGGACTTACCAGGGTTATGCATCGTGGGAGTTTATATGGGGGTAGACGGTTGAGTACACAGTCGAAATCTGGGGCACGCTGCCTCTTAAGTTCAACCCCGCTAACTCCATCGTGAGTTCAAGACCACTAGCGCTCCCCAGAAATTCGGGGCACAACAGGATGACGAACCGGCGATGGAAGCGAGATAAGCTTACGCTGGATCGTTGACTGGTCGATTGGGCGAGCACTCGGCAAATTCCAGCGAGCTCGGCAAGTGCGCCACTCGGAAACTACTCCGTCGGCAAGTCTTGTCATTAATTCAGGCCTTGATTAAGCGCAGCACCTCGGTTTAGAGAATTATTGACGCATTGCACATGGTCGTATTAGAGGCAGCATATGCCGCGTGCAGGCGATGATGGGCCGGGAGGATTACAGAAGTCTGAAGCTTTCATGGCAGAAAAGTTGTTTCATTCCATTGTTGACCCTAACCCATACAAAGAAAAACGAATCCTCCCCTGATCTGTTCATTTCCAATGAATATGGCAGCAACCTGAAAGAAACATAGTAATGCTGGGCAGTAAATTTAACCCCGAAATAAACTGCTTAAGAATATCGCATAAAGGCGAATCGCTTCACCAGCCAGGTTCCAAAGGTTCAGGCATACCCCTTTCAATCTCGCTTTCTCAATCCCAATATGGATCATGTCGGCGCTGAAGTGAGTTTTCAGATCTCAGTACTGACGGAGTGCTCGGTGCTTGCCCAGAATAAGAATGGTTTGTGCTATATCGTACCTGGATAGGCCGCCCATCCCTGTTATCCTGGACCCGGGTTTCCTGCCCATCAAGCAGGCTCTCGACTGTAACAATCATCTCTTGGAGAGTTTCCACTATATCAGAGAGCTGTTTTTGGCGAAGTGAATAGTCAGATCTTAGTACTGGGGGAGTGCTGAGTGGTAGTCCAGAATAAAAATATTCTGTGCTGTATCGTACCTCCATAAGCAGTCCACTCCTGTTGCCCTGGTCCAGGAATCCCTGCTCATAAATCAGGCTCTCAACTATATTAAGCGTCCCATCGAGAGTTCCCTTCATCTCAGAGAGCTGCGTTTGGCGATTTGGGATGGGGTCCTCTTCAGGGCTGATATACATCGGGCAACCCATGGCGTTAGAAATCCCCGCGACACGGCTTAGGTCTTTCAGCTCGTAATGTAGAGGCGATTGAGACTGGTAGGTTTCTGGTTCAGGGACATCTCTGGTTCCTTTAAATATTTCGAGGTGGTGACTGGTAAAGTTAGATTCTGTTGGCTGTTAAAGCCTAAAGGTGGAGTGACCGTGGACTGAGGGTTGAGTATTTAGAGTTGAGGGCGGCTTGTATTTCGAACTGCCCGATGGTGTATGACTATGAGTGAAGAGATAATTTGAAGGGCAGAAAGGGAGAATAACATATAAGCCGCAATGGGGAGGGTCGATACTATTGCATGATATAGTCTGTCTTGACGAATAGTTTAAGGGTTCACAACGAGCTAAACAAGACAAAGATGCCAATCAAATACTTCCAGGAAAAGAAAGAGAACAGGTCGTACTTGCTGCTATAGAATCTGTGCACAGAATCACTGAACTAAAGTCCTCGCCTTTACAAACCCTCGGCCCACCCCCAGGCAAATTTATGCTTCCCATAAACCTTGGCCCAGTCAGGTGTCACTGAATCACGGTTGGGTGAGACTCCCTCCACAGCCTTATGGTTGAAGTTATATGTTGTAGGCTTCTTGTAATGGAGTTTATGCATTCAACTTATTTTAGTCCATGGTTTATCATAATAGTATACAATGCTAATATAATACAGACAGGCCAATCTACCACTCAATGCCAACCTTCCTAGCCACCTTCTCTGCTACATCCATAAACGCCTCCCTCCTTACACTCCGGTCCCCTTCTTCCGCAACAACGGTCGGCATACCGCGATCCGCATCCTCACAAACCCTCGCATCAAGCGGGATGTCACCCAAAAACTCCACCCCAAGCCGCTTACACTCCGCCAACACGCCCCAGTCCGCCTCACCACCATGGCCATGACCATGCCCATGCTTGTCATGCAGACCAGCCGAGAAGATCTTCGTTTTGGTCCCACACTCCGGGCACGCGAAAAAGGCCATGTTCCGCACCATTCCTAGCACAGGGACGTCCATGCGTTGGAACATCCCAAACCCTCTGACCGCATCCCGCAGAGCAATATCTTGCGGCGTCGTGACTATCACTGCACCGTCGAGGATAATCTCTTGGTTTATTGTGAGCTGTACATCTCCGGTTCCGGGTGGTAGATCAAGGAATAGCACGTCGAGTGGACCCCAGGAGACAGAGTGGAGTAGCTGGTGCATAGCTTTTGTGACCATGAGACCACGCCAGGAAATAGGGGTTGTGTCCATTGGTTGGCGCTGGATGTCGGTTTGATTGGGTTGTTCGGGGGGTGGTGGGAGGAGGTAGCCCATTGACATGGACTTTAGGCCGTAATTTGTTAGGGGGACGAGGCAGTTTTCTAGTTGAGGTGAGTTGGAGATGACCGACAGGAATGTTGATGTGTGAGATACGTACTGTCGTCTAATCGGGGTTCGCCAGACAGGTTGAGGAGCGTAGGTATAGATGGGCCAAATATATCTGTGTCGAGGATTCCAGTACGGATGCCGCGGCGGGCGAAAGAGAGGGCGAGATTGACTATCGGGTTAGATAGAGTCGACTTCGAATAGAGATGAAGCACACACCAGCAATGGTCGACTTTCCTACTCCTCCTTTCGCCGAGGAGACAGCAATGACCTTCTTCACATCGCGAATCTTGCGCTTCTCGGGCAAGCCGCGGCCGCGACGGGGAAATGGCGGCGGGGTGCCGGAGCGCGGGAGGCCCTATATTTAATTAGATCGGGTTCGATTAGGACCGGGTCATGAAAACAAACCAGCGGATTATCATGTTGCAGACATCGAAATGTCGAAAACAACCTCCGTTGTACACTCATCTTGTGCAAAGTTGATGTCGTGAGGAGAAGCAACGGCGAGCCTGAGGCCGAATCCACAATACTGCCGCAGATAAGCTCTCACCGCCGGTAGAACAGCCCCAATCAGGAGCCCCGGGACCGCTCCGACTTGTCAAAGTGGTTAGCTCGGCCTCACCGCTTTCCGATTGCTCGAAAATATTGTCGCGGCAGAAAATAATTTCTCCAGACAAATTTGTTCACAAGCATTCGCTTTTGCATAGAAAATGGCGCCAAAATCGCTGGCAGAGCAGATTGCTGATTTGGAGGATCTTACACCACGAGGTATTTACTGGTCCTTTAAAGATTCCTGCTTAAAAGCTGTAACTAACTGATCAGACTTTGATCCTGAGGATATCGAGCGCGGCGGAAATTCTAGCGATGAAGAGGAAGTCGAGAAGGATGCCAGTGCTGGTAGAGAGCACTACCAAGCTGTTGGGTTAGTTTGCTTATCAAGCATAGGGTTGTGGCGCTATGCTAATTGCTACTAGGAAAGCAAAACTTCGCAACGAGGAACCCGTCTCGTTAGGGAAACAATACGCCGGTTCGCGAGTTAGCCGCGATGCTCTTGAAGAAGAGAGCGATGACGATCCGTTCAAAAAGCGCTCAGATGACGAAGATAGCGAAGATGATGACGATGTAAGCGACGACGAGGACATTTCCGAAGAAAGTGAAGAGGAGAGGCCGCGCAAACCCAAGGCTGTCAGCAAAAAGGGTCGCATGGTTGAGGATGACATAGACATGGACGGGTCAGAAGATAGTGAGGAGGATGAGGAAGGATTTGACGAAGAGTCCGATGAAGACGAGGATGACGAAGACGAAGATGAAGAAGAGGAAGAGGATGACGAGGAAACTGCAAAGCCACCCAAACGCCGAGTGCAGTTCGACGACGCCAAATCTGACGACCGCGAAGAACTTCGCCAGCTAATGGCCACGGACCAAAAGACCATAGCAGCCTCCATCTCCCAAGCCGCCAAAGCGGACGCAATCAAAGGCCGAGCCGTCAAACAACAACGCTCAGCATTCGACGCTCTCCTCAACGCCCGCATTAAGCTCCAAAAGGGCCTCACGGCAACCAACCAACTAACAGCCACGCAGCCCGATGTCGACGCTGACGCGGACGCCTTCAAATCCGCTGAATCTGCCGCTCTCACCCTCTGGTCCACCCTCGAAGACCTCCGCCTCACCCTCGTCGACGCCCAAACCACAGACGAGTCCAAGAAGCGCAAGCGTCCCTCCCCCGCAACACCAAGCACCCCAACCTCCTCCCTCTGGAAACGCATGGCAGACCTAGAGTCCGACTCCCTCACGCACCGCCGGGCAATCCTGGACAAATGGTCCCTCAAAGTCCGCGGCGCAAACGCCACAACCCTCGCAAACTCCAAGACGAAGCTCCTCGGCTCCGAAGCCGGGAAGCAGCAAACCATCACCGCCGTTCTAGACGCCCACGTTGCATCCGAGACCGCGGATCTCCGCAGCGCTAAGCGCGCGCGCACGGCCACTACAAATGGCGCAGCACCTGAACAAGAACAAGGCGACATCTACGACGACAGCGTCTTCTACCAGTCCCTTCTCCGTGAACTCGTCGAGCAGCGAATGTCTTCCTCGGACGCTATCACGAACGGCCTGGACACGCTGCACCTCCTCCCCTCGCGCAATGTGCACCATGTGACGGGCATGCGCAAGGATAAAGTCAAGCGGGACGTGGACACGCGCGCGTCCAAGGGACGCAAGATGCGCTTCGATGTGCATGAGAAACTGCAAAATTTCATGGCGCCTGAGGAGCGGGGATCATGGACGAGAAATGCAAGAGATGAGTTCTTTGCTAGTCTTTTGGGACGCACGGCGAGTGGGATGCTAGGGGAGGGAAGTGAGGATGAGGAGGACGTGGGTATGGTTGGGCGAGGTGGGGCTGATGAAGAGAGTGAGGATGATGTTGAGGGTGGATTGAGGCTTTTCAGGAGCTGAATAAGTGCCTGTTTCGTGCTGAGATGGGTTGATTGAATTGGACTGGAACTAGATTTAAAAGTACATAGCACCGAAGTATAGAGCAAGCAAGCATTGTATCAGCGCAATTCCTGCATTTGAGTGGTTAGGTTTTGTAAGTCATGTAGATAAATGTAAGACAATTGCAATTGTAAAGAAACGAATTCCCTGTTCAATTTCGTTGCACCACTTTCAGGATAACCACCTCGTTCACAGGGAATTCTAGTGAGTTACTCTGTTATTAGCGCGATGCCCTAGCTCCCAAGCAGCTACTACAAATGCAATCAGAGTAACCACTGCCAAGCTTAATACACCAATGACAGTTGCATTAGGCCGATCTCTCATGGGCCAGGAATCAGGATAAGATATGCGGGTTGGTGGAATTCAATGCCTGGAGGAGGTTGTGAGCGCTGGCAAATTCGCCATTCCAGCAGCCTTCAATAATCCAGCCAAGCCAGATACCTTGTGTGCTTGGTAGAAGCCTCCTCTCTGGCCAATAAGCTCGACCATCGGTAGGAGGGTTGTCCCTGTAGAGATCAATCTTACACTTAGTGCCGGTTATAACTTCGTATATAACTGCACCAAGGGAGCCAATGTCAATCCGGGTTGTGTAGCCATTATCATCCACAGTTTCCATATCAGAATCCAATGGAAGAAGAGATGCTTCGGTAAAGTCACAGAATTTGAGCGATAGATCGGAATCGAGAAGAAAGTTCCGGCTGGCGATATCTGCAACAAGCACACGTCTGTCATGAATAAAACTGAGTGTGCGAGCCATCTGGTTGAACCATCTGAGTTGCAGCTGACGAGGAGGGCACTGGCAGTGTTTTGCAAGATACGTTTGAAGATCCCCATTGACCATATAAGCGAGTTGCGTGGCGTCAGCTGAAAATCCAATACAACCGACAATACCATGAGAACGGTCGTCTCCAGGGTGCTGCAAGCGGCGATATACATCTTGTTCGCGTATGAGACTTTGAGTGTTTGCTTTGACGTCGTAGTCTGAGCTCCAACGATATCTCAAGGGAGTCTTGATGGCCATATCATCCTGAAGCAGAACTACTGCAGAGGCCCCACTTCCGAGAATCCGTTCCAGAGGGATTGGATTCCCTTGGATGTCCAGAAAAGGAGAGGACATTGCAACAAAAATAAGGTGGTTTGATTGAAGTGGCCATGAATTATGTCCCAGATGCGCAGTTGCACACCGCATTTTGGCCTGAGACCAGCTGGTTGCCGGCGATCGATCCTCCTTCCACTAGTTGTTTGTTCACTTCCTTCGACCATGCCTAGAGTCGTACAGCAGTATCCGGGGCTGCTCTGGAAGTTCATTCTTATATTATTTCCCAATGCCGAGCACTCATCTGTTGTTGCATCCGTCGGGACAGGCATCCTTGAACTGAGATTATCTTCCTAAGTGGATGTCGAACGCCACAAATCCCAGAGTACAGGACAATATCACCGGCGTCTACCAGTTCATTGCCCCCCTTGGGAGCGGCCATGTCGCCCTCGTCCATCTCGAGGACCTTGGTCTCTACGCAAGGTGGATATTTGATCATCCCAAGGAGTCCAACGGATTGAACCTCGAGGTCGCAACAGAGCACGTCAATTGGACTGCTCTAGCTCGCTTGTTCACCGAGGTCACCGGTAGGCCTGCGGAATACGTCGATGTGAGCGCAGAAGCCTACTTTGACAACCACTACCCCGCGGGTCGGAAGGCTGTTGATCGCAAGATTGGCACTGTGGTTGATAAGAAGGACCCGATGTTGCAGACCTGGAGGCAGAACTTTGGCGGGTTCTGGAATATGTGGAAGGCGACGATGGGACCGACCTCGGGGAACATCACGCGCGACTACGCATTCTTGGATTCGATCCTTCCACAGCGTGTTAGGACGGCGGAAGAATGGATACGGAAGGTTGGATACGAGGGAGAGCCTCGACGGCTGTTGAAGGACTGGGCGGATGGTGGGATCGCAGTTTCGGGGCCGACAGCAGATGTGAAATTGTAGTAGTAAAAGGCACACTGAAGCACACTAGGTTGAGCCCAAGTGGTGACAGAACAGTTACGAACTTACGCGTGGAAATGCAGCCGTTCTGGCCTCAGTAGCAGTCATGTTCAGCGTAGATTTCACGTCCTCGGATTCTTGTAATTATCAAATATGTAAACGCCACCCAAATCCAATCCAGTTCATTTGGTTCCTCCCAATAATAACTCCCTTGAGTCTCAGCACTTCACTTCCCACCACCAGCAACACCAGTCGGGCCCACGCCCGCCCTAGCAGGCGGCTCGCACTCATATCTTGGCAAAACCGGCCCATCTGATGCCTCCCAATTAAAGTCCGTCCGTCGCGGCAGTCCCATCATCCGTTCCCGTACAGCTCGCTGAAGGGTGTCTTTTCTATCCTCTTCTTCCTGGGGCGTCAGGAAGCGCGGGTACCCGTCGGCATCGACAACGACGGCACCGCTAACGTCGTTGTAGCCGGGTAAGGACGAATTAGAAGGGGAGTGACTCAGCATGCTGGGGTCTGTGCTTGCGATTTCGATCTGGGATAGTTGTTGATGGTGATGCGGGGTAGTTGACAGTGTTGTTTGCGACTGATTTGAGGGGGCGAGGTAGTTGTATTCGGCTGGGGGGTCGATGTCTTCCCACTGGAATTGGGCTTCTGATGTGGATTGGGAGGGAGACAGAGAAGAATTGGGTTGTTGGTCGGCTGATGCCTGACGGGTATGTGTTTGTGTCTGGGTTTGTGTTTGTGTAGGCTGCTTGACAGGAGCGCGAGGTGTGCGATTGAATAATGAACGCAGAGATCGTTGCTTTGTCTCCGGGCTTGAGGAAGTTGAATGAGACGGGGTCTCTTTGCGAAAGAAAGGCATGTTGGTGGTGTTATTGTTCTTGTTGGGTACGCCTTCGCTCGATATTAGGTCGACAACGATTAAACAGCAGACACACAGCCTATTGGAGGTCCTGAACCTGGCACGATTCCACAATGAAACAGGTCAGGCAGAGAAAGTCACAACGGCAGCTCGGGGCGGGCTGGTTCGACAAGCCCGGCTGACGTGGTGTAGGCGCAGAGATATGCTCTCAACGTTTCAGCCCAATTTCATGCAGAACCGGGAATCAATACTTGTGGAACGAAAGCTTCATGCACTCTTGACCGAGTCGAATTGGCGGCCAGAATCAAGCCGGGTGTGCCTTTCAGCACCCTGCATGGATCGTGCAGGAGGGATCTAACCTCGGCTCGTGATAGGGTGTCGGGGGTGTCCGACACTGCGAGAGCTGCGGGAGGGTGTCATTAATGAATTCACCGCTTGATTGGGGTGAGTCAAACCTTGCAACTGGAGAGACGGCGTCGGTTGCCCAGAGGATGTTAGAAACTGGACTGAGAATCAATGAGGAAGAAGAGGAGTTGCAGCTGATGACGGTTGGAGTCGGCCCCTTCCCGTGTTGATGGCGCTAGTCCGCTTTGTATACAATCCACATTCCACAGGACCCGTTGCTCTAACAGCCCTCCACGGTTCTACTTCTGGTACGTGCACTCAGCTCCACCGCACGCTATGGAAGATGATATCCAGCTGCCACTCTCCTCGTCGCCATCTCTCCACCTCGCCCACCCAAACCCCACCGAATCCCGCCTCATCTGCCACCAAACGGCGCCTGACTGGAAGGACGCCCTCTCACTCCCTCAATACCTCGAGGAGTACGAATTCTTGTTAACTGCGCCACTCGCGCGCAATAACGGTATCACGCCATGGATCCTCGTAGACAGAAACCAGGCCGAGGACAAGCGCACCATCCTCGCCTCCTGCGAGACGTTTCGCAAGCGCGCACTGGTCGGTGATCCTGACGGGAATGTCACCGATGTCATTGCGCATGGGATCGCGAGTGTTTACTGCCATGAGCCTCTCAGGAAAAGGGGATATGCATCGCGGTTTCTCAGAGAATTGGGCGATGTTCTTCCCGGATGGCAAGTTGATAACAACACATCTGTTGCTGCGAGTATACTGTACTCTGACATCGACCCGGGCTTCTATCGCAGTTTAGGTTGGATGCCGTTTGCGAGTGACCAGCTCGAGTTTAAGCCTTCATCGATAACTCACAATGGTACGCTTCTACATGCGGAAGATTTAGCAGCTCTCTGCGAAAAAGATGAAGCGCTTCTTCGAGCATCAATGTCAAGGCCATCGCCTGACAAGGACTCAACCCCCCGATTTGCAATATTTCCTAATCACGAGCATATCCTCTGGCATCACGCGAAAGAAGAGTTTGGCTCGCAGCGACTGTTAGGAAAGACCCCTCTTATTAAAGGCGCCATAGCTGGACCGGCTGGCAACCGCGTTTGGGCGATCTGGACGCACCGATTTTATCGGCATCCCGATGTCGATCCTTCGGCAAATACGCTGTATATCCTGCGGTTTGTCGTTGAGAGCTCCAAGGCCGCCGCCGAGCATCTATGCGCTGTGCTGGATGCGGCGCGGGCTGAGGCTGCGGAATGGGGGATGGGAAAGGTCAAACTCTGGGCTCCAGAGAGCGAGCTGGAAGACTTGATTAAGCAGAGTGGTGTGCCGTTTGAGTGTAAGACGAGGGTATGTGATAGTATACCTTGTTTGCGATGGTACAGTGCAGGCTCAGTAGACTGGGTCCTGAGCGAGAAATACGCCTGGTGTTGAAAATTCTACCATACGATCTATCAATATTGAATATCACGGCTAAGCTTATATCACTTTATCAGTCGCTCTCTGCAACCCTCACAATAATCTTCCCCCTCGCTCTCCCAGTACCCAACTTCTCATACGCCTCAGGCACATTCGCAAACCCAAACACCTCATCAACCACAACCCGGAACTTCTTCTGCGCCAGTAGCTGCCCAATCTCCACAAGATCTTCCTTCGAGTTCTTCATCGCCAGCGGAACAAACCACCTCCTCCCACCACCCAGAAACCGCGGCGTAATAAGCCTCCACACTGCGGTCATCATACTCCCCGCGCCAACCTGCACCCACGTCCCACCCCCCTTCAGGAAATGATGCGCCTGCGCATACAAATCCACGGGAACCCCGATATGGTCCAGCACAAGGTCAAACACCAACCCCATCCCCTTGAGCGCCTCCGTAACATCCAGAGCCGTATAATCAATAACCTGGTCAGCGCCGAGAGATTCCACTAGCCCAACATTCCTCGTCGAACAGGTAGCAGTGACATGCGCGCCCAGCATCTTCGCAAACTGGATCGCGAAGACCCCGCACCCGCCCGAACCTCCGTTTATAAAGACCTTCATCTCCGGTTTCGTCAGGTATGGCTTTACAGACTGGTACGCTGTGCGCACGGCAACGCCTAGACATGCTGCGTTGTCGATGCTCACCCCTTCTTCTGGTAGAGGCGCTAGATCGTTTTGATTCACGAGGATGTATTCTCCTGTTGTGCCGAATTCTCGTGGACGCGCGAGGCAGCCGTAGACGCGCTGGCCGGGTTTGAACTCGCCGTTGTGGGAGGGGTGTGTGGCGACGACTTCGCCCGCGAAGTCGAGGCCTGGGGAGGCGGGTAGTTTGCAGATGAGGGTGTAGCCGAGGATTGTCGATTGTTCGGGGACTTTGCAGTCTGCTGGGTTGAGGGCCGCGGAGAGGACTTTTATGAGAAGCTGGGAGGGGCGTGAGGGGGACGGTGGAGAGCGGGCGGAGGCGTTGAAGGTGAGGTTTTGGACGACGGAGGGCGACGTGCTGTCGTATTGCCAGGCCTTCATCGTGGGTGGATGAGCCATGGTGATGGATTGTGGTCGAGATCGATGAGTTGTGATGGTGTTGAGTGGAAGAGTTGGTTGAGCTGGAGCTCAAGCTGAGACGTGCGGAGAAGCTGAAACAAACAAACACACCGCAGTCTGTGATTCTTGGCCTCAGGCTTTCAATCTGTACACTATAATCAGGTGAATCTCTAAATTTAAGATTGCATTGAAACTGACAATTTCCAAAGTAAGCCACTAACTTGCCTTTGAAAATAAAGCAGAGGAATATTAATCCAACGGTGCTCACATGCCATACTTAGTCTATCCTACACCAGGGGGTATCCCTCCGCCCTCGGGATCTTCCACCTTCCCTCCTCTTTCATCGAAAATATCGAGCGGTCGGGTTATAACAATCAGAGCGAGGGTGCGCCGGATACCAAGGATGGGTGATGGGAAGGAAGTAGAGTTGATTTCCTTGTTGTGTTATCACTATTTTCAACCAGACCAATCTGATGATATATTCACGCATGGCTATCTTCTGTAATGTCAGTCATAATGTCCAATCAGCATAATGGAGATTATTGATAAACATGTATCAGGAAACTCACCCTCAAGTCCTACATGGGCATGGAGCATGTGAACCCTGCTATAAGTTATCTAATATAACTGTAGGTATAACCATGTGGCAGGCGTATGGCGCAATGGCTGACTCTTTGTCTCTCGGTCCAGGCATCCAAATTGTAACTTCCGTTCCTCATCGCCTCGAGAATGCCGCTTACAGAAGAAGCGAGTCTGTTCCATTTTGATGGAGAAACATTCGACTTCAATCTCCAGTTCGAGCATCTTTTCTTCTCCATTCTTCCCTCGGCCCTGTTCATCCCGACTTCGCTATGGCGCACTCTTTGCCAGGCACGCAAGCCTACTGTAGTGGACGCCCGGGGCTTTCAATTGCTGAAGCTGGTATGCTCATTGGAAAAATAGGTTCTTGTGAGGCAATTGCTAAATATGCAGGGTGCTATTGTCATCTATGCCGGGCTCGAGCTGGCGCTTCTCGTCCTGGCCGCCACCAAGGCAATCCCTACAACTAGCCTGTTCATCGCCGCTTCTGTCCTTAATTTGATGTCTGCGTTTTGCATGCTTTCCCTAAGCCTTCTGGACCATAGTCGCAGCCCAAGGCCATCCTTCCTTTTGAACGGCTACTTGCTGCTCACCCTCATCTTCGATATAGCGCAGACAAGGACTTTGTTTTTATCATCTAATGACAGGCCTGAGGTCATGTATAGCAGTATATTCTGTGCAGCCCTCGCACTTAAAGTGGGAGTCTTTCTATTAGAGGCTCACCAGAAGACGAAATGGGTTACTTGGGATGCGAAGAAGCACAGTCCAGAGGAAACCAGTGGGGTTTTCTCCCTGGGTGTCTTCTTCTGGTTGAATAAACTATTTTTGATGGGATATCAGACTGTTCTTAAAAGCGACAGCCTCTACCCCCTTGACAGCTCCTTCAATTCCGAAGCTCTTCATGAGCAGTTTGTGAAGAATATGGATTACTCCAAGCTCAAAGGCGACAAATTCGGCCTTGTCAAGGTGTTGATACGCACTCTGAAGCTGCCACTTATCATTCCCATCGTGCCTAGACTTGCACTGGTTGGGTTCACCTTCTGTCAGCCCCTTTTCATCGAGAGGCTGTTGAAAGACCTCTCTCAGCCGGGAGCCGACCCAAATATTGGCTATGGTCTTATCGGCGCCAGCGTATTCATCTACTCTGGGATGGCAATTTCCTGGTCGCTGTGCTGGTAAGTTTGTCCCTTTATAAGGTGGGCTTTCGTCTTCTTACGTCTAATGTCAGGTACTATCAAAACCGGTTACGTACTATGGTACGGTCGATACTTGTTGCAGAGACCTTTTCAGCCGCCGCAAGAGCTCGTATCGGATCAAATGACGATAGCGCCGCCCTGACACTGATGAGCACCGACATAGAGCGCATCAAAATGGGCATCCGCGATGTGCACGAGATATGGGCGAGTATGATCCAAGTGGGTCTGGCAGCTTGGATGTTGTTCCAGCGGCTTGATGTCGCCTTCGTCGCACCCATAGTCGTAGTTATAGCCTGTTCCACCGGGTTAGGCATCCTAGTCAACTTCGCTGGTGATTCGCAGCGAGCTTGGATGTCTGGCGTGCAGAAACGGGTTGGCCTCACAGCTACCGTCGTCGGCAGTATGAAATCGGTGAAGATCTCTGGTCTCTCTATAGCTGTGAGCGATTATATCCAACAGCTCCGCATCAACGAGCTCGCAGCTGGTGCCCGTTTCCGCAAGATATCTGTCGTAGCAGCCATTTTTGCTTGGTTGCCTCAGATTATCAGCCCCCCGTTGACTTTTGCTGTCACCCGTCAGACGCTAGATGCGTCGACCATGTTCACCAGTCTATCATTCTTGTCACTGTTGTCGAGCCCCTTATCTCGGGTTTTCCAGTCCATTCCTGATCTTATTTCTGCCCTGGCCTGTTTAGGCCGAATCCAGATCTTCTTGGAAGGCGATAGCTATCATGATTTCCGCCAGATTCAGGCCGAGCAAGCGAGGAGTAAAGAAGGACAGGATCAGGATCCTGAGAATGCTCATCGCCTCTCGGACTCCATTGTCATCAGAAGCGCAACCTTTGGCTGGAAACAAGACAAGGCTGTTCTACAGAATATCAGCACCCAGATTCCTCGCGCGTCGCTTACAATAGTCATCGGACCGGTGGGCTCGGGCAAATCAACACTGTGCAAGGCCCTTTTAGGTGAAATCCCATTCAGCGATGGAAGTGTAACCATCAATACGCAGGTCAAACATGTCGGCTTCTGCGAGCAGACCCCCTTTCTCTGGAATGGGACCATCAAGAATAATATCGTTGGGTATTCTCAATTCGACACCCAGCGATATAATGAAGTCATCAATGCCACTGCACTGAGTGTTGACTTGGCGACGCTGCCGCAAGGCGATGAAACAAATATCGGGTCTGATGGGGTCGCTCTCTCAGGGGGGCAGAAGCAGCGCGTGTCTCTCGCGCGAGCACTCTATTTGTATTCCAACTTTTTGGTGTTAGATGACGTCTTTAGCGGCCTGGATGCCGATACTGAGGAGCAAGTCTTTCAAAACGTCTTCGGAAATGATGGCCTACTGCGACGTCGCGAATCCACGGTGGTGATATGCACACATAGTGTCAAGCACCTACCGGCGGCAGATCATATCATCGCCCTCGAGAACGGCGGTATTGCGGAACAAGGTTCCTTTAGCAGCTTGTCTACCCGCCCTGGGTATGTCAGGCGATTGGGACTCAAGGCTGGTTTGGAGTCTGCCCCTAAGCGGAAACCTGGAAATACGATGGCGAAGGGCGACACACTATTACCTGATACACCGGGTCCCGAGGTAGACGCCGCGCGTCAAGTCGGTGATAGTTCAGTTTACAAACATTATATCAACAGCATGGGATGGTTCGTGGCAGGATGTGGGTTGTTCTTCGCGGTGTTATGGGGCTTCTTTACGAATTTCCCTACAATATGTAAGGCCTCAACAAATGTTAAGCTTTGGACTGAGCTAATGCGTTTCCTTTTAGGGCTCACATACTGGAGCAGCGGAGCTATTGCTGGATATCAGTCGCGCTCACACGCTTACTATGCGGGGCTTTATGCGCTGCTCCAGATCAGCGCTATTATTGCTCTGTTACTCCTTGGAATAACGCTATTCATTGTGTCAGTCAAGAAGGCAGGCGCAAGTCTGCATAGGCAGGTCCTGCGAACCTTGATAAGAGCACCACTGTCGTTCCTCACTAAGACAGATACGGGTGTTGTGACAAATCTGTTTTCTCAGGATCTGAATTTAATTGACACTGAACTACCGGACGCGACATTGAACACTTTATTCTGCGTGAGTTGCCTCTTTGCAGTCTTCTGTACTACTAGGAATTATTCTGACAAGCTCCATACAGACATTTCAATGCCTCGGACAAGCAGCTGTTATGCTGACATCGTCGTTGTATCTGGCCATCAGCTATCCTATTCTCGGTGCACTGCTCTACGGCGTGCAAAAGTTCTACCTGCGAACCTCGCGCCAGTTGAGACTGCTCGATTTAGAGGCAAAGAGTCCATTGTAGTCCGTCTCAACCGCAGTTACTGTTACTGACATATACTAACCCATCTCTTTAGCACGCATTTCCTGGACACGATCAAAGGCATCGCCACACTGAGATCATTCGGTTTCCTCGCTGACGACATCCACAAGAACGCGCAATTAATCGATTCGAGTCAACGTCCGGCATATCTCCTCCTCATGGTCCAGGAGTGGCTGAATCTAGTGCTTAATCTCGTAGTCATGGTAATAGCAGCAGTGTTGACCACTCTAGCTGTGTGCATGCGCTCCAACTCTGCGTTTGCCGGTGCATCCCTATTCTCCTTGATGAATTTTGGTGCCAATCTATCCGGAATTGTCATATACTACACGAAGCTGGAGACTTCTATAGGTGCAATAGCGCGGCTGAAAACGTTTAATGAAACCGTGGCTCCGGAGGACCTGGAAGCAGAGGATATTATTCCGGATGAAACCTGGCCGAGGCGTGGAATGGTCGAGTTGAAGGGCGTATCTGCACGATATGGGTAAGTCACTCCCTTTCGGAACTTTAAACGATTTATTGCCAATATCTCATTCCTTTACAGAGCAAAAGATGACAACAAGAAAACCAACTGCGAAACCCCGCTAGCCCTCAGCAACATCACTCTCACCATCCAACCGGGCGAAAAGGTCGCCATATGCGGCCGCACAGGCAGCGGAAAATCAAGCCTCCTCGCCCTGCTGCTCAAGATCCTCGATCCCCTTCCGTCAACAGGAGACCAGCAAATTTCTATCGACAGCACGCCGTTAGATAGAATCGACCGCGCCACCCTTCGCCAACGTCTCATCGCCCTCCCACAAGACCCTGTATTCCTGCCTGACGGGTCTACATTCCGTGCCAACCTAGACCCCTCTCACGTTGCCACTGCCTCAGAGTGTCAAACCGTGTTGGAATCGATCGGATTATGGGCCTTCGTCCAAGAGCGAGACGGTCTCGACGCCCCTATCAACACGGGGACATTGAGCGCTGGACAGAAGCAGCTCTTTTCACTAGGTAGGGCTCTGTTGAGGAGGATAATTCGGGGTAGGTCTTCATCTCACCGAGAAAGTGGAAATGGAAATAGAGGGATTCTGCTCCTGGACGAGGTGAGCTCGAGTGTAGACCGCGAGACCGAAAGAGTGATGCAGAGGACTATCCGAACAGAGTTTAAAGACTACACCGTGATTGCGGTGAGTCATCGGCTGGATATGATTATGGATTTCGATAGAGTGGTCATTATGGATCAGGGATGTGCTGTGGAGGTTGGCAATCCAGAGACTCTGAAGGGCGTGCCTGGGTCGAGGTTTGGGGAGTTGGTTGAGGCTGCGACCTAGCTGATACTAGATTAGTGTACATGTCTATCTATTTGATATTTCAACCTGAATTTCAGTTTTGAACGTATCTAGGGCTTTCATACTTGCTGTCTGGGTGGCAGGACCGCTGTACAAGCTGTCTAGCCCGAATAGGACGCCAAGACCATTAGGTAATCCGCACGGCACTTGACGCGTCGCGAAAATTAGACAATTTCTCCTTTGTTTTATGCTCAGGGACTAATCAGAAAGCAGATTAAATCACAATTGAATCGCCATTTGTCAATATGGAGCCAGACAATCTGTCGCTCACTAACATGGACGACAATGTGGCGGAATCTGAAGCGGAGCCGCAGCCGGTACAGCCAACCAGTTAGAAACTGCTTGTGAGCCACTTACTAACTAGTTCTTGACATAGGGCTACACTCATGTACCATATATGCCTATTGCGCTTACAGGGGCAACGAATAACCCTCTGATGGCTGAGCATATTGAACGCGTTGATGATCTGCCGGAATATCCTGTGAGTCATGAACAGGGATATGTATATGCTGTTAAGGCTGGCGGGCGCTCTCGGGAGGAGCTGGTACAGATGATCTACAAGGTCAGTAGACAACACCATCGTCGAGCACTTGTTAATAACAGATCAGGTTCAATATCCGTGGTCTCAGCAAAATGGAAAGAAGGAGCTGGTCTTCTCGCCCTATCTCAGCTGCCGTGCCAGAAAATTGACATGGAAATGCTCGGGGATATACTGCTGTGAATTTCTAGACCAGAAGATTCGGTCATATCATCATACTTCTGTTGATGAGAGCATCTGGCAGGACATAGAAAAGCTCCAGGGCCCTGATAAACTTTTAAAGAGCGATATGGGCAAGCGGAATGCATACAAGTAGGCAAACTCCAGAACTAGTGCCCGCGAGTATCAATGCTTACTAGCAATCATAGCTACTATCGCACCAAGGTTTCGCTCTTCAAGATAAAGCATGCTTGCATTGATCAACTTCCCGATTGCAAGCCTGTTTTCAGGCGCTTTGCGCCCATGGTAGGTAGATATTGCGCATAACTGACGCGGTAACTAACAATTCACCCAGGGGGCTCAGGACATCTCAGCTCCATATATCGGCTGCAGTAATGGCACAGATGATTTCTTATCGAAGCATCACCGCGCGACAGGCATTGCTCCTACAAGTATGGATCTTGATTTCTTAGAAGAGCTCTTTAATAAGGACATCCTACCGCCCCCTGAATTGTGTGGTACGATTGAGCCGGTATCTAGTCGCAAGAAACACTGCGGTACGTATACATATCGCTTTCCCTCTCCCGGTAGTAGCTAACCGGCAAAGACCGCGACCATCCACAGGGACGGGGGCAATTAGAACATCTACCCTGCGAGGTTACATTCCATGCTTTGGTGCCTGCGGATCTAGAACAGTGCCCTTACATTGTGTTTAGCTCGCACGGGGTCCACAAACACCCGCCACCAATGCATACTAAAACGCCAAAGCGTATCCCCGAGGGAAGTTATGACGTGGGAGACCAGAAGAGAGGCCGAGGCCTGACTACTAGTAAGTAGCTGATGTCTATTCTCAGTTTTGGTACCATAGTACTAACTACTCTTTCGAGAACAATTCCTTGAGTCTCCTGAGGTTGCGGAATTTTGCCGGCAACATAACGCCTCTTCCCTGGCTGAAATTCATCCCAGTCTTGCTAATAACGACGTGATTACTCGTCTGATTCGGAAACAACGCTTGGAGCGTGAAGCAGCCGAGGAAGATATCAATAGTTTAATACGTTCCAAAGAGACTGATGAGGATATGGACGTAAGTGCTTTGACTGTATAGATGTGCATCTACTCACCTATCAATCTCAGGAGTATTTACTAGCGTGTTTCAGTGATGGAGGCGATATCATGGTTGGGTGTGCCTATGGTGACCAGATCGCGATATTGTCACAGATGTTCTCATTCGATATCGACAAATCGGTTAAACGTGTCGGCTCAAAAGACATGAATGAGATATCCTTTACGACCTTCCTTCCACAACATAATAAACGTGGGTAGCACCTAAACATGGATATTCCGTATCTCAGAGACTGGCTCTAACGCGATGAAACGCCAGTCATTACTTTCTTGCGGGTATTTACCAACTCTAACTCGCCCGATCGCTACTCCTTTCTGTTCGAAAAAGTCTTTGGTATTCTTGAAGATTCTTCGCCTTTTCCACTTCAATTCGGCCATATCCATGGTTCTGGGCTCGGCGATATCATGATTGAGTCGGGCACACCACATTACACAGGTAAGAACCCGCCCATTCCATAAAGCCTATAAAGCCAGTTCTTAACCTATCATGCCAGGCCTGGGCCAATATCTTTCGGAAATCGACCCACTGCATCGTCAACCATCATGGCATCTAGAAAAGGCCTGTGCGAAGATAGATCGTGCTGGGATACCTTCCGTCCGACAGCCCATGGGCACTGGTGAACAAGCTGGCCAGATCACGCAAAACCTTTCCTCAGGACGCTATAGTACTCGAGAGAGATACTCATCTCTTTTACAGATGGTGCAAAGGTATTTACCGCGTCTAACATAAACCCAACTCCACTGTTCCATACTAACACTACTATCCAGTTTCGCGAAAACCGACAAACACGATATCGTGCAGTATAAATATTTCCTGTGGGAGAATATCTACCGCTCGTATCGCAATCCAGATAGGGAGATGATTCAGTTCTACATGGGTCATCAGCGTGAACATGGTGAGTACTGCATTATCTAGTACATCAAGATTTGAGAAACAGCACTTATCTTATGATTATTTATCTAGAGAGTCGAAAGCGTCGTAGGTCGGATTCTGATTCATCTCGCTCAGCATCAACGTCAGATGAAGTGGCCAGACTAGATATGCCAGCTTCTCGCTTTGGGCAGCCGCTGGATATCGGTGATGATATGGAGTAAGTCTAACATCCGGCTTCGCTTACAGACGGTTAACATCTTCCCAGTGTTGTACCTTCAATTGAACATCCCGAACCTCCTGAATCTGAAGTTTTGGATGACACGCCATCCTATGCAGAAAGGCGTAGGGAACTTGAATACCAGAAAGAGATGGCTGAACTTGATGTAGAGCTTGCCCGGTTGAAGGTACGGCGAATAGAGCTAAAGATAAGCACGCTTGAGCTGGATGAGAGAGAGAGAAAAAAAGAAATTGAGCGGATCGCGTGAAGCCGGGGGATTGGTACGTCTTTGTAGTCTTCATTATGAAGAAAAGATATGATTCTGGGTATTTGACGTTGTGTACATAGAACTGGTAGGGGATGATTTCAGGTACTAATGCTTTATAGTGATATTTTCATCAGGCGTCGGGCTTTTTGTATTTGTGCATTGTTCTACCTTGGGTATAGGCATTCCATATGATGTTGATATTGGACAGGTTTCTTGAGGTATTGGCGATGTTCGATAGTACAATTGACCGTGCCATAGTAACATACATTCTAAAAGCCAACGCTTCATGAAGCCGATCTATTATACAGAATGAAATAAGCAGGACACAACTCTAGCTACAACGGCAGAATCCGTCAATCAATCTATTGCGTCTAAGCGCTCCCGCAGCATTTCCACGGCGCTCTCTACTCGTGTATATCTATCGTTATCCAAGAAACCTTCGTGCATGTAAACCTCTGTCCGGTCAATGGCTTCTTGTATTATTTGCCTTGTCGCGCCCAGCGCAGGGTCCAGCAGTCTCTTTACAATTTCCACATTCCCTGCCGCCGCTGAACGCTCAAGGGCTGTGCTTCCTTCGTTGTCTTTGTGCCATATGTCCAAAAGCGTCTCCGGGAGTGTTAACAGGAGGTCGACCGCGTTCGGACTGTTAGATTCAGCCGCTGACAATAGTGGCGTACAGCCTAGTCGATCTATAGGCACTTTATCCAAGTCGTCACGTTCAAGCAGGAGTTTCATCACCTCAGTCGAGTCTGAGAGAGCAGCAGTACCAAACGCCGTAGACACATACGAGTGCCCGAGGTAGTTCACATTCATGTCTGGGCGCGCTATTAACGCCTTCAAATAAGGTAGCCTGTTGGGCTCCCTTATCTCATAGTCCCACAATATAATATCCAGCACTGTCCCGAAACATTCCCCGTTGTTGTAGTGTGAGGGTTGGTTTATGTCCAGGTCTGGATGGTCCAACACCGCTTGGAATTTGCCCATGTCTCCAGATCTTACGGCGGCGTGTAGAACCGTGTCCTGCCCGCGACAGGGATGGTTAACATCGACGTCCATACGTGATAGCATATAGCGAAGCAGCTCTTCCGAGCAATTTGTTTGCGCAACATCGATGACGGCTGGTATATTGTATTCGCGCTCATATGTCGCTAGAGTCCCAGGGACGGCATCGAGTATCGTCCGCACAATGTTGATGTCTCCACCGACGAGGGCACCATGGAAAACTTCAAGTTCCGCTATGTCCGCCTTTGGATCAGCAAGGAGGAGTTGGAAAATCTCACCCCGGCCGTGAGCAGCGGCAAGTTCTAAAGCCGACATCATCCTTCTGTAGGAACGCCGGGAGACCGGTTCAGCACCCCTGGCCGAGACCCTGCTGCTCTTCAGCAGCTCAACAACCACATCTTCAATTCCACCTTGCACAGCCCATGTCAACATGTGGTTATTCAGTCCTGTGCCAATATGCGGCACGTCTTTCGATATAAGCTCGCGAACAACATCCACATGCCCAACGCAAACAGCCCAAAGAAGCGGACTCTCGTCCCCGTCATTCAACATGTACCAATAATCACAATTTTCCAACAGGAATGCCACCACATCTGCATGGCCACCCAAGGCGGCAAAGTGCATCACGGTGTTCTGTCTGGTGCCAAGTTGTTGGTGGTAACCAATATAATCAAAACTAGATAAAAAGTGGATTGCCTCCATATGCCCGCCTAAAGCAGCCGCGGCGAGTACAAAGGACATCGAATAGAGTTTTGAAATGTCCCCGTCATGGTCAACAAGTGACAGAAAGCATTTCATATCGTCGATCCGTCCCAAGTACGATGCTCCTAGCAACGCAGCGACATACCACCTACCCTCCACCTCCTCTGGGGCCCATTCGTGCACACCCTCCCTTATCGCACAAATGGGGTCCGGTTGCAGACGCACCGCAAAGACCGAGACCAGCGCATCCATATAGTCTTCTCGAATCTTTTGCAGGTCCTCATCATCAAAGCCCTCTCGGGAAAGAAAGTTCACGGCACGCTCTGCTCCATCGAGAATGGTATTAACGAGCTCGAAAGGACATTTCTGTTTAAAGGGCTTCAGTCGGCATTCTTGCACAATCGCAGTAAGCAGACGTTTCCCCAGCACTACCGAGGATCGCGTTGGTGGCCCTTCCGCATCACACTCTGTGGGCGGCGGGTCTGTCTCGTCGCGTCCGATGGCACTGATAAATCGGTTGATTATTATATTGTCGAGGCGTTCTGGGAGTGCACGTTAACACAAGAGATTGAGGCTATTTGTTTTGTGAGGATGCATACTACCAACAAGACGAAGGCTCAGGAGCCAGTATAGCTTGTCTGTGTCAGGGTGGCGAGTTTTTCGCTGATGCAGCCCTCGTGGCTCGTCTAGCCAGCAGATAGGAAAGAAATTCAGGATTTCATGGAGAATTTCAGTCGGCAAGGCGAGCAAGCCCATTGCGGGCGTATATTATGGCTTTTATGCCAATGATACTATCATTTACCAGGTGGAGACTTTCTAACCACTGTAGAAGATTGAAGCTATACCACATGTTGCTGATGGAAATGTTTAAACGTCCAGTCGCGTCAGACGCGCACGCCAAGACTTTTCGCGTCTGCTTCATCGGTGAATGGACAAGAACACAAGCAGGGCTTGAAGTGAAATAAAATTGAATTGATAGTTATGTTCGGGGAGACATCTTTATGGACTGGAATAATGATATCAGGAAGGAGCCTGTAGTGCGTCGCTCTTTCCCAATTAGGACACCTTCCTTGCGTGCTCTCCAGCCCTACCATACAAACTGTTTCTAGTCTCCAGTCTAACTCTAACCCCTCTCAACCTCCTCCACATGCGCACTATGATCATCCGGCTTCTCCATATCCTTCCCCCCACTCGCAAGGCTCAGCTGGTTCCGGATCGCTTGCATCCGCAGCATATCCTGTTCGCCCTGGTTGCCGCCGAATATGTTATCCATCTGCTCCATGCGGACGCCTTTTGTCTCGGGGACGAAGAAGAAGACCCAGAGGAAGAGGAAGACGCAGAATGCTGTTCACGTTAGTGTACTGTCCGAAATAATAAGGGAGGATTGAGTAGGGTATCGACATACCGAGGAAGAAGTAGAATGTGCCGAATCTAATCGTCCCCAGCATTCTAGGTGTGATGAGGGCGACGATGAACTGTGATGGTTAGATACACCCGAGGGCATTATGACTATGGTAAAATGTAGTACTCACATTGCTAAGCCAGTTGACACCAATGGCAATACCCACAGCCTGAGCACGAACACCCGGCGGAAAGATCTCAGACGGGATAATCCAGTTAATGCACCCAATGCTAAATGCAAAGCATGCAATATACCCCCAGATAAACACAGCAGCCGCCCAGCCTGCATCAGTATGCGAGGCCCACGAATCCTTGTAGACAGCGTAAATCGTAGCCACAATAAGCTGGGCAATCCCCATTCCCACAGCCCCGATAAGCAGCAGCGTCTTGCGTCCGTAGTAGTCAAGAAGCAGGATAGCAGGGATTGTACAGACAAAGTTAATAATCCCTACCACGCCGGTAGCCAGTAGATTCACCGAACTGCCCTCTAACCCTATATTTTCGAAGATCTGGGGCGCGTAGTATATTATCGCGTTGATACCGGTGAACTGCTGGATTAATTGAAGCAGGCATGCGATGAATAGTCGGTGGTTTAGATGGCGTAGAACAAATAGTGACTTATATCGCTCGTAGCCCAGACGGACAGGGGATGTGATGCCGGGATACATGGCGGCGGTTGTTTCTCGGTCGAACATGGCCGTGGCTTTAATCTCGAGTATTTCGTTCTGGACTCGAGAGTCGCTTTGGGAGACGCGGCGGATTCGAGACAGAGTAGATAATGCTTCGTCTTCGCGGTCTAGACAGTAGGATTGTTAGTATAGGCGTTTCAGTGCCATTTATAGGTGGGATCACCCTTCATCATCAACCAACGGGGACTGTATGGCAAGAAGAAAGTACCGCCTCCAAGAATCAGAGAGAACAGGCACTGCAAAGCAAGAGGAAGACGCCATGCAACAGGGGACTGGCCATCTCCCGTCCCGCCAATATACTGCGTGCCATAATTCAGCCAGAAGGAGATCATAATTCCACACGTAATCCCACCCTGTTGAAGAGCAGTAAGGCCACCGCGTAGGTTAGGCGGCGCAATTTCACTAATATACAACGGCACCACCATGGAGAGCTGCCCAATTGACAGCCCAGCAATGAAACGGCCGACGAAGATCATGGGAATATTAACCGAAGCCGCTTGGATAATTGAGCCGACTAGGAAGATGCCATTCGCTAGGAGAATTGACCATCGTCTCGAGAGGGCGTCGGCAATGGGGCCGTTCACCAAAGCTCCGAACATGGCTCCTAATGTGAGGACGGAGACCATCCAGCCCTGGAGCGTTGCGTCGCCGGAGAGGTCGGGGAATTGCTTTTCCTGTACAGTGTTAGGTTAGGGACAGTGGGTAGGCAGCACTATACTTACGAAGTTGTTCATCACCAAAACACCGCTGATAACGCCTTGGTCGTAACTACAGGTTGTTAGTCTTGGTAGCCTGATAGAGGGAGCAGCATACCCAAACAAGACGCCTCCAATACTGGCAAAGCACGCCAGGAAGAGTAGATACGGCTCATCAAACAGCCCCTTGAACCCTAACAGCAGTTAGCACTGCCTACCGGGAAGCCACTTGTAGGGAACTTACCAGGCTTGCCATAGGTAATCTCAATGTTACCGGCAGGAGCTAGATCACCGACGGCACCCATCTTGCATGCAGATATGTGTAGGGTATATGTGACTCGGGGGTTCCGGCACAAACATCACGCCAACCATCGAGTTTGGGGAGGCGCTCGATAGTTATAGTCTGCAAGCGGCTGTCTACATACCCGGTAGCCCGCGTAGCCGACGTCCGGGGTACGGAATCTGGGGATCAGAGACAACATACGACCATCGTCGGGGTTGAGACCGCCGAAGAGGCCCACACGAGCAATGAGCCGTTTGAACTGCTCCTATGATGTGGATATGGGGTTGGGGTAGGGTTCGGCCGGCGGTGGTCCGCTATAGAAGCATCGGACGACGGTCGACCGACGTCGCCATCGTCATTGCCATCGCCATCCACTCACAATCAACAGCCCGTTTCATCTTTTAACAATCTTCTAACTTTCTGTCCCGTTTCACACTATTTTCTCTTTCTCGGACTGGTATCAAATATGGAACAGGTCTACCAGAACTTAGTGGCCCGAGCTCTCCAAATATGCCAATACAACCAGAGCACAACACCTCCCTCAAAGCGAGTCATTATCGCACTCAGCGGACCCCCGGGTTCAGGAAAGTCTACTATCGCAGCTACAGTCGTCGCCCGGCTGAACTCATTAGCCACCCGGCCGTTTGCAATTGTGCTTCCCATGGACGGTTTCCACTACCCCAAAAAGTACCTGGATAGCCTCCCGGATCCCAACGAGGCGTATGCGCGCCGCGGTGCACACTGGACTTTCGATGCAGCGGGGGTTCTGCATCTAGTGAAAGCACTGCATCTGAGCAAGACGAATCAGCAGGAGGTGATTGAGGCGCCGCACTTTGACCATGGCGTTGGGGATCCGGTTGAAGGGGCGATTGTGGTGTCTCCTGAGGTGTCGCTTGTGATTCTTGAGGGTAATTATCTAGCGTATAATACTCCGCCGTGGTCTGAGATTGTGAATTTTGTGGATGATACTTGGTTTGTCGAGGTGGATGTTGAGGTTATGAGGGAGCGGATTGCCAAGCGGCATTTGAAGAGCGGGATTGAGACGACGTGGGCGGATGCGATGCGGAGAGCAGAGATTAATGATATACCTAACGGCATTGAGGTGCAGACGAATCTGATTCAGCCGGCTGTTGTAGTTCGGAGCGTGGATGAGCTGTGAGATGTACATGATAACACTGGTGGCATAATGCATAATTGACTAATATGATCTAATGTATTTATACAAGCCAATCACAGTGGACGATGCCGAGATCACTCGCACAATGACGATTGTCTGTCCACAGTGGTTTATGCTCACCCGCCAATTGACGATATTGATGATGTAAATTCAAATAAGTTCATTCTTGTTGGCTAGATATTCTATATGTTCGAGTATTCATCATATGAGTTGGCTATCACCAAAATGCATCACTAGCCTGTAGCATATATATAATGCATGATGAATACTCGGAACTTGGAACCATGTTGATTGCCCGAGTTGCCGTTCGCGACCTCGGCTTGATCATTGCTCGCCGCTAATTAACCATTTCCCCAGATAACGCTGTGTTCCATGATCTACTGTGTTGGATCGAGGGCCGCAGGTCCGGTGTTACTGCATGCGTAGAAGGCTTGGTCAGGCACGCACTGACGCTTGGCAATTCAGGGTCTCAAGCATGGGCTCAAAATGTATGCCAGCACCACGAGGCCGATCTGGTCAGACTCAGCCATGAAAATGGGTCTGATAAGCGAGACAATACATCATTGTGAAAATCTCCATTAGCCAGCGATCAACAAGGCGCGTAACCGCCGTCCATCCTCGGCGATGCAGTTGTGTTCCCTGGAAGCCCCGACAAACAGATGACATCACATGCCGCTCCGTCCCCCTTCCTCCTCCAGTCTGGCTTCTCCCTCCACTCTCTCCACCACTCGCTCTCGCTCTTCTGGCTCCGTTCGCGTCCCAGCGGACATAAATGGCGACCGCGTTCTCGCCTCCCCATTGTCCCTCCCAATGACGAACTTGGCTCCAGCTTCTCCACAGCCAGCTTCCGCCCATGATCGTCTCTGCCATTCCCCTGGCTACTCGACCTCACCTTCCTTCTCTTTAACTACCCTAATTGCTCGTGCCCAATAATGATCTGACAATAGCAGACTCATCATGGCACTTAGCAGTTTTTCAATCGGGGTGGCCCTGACCCCGACCGTCGTTTCCACCCTCTTTTCTCACGTAAGTCGCCGCTCGCCGCATGCTTCCGCGCTCTACTAACAGACCAGTACCTGCATCGGAAAAACCGCCAGGGCAAACCCACCGTCCATCTGTCCTACGATGAAGGCATCTCCATCATCCGCGAATTCATCACCTTGAGCTCCAGGCGCCCCATCGAGTATATCCAGGAGTTCACGGCCCAGCGCGTCCCCGCTCCGCACTGGGTGAAGATCGAACGAGTCTCAATTGCCGACGAATTTCTGGACCCGGCAGCTGCTGCAATTGCCAAACAATTGGGTCCTGATGGTATTGCACGAGTGGGGGGTGAAAAGTGGTGGCAATGGCGTGGCCCGGCGGGGGATAAGAATGGAGGACTGAGCGCAGAGTGGATTGAGATGCATAGCGACTACAATGAGAGGAAAAACGAGAGCAAAAACCATTCCAGCAATAAGCGGATTATGCTGTACATCCATGGTGGTGCATATTACTTTGGGAGTGTCCAGACACATCGGTATCAGCTGCAGCGCCATGCGAGGAAGCTGAAGGGCAGGGTTTTTGCACGGTATGTTCTAGCCTCCTGAATCTGTGGACATTGCTAACGGGTTATAGTGAGTGATAACCATAAGACAAATCGTTCGTTCTGCTAACATACCGAAGCTGATTACCGTTTGGCCCCGCAATTCCCGTTTCCCTGCTCCCTGCACGACTCACTAGCGGCGTATTTATACCTTTTACGCGACCATCCGCCGGAGGATATCATCTTTGCGGGTGACTCCGCTGGAGGAGGAATGATTCTCTCGTGAGTTCCTAACGTCGTTGCGAGTTCTCTGCTAACTGCCCAGGATGCTGGTCATCTGTCGTGATCAAGGGCTGCCGCTACCGGCTGGTGCAATTCTGATATCTCCTTGGGTTGACCTCACCCACTCCTTCCCCAGTATAGCAAAGGATAACCCTGGCGACTATATCCCTCCTCATGGATTCTTACACAGACCCTCCTTAGCATGGCCCCCACCGAACGAGGATGAGATCCGAGAGATCAAGGAGGCTGTGAAGAGGGATCCAACAATACCGAACGAAAGGGTGAATATCTCTGAAACCGGACAGGAGAATACTGTCGTTATAAGCTCGTCCCAGGCGCCGAAGGGCCATGGCCGCCCGCCGCCGTCCTGCGTGATAGACGGCGAAACAATCGAATTAAAGGACCAGATCCACATGTACGCAACTAACGACCTTCTTTTCCACCCGCTCGTTTCTCCGATATTTCAACCGTCTCTTGGGGGATTGCCCCCCCTGCAGATTATTAGCGGTGGCGGTGAAATGCTCCGTGATGAACAGCTCTACCTTGCTCATAAAGCTGCCAACCCTGTTGCCTACCCACCCAACGACACCTTCCTTGACGAGTTTGACCCGCAACGCGAGATCGTTTCTAAGTATCGTGGCACCTATGTTCAACTTCAGGTGTGGGATGACCTTTGCCATGTGGCCCCGATTCTAAGCTTTACGCCTCCTGTCAAATACATGTTCCGATCCATTGCGCAGTTCGGAGCGTGGGCACTAGCGCGCGCACAGCACTCCACTATCGAAATCGCCAACAACGATGAGGTCTCCGCCATATCATCTAGTGAATCGGAGGCTACTCACCCTACGGTTAGCCGTAGCGGTCATAAGGACCCTCACGATCTACCAACGCCTACAGTTGGAAAGGCGGGTGACCCTCTCCCAGCGTTCAGAGACCGCATGATTCGGCAAGGCGTTAACAAGAGAGGTCACGTATACCCCCTTGATCCTCCAAGTAAATATCCTGTGCTTCAAATGCCCCCCGACTCCGTCGGCACGATTAACCCAAATCTCCTAATGAAATGGATGTTGGTCAAGGAAGAATGGGACCACAAATTTGCGAAGGATAGGCTCCGCGTACACAATGAACGACTTCAAGGATTAGCACACGGATTTCAGGAGTTCGAGGGTGAGATCCCACCACCTAGTGCATTGGCCGCTAGGAGGCTCGCACCGGGTGCGCTCCCGCCAAAGGGTCTCCGCGTTAGCTATCCCATGGCAATGTGGAGCAAGATCGCAAGCAAACACGATAGAAGAACCATCAAAAGGGAGCATGAATTGGAAACTCGATCGCATCGCTCGCAACGGACTAGCGTTGAAGCCGGGCGAGCGGGAGCATCGATGGTGGACGACAACCTCACAGACAAGACTCAGCCGAACGGTACAAGCACCGAGGGGGCATCCAGTTCAACCCCACAATTGCCAGGAATTCCGCCAGATAAACCATTCACCCCGCTTCTTGTTCTTCCAAACTACGATGGAAAGTCGTCCAATGACGAGTTTGAGAACGCGAGCACGCGAGCACTCTTCCACGTCCCGGGCACTATCCCGCCAACAACCGCCGACTCGAAAAGCATGCACCACCGATCAGCGTCTCACGGCGGCTCAGCTACAATCCGCAGCGGGTTCACCTCGAACCCAGCAGATGACGCAAGCACCGTCGATGACGACCGGTCTCTTGCTGTCACCGGTATGGGCGTTGAAGATGCGAGTACACGGGCTGTTGTCCACGCAGACGGTGTCATAAAACCGACCGACGGAAGCCACTCGGTCGTTCAGTCGGTTGAGAGTCTTCCTCTAACCAACGGAGTTAACCACGCCTGATAGCTAGGCCTTTGCCTTCAGTACGGACTGTCTTTCTTTATATTTTCTCATTTTGCACATCATTTGTTGGATTTTTTGATACCTATGACACTTGGATAGTCGATCCGTGTCTCTTTTGTTTGAATTACACGACCGTTGGATATCTGGTCAATTTTGAGATTTCTGCATATATAACCCTATACCCATGCGCATATATGCCCTGTCTATATCGATCATTGTATATATCACGTATATCGAATTGATTACCCAAAATGCCTTATAGAAATAGACGGATAATCGTAAATATAAAAGCTGAAACCAGTCCATCCGTTACAGCTTCGCAAAATACCGTCAGGCAGAAGACAGACAAATAACTACTGTCTAATGGCTTTATCGAGCAGCATCTACAGAGAGTTAGGAGACAGCTAGAGTAAGACCAGGGCGGCGCCAGGGAGTTGAATGAATATTTCGAAGGAGGAGTGGTAGTTGCTGCTTGCTTAGAACTGTTCATCAACATAACTAATGGAAAACTTCAATGGTGAATTGAGGGGAGTGTTTCGTATGAAAAAGGATTGCAATCTTGCCGTGAAGTTAACATCCAAATAATCTGTGCACACAGTATGAAATACTAATTCTGGTCCATGAGCAACCCGCGATAATAATGAGAATAATCAAACGGCGAAATATCTCTGTCTTTGCCCTCCATCCGAAGTGCCTCAGCCGGTATGCATGCTGGCGTCGCAGGGTGCCGGAGGGCCAAACGAAACGTCGTATAGATTGCAGGGGCTGTTTTCCGGTTCCATTTTGTACAGGGCCGCCAGTCATTAATCTAGACAGCTATTAAAGTTGCACATCTGTTCCAGGAAGTAAATACTTACCCTACCGTTACTGTCGATACTCATGAACTGAAAGTCGCTACCATCCGTGACGATCCCGTACAAAATTTCCGGAGTCTGCTTGCGCAAGCTCCGGGCGATGCCTGCGAAGTATTAGCATTGACACAGATATATGTTTCTGAAAACCTACTCATATACGCAAAACACCGCAGTTTCGCCATATCCAGATCCCTATAGTCTTCAGTCCCAGCGATGATCAGCCCAGAGGTCGTGGCTTCATCACCCTGCCAGATTGCGTAGTCGGCCTGGCCGATTATCTCCTTGGTTTTGCGGCGGTTCGTTGCCGTGAGCTGTAACTGGCCGGCTCGTGAGAAGGTGAAGTGGTGTCCTAAATGATTTGTATGGGTCTTGTTGCTTCTGTGGGCGCGCTCGTCCCTCTCCGCCCGGAGACAGTACTTGAGGAGAGTATTCAGCCGGCTGTGGCAGGTTATGAGGTTCTCAAGCTCCCTTTCTGACATATGTTAGCTAGCGGATAGTAATATTTAGCGGAGAATAGTACCCAGGTCCTTTGGAACAGAAAGCAGATGTGATCTTGGGAGCTCGAAGAATGGTCCTCCTCCTTCTCTGAAGTCGAATATCTCCCAGATGTCTTGCACGTTCATCGGTTCTAGATCTGGGTAAACAGGGAGGTCCCCGGGAATGATTGGACCATTCAGGGGCTTCTCAGAAGATAGAGTGGAGGTGCTATCTGACAGCTCGCTATCTTTCGGATCATATTGGCAAACACGCTGGCACCACATTTTGCTATAAGGATCTCAATGAGGGCGGCTGAAGAGGATGCAGTTGAAGTGAGAGTTGAAATTCTTTACAGACGTAGTAGATCTGGATGATTTGATCCAACTCTATGTGTAAGCAAGGTATCAGAATAGATGGTTCGACTGGTGTTACCATAAATAAGCTTAAAAGGTGTGGCATGACCATAGTTGGGCCAGCGCAGCTGTTGATGTAGAGGCCGGTTCAAAGTGTAACAGAAAGGTTTTCCTGAGCCATTTAGAAACGTGTAATATTCCGTGGCACAGCTGGAAACTTGCATTGTCGTGTCACTTCCTCTCACTTCCTCTCCACTCATTCTCTACTACCTTGTCTGTCTGCCATTCCTTCCTTGAAAATCCTGGAATTTCTCGATTTCCTGCTGATATCCATCGCCCATTGTTAAAAATGCCGGCCAAAAAGCTTAGCTGGGACATGGTCAGAAAGAAGTGGAAGGGGCCCTGCCTCCACTGGCCGCCAGCACCCTCACTCTACAGGACGGCATTTAGAAAGAATACTCAAAGTTTGATTCAAGGAGACTTGGTTCATTCCTCCCACCTCTCATAAAGCTAATACGGAGTCTGCTGAGCAAAGTACTTCAAAATCAAATCCACCTGCCCATGTTTCGCCAAAGGAACATCGCCAAATCCCTCCCCAACATGAAACACAGTCTGCGATTTCCCATCCACCGGCTCCCAGTGCGTCAGGTTATCAAACGGATAAGTCCCACCCAGATTTGGATTCCCCGTCTTCGCAAAATTCACCCAGTAGCTGGACATGATTTCCGCAACGTGGTAGTCATACCACGTCCACGCGTGGTCATTCGAACTCGCATACAGAGAATCCAAGGCATAATAGAGCTCAGACGCATGGTATGCTCCCTGACCTTGCGAAGGAGGAGCATGGTCCCAGTAGTACGTATAGAAAGGGCTAGAAGCAGACTTGGCCCAGTCTCTCGCAAACGCCCACGATGAGACAAGCGATGTATCTCTTGCAGCGGCATTCCAGGCACGACTTGCCTCTGACGTGTTTCTGCCGGGGTATAGCGTGAAGTATTCCTGGGAGAGATTGCCGTATTTCAAGGTACAGTAGGTCTTGTATTCTGCGGCGGTGTAGTTTGTTGATAGAGCTGCGCCGCTCTCGTCTTTATTGTTTCCTGTTATAAAGGGGACGTCGTTTGCTGGGCCGTTGCGCAGACTGTCGATGTATTTCTCAGGCAGGATGTACCCATCTAGCACGGGCTTGTAGATGAGAGGGTACATGGTCGACAGGGCAGTAACCCACCAGTAGTCGTCGGAGGTAGTTCGATCGCCTGAGCCGATCATGATCTCGTCTGTGGATAGCTGGCGCAGCTCAGCGATAGAGGACGCGTTGTGTGCCGCGGTGTAGTTGAGGCCGTTCTCGATGGCCTTGGGCATTGTCACGTATGAGTCTGCGAGCCCGGCGAGGAGGGTATCGTACGGATAACGCACGCCACTCTCGGCAATGGCCGCGTGGAAGAGACCGCTGAAGAGCTTGCTGTTGACGGCATGGTATACCTGGGCAGAACCGAATGATTGTCCGACAATAGTGACGCGGTTCGGATCACCACCGAAGTGCTCGATATTCCTCTGCACCCAGTGCAGGAGCTCCAGGAAATCCAGGATACCGTAATTCCCAGAGGAGCTGTGCCCGTTCCTATCGACGGACTCGGCGTTCAGCTCGGGGTGGGCAAGGTATCCAAAGACATCGTCGCGGCGGTTGAAGGTCACAGCGACGACTCCTTTACGGGCGAGACCACCTCCGTAGTATACGGGGTCGTTGCTGGGCTCGTCACTCCCCTGGTTGTATACCACGACGGGGAGCTTGTCGGAAGAAGAATCAGCGCCGGTCCATACGTTAACGGTAAGACAGTCCTCGCTGTAGTCGGTTGCATAGCTGGTAGGACATCCTGGGCCCCAGGTATCGGCGATATAAGTCTCGTTCCAGGGCTCGCGCGGCTGGGGTGGTTTCCAGCGGTTCTCGTATGCGGTGTCAGCAGCAAATGGAATGCTTAAGAACGCAGCGACGTTGCTCTCGGAGACACCCCAGTTCTCTTCCAGCGTGGACTGATTGAAATATTTGTATCCTTTGACGGGGCCATATTGTGTTTGTATGACTTTGTCGTAGAGCTGTGCGTGGGTTGGGATAAAAGAAGCAGACAGGGCCAGCGCAACTGTCCAAGAGTAAGGCACCATGATGTTGATTACCCAAAGCTTGGAGGATTTGATAAAGATCACTGTCCTGGAACGTCGACCTTTATATAGCCCTCAACCGCGGCACTCCCTGAAAGCCAGTGCTGGGCAGTCCGCGTAACTTGTTCCTATTCCGAGACATCCCCGAGACCATTACGCAACATCTGCCCTTACTTTGCTATCCAGAGGTTAGCTATTCACGGGTACCTGCAGATCTCTGCTTCAGTTGTGGCTTTGCTAAACGCAACCGTTGGCGTTAACTCCGAGCCCCCACCGCAGCTCGGCCATAAGAATCCCCACCACAGACAGTAATATAACTGGAGATTACTGTGGAGAGACTAAAAGTAACATACGGTGTAGATTGGAATACTGTTCGACTGAAACAGACACCCTTTCTAGCATCTTCCTATCCTGCCATCCCACCTCAGTCATTACTTAGACAACCATGAAACTCCCAGCAATAGCACTCCTAGCAACCACTGCGACAGCTATAGAACCCCTCCAAAATGCAAATCACATCTTCAACGCCATCCACGTCTCCATGCGCCAGTTCGGCTCCTCCCTCCACCACAACGGCATGTCCTTCTTCCTCGCCACCGTTCCCCATGGTACCCAGCTCTACCACGGAAGCCCGAGCCCAGACCTCCTTGCCGGGGTCGGATGGATGGCATTCGAGCCTGAACATGCGATGGTCTTTGCGCGGCCGTCACGCCGTCGTAGTCCGGATATAAGCTCTGATACAACGGCTCAAGGTCAAACCCCCCTCGGTACATCTGTACAAACCGGCAACGAGGGATCTGGCTTCCTACACACCTACCGCACAGCGAAGGATCTCCGCCTTGTTTACATTGATGGTACATCGGCCGGGAAGTCAAGAATTGGGACTTTGGACTCGCAAGATCGGATCCTGTTTAACGATACGATCGCTGGTGGTGTGGGGATGGAGGAGCAGCGTGCGCGGACGGTTTGTCGTATCGCGAAGGATACCTGGCATGGTCGGGTTGACGGGGTGATTCGTATGGCTGCAGGGTTTGAGATTATTCTCTGCGATCCTGAGGACAATTTGTTTCCTGTGCGCGTTATGTCTGTTAAGAGCCATAAGGACACGGACACCAACGGGGCCGAACCCAGAAGGAAATATGGAAAGGGAAAACCAAATGGAAAACCGGCAGAGCTGATGAGAGCTGTGACGTCTCGCTTTGATGGTATTGGCGGCGAGAGGGTCCGGCTTAACTATGACCACTTTGTCACGGCCTATACCCATAATCTCGATCTGTTTGCTTCTGGGAGCAAGCCTCGATTACAGCATCTCTCGACAAAGGACCTACAGCCGCTACGGGATGACTTGGCCAACCTCGTCATGGAGCATGAAGTCAACGGCACAGTAAATTGGCAAGCGACAGCAGATCTGGTCGTTGACAAATACGCCCCAATACTTCGCGGGTTACTTCGGAAAAACAAGCATCATCATCAGAAGATAAATGCCAGTTCGGAAATTACCAGGCTCATGGCACCATTCGATGGGCTTGATATCGATGGATCGGTCTCCTTTTGTACATCCCAGTTCCTCTCCGGGCCGGATGGCAATTCGTCTCTTGCACATCGGGCGATATACACAGTAAGCCACAGGATATGCTCTACGCTGTTGGAGCTGCGGGAGGCGGATAACGAAGCCGTGAACTCGGCGATCCAGGAATTAGTGGTGTATCTTGACTAGACAACGTGGAAGGAGTGTCGCGGGTGCAAGGATACTGAGTTCTGCGCTGTTCCGATCTGGCCGCAGGGCTCCCAGGAGGATTACGATAGACCGAAATGCCAGAGGTTTACGAAGGCTTATGAAGGGGTTGACTACTGGGGGCCTGTATGGAAGTGACCTCGGAGTGTATTAGGCTAGACATTTGAAACAATGAAGAGGATTATGTGGATATTTACATTCGGTCGTATAAACAAGTCTTCATTCCTCCATGCCTGGTGCTGTTGTATAGGAGTGGGTCTCGGATATAAGCTTATTATAAGTGGATCCACTCGCAAAGTCGTCCCATTTCGGGGAATCTGCACCGATTCTTTTTTTTACTGTGGGAACCTGCGCAATCGGGTGCAGTTTCAGACTGAATGGCCTGACGTTGGGAGAAAATTCCCGATGTTCCACCGTGACTTGGTTGTTCGGATGGTGCCTGTTGGTCGCTACTTCGGTTTCCCTCCGGCAAATGGCGAATAGTCATGTCCCTTCTGTATGCCGCAGAGCTTCTGTGCAAAGCGAGACTTGGTCTGGCGATGCAAAGACATATTTGGAAACAAGCGACATTGGCAAGTGAAGATTGTAGGTGACGCCGTAGCTGGCCTCCAGTGGTTGGAACTGCCCGCTCTCATTGAAATCGCCCAATGTATAGCGCACTGCCGAGCAGATGATATTAATCGACTCTGTCATTCTCTCCAGGATGGTGCGGTGGCAGACGGCATCGGAGCCGGGGACCAAGCTGGCGCACATATCCAAATATTGGTTGTAGAACGTGAGGATGCTTGAGTTGATGAGAGCCAGGAAGCACGCAGTCCAGATATTAACATCACATACTTCGTTACGTGGTTTATCAGCACGTTTCATCAGCTGGAGCTGTCGCTTCCAGTGCGCAGGGAGACTTTGTTCCCATCTGGCAATCTCATTCACGACATTCTCGGGGTCAGCGGGAAACGTGGAGGGCAAGTAATCCTGCAGTTTCTTTGCGTCTGGAATAGACTGACAGAGTCCTGAAATCGCATTGACCAGACTGATTGCTCGGCAAACGCTGTCTGGCCGAGGAATATCCTGAAATAGAGACGGAAAGTGCGAATACCCATATTCATTATTCGCCATTGTGTGTATTTGCTGGACATCAGTCAGTTGTAGATCGCCAATTCCACCAGTGGTGCATACTAGTTGATTAAACGCCCAAGCAAGGAGACGCCGGGCATATTTCCCGCTTAACGAGGCAGTGCCCCGCGCCTGCATCAATGCATACACGCCGGGGATGTGATGATTCACTCTTGTTCTCTGCTTATTGCTCATATTCTGACATCGTCAGTAGTAAGCTCTCAATACCTATTAGAGGCCGTACCGTAAACATGCTCAAAAACAAAGCCGAAGCAAAGACCTCATCTCGAACAGCCGACTCGGTCGTGCTGATCGCTGCAGCGAGAGCAGCCAGGGCAGCACTGTAATTACTCGCCGCCTGGACCCAGAAGATGCGCGACCGATGCGTCTTGAATAGAGAGAGATAGCCGATACTTAAAATGGAGTACCTGAGGCAGGGCTCTGCTTCTTTTTCGCGGTAAAATTCCGGTAGAAAAGCAAGATGGCCGCCGCAGGGCGACTTTTCGACGATTAATACATGATGATGGAAAAAGAAACTAAGCGAGGAGGAATCAGTGCAGGTAGTCGGGATATACGGCGGTAGAGATGGTGGATCGCGTTGCAGCTGGGCTGGGGCAGCTATTGATGCAACTGCTTGCTGATCGGTGCGAGATCCCACCTGGAGTGAGCTATCCGATTTGGGGGCTGAGGATAAGCGGTTCGACACGCCATTGTAGGATTTAAATGCAAAGTTGTCTGGGTAGCCGGGACATGTGCGCCCGAATCGCGTACATCGGCTACACTGAGGGCGGGTGGCGTCGCACTGCATTGAATCAATACAGTTCCTTATTAGTATTCTGCACTTACCTTGACCTTGCGCTGGCGACACGTATAGCAGCCAATGCTGCGTCTGCCGGGGAACACCATGAAGTGCAAGTGTTTGGTATGTAAAGTGCTAGACCAGACAGATAATCCTGCAGGAAGTGAAGTGCTTGCAGACGAGGGGCTGAGTGCATTATTTGTGCATTGTGCATTATTAATCTTATCTGATGCACTGGTTCCTAAACGGGTTAGATACATACGTTAACTATACTCTGCATCCTGCAGGTACCAGAAATTAGCTGGTGAGATCTATATCTCCTGTCTATCTGTTTGCTGTTTCTTCATTGTCTCAATCATCACAGTCACATTGATATTCACCATACCATCAAAGTGCCAGTCATCCCCGTTTGCACTGCCAGCGAAACTGAAATGCTAGGTTACACAGAACCACTCGCTAATAGCTAGCGTTGAGATACTCTTGTAAATAGGCCTTCTGTATCCATCTCTCAGAGATGGTACACTTCTCATCAAGACTTGCCGGGCAAGGTGCGAACCCAAACAGGTTAGCCTTCACATGCTGTATTTCGACGTGTAATTTTTTTTTTTTTTTTTTTTTTTTAAGATCAGACTACATACATAGAACTTACAAAAGCAAAAGCAGAAACACACAAAAGCCCGAAAGAAAGCCAACTTCACGAGTATCACACCCTACTTTTGATAGACCCTTCCAGGCGAAGCTCCATCCATCGCAACGACAATAATTGGAAGCAATGAAGTATAGAACGTATCATTCATTCAAACTTCAGACACCCATTTGATAATCCTGCCGAATATCATGTGGCCGTCATGGGGTGCACTAATAGGTTTAAGAATCTTCTTCAGCTCCGGACGAACGGCATATGAAAGGTCGTCAGTATCGACAATTGACCGCGAGATAACCTCATTCAGTTCAGGGTGACCCTGGAAGCTCAGAATGCGATTGTTCTTGGAAATGAGAACCTCATTATTGATGGCAAGCGGACGGAGCTGTGGCCCTATGTTGGTGACAATTCGTTTGTGATGTTTGTGTATATCCTGTACTGTCTTAGCGCGGCTGAAATTCTATACAACCGCACTTCCACATACCAGAGAAGACGCATTGAAGAATTCCTCGCCTTCTGCCGTGAGTGGGAGCGTCTCAACGCCAATCTGTGTTGAAGTTTTAGCTTTTATAATCTAATGTGGTGGCCGTGTTTGATACTAATATGGGATCTTACACAAGGTCCCCGATCTGACTCGGCCATGGAACCACCGAGAGCCAAGGCAATCGCCTGGTGACCCCAGCAGATTCCCAAAACCTTCGCCTTCGTCTGCCCTAAGTAGACTTTTCGAATAAACTCAAGTGTTTCAGTAACCCAGGAGGGCCTTTCCTCTCCAAGGAGGTTAAAGAGACCTCCAGTGAGAATGATCAAGTCGTAAGAGCTCGGGTCGGGGAAGGCAGTGCCTTCATTTGGAGAGTATACGTTGACCACTGCACTGGGACTTGACTGCCGTACCTCGCTTGCTATTTCGTCAAGCATCAACTGTCCGCATTCTGCAGTGACTGAATAATTTTTGAGGATGGCGACGTAGAATTCCGTGAGAGTCATTTCGGCGGATGATGTATCAAGGGTTTCTGGAGGTAACTGTCAGATGAGAATGGGTAGAAGACATCTGGTAGCCTTCTATTATCGCTTTGGCCTGTAAATATTTAAAGTACTCGGCATTCGGCTTGGCTTACGACCTTCCGTTATAGGCAGGTTTTGATTTCTCCACCTCGTACTTCTACACATATTATCTCGCTCTTCTGAGTCAGGCAGCTGGCTCTCCAGTGCCACAAAGGTAGACCATTATACAGATGGCCAAAGCTACTTACAAAGAACCAAGAAAAGAGGATCACTTAGTATAAAGCCTGTCTTGGCGATAATTCAACGCGGTCAGAACAGAGAAGTGGACGCGTACACCAATAGGTATTACTGTAGAACGATACTTACAACTATGCGGTCAAATAGACAATTGGTTTATGGGGTAGAACTAATACATTCTGCATTTGTTGATCCGCGAATCGCACCCGGTGGCAGTTGGGAGGTATGCGCCTATCTGCTGTATCCCGACACTCATATTCTCCCATTGCGGAACTCTTCACTCATCTTCTCAAAGGTACACCATTGAACTCCCTCGAATTGGTTTACCCAATCAATGAATCTGAATGACAGCCATTTTCTTAGCAAAAATGCATGTGTAAGTCAGGTTCACAAGCTTGCCTACTTTTCATGGAAGCGAAGGGCATGTGGTTTGCCGCTGACTTGGGGATGGATTGTAATGGGAACAATGAAGGTATCAAAATTCTCGTAGCAGTAGAGGAACGATTCCTGCCAAATGTGTAATAAAACTCGCGGGTCGACATAGCCTTGCTATAGTGGGGTATTAGCCTTAGCTGAGTTACGTGAGACAGGAGAGATGGATCTAACAGAATTGGGCATTCGCGGCTCAAGTTGGAAGGCTGGCCAGTCATCAAAAGTCCACGAGCCTGGATATAGTAGCAAAGTCCCCTTGTCAGATCGTTTTCATAGAGGAAGAGCTCAACCTGTACCTGGTATAACTACAATGTTAGAGGGCTCCGTCTTCGTTGAAGGAACCATCCAATGCCCCGCGTCCTTTGCCAGGTTGGTAGGGACATGTATCTCGCCATCATTGGGAGCGTAGTAACAGTGGAAATCCTCATGCATCATTGAATGGTCTGGCCATGAAGGTTAGAAAGGGCCACTCCATAGACTTGGACATTTCACTCAACCGTATGTAAGCTCGAGTTCTTCCATGATGGAGATCTGCTCAGGGTGGGGGTCCCAAGCTGGTGCAGTAAAACCTTTGGGCTCCTTGCCACAGAATTTGCTGATAATCTGCTTCGACTTGATCATGATGTCGCGAAATTGCTGATTTGTTAACTCGCCAGGGTACCTTCAAAGCTTTAGTTAGACAGGAAATCAAGCTCCGCACTATGGTTCCGAAGCAGATGTGAGACCTTACTCATGTGTATATCCATGTAGACCGCTAAACTTCTGTAAGCTTCACTGCTTCAGATGTAATGCAAAAGAAGGAGCAAGGACACACATTTCATGGCCTGCATCTCGAATCGCCACCATTTCTTCCGGGAAAGTCTCGACGGTATGGGCGGGAATGAACCTGGAATGCTCTGAGAACTGGCCTGCGCTATAGATCGAGGAAGTTCCGGGAGAATCATACCAGGAACACTTGATTCCCTTTTGATCGAACAGATTCAAGAGGCGCTTGGTCCCTACCTTGGCACCAAAAACTCCTGATTGCAACATGTCAGGACAGCCTTGCGTTATCATTCGGACCACAAGGTATGATCTTACCCCTAGACACGCCAGACAGATTTGGCCTTGAGCCGTCGCCAGTATTGATGTGGTTTGCAATTGCATCTACATCAACACCATAACCGCAAAGTACTCGCTTCTTGCTCTCCATATTTGTATAGTCCAGGGCCTTCTGAGGCGTCTTTACCACTGGAATAGCTACGAGCAGCCGCAACCGGTCGAATAAATAAGGTAAAAGACATTCTGCGGACATCAACTCTGGACCATAATTGAACAATTGTGGTATTGTGACATCAGCTCTAGAACACTTTCCGTATTAGGAAGGTCGGCTACTGTTTAGTTAGGGTATAGATAACGTAGCGACACATCTTCCGATGCCATCCGTACAAGACCTCCTCTTATTGGACGGGTAGAACGAATACCTACTCGGTTAGGAAGCTCGCGTGGGGCCCCTCCCCACTCCCCTTTCACTGCTCCAACTCCAATCAAACTATATATGGGAGAGGCGGCGATAAATCTCCCCAGGAGCATTGAGTAACTCCAAAAGTTCGATCGCAAAAATAGCGTTTCGCATGTAAAATCATGCGTTCCTTAACTTCTGTCCCTACACTGAGTCCTGAATGGGCAACCCTTGTGGACGGGGTGCGGCGGAAACGGGACGAGTCTATTGCAGCTGTGATGTCCCCGGAATCTATTCCTTTACACGAGGTCCCCAGCAATGTCAGCCAGGTGCCCCGCGAAGTCCTACCGGTGCAGGTCTGCACTGTTACCGAAACTCCCTTGCCAGAGTTATTACAGCAGCTGGCTAGCCGCGAGGTAACCGCAGTCGCGGTGACAGAGGCCTTCCTTCGTCGAGCTGCTCTGGCTCAAGGGCTGGTAAGACCCGATTGGTGCACCCGGAGGCGACTGTTACACGATTAATTATTAACATCATTCAGGTGAATTGCGTGACTGAGCTGCTACCTACCGCTGCTCTCAAGCGAGCGGCTTTTCTGGACGACTACATTGCGCAACATGGAAAGCCTCTGGGTCCTTTACACGGCCTGCCAATTAGTGTCAAAGAACACATGGCAATGGCAGATTGGGAAGTCAACTTCTCCTTCGTTGCCCAGATTGGTACCAAAGCGACTACGGACGGGGAAGTCTTGAGGATACTGTGGGAGGCCGGCTGTGTGTTTCACGCGCGGACAACTCAGCCGCAGTCTCTAGTAAGATAAGATCGCAACCCCGGAATGAACATACTTTCTCCATCAGCGCTAACTCTGGCCTCTGCCGGAAAGCTTCATGTAGAGACTTCCTCGAACATATACGGTGTGACCGTGAACCCGTTCAATACAAACTTGACGTGTGGAGGCAGCTCTGGAGGAGAAGGGGCCCTTATTGCCCTGAGAGGAAGCTGTCTTGGGGTTGGTTCTGACACCGGGGGCAGTATTCGAGTTCCAGCAGGTCTGTGCGGGATATATGGTATGAAGGCATCATCCGGACGAGTTCCTATGAGCGGGCTACTGCCTTTGACGATGGGACGGGAGCAGATCCCCTCAGTTGTGGGGCCTATGTCTGCGACGCTGGAGGGCCTGGAACTTTGGATGAAGGTCGTCTGCTCTCGCAAGACATGGCTCAAGGAGCCCACCCTATTGCCTATGGCATGGCGAGATGAGGTAGACTGGCTGGGAAAGACTGGAGGTAGCAGCAAGTTTAAGATAGGTGTGATGTGGAATGACGGCGTCGTTCAACCCCAGCCTCCCGTAACTCGAGCCCTACGTCAGGTAGTCGACCGGCTTCGGGTGCATGAAGAGGTGGAGATTGTGGACTGGAAGCCACACGATCATAGCCGTGGTGGTGAGATTTTTGTATATTTTCCCTGTCGACTATTGCAGGAGGATATTTCCGTGAGCTAACAGAGCCAGGCCCGCTTGTTGTTTGCCGATGGGGGGAAATTCATGAAACAGCGTCTGGACCAGGCGGGAGAGCCCTTGCGGCCGCTGAGTCAGTGGGCTTTTAATGAAAACCCTCACTGTCGAGAAACAACATTAGACGAACTCTGGGAATGGACGGGCAAGAGAGACACGTACAGGCACAAGTACGCAAATGCGTGGAATGTAACCGCAACCGGAGTTGATGCACATGGTGACCCCGTCGGCTGTGTAGATGTTATTCTGACCCCAGTCGCTCCTGGCGTAGCACCACCCCTAGATCATTCGCATAATTGGCTATACACGAGTATATGGAATTTGCTCGACTACCCTGCCGTGTCATTCCCAGTGACGCATGCTGATGCTGGGCTGGATCCACGGAATGATCTTTATACGCCCCAAAATAAGCTGGACGCGGAGAACCACCATCTCTGTGAGCCATACAATCAGCAATCCTTGACCACAGGACGGCACTAACAGGCTCCTTAGACGATCCTCAGATGCATCACGGAGCTCCTATTGCGCTTCAGTTGGTGGGTCGGCGATGGGAGGACGAAAAGGTAAGAAACCTGCCGCGTCTGTTTCACTTCCAGTTCTCATTTTGCTAGGTGCTTCAATCATTACGATATATTGAAGGACTTATTGGCAGCTTCGCACATCGGATAGACAAACTAGGGTGACGTTGCAGCAGTCGATTTGCCACTGTATCGGAACAAACGGGCTTGCGTAGAAATAGAATACGCAGAATTTAATATTAGTTTCTGTTATCAGCAGTTCTCCACTTCCAAAGAACGTAGTCCCACTCGCGCTTCTCTGTCGTCAGTCCGTAACGTGCCGGCAACCCCCTCTTCCTCTTCTCCACGCCCCACGTTCGTTTCTCTACTGCTTGCTGCCGGTCTCATCTCTCACGATGCCAGACAATAATCGGCCAGAACCTGGTCTTGGTGGTATTCGGCTACGGTGGAACGACACTATAGCCCGGAGTGGCAAACTTAAGGATGTCCCTTGCGTAGTCCACCACTCACCAAGTCCGTGGTCCGCCATAGTCTGCCGCTCACGTCAAAGCATCACACTGACTGTGTCTGGTAGATACCCCTTGCCGGCCACAAAACTCGCGGAAAGGGTACCGTGTTCGCTTCGGCCCCGACTCGAAGAACAAGGTCCGACGTGTTCGAGGTTCGATGAACCCAGTTACACGCTCCAATCGAGTAGGTGGTCGAGATCATGGGCCTGTACCACATTTCAGTCCGCAAAGTATGCGTGCTTCTCCCCCTAGCCAGACAAGAAGAAGTCCATCTAGAGCACCCGCAGAATGCAGTGCCACTCCCAGGTCGTTGTTCCTGTCGACAACCGAGCCACTGCCGTCCCCCGGCAATATCTTTGGCCTTGATCTGTTAGAAAAAGGCACGTCAGTGGGTCCTATAGTGACGCTCGATGCAGCGACGGATCGGTACCATGCTGATGGAAGCGGAAGTCCTGTGGTATTTCATTCCCAGGACCTGTCAAGTCGCCCCTGTTCGCCTAATCTGTCTCATCCGCCATCCGTCATCTCTCCATCGCCGTCTTATTTTGCTGTCGCTGACAGATGCGGGACTGGCGGCCTGCAATACCTTCAATTTTGTAAGCCGGTTGGCTATAAACCTTGTTATCATCTTCTTACACGACTTTCACAGATATCGAGAAAGTTGTACCTCGCCTAGCCCCGCTTTGGGGTACATTCGACAATCCATTCGTATCTCTTGTGTTTCCAGCCGTGGTGGAGTCTCCTATCCTTCTCCATTCTTTGATTGCCCTCTCAATCTCACAATTTCCCGGCCATGGGTTACACGAGTCGACGCTTTCGTATCAATCGTTGTGGCACAAAAACAAAGCCATAAGTCTATTCCGCCGTCAGCTATCAGAGCCCTCCTCTATCAGTATTGCTAGTGTCTTCACCTGTATCTTCATGCAGACAATTGAGGTTCTCGGCTCTGGTACCGGTAGTTGGAGTGAGTGGCTAACAGGGGCAATTTTGATGATCGAAACCGGACAGAGGCTGCTGCTCCACGGCACTGATAATTGTGATCAATGGCTCACTCTAACAAAATGTGTTGTCGCAATGGATACATTTGCTGCTATCACAACCCAGCATGCTCCATTAATGTCAACTCGCTACTGGAATGCTTGGTTGCAGGTGCAAGATACGTTGCCTCGGCCGCAATCTCGTCTACCCCTGGACCTGGTGATGATACATGAGCTATCACAGGATAACACTTTTGAAAAGCTTCTCGGCTGTCCAACAGCAGTGATGTATACCCTGGGTAAGATGGCCGAGATACTGCGTCAGCAAGAGATAACTGATCTACCCGAGCATCAAGCACAAACAACGAGCCTGAGCCGCATATATTCACTCGAGGAGATTCTTCTACGATGGCAGCCGGACGAGCATGCAGTCAACTACCACTACCACATCACAGAGGCCTTCCGGCACAGTGCGCTTATCTGTTTCCATCGCAAGATACGTCGTCTACCTTACACGCATCCCACAGTCCAATATTATGTGAAGGAAACACTTACTCATCTTGTGGCTGCCGGGGCTGCTCATTATATCACCATTACGATCTGGCCACTGATGATTGCGGCTATGGAGATTGACGAGCAGGATGCAGCGTATTTGAAGGACGTTGTCAGGGGTCATTTCTCTGAGATTCACGACCTGCAAAGAAACGCTTTGTTTCAAAACTCGGAAACTTTTCTTGAGCTTTTGTGGCAGGAGCGCGAAAACGCTCAGACCTGGGAACAACGAGTGAGAATAGAATGGGGGTCATTTGCATTAGAAAATGGTTGGCGGTGGTGTTTCTGGTAGCTTACCAATGTACTATATATATATATATATCTATATGTGTGTGTCGTATAAATGAGCAGCAATTGCTGATTGTGCAAGTCAGGTTGGCTGTCGGGTTCTTCTACTATGTTTTTCACCCTATATGTAATTAGTGGCCTTTTCCGTATTAGAGATATAAATAAAGATATATAAAGAGACCTGGTCGCCGCTGTCAAGAATTGGGATCTTTGGGAGGCTCTACTTGGAGAATTCAAGGAACACGATTACTGGAGAACGGAGGTGAAATTCTGGCGTATCCCGCGAGAGTGGAATACCGAGGCCGACCATTTTGCTGGACTTGCAGCAGCGGAAGACGAGAAAGAACAGTTTCAAGATGTCAAGGGGCTTCTGGTCTGAACACATGTCTTTACTGGCGTCTAAATGCAATATGGTGGGGCTCTGAGCTTCTAGTATTACGAATGGGATAGAATATGTGGATATGTTCAGCCTTTCAGTACGGACGGTACTTCGCGATGCCCAGCAGCATTACACATTGGAACCACTGCCAGCCAGGTTCTCTTGCAGGATAGTTTGCGAATTCACCAGTTCATCGTGCGAGAAAATGGCCCCCATAAATCTCATCATCTCTGCCGCTATACCCAGTCAGTGGCCATCCTTGTTCATTGTGTTTGCTGCTCACCAGTTATACGACGGTCCGATGAGCCATCTTCATCTCTCGCGTTCAGTCGGGTATACTTCAGTGCCATCTCGACCCTCGGCCGACGCGCTTTCTCATATAATCCCAGAAGACTTGGTATCTCGCTGGGGATTGTGCCCAAAGGGAGGAAGGTCGCGAGTGAAACGCCATCTTCGATCGCCATTGCGCCTCCTTGGCCGAGGACTGTCTCATTAGTACATGCTTAATAAAGTATAGACGATCTTACAAGGTTGAAATGGATGAGCTGCGTCCCCAATCAAAGCGGCGCGTCTACAGACCCAGCGTGGTAGAGGGTCCATGTCGTATAACTGCCAGGCCTTCAGGTCTTCGTCGGTGCTTTCGATCAGTTTCTGGACGGCAGGGCAATAGTCGCGGAATTCCCTCATCACGATTTCTTTACTGCTTGCTGTTTAGATAGTTAGTATTATCTCGATCATCGGTTAAGGGTAGGTACCGTCAGCAGCCTCAACCTGCGCCGTTGGTATAAAGGCACACAGGTTGAGGACCTCATTATTTGCGCAAGGATACACCACCAGCCTTGTCTTTCCGGATGTCCACTCTATGAATCGTCCTGGCTGGATGATATCCTTTGTCTCGTCAAGGTTGCTGATCTCGCTTGTCGGAAGAAGCCACCGGAAGCAGGCTTTGTCTGTAGGATAGGGCTGCGACGAGCTGGGCGCGATTTGTTTGCGGACGACGGACTACCGGTGTTAGCCTGGTACCACTTTCCCCTTCGTAGACAGTCTTACATGAAGACCATCAGCACCAATTAATACATCAGCAGCAAATACCTGCCCGTCGTCAAGCACGACAGAGGGATTATCGCTAGACACGCCGACGGTGACAATTCTGCATCCGGTGTGGATTGTGGCGACCTTCTCGGCTTGTTGTTTGAGCGCTGTGTGCAGGTCGGCTCTGTGTATAAAGTAGTATTCCTATATCTGTTAGGGCTTCACTTTAAATATCAAGTCGACGTACGGCTTGCCATGACTGCCGAATAGGGCCAAATTCCTGAGAGTACTTCAACGTTCCTTCATGATCATATCGACTCATCTAGACTGTCAGCACCTCTTCATATACAATTATTCAGACCAGGAAGTGTCACCTCTTCTAGCAACGTCCCACCATACCCCTTGACGTCCACACCAAGCCACTCCAGCATCTTGGTACAGTTCGGCGCAGAATTAATTGCAGCCCCTGTTTCTTTATTGAAACGGGACTTTTCCAACACCTGCATTATCCTTAGCCCACATCCATTATAACTTAATGATCAAGTCAACGCACCACAACCCGATGCCCTTCCCTCCCCAGGGCAATCGCAGCCGTAAGACCGGCAAAGCCAGCGCCGACAATGACGACTCTCAACGGCTGTGCTTTTGTCATCGTTGATGCGTGATTCTTTTGCTTGGCAACGTGGTGGAGTTGAAATTCTCGAGACTGTCGATCGTATTTATACCTACTCATCTCGGCCTCGGAGATCAGGCCGGACTCGGATAGACAACTCCGAGGATCGACTTCCGGGACACCCGTTACCGTGAACACTAGTAGATGAATGATATCGACCCGAATACGAGCTTCGGGGTTGTTTTGTCGACTAGAGATGGTCTGGGGTTCGGAGTAGGCAGTATACGGGACCGGGGTAGGGTTTACGAAATTTAATTTGGAAAGGCTGACATTGAAATTCCAGAGGTTGGCTGAACAGTAGGATAGGGAATTTTTGGTTGTAATGGCTTGCAGCGCAATTCTATACTCCAGAACATTGCAAGGGTGCTTTTCATTATTTAGCGATGGTGTAGACGCGATACGTAGTTGCACGACGATCACCAAAGCACCCCATTCTCAGAACGGCCGAAGAATTCATAGTAATCTTTTTATTTATTTGTGCATGATCTACATCAAGTAACACTACACCTGTCCAGCAACGACCGTATTAGCTTCCGACTAATAGGCTTCGTCAGGAAGATATCGATCCCCGACGCAAAGGCCTCCTGCTGGGCATCCGCACTGTCGAGGCCCGTCAAGGCTGTAATGATAGTCGGATGCCAGGAAGGCCGTGCGGAGGGATATGTCTCGTAGTGCTGGCGTTCAAACTCCCTGATTCTCCGACTGGCTTCGAAGCCATTCATGACCGGCATGGAGATGTCTGTAGTTATTGTTAACTACCGTTGCAAAGGTATATTAGGTTGGATAGGATGCGTACCTATCAGAATCATTATGAACTTTCCAGGATTCGCCTCGTACTTCTGCACCGCTTCTAGCCCGTTTGTTGCTGTCTCGGTGGCCCATCCTTCTTTGCCGACGTATGCAATGAGAATCTGAAGATTCACCGGATTGTCCTCGACGAGCAACACCGACGGACGCTCAATTGCAGTCCTTTCATCCCCGTCTACACCGTCAAAATCTTCTAGTACAGAGGCCGTCTCCGATATGGGAATCCCAGACTTAGAAAAAGCAGTATCCCTCCGAATCAAGCCCCTATCGGTATAACTATCCTGACTCCCCGCACTCTCCACAGAAGGCCTCTTGCTAATCTTCATCCGATCCCCCGGGGCATCTCTCGGTCCAATATCCAGATGCAAATGCAAAGATTCCGGCATCTCAACCCACCGCATCTGCTCAGGCTTGAACGTGCCCGTCTCTAACCCCTCCATACGCTGCATACACAGATGAAGCGCTTTGGAGAGCTTCCGCGGGCCGCACGGCTGGCTTATAAAGTCGACAATCGAGTCTCGACGCCGATTTGTGCCCGTTGTCCGCACGAACATGTGGTGTGCCGCTTCGGGGGATTGGCAGATTACAATTAGGGGGGATACTTTATTCGGGTGGTCGAGGCTAAGCAAGTTCTGGTTCCGTTGGATATCCAAGGCATCCTGGTCCTGGTCCGTATGAACCATGAGGTAAAAGTCGCAGGGCGTAGTCTCGATCTCGGGCGATACCATCTTCACCGTGAGATGAAACCAGTCCTGGCAGAGGCGCGTGAGGGAGTCGCAGAGGATGGCGTCTCGATCTGAGGCTCGTTCCTGGCCGAATCCGATAAGGCCTATGGTTTTTCCTTGTGCTTGGGTTCGGGCTAGACTGCTTGCTGTATGTGATGATCCATCGGATCCTTCAGGCACAGCGGCAAGAGTCAAAGGGGCTTGGATGGTCACCTCGGTGCCTTTGTCTTTCTCTGAAGTGACCTCGATCGAGCCGTCGAGGAAGGCGAGGGCTTTGCGGACGATGCTTAATCCGAGTCCACTGCCTGGGGCGAGGGTGTCTTCTTGCGAAAACGGGGTAAAAAGGTCGCTGCGAAGGTACTCTCGCCCGATGCCTTGGCCGGTATCTTTTACAGTCAAGGTGACATTATATTGGGACCTCTGGCCTGTAGACCCGCCAGAGTCGTGGCTTGCCCGGCGAGGCGGTTCGACCTTTAGAGCTATATAGATGTACCCTTCAGGGGTGTATTTCAGAGCGTTGCTGAAGACATTCATCAAGATGCGGCGCCAGCAGCCAGCCTGTGTGGAGAAGGTCCATTCAGCAGCTTCCTGGACATCGAAGATAATCGTCGGTTGCTGCGAGGGAAGCACAATTATCGAATCATCTCCATTGCTCAATTGCCGGGCCGGTAGGCGACGCTGCTGGTAGAAGCTATGGCCAGCAAAGACACTATCAACGACCTCTTCGAGAATCGCATCGAGCCGGATATCCTCGTACACGCTCTCGCTGCTGCCGAGCATGTTACGGTCAGACACGCTAGCCTGGTTGTCGTGAGAAGCCTTTCTATGTTTCGGCTTATGCTCTTTGGAGAACTTGTCGATGTATGTAAAGTCCAGCAGATGGTTCATTGTATCAAGGAGGGTGCGCCCACAAGACTCAATTGTATGTACCATCCCTTGCTGCAAGGCATTCAACGCCGTGTCGCTTAAAATATCAGACGTCCCTAGAATTCCATGCAGCGGGCTCCTCAGTTCGTGTGAGATGCTCGTCGCTAGGTTCTTCTTTGCTCGTTCTGCCATTTCAACGTCCAACCGGTGTACTTCAGCCATGATACTATTGCCGAACGCGTGGACGTAGGCGAGCTCGTTCTCCGTAGAGAAGACACGCTCTGGGGTGTTTGTCCAGGCGAGTAACCCAGCGAGCCACCTGGACTTATGCGAATCCCACAGCGGTAGGAAGATGATGCTGCAAGTGCCGCCGAGGACCTTGTTCAGTTCGCTGGCGTCTTGTCTTTGGTTCTGTCTGCGTCTCTTCTTGTACTTTGATGAGTTTGTCGAGCTGCTAGAGGCAGAAGTAGCCGCACTGCCGCTGTCGTCAGATAACGAGCCGTACTTGTTGTTGTTGAAGATTTTTCCGTAGGGATACCGATTCAGCATGGCTTTCAAGACTGACTCGCGGACTGCATATCCATCGCCTGGCTTCACGCCGGACTTCGCGTCGTCATTGATCGAGGAAGATTGCGAGGTTGAGTAGCCCAGGATCCGGCAAGTCGTGGTGCCCTCTTGCGGATTGGCGGCAGGGAATCCAGAGGCGCTAGATATACTTCCTGTGCTTGCTGAGTCGGTGCCGTCTTCGCTGCTTGCTGTCTCGCCTCCTGGACGGGGGGCACGCCCTCCTCGATACTCGTATCCAACGAGTCCGCCAAAAGATTCAATCCTAGCATCGACAAAGACAACGCCTTCAACTTCGATCGACTCGCGGATCAGGTTTGCAGCCCTGCCGAATACCTTTTCGAAGGCGACCCGCGGGTTGTCCTCTTGTACTTCATCGTGTGAGAGGACATTTCGGGCCTTCTGCTTGTCCTCACGCCCTGTATCTAGTTGCTTATCAAGTGTTTCTCGGCCATCAGGAGACTTGGTATCCGAGTCTGAGTCTGTAGGCGGGTTCTCGGTACTGAAAGAACGGCTTGCATACAGATCAGGAGGACGCGGTCTCAGCGGCATCTGGAACGGGTTCTCCTGCAAATCCTGCTGCTGTTTATTCAACTGCCCCTCAACAGCCCTTCCCGATTTCGCAGTTACAGCGTCCTGTTCGTTGGTCTCGAGCCATGAATCACGGAGCGTCGTCCTGCCCTCCACAAAGCTGCCCAGGCCAGATATCATCTTCCTGGCCTGCGAATTCTGGTACCGCAATTGCCGCGTGTCAAGGTACTCCATGATTGTGGCCGCCATGTGTTTCAGGAAGGTTATTTCTGCTTCATCGGCTGCCTCGCGCGGTGGGGTGTCAAAGATACAATAGGACCCAATTGTATTGCCTCTGGGCCCAATAATGGGCACACCAGCACAGAAGCCTGCCTTGAGAAGCTTATTCACACCTCCGTTCCCTCCGTTCTCCAGGCTAGTCATAACCAGCGCACTTCCACCCGCAACAATATCCGGATTCTCAGTCTCGGAGGGATTCGCCAGCGGCAGGTTCGCAATCGCCTTACAGATCCCATTCTCCCTAGGCACAATGCAGCAGCCCAACCGCAAATCATCCTTTCCAGGGCCCGCTACTCCCGACGCCGTCGCCTCGGCGAGAATATACTGATGCGTCGGCCCAAAAAGAGAAACAATCGCCCGCTCAGCACGGAGTTTCACCGCACCCAGCTGCGCAAGGGATGTCAAGACATGGTCAGTCGAAGGAATAGCGACAAAGTTCCGCTGGGCGGCCTCGTCCGAGGGAGCGAACTGGTACGCTGCGTGGTCGCGCGGCAGATATCTTGGGTGAGTTGGTGTTAGCCAAACCCTCCAACAATCATGGGCGTATGGACGGAGCTGACCTGTAGAATTCGCGCTCTTTGGCTAGGTTCAGAGTTGGCCGTTGTTGCTTTGGCTGTTGACGGTGCTGTTGTGGCCGACCTTCGGGGGTCTGCCCGGTGTGCCCGGTGTGCCCGGGCCTGTCGAAGGTCATTCTGGGCCCTTGCGATGTGCAAAGGAGGTCATTGAGACCAAATGGGAGTATTGGAGATATCGGGTACAGCGCCATGAGGCTGGCGCGGTATACTTAAATAAACTGCAGCCCGTATGATATCATTTACTCCTGACGTCATTGTCGACAGTTGGACCCTGACTCCGCTTGTGCGCGGGGCAGGCCAATCAGCAGCGGGAATTGGGTGAGAAAAAAGAATCTTTCATTGTCTAGTGGGCCTCTAGAGAACGACCTTTAGAGAGACCCAAATATAAAACTACAACGGTAGCCAATTAGAGACTGTTACCTATCGATTGGTCTCTATTTTCCATCCACGTGTGAGATCCACCCAACTCTTTCGCCTATCCCTAAATGGACTAGGCTCGTACCTGCAGAAGTCTGTTTTCTTTGGCAGGGGAAAATCACCCCCTTCGCGGCCTGAGGCAGCAACGGTACTTCCCGATTCGAATGGCTTCCATCTTAAAATGACGTCAACTGAGATGTGAACCAGATTTCAGTATTTCATTCAGTGTGAAGTTCCGAGAGAACAGAGTAGGGAGATAGCATGTATGCCGTCTAGGTCTACACTGGGAAAATAAGCTTATCGGCCACATGGCCCATTTTCTAATCTTAGTATATGCTTAAATGATAGAATTGGCTAACCAAGCCAGTGGGGGCGGCGATCACACACAATGTCATTGTTATGCAGGCCGATCTAGGGCAGGGATAGATCTTCGATACGAGGCTACACTAACTCTGAAAGATACAGGTACTGCCAGCTCATGATAAGATGGTCATTTGGAGCAGCACTCTATGATCTCCAGCCACCCAGCCGCCCAGCCTTGATTGTACTACTTCCCCTCCGCCCCCGAAACGTTGTCTAAGGGTTACTAGGGTACAAAATCCCGTCGGTAGAATTAAACTCCTCCTTGATCGACCGCACACTCACAAACCGTAAGAGAACATTCATCGAGCCTGTCTTGTCATTTGTCTCACTGGCCCTCCCACCCCTAAACCGCTGCTGCCTAATAACAGCGCCGGTGCTCTTACAGTTGATATAGAAGTTCCTAGTTGTATCACGCAGCGTATCCTTAGCGAGCCTGACAGCAGTGTGGTTATTCACAAAAATAGCACAGGTAAGACCATAGTCAGATATTGAGTTAACGAGGGTACAGGCTGCTTTAAATATATTCTACTGTTTACTATCACCCTTATTATTGTTGTAGATGTATAGAACAAGAATAGGACTGAATAGTTCTGTAGACAGGAGACTGTAGTTAGAATTTATAGTGTACTATATAGTTAGCTGGATAAAGTAGCCCTTAGTATTATCATATGTCCTGCCATATAGAAGTGCCAGTTCACGGTCATTACACGTATTATTAATTATAATACACAGCTTCACAAATAACATTATATAGATAACCAGGCCTGTAAAGTATTTATACTCAGCAGGATTACTAGTAGAGAGCTTCTTTACTTCTTTAATAAGAGAGTCTATAAACTCTATTACCCAGGAGGAAGATATATAAACACAAGAGATAGTACTATATTTCTAGCCCTAGTACTTGAATACACCACGGATAGTATGAACAACAGTATTTTTAATATCTGCTGAGTAGTAGATTAGATATGTATTCTTCCTGCCCGCCTTACTCATAATTTACAGGTATAATCTATATTAATCCTCTGCTATCCCGTTTCTAATTTAGCTATATAGATAGTAGAAGATGGCTGTACTGCCTGTATAATACAGGGTAGCAAACTCACGGTGCGCAGGCACAGTACTGGTAACTTTAACCAGATCTCCGGGAATCCACTGGATTACATTACCAGGCAGACCCGATTTAAGCAGGATGTGATATACCAGGTATCCCGAGGTAATGGCAAAATCAGATGGGTTCTAGAGAATCATATTCCCAAGTAGGGCCGGCAGGGCAGCTAGGTTCCCGGCAATGGTAGTGAAGTTGAATGGTGAGACAGTGTACGTAAAGCCTTCCAGGGCACGGTACTCAACCTGGTTGTATATACCTGGGGAGTGATGCACTAGCTGAGACGCGTAGAGCTGCTCGGCATAATATATATTAAAGTACAGGAAATTCGCATACCTACACCTCCCCCTAATCCTCTCCCCAAAAACATGAATCCCAAACGGCAACGGAATACACGCCACAGCCACAAACGCCGGGATACTCGACGCCGAATCCCCAACCCCCTGTACATATAGCTCGTGAAAAGCGGGAACACGCCACCAAACATATACCGCACCACAGACATACTGGCCAGAACAGACGCCGCATATACCGTATACGAGTCGACAAGGTAGTTCACGATCCCCAGATACACAATCACAAGCCCGAATCCGAAGGGGTCTAGGGATGCGATACTGGCTATCCAGTGGAGAGAGGGGGGATTTGTCCACGCGAACCAGAATAGCCCGATGGGGATTGTGAGTGCGGACAGTATATATGGGGAAAGCGTGCTTCTGGTGGTTCAATACCGTTCTTATACGCTGCGAAGTGAACATGTCAGAGACGATGCCACCAGCATTCGTGAGCGGAGACGAGCCAAATGTACCGGCAAAGAAGCGCAGGATGAGAAGCGTCTGGATATTCTGCGCCCCGGCACACCCAGCGCAAAAGGCCGCCATCACTAGGAATGAGATGAAAAAGGGGATCTGTCTGCTGATGCTCTCGCTGAGTGGTGCCCATATCACCGGTCCCAGAGAGAAGCCGATGACGAAGAGTGACAGGCCTAGGGTGGCTACTTCTTCGCTGACGTCGAAATGCTGCATGATATACCCCATGCTGCCACTGTATCCGGAGGACGACAGCGATATGATCTGGACCTAGTTCCGGAATCAGCAGCCCCCATTAGTTATATATTTATCAGCCACTATAAGCATGACAATGAGCAGTGCCTGAGACCAGGGATCGGGTCTGGAACCCCCATATAGATTTAATATGCCAGCCGTGTCTGTCTGACGGTGGTTTAATAACATATCTGTGATGCGGATATTTGTTTTATCAATTAAAATATAATGAAGTGTAGCCCTATATCACCGTTTCTGCAGCCGTGACATTGGACCATCAGACATGTCTAGTCATGTTGTCCGTTCTATTGGTCGATTCTGTCATGCACTGTCAGACTTGGGTAAACCACCATTGTTGCTATTTACAAATATCAGCCTAGTCTGGTTTGGTTAACTATAGGCAGACATGTAAAATACAGTCAGTCAAGCCTCGGCTAGCTGACTTGACAGGACCCACAAAGCTTGACTGGCACAGCATCAGTTAATCAATACTAGTTAACTATATAAACAATCTGACATGATAATTCTGTATGATCATTCTATCATTATTATAATTTAACTATTCTGCATAAGATGCTGCTTACTAAGATTCCGCCTTATGCAGACAATCCCGTTCCAGCCAATGATCGTGCTGAAACATGACACTCCCGCCGATGGTTAAAATTGCCCTGTAGGGCGTGGAAGTGGAAAATCCGGAAGACTGAAGCTCTCCTTTCCAGCCGGTCGCCGTCTGTTGCTGCTGTTCACCTTATCCTTATGCACGGACTTTTATCGGGTTACATTTACCATAAAGATGAGACCGCCGCTTCTGGAACGGAGATTCCGCGATATGACCAGGAGTTCAGGACACGTATAGTTTCCTGTCCGGCATTATTGGACAATGTCCTGCAATTCCGAGTCCTCCGTTCAGGAGAAGGGATGGCTTCAGCTTACGAGGCCGGCAGACCAAGTGGGTCGGACTGGACCTGCGGTGGGCGTAAAGTTGGTGAATGGATGCAGCGCTGGCACCGGCGTCGCGGCCTCGTCACAGCGTCAACTAGGCGGCTTGGCTCTGGGCCGCCCACTTATCTTTATCTTCGATTCCCCCTGCTGCCTCTGAGTAAGTGATCTCGCCATCTCTGCCAATATGGCGACTTCGATATTCTGGGTCCTGGTGGTGCTGCTGCTGAGCTTGACTGTCCAGGCCAAGCCAGAGAACGACGACGATCTTTACTCGTTTGTCACGGTACGTTATGCTTATTTTGACATTATTTGGCGTCTTACGCGTTGATTAATTGTTCTGACGCGATTCTAGCTCCCCGGCATCAGAGCAGTCAAGTACAAGGTCGAGTACCACGGCGATGGCCGCGACCGCGTCAGTCCGGGCCATATCTTCGTTGCGCCGTATGGCCAGCTCACCCCAGAGCCCCCGACCAAGCAGTATCTGCCCGACCAGGTTGGCCCGTGTATCTACGACGACAATGGAGTCCTCGTCTGGGCCGGCGCTGCCATGTTCGACAACCGCAACACCTTCGACTTCAGAGCCGTCCACAGTATCGATGGTGGCGACCATCTCTCGTTTGTCGTCGGCCTCGAGTTCGATGGGTCTGATGCGGGATTCGGTGTCGTGCTGAACAACAAGTTCGAGGTCGCGCATAAAATTCCCATGCGCTCTGATCTCGGCGCCTTTGATATCCACGAGTTCAACATCCTGGACGATGGCAAGACGGCCTTGTCTATCAACTACCGCTCGCATACCAAGGTGTTGGAGGAGTTTGGGCGACCGAGCGAGGCGTCGTACGTGTTGTCTGGAGGATTCGCGCAGATCGACCTGCCTACTGGCGAGATCACTCACGTCTGGGACTCGTTCGACCAGATCGCTCTCTCTGACTCTGTACATGTCCACCCAGACACTCCAGCATCGGCTCCCCCCGGCTGGGACTACATGCACCCCAACTCCATCGACGTCAACGAGGCCGGCGACTACCTCATGTCCATGCGCTTCACCAACACCATCTACCTGATCTCGCCAGACGGACACATCATCTGGCGTCTCGGCGGCGCGCACTCCGACTTCAAGCAGGACTTTATATTCTCCAAGCAGCACGACGCCAAATTCATCCACTCCAACGGCACGCACCACACAATCTCGTTCCTCAACAACGCCTCCGACGAAGAATCCAACGACGAGCCGGTCTCCTCCTGCCTCTTCGTCGACATCGACTCCGAAGCCATGACCGCCACCGTCGTCCGCCGCTACGACCGCCCCGACGGCGCCCTCACCCGCCTCCGCGGAAACGCCCAGCTCCTGCCCAACGACAACCTCCTGGCCGGCTGGTCCTCCGCAGGCTACTTCACCGAGTCCTCGCCCGAAGGCGACCTCCTCTTCAGCGGCTCGTTCGTCTCAGACCGCTACTCCACCTACCGCGCCTACAAGTTCGAATTCACCGGCCGCCCGGCGAACCCGCCCGACCTGCTCGCCTTCGTCTGGGGCACAGACCCAGACCCAGTCACCTCGGACCTCACGACAACAATCTACGTCTCCTGGAACGGGGCAACGGACGTCGCCGGCTGGAACTTCTACGCGCGCCCCGCCTACGATTCAGACCGCGTTTTCATCGGCAATACCACCAAGACGGACTTCGAGACGATGTATATCGTCCGTGGGTATATGAGCTGGATCTCGGCGGAAGCCGTTGATAAAGACGGGAATATCCTAGGCGAGTCGCTGATCCATCAAACCACCATGCCAGCGCACTGGGAGAGCGCTGGGTTCAGGGGAACAAGTCTCGGTCGCCTTCTGCCCGACGATCCCAACACTCTATACTCAACCGAGAGCAGCAGTGACGGCGCGGCAGAGGCAGAGGCGGATAATGCGGGAACCAAAACGGATCCACACATGACGGCCCTTGCGGCACTGGTGCGCGATCTGCAGGGCTCCGTGCAGCTTGTCCTCTTCCTGATGGTGGTGTTTGTGCTGGCTTTACTTGCTGCTGGTGCTGGTGGGATGTATGCGTTCATGCGACGGGGGAAGGGGCGGTATACGCGTGTTCCTGGCAAGGAGGAGGAAGAGGTGCCGTTGGGCCGTATGTAATGGGATTCTATAGTGTTGTATTTTTCTTTCTTTGTTTCTTGTAGAACTAATATTATAGAATAGAGTCTTTGAATGAAATTATGAATAATACTTTTTGAAATTACAGCTTCGCGGGTGGACTGGGCTCGTGGGCTCGTATATGTTTCCCTTTTCCTTGGTGCAGCGCACTGATCTCGACGGTGGAGAGAGTTGGGTATCTTGGCAGGTCTATCGTTATTTATCTGATCTCTTGCTTATATTATTCCTCTTGGCAGTCTATCATAATCCATAGACTAGATTAGAGACGTTACTGGACACAGGCCATTTGAGTATCGGCCCCGAAGGTACAGACATTGTAATTAAATTAGATAATAGCTTAACCGTTCATCTAAACTAGATCCTTATTGCGTAGCCCAAACACTAAGGGCATTGACAGGTGCTCAAAGATATATTATACATATATATATATACTTTTCCGGTATGAACATGTATTAATACAGTTGACGCCAGCGAGATAAATTCACTATATGGCATGTCTAGTGATTTCTAGGCATTTGGATGTTTCGCAATTATTGGTACGTGTCAAAGTATTAACCCTGAACTGCAACCCCCATTCTTCCACTCCTCGAGAATGCGGAGCGCGTGCTGGATTCAATGCGATGTTTTCGCGGGTAATGTCTTCAATGGAAATGGCACATTAAATCAGTTCCTGTGGAGGGATTAAACATCAGCAAGGGGTTATCAGGATATGACTTGTCTCGCTAGCGCGTGTTAGTAATATACATTCTGCGAGGCCAAACAGCTATAAACAGAACAAGGGAGCCCAGTCTGGCCAACTTCTCATCTCGAATCACTCAAAATGTCGTGTCACGATTGTTCGGCCCCGGAGAAATCCTCCAGCAGCAGCGGCCCTGGGCGCGCTCATCAGTTGATTTCAACTCTGCTACCCGAAGGATTTGCTTTCTTGTCCTGCTCGTGTTGCTGGCTACCCGTATGCTCCACTCTATTATACAGGCTTTCCCTGTATTCTGACCATTTACAGACTGTACTCGACTTCATCTTCGCTGGTTCCATCACCGCAGCTGGTGTGCAAAAGTTACGATTTTTCTTTCTGGCCGTTTCTGTCTTGACTCTGTCCGCTAGCATCGTGCGTCAAGGCTTCAGCCGTGGGAATATTCGCCGCGCAGCCATTTGCGCTGGTCTACTGGTCTGGACGCAGTATAGTCAGCGGGATCAGGGTCATCATAGTTGTCACTAACGTCTGCTGTCTTTTTGTTGAAAGACAGCTATCTTCGGGTGTCTTGACGAATGTTCTATTATGGTTGGCCTGGAATTTGTTTCTTTCCAACGGATGGCTTCTATAAAGGAGAAGGCAGCGAGCAAGGAATGAATGGAGAAGTTCATATGTTGATACGAATGAAAGCTGCAGAGTCATACATTTACGTATACGACAGACTATCATTCCAGCTCACTCACGACAGTTGTGGTATACCACAAGTACAGAAAAGTAACAACAAATTGCAATCAGTACAGTAAGAATGGACAAATGCTTGCTGGTGTGAATACAGAGACAGTACTTTTCTGATCAGGTGCGTGCCATAATTGAAGTATGTGAAGCTGCTATGTCCTCGTGTCAGGCATCTTCTGATATGTCTCTCGTATCGGACAACCGCAATGGGTATACGCCTCCCACTGCCCTATCCCAAACTCCCTCGGACACTTCTTCTTCCATCTTTTCCCCCGGATCAGATTGTCCGGTCTGTAATTCGAGTTGGCTTCCATGCGCCGAACAGCTGATAAATGTACTTTGGCGTCCCTGGGGACATCACGTCGCTCCCCAAGAGGCAGAGGCCATCGAATGACTCTCCACGATCCATCCTCCTGCAAGCCAATCCTGCGAAGGGGGAGGTATTCGACTATCTTCCAAGTTAGAACAGTAGTCCACGCGACGCCCTGGCCGTACTGGAGGAAATCATGTATACGGCTGGTGGTAGCTGCTCGCCAGAGAGCCGACTTGAATTGTGCTAATTCATCCGTCTCTTGTTGATTGACCGTTACCTTCTCAGTAGGTGAAAGGCAACTATCCCTAGGATCGTAGAAACAGCGGAATAGCTTCCTCTTCTCAGGGTCAAACTGCAGTCCTGCATCCTGAGCTTCGTTCACCATCCACACCAACGGCACATGGCTCAGCGCGTATTCTTCATCCTCGTCTAATTTCCGTCCGCCGCCAATATCAGCGTGACACCCAGGGAACCACACCTCCTCGATGTCCTGGTCATAGGCCTTCTCTTCGTCAACGTCGTTCGAAGCACTGGATCCCGTAAGTGTTTGGTCCCCAGAGCTAGTCTGCCGCCGGTCAAGAGAAGGCCGATAGTACGCCTCCCCAGAATAATGCCCCTGCTCAAGCTTCTCATGTCCGTTCAAACGAGCCCGCCTCTTCCTCTCCTTCTGGGTCATATTCGGATTCGTATCTGACAAGAGGTCCTCCCTAAACTTCGCACGATGCTCATCAATCGCAACCGCATGCCGAATAACCCTCGCTGACGTCCTCGCCGTATAAGGAAACAGGAATTTATTGCGATTCACCTCGAACCGCGGAATACTATTCACCGTATCAAACAGCCCCAGAAAGCGAATCTGCGACACGGGCCGGCAGAACGTCTCCCGCAGCGCTTTCATATACTTATACAACCTGTCCTTCTCGGCTTGCTCCACGTCAATGCTGTTACTCTGCTTCGCCCACTGCGAGTATATATTCCACACATAGCGCACTTTGCCTTCATTCCCTGCCTCGAGGAGTCCGATATGGTCGAGCATCTCAGCCAGCATGCGCGCGACATATGCCCCGCGGCTGAAGCCGAAGATGTAGATCCCGTCGCCCGGGCAGTAGAAGCGCATCAGGTATCGATACCCGTCCATAACGTGGTCGTCGAATGTCGTCCCCATCGCTGCGTCCTTGGTGTTGAGGAACCACCGTTTCAGCTTGTTCTTATGCGCTTCGTAGACTTGCCATATGGAGGTTGTGTTGCTGCCGACTCCGGGCTGGTAGTAGTGTAGCTGGGAGGGGTTGTTGCGGTTGAGCATCTGGATTGTAAGTAGCTGGAGTGAAGATAGTGGGGATTTCTTACTCTGTATATTTTGAGGACATTGCTGTCTGCGTCGTCGCCGCGGAATCTGTATCCTGTGCCGTCGAAGCACAGAACGAATTCCTTGTAAGCTGCGGGTTTCTCCATGAAGCATTTACTGATTGAATGAAATGGGTAATGACGTGAATGACGGCGGAGATAGTCTTCGAGCTCTTTTAAAGCTGCAGGGCGTGATCCATGGTTCAGGACAGTGGCGATGTCCGCTGATTCCGGTCAATATCCTTTCTACCCCGCGCGGCTATTCAATTGTATTAATTAATAATAGAGATATATATATATATATATATATATATTATGTTCTAGAGATAGGCTGTTGTTTAATTCCTGCAAAGTGTCTGGTGTTGGCGATCGCGACGTCATGACTCGATAGGGCTGCATACGATATACACCGTAGAGGATATAGATGATCTAGACCACATTCTGTGACTGGCCGGCAGTCTCCCCTGCAGTGGTCTCCGTCAGATGACAGCAAGACGGCTTTATGGCTGCACTCCCCCCGTTTAATAACGATTAACCCAATTCCCAACCCCAACGTATCGGATAATCTCCGAGCCTCGCTTTGACATCGCTGACAGCTTCCCCCGGCTATATGCCAGAGCAATACCCTCGGTGAAGCTGACAGACTGTCACTTCCCCGCGTTTCCCCAGCAAATGGCCACGAAATGACGATCCCCACAGTATGGGAAACCCGGGGAGAAGACAAGACATGACAAGCATTGCCGAGACAGATAAGCCTCGTGTTTCCCCTTCTCCAAGTTGTCCGCTTCTCCAACCCCCCCTATTTTTCTTCTCTTATAATATTGTCCATTCTTCACTATGTCGAGCGATATGATAGCCGGCGGGTCAGGGGAGACCCTGAACCGCATGAAAACCACCGAGAGCGTCTTCCTCCCCATCTCACGCGAGACCTTCGAGAAGCTCTATCTCAGCCCGAAACCACCTTCTGTAGAAGGCAGTCTGCGCAAGAAACTGGGGAATCCTACGCCGATATGCCTCATGGGGTTTCTTCTCGCTGCGACGCCGAATTCGTGTATTTTGATGGGCTGGAGGGGGGCTGGGGGGAATGGCGGTGCCATATTGTAAGTTTATTACACCATCTCTGAGGCATTTGATTAATTGTGTAGACCGGTGTATATCTTCTTTGGCGGCGTTGTGCAGCTCATTGGCGGGATTGGCGAGTGGGTTATTGGGAATACATTCTCCTGTGCATTGTTCTTTACATACGGTATGCTCTTATATTATTTTATAACTGGTTATTCTCGCTGACATCTGCAGGAACATTCTGGCTCGTCCAGGGAACAACCCAAATGCCCTTCTTCGCAACAGGAACAAACTACTCTCCCACCGGAAACTCTCTAGAGGGCCAGCAAACTGCGTCGTACGCAGCGACAACCGCATTCTACTACGTCTGCCTCGCCCTCCTCACCTTCTTCTATCTGATCTGCTCCATCCGAACCAATCTATGCCTATTCTCCGCCCTCTTCCTCCTGGTTATTACATTCGGTCTTACGGCAGGCTCGTTCTTCCAGCTCGCCAACGGGGCGGAGGAGCTTGCAGCGAAGTTACAGGTGGTTAGTCGCCTCATTTTATCTATGTTTACACAATAGCAACAAGTAAACCATGTACTGACGTATGCTATGTTATTATGTATTTAGGCAGCCGGCGCGTTCAATTTCGCCCTGTGCATGCCCATCTGGCATATCTTCCTCACGCAGATTCTGGAAGCCGTGGACTTTCCGGTGCGTGTTCCGGTGGGTGATTTGAGCTCTGTTGTTCCGGGGCGCAGTCAGAAAATTAGGGCTAAGGCGAAGGCTGCGAATGGTGAAGTTTCCTAAAGTGCATTATTGTATTCTCACTTAGGGTTATGTCAGGACTTGCAGTGAAAAAATACGATTCCATTCATAAACTATTGCTATTCCCATAATTCATTAATCCATTAAGCACCAACACCACGAACACGCACATAAACCCCCCGATCATGAGACATGGTCAGACTCGACTGAATCGCCGGTTTCACCAAATCATCGGTATTCTCAACTCCATCAAACCGCTGCAACAGCCTGACAAGGGTAAAACTCGCCTCGGTAAGCGCATACTGCTGTCCCAGACAAATCCGCGGCCCGCCGTTAAAGGGCAGATACTCCCACCCGCGCCGCGCATTCTCCTCCCACCGCTCCGGCCGGAATTGCTCGGCGTCTGCGCCCCAGATGTCCTTGCGCCGGTGCATGGCGAACACGCTGTATGTGACGACTTGGCCTTTGCGGACGTAGACGGGGGAGCGCCCGTTGGGGCCGCCGCCGACGGGGAGGGAGGTGTCTTTCTTTGCGACGCGGAAGTTGAGCGGGACGGGGGGCATGAGGCGGAGGGCTATTGTCATTAGTATAACCGCAGGATTTAGTAGAAGTAGAAGGACGTACTCTCGTTCAAGACATATCGCAGATATGGGATATTCTTCAACTTTGCATGCGTAATCTCGCCACCAGGGTTTGTTACATCCCCAAATTCATCAACAATAGCCCGGCGCAAGCGATTCCACACGGCCGGATTACGCGATAGATAAAAGAAGCATGAGCTCAACAAACTAGCCGTCGTATCACGGCCCGCAAGCAGGATATTCAGCATCTGGTCACGCAGCAGCTTGGGGTCATCCGATTCCGCCGCCAGCGCTTCAGCAAAGATATACCGCTCCCCGGGCTTCTTCTCGGGGTTCCGTTTCTTGGCCTCCAGGGCCAGCTGCACGTAGTGGTCGACGACCTCGTGGACGAGCTTATTCGAATCCTTGAATTCCTGGGGGTTGACCATCCAGTAGAAATTCGCGGCGCGGGATCGCGACGCTACCCATTCCTGCGCTGTGTTGAAGGCCTCCGCGAAGCCGCTGGCGTTTCCGACGGAGGATTTACCCAGGAGACTGGTGGTGTTGGCACCGGACGAGCCCATAGAGCCCACCGACTCGCCGAAGAGGAAGTGCGTGGCCGAGTCAATGGTCAGCAGGAAGAACAGCGGCTGGATATCGAAGCTGGATCCGTCTTTCGGGATCAGCTCGATCAGTCGGGAGATATGTCCGTCCATGAGATCTAGATCAGCGACCTGGTCTCTCGCGAACTGGGGGCGCAGCATGCCGCGCGAATGCGTCCAGCCCGCGCCATCAAGCGTGAAGATCCCATCACCAAGTAACGGGTAGAACTCGCGGTGTCTAGTGCCGAGTCCGAAATCGTTGAACTGCGTTGCAAGCACGGCTTTGATGTTCTCGGGCTCGATGGTCGAGACCATCTTTCGGCCTAGCACGTTCTGGCCGAAGGTGTGGCCGTTGATGGTGTACTGGTTGGCGATGTATTCGACCCATCGTTTCTCGCGCACGGCTTGGGCGAGGCGGTAGAAGGGTCTGATGCCGAAGATGTCGGAGGGGCCTTGCACGACGGGGGCGCAGTTGAGGCGTTTGGCGTTGCGGCGGTGGTAGATTATGTTCTGGAGGTAGTTTGCCACCACAAGAGTCAGGAACAAGGCGCCTGCCAGCACCAGGACGGGTGATAACATGGTGTTGAATATGTGGTCTGTCTGTGTCTAAGTCTGGGCTGTCGAGGGCTCTTATATGGTGACCCTTTCACATGGGACTCTCAGTTCCTGGTTCTCGACACTGGCCAATAAACCACTGGCCAATTAGTCTAGAATATCGCAACCGAGGAAGTGGTCCAGATCGCAAGAGTATCTGATTGCGGTTTAGGGCTGTGGGGAGTGGTGGGTCGGTCTCCACCACTATGATGAAATTATACAGATTTTGGCCAAATTATGCTGCCACATCTTCAGGAACGGGGGATTGACGTCCCCCGCGCACATCATGCTGCCGTTCTTATCCTAATGGAGAGACGCTTGCGAGTGTCAGACAGTCGGCCAAATTCATTCGAGCCAAGACGTGAAGTCTATTCAGGGTCAGCGTTTGTGATCCAGCAGGGAGCACTTACAAAGGGAAATATATGACACCAAACTTCGACAGGAAGGAGAGAAAAACAGTCGTTGGTGCTGGTGCTCTCGGGCGATATGGTTTCGTCAGGTGGAATGAGACAGAAGGACCAGACAAATCTTTGAATTAGGAGGCTGTAGCTGTCGGATGGATGTCCTTGCTGACCTAGACCGTGCCGATGCCTTGATTATCACCGACGAAGTTACAAGGCGGAAGTTTACTGTTTATACAGTGACTACACTCAATACATCACCTTGCGCAGCTACATTCTTTGAAAACTAGCTTTGTGATGGGCAATGACAGATCCAAATTGGCTATAGGTATAAATATGGGTATTGTGCTTCTTTATTGAGTTGACGTGTATCACCTTTCAACACTGCCATTGAAATTTAATAACATGCCAGCCTACTCCCATCCTTGACTTCTAATTTGGTGCACTATTCAATAAAAATGCGCCTCAGGATCATCACCCTCTCAACCACCCTCCTCGCCACCACAGTGTTTGCCGTACGTCCTCCCCATTTGCGTACTATCAGACGTCCATGCTAATCCTCTCTCTACTTAGAACTGGATCGACTGCGGCGGCAAAGCCCTCTCAGTCCAATTGGACGGGGTAGGCCACTCGATTCATTACCTACACAGGCGTGTAGAACGGGAGGTCGACCATGCGCCCCCGAATATGCGCTACCTAATGCCCATCCTCTGTGAGGAGGTTTCATGTCTAGAGGGGACCCAGATTCGCTGGTGTAACGAAGTAAGTACTTAATCTTCTATATAAACGTTGGCCTGACTAAATTATCCTGTAGGATAAGAACTACGGCCGCACCATGGATCTTGTGCATATTGTCGAGGCTGCCGAGGTGCTTCGTGCGGAGTGTCAGGAGCAGTACAAGGGAAAGACGGTTGCGGGTGGTGTGATTTACCATGAGGATAAATGGACTGTTATTATGCAGTAGGAGGATGAGTGTGAGGTGTACTCAGGCTAGCTGGGTTGAGAAGTATCCATTGACAAAATAAAAATAGGGTTATTGTCGGCCTGCCCGATTTAGTCTCTGGTCTATGCTATGATAAGTATGAACCTCTGTTCAACGAGTCCCAAATCCAGGCTTGAAATATTGTTTCTTCCAATTTATACCATTTCCCCGTGTTACCAGCGTTATGGGACAAAACAGACAGAGAATGCATGGCTTGTCGGATGCTCCGACCACACATCCCCTGCCCAACGATGTAATTGGCTCTGGAATACTTCTACTTATCTGTCTGGGTACACGGACCTCTACTGTAGGCGATAAGATATTATGTTTCATTATCCCCTCTCTCGGTCTATCCGAACGTGAACTGTTCAAATGCCGATGGATGACGCACATTGACTTCAGTGTAAACCTCTCCATTACCTTTATATACTATCACCGAGATGTCGCTAGATATTCACACAGACTCCATAAGCCACGACTTTGAATATGTGGATGTAAAGAAAGGCGCAATTGAAGCAGATGTCCCTAACCGGGTGTATAACATCTGGGCCGGTCAGCACCTCTCACTGATTACCGTTCCACAAACTAACAAAATTCCAAAAAAGCAACGGCATGGCAGGTCCTCATGATGACAAGCTGGACATGTAACATTATCCTGTTCGACACCGTGTTCGATATCGGAGGCCCGATGATGTTGATCTACTCGACGCACGTAATCCGTTGTCTACAATTTTATGACTGCAGGCTAAATATTGTTAGGGTTATTGTGACTGTCGGACAGTCCCTTCTTATGGCATCACTAGCTGAGATGTGCTCTATCTGGCCTTATGCTGGTGGTCAGCAGTAGGTGGATCCCTTCCTCAAGTCGAAGAGACTCTAAACAAGTGCTTCTCATTAGGGTATTCACCCAGAAGCTCGCACCGCAGAGGTACGAAACCCCGGAGTCCTAACAGAGAAAGGATGGTAGGGTTCCTAGCACCGATACTGATGTTATCATAGTGCTCGTCGGTTCCTCTCGTATCTCGTCGGCTGGATACTCTTCCTTGGCGAAACGGCAACGGCAGCAAGTTGCACGATGAATAGTGTCCAGGTCATCGTCGGAGTAGTGCAAATTACATACTCGACGTGGAAGGCGACAGTACGTTACCTCAGAGAATGCAGAAGAATAGATGAATGCTTACTGAAAAGCAGAGATGGTTAGAATGGCTGATATACACCGGCCTTACAATATTCGCACTGCTACTCTCCCTTTCGCAGAAACACCTTCCCGGCCTGTCACTGGTTGGGGGATTCATTGTCATAGCTGGTGGGATTGCATGGGTTATCTCGTTCCTGGATATGGCGCCAAAGCATTCTGCCAAGTTTGTCTTTACCGAGTTTATTAATAATTCTGGCTATGAAAGCCGTGGATGGGTAGGTATTATGAGTTTCTATACCCCGATGTATGCCTTGTATGGGACGGATGGGATCTTGCATGTTACCGAGGAGATGAAGAATCCAGAAAGAGACGCACCGGTTAGTACTTTACGCTGTTATCCTTACTATCCTCAGAGCTGACACACCTTAGAGGGCCATGCTATGGGCCATGATAATAAGCGGCGTAAGCATGTGTATATCAGTGATTGTGATGGGCTTCTGTGCCGGAGATTGGGAAGCATACCTGGAAACAGAGTGAGACAGACCATCGTCGTTATTTCAGACTGCAAACTTATAATCCCAGTATCCCATATGTGACCTGGTTTGTCGACATCCTCCATAGCACAGCTGGTGGGATAACTCTGGTGGTGATGATATTGATTGTAATCAAGTGAGTAATGTCTTCTTCTTCTTCTTTCTCAACGCGCTTCTCTCCTAATAAGGATGGTCTACCCAGTTTCCTTATCACCGTCGGCCTGAACACGGCAGCATCGCGGCTGGCATGGGGAATGGCCAGAGACAACGCCCTACCCTTCTCAAACATTTTTGCCCGGATTAACCACAAAGTGCAAACGCCTGTCAATACGATTCTTCTAACTACCGCAGCTCAACTAGTTATTGGTATATCCCCTACTACCCCTTCGTGTGCTTGACTTTGGACTTATTATAGTTTTAGGCCTGGTAGTCTTCGGATCGGACTATGCATTCCAAGTGATTATCAGTATATCTTTAGTCGCAATCCAACTGGGATATTTGATTCCTACTCTATTAGTGAGTGCTTCCATTTACCACTTTCGTATTAGCCGGAATAACTGGTCAGGTCGTCATTCGCGGCCGCAAACTATTGCCGACTCCTCGGGCCTTTGACCTAGGCGTGGCTGGCTGGTCAATCAATTTATTCTCAGTCTGTTGGTGTTCGTTGGTGATTGTCATGCTTTTGTAAGTTCTATGCTGTTATTCCTTATGCCGAAATATATGCTTGGCGAGTCTAATCTCATATCTGTTGTGATAGCTTTCCGCTTTATATTCCAGTGAATGGAGAAAATATTTGTAAGTCGATTAATATAGTATACCCCAACACTTTTCTGGATTTTAACCTGGATAGACAACATGAACTGGGCAATAGTATTGATTGCAGGGGTTATTTTGGTGGTGTTTATTGATTGGGTCCTCCGGGCTCGCCACTGCTATTATGGTAATTAACACTGACGGAAAGTAGTCTTGGGTGAATATATTACGACCTAACTTGCTGAATTTTATCGTCGTGCTTGGTTGGATACGACAATGGAATGAAATGTTATTCCGCTATCCAATATATATAATTGATATGCGGCCCCTTCAGCGAACAAGAAATTGCTACCCCCTTGGCCAACATACAATCAGAGAGAATACCCAAGTATAATGCGTCAGTCATACATACCAGGATACATCCTATTCCACTCCAAAACCCAGGACTCCCATCCAGTGTGCTTGTTGCTTGTATATAACCTGAAACTAGTTAGTTACTTGACTACTGCTTAGTAACACAGCTGAATGACAACATACTGTTCTACATACAGAGTAAATAAATCATTAATATTATTTGAAGATATGGCCTATTTCTAGCACTATCCCATATCATAACAACCGTCCAGTGTTAGCGTGATATCTTGGCTGTTATATGCCACAGTAAGCAACTCGTGTTGGGCGTCCAGGATTCTTCGCCCCTCACTCTCACTCCCCTTGACCTTTTCTGACGACAACACCTACCAGGCGATGGCGAAACTAAACCACGAAAGCTCACGATGAAGTCCTTTGACTCGCTGCCGCAGGAGATCATTGCTCTCGTTCTCCAGAACTGCGACTCCTTCCACCAAATACGATCTCTCATCTTAACATCGAAACCGATCCGGTCAGCCTGGCTCTCAAACCAACGCCCGATTCTCTGGCGCATTGGACAAGGTGAAATAACTGGTTTCAGCGATGGTCTTATAGCAGTATGTTTACACATCGCTTTATCTCAGTTTACTTGCATTAATCTTACAATCTGCCAGGTACGTGCAACACAGATTGCCACAGGTGCACTTCTAAAGGGAGAGTTCCCACCAGATCCATTCCCCGTGTCTGGGCTGAGCGGGGACGCCAACAAGCCTTCGCTCGAGGAACTGAAACAGGTTCAGACCTTGCACCAGGTTGTAGCCTACCTCGAAAAGAGTATTCTATCTTCTGACCCTGATAACTTCGTCTCTATGCCCGACGATTTCGATTGCAAGCGCGATGAATGCGCACGTCTTAAGTGGAAAGTCTGGCGAGAGGAGTTCCATCGCGCGATATACCGGAATCTGGCTGCGGGCGCCATACTTTGTCGTGCATATCATGCTCCTATTGTCTCGGATGATAGACCCAGCGATTTTCTTGCGTCGTTTCTCGAGATTATGGAAAGTGATGACGATCCATACGATGTATTAGAGGGCTGGTTTTCTGCAGCCGAGCAGAGCTATCTGTCCAAGGTTCCCTTGTATAGCATACGGGATTATCACCGGTCAGATGCGGTCTTTAAGCCTCTCGAGGATCTGTTCATAGAGGAGAGCAGAAAACGCGAGCCATTTGATCCCTACGGCATGGTGGCATCTGACAGATCGAGAAAAGACCAATCTCTTTTCAAGACCTTTGGAGAATATGTGGATATTCGGAATCCCGAGTCCCTCGACCCCGACCATGCAGAAAACCTCTTCTATCAGATTCTTCACTTTATTGCCGTGGTTGACGAGGAGCCACTGCAGTTTCTGTTGGATCCGAGCAACACTGAGGTACAGTCTGAGGAAATCCCAGACGACAGTCCCTCCACCTTTGCAATGTTCTTTGGATCATTCGTCCCAATAAAGATTACAGTCCAGGATAAGACCAACATCTTCGGGACTCTAGCCCTTCCAGGTCTTGAAGCAAGGACCGTCAAAGAGAGTAACTACTTTGGCTTCCAATACATGGACTCGTTTCTTACCAAAATATGGGAGGTGGGTGGTATCCCAAACTGCTATGAAGGAGATAAGCGACCCCCGCTGCCCCAGTTTCACTTTGCTGAGTACATGCTTCGAAAGTATTTCTGCCTTCGATTTGCAGATGCAACCTATGCGTCTTCGTGGGATATATTCACCCATTATGGGGCACTGTTTACGAATCTTGGATCGCATCTCTGGTATGACGAGCGGGGTTTATTTCAATCCTCGGATGACCCTATTCCTGCATTCTACTATCAGGATGTTTTCGAATAGCTATAAACATTTTCATGCCTGCTAAATGCCATTGGCACATAACTGTCATTGATATACACCTTCCAGTAAATGAACTAGCATCAGCAGTCCCCAGTATACCAGGAATACTCCCACTTGGTGCAGTACTCCGTCATTGTTCCTGTTAACAATAGAAAGGAACCTATTAGCTTCGACATTCTTATAGTAAACGATAATAAACGCAAATAAAGGGAACTCACCATCTGGACCACAAATCGTAGTCGAGCTGGTTCCAGACGCCTGGATCTTCTTCTCTTCCATCCCCGGCACCTGATACCACACGTCCACGTATCCCTCCTCGTCGGCCGTTTTGAAGGCAAGCCAGATGCCGTCGTCGCAGCTGAAGTACTCGCCGTTGTTGTCCTCGTCCCGGTCTCTTTCATCATCGCACACTGTGTCCCCGTCCAGCTTCAGGACTCCGGCTTCCGTGTACTCGGTGTCTTGTTTGTTCATGTTGATCTCGATCTCGACACATTTATAATCGCCGGTGTCGGGATCACCTTCGTCTTCGTCCTCGTCTCCATCTCCTCCATCATCACCTCCATCACCTCCATCGTCTCCATCATCATCACCTCCATCATCACCTCCATCATCACCTCCATCATCACCTCCATCATCACCTCCATCATCTCCCCCATCATCTCCTCCATCATCTCCTCCATCATCTCCTCCATCATCTCCTCTATCATCTCCTCTATCATCTCCTCCATCATCTCCTCCATCATCTCCTCCATCATCTCCTCCATCATCTCCTCCATCATCTCCTCCATCATCTCCTCCATCATCTCCTCCATCATCGTCATCGTCGGGAGGAGGTCGAGGCTCAGTATTATCTGGGTCATCATCCTCATCGGGGTCAGTAATCTCACAAACACCACCATCCTCCTCATCGTCATCATCATCATCATCGTCGTCATCGTCTTCATCCGACGGATCTTCGTGATCCCCTCCAGGTGGACAAGTAAGCCCCGGCGTACAGGGCCCATCTATACCACCACAGGCGTCACCCTTGCAAGGTGATCCACATCCCGACGTGCATTTAGGGCCCGGGGGGCCATCACCCACAGTTATAATCGGGAACGGGCCTCCGAAATGCTCGTTATCATCATCATCATCATCATAATCATCCTCGTCGTCGTCGTCGTCATCCTCCGGCTCTTCCGTGGGATAAGGATATGGCGAGACGGTACGAGTAACCGGTGAATGAGTGACACCCGGTTTAGACAACGGATTAGGATCGTTAGTGATGGTCAAAGGAGGGGGTAGTATCAATGGGATTGGGCTGAAGGTGAAGCTGGAGCCTGAACTCTCTGGGTATGGCAGTGGCCAGAATGAGATTGTCTGGGTTGTTATGGGCGGGAGTGTCAGTGTGGTTGGTTGGGTCGTTACGTGCTTTACACCCTCCTCAGTCCAGACCACCTCGAGCTCTGTGCTGTAGGGGGACAATGTGATGGTTGTTGGACTCGAAAGAACTGTCGGAGGGAGAACAAGGTTGCAGGGTGGCTCGCAGGCGACTTGGGGGTTCTCGTCCTTCCATATGGATGGGTCGATTAGGATATCATCACCATTGTCTCCATCACCATTGTCTCCATCACCTCCATCTCCATCATCACCATCGCCATCACCGCCATCGCCATCATCACCGTCGTTACCATCGTCACCGTCGTTACCGTCGCCCTCATCAGGTTTCCAACTACAGCTGTTGATATAGGAACGAATCTTTCCATTGGCAGACACAACAAGATAGTCGGCCTTTCCATCTCCATTAATGTCGGCATATTCCACCCGGCCCTGCGAGTCAACGCCGTTGGAGACGGTGCCCATGTTGTTAAAGTTTCTGGGCTTGCCAGCATCTGGGATGTTTCCCGTATTGAGATATGCCTTAGCAGAGCCACCGTCGTACTGAACGATATACTCGGCCTTTTTATCGCCGGTGAGATCTGCGAAGCGCACCTTGCTGCCGGGCTCACCCACTCCAGTTGCTATCGTAGTTCTCTCTCCCCAAATACGCCCGCTGTCCGCTGGTGGAATGTTCTGTCGATTGAGCCAGGCATCAACTGCACCCCCATCAAACACCACCAAAAAGTCTGCATACCCGTCTCCATCCACGTCTGCAAACTGCACTTTACGGCCAGGCTCACCAACGCCCTCCGAAATGACGATGCCAGCCTGCCAGATCCGGTCTGACCCCTTTTTGGGAATGTTGTCATTGTTGAGGTAAGCCTTGACTGCCCCCCCGCCGTAAATCACCAGGAAATCATCAAGTCCGTCACCGTTGACGTCGGCAAACTCGATCCTGGACGAAGACAGATCTTCATCTAGACCCGGGGCAATCTCGCCAATCTCCTCCCATTTGCCGTCTCCTTTATTGAGCCATGCGCGGGTGCGGCCTTTACTGTCGACAGAGACAATATCGTCAGAGCCATCGCCGTCGAGGTCAGCAAACCGCAGGCTGGAGTCCTTCGGCCCAACGATGCCCAGGTTATTCCACTTGTGGACGCTCCCATCGTCAGAAATGGCGAGAAAGTCCGCGTTGCCGTCTCCGTCCATGTCTGCGAATCGAATCATTTCACCTGTAACTCCCTCGACGCCGGGGGCGATGGTGCCTAGGCTCTCCCAATTGCGGCCACCTTCATTTAGGCTCCCGGTATTTCGCCATGCGTCGACGGCTCCTCCTTCGTAGATGGCGACATAGTCTAAGGTGTGGTTAGCCAGTTCTTCTGGACTCATTGCCCTGAAAACTTACCAGTCAATCCATCTCCGTCAATGTCGTACAGTTGGGCTCGGTTATTCGGTACACCATCTGGCCCCGGTGCAATAGTGACCTCCCTCTCCCAGTTGCGTTTGCCCTTATCTTTGCCATTGTTGTGGGTGTTGCGTGCCCAGTCAACGGAGCCGCCTTCGTACAGAATCACATAGTCGGCATAACCATCACCGTCCATGTCCTTGAAGTGAACCTTCTCCCGAGACTCACCTAACCCGGATGCCCATTCAGGATCGAGAGACTCGAACTTGCGGCCATTGTCCACGTTTTTCCAGACCTTAGCAGCACCATCGGAGTACAGGACAATAAGATCCGCCTTGCCATCATTATCAACATCTGCCATGCGGATCATATCCCCCGTCACTTTCTCCCAGTCTGGGTTGACTTCTCCAAGGCTCACCCAGGGGTTGTTCTCTTCCCCTGTGTTTATCCAGGCTTTCACAGCACCGCCATCATAAGCTAGGATGTAATCGGTGTGCCCATCATTGTTGAGATCTGCCAGAATCACTTTATCCCGGGTGGCACCTTTGACCGCGTCAAATATAGTGCCCTCGTCGTCCCAGACGCGAAACCCGTCAAAGACCTGCCCTTGGCTCTTCCAGTTCTTGTCTCCACAATTCCTTCCACCACTATCAGGAATTGGGTCTCCGTATCCTAAGCCCATCCCAGGAGCATCAACCTTGGCCGGGTCCCCGATCCACCCACGCTCGTGAGCATCGATGATACCCTTGTACCAGGCCTCCGCCATTTTAGCATACCCATCCCCGTTAGGATGTTTCTTATCAGATAAATCGGCAGCCGTGATATCAATCGGTACCGACAGAATCTGCTGGCCATCGCCTTGCTTCCGCTTAATGATCGCGGCCAATTTCGCATTAAAGGCATCCGTATTCGCCTGCATCCGAGGATCATTGGCCCATATCACCGGCGCCACAAGAACAGTAACCCCTGGCGACCCTTCAAAAGCCCTATCGATAATCGACTCAATCAAAGAATCCGCTTTCTCCAAATCCACCTCCAAATCCATATTATTCGTCCCCGCATGCACAAGCACAACGTTCGGTTTCGCGGGGAGAGACAGGTCAATGTACCCCCTGATATCAGCTAGCATCTTGCCGCTATGTCCCTCGTGGTTGGCATCCGGCATGTTGCCGTCCGAGAGACTTCCAATCATATCAGTTGTGGCATTCGTTCCCCGTTGGTCCGCTACGACCAACTCACGCAGTTTCTCCCGGTACCCGTTTCCGTCGGGCGAGCCGTTGCCTTTTGTGATTGAGTCTCCGAGAGGCATGATGCGCAGACTGGGGAGCTCTTGCTCAGCGGCGACGGGTTGGAGCGGTGCCGCCGTGAGTGTGAGCGCCAGCGCCCAGGAGAGGGCGCTTAGAAGTTTCATGGCGCATGTGGTGGACAATATCTCCCGGTGATTTATGACTTCACAAGGTAGGAAAGCACATTCAAGGAAGGGTTGATTCTTAGATAAAAGCCCAGTTCCTTGTTGATGTTATTATAGGCATATCGGAACCCAGTACCTACCCACACCGTGCTTGCTTCCATTCCGCGGTACAATCTCGTCCCCAACCAACCCTAGCAAATTGGGCGCCTGCCCAGAGTGGCAGTGCACCCTGGTTCCTTGCATCTTAGATGAACTCAAGGTCTAAAAACATCTTAACTCAATAGCTTAAGGCTGGAGCTACTTTTAAGGCGCCCACGGGGGGGATGTCAGCGCAGCAACTGTCCTCATTTGTACATCCGATCCCCTGTGGTTATTTATATCATTGGATCCAGCACTGATTAGCGTCCATGTCGCGATCGCCAAGCCAACTCCGCCCGAGGACCCTGGCGTCTTGGCATGTTTATACGAACTAAGGAGTAGAATATAGTCGCAGCATAGTTCCTAAATTGTATTCGTCCACTGCACATCAAACCGGGAGGGGTGGGAGGAAATGTGCGATCAAGCGCGCTTGGCGGCTCACTTTCAAGAATGGAAAATATCCCGCAACTCCGTTCTCCAATGGGAGACGTGGTTATTTGTTGGAGTGCGGCATGCGGTACTAAAAAGACTTCAGCCATCATCCTCAGGCCGTGATATTGTCTCGGATTGTTATGCATGTTAAATTAAGTCAAGAGGGGGCGATGCAGGAGTCCAGGTATTTCCAGGAGAAAGAAATAACAGTAAGCATAAAAGGTGTGTCTGATATATAGTCTCTCTTCTAATCTTGTCAATCTACTATCCAGGCGAACTACCAATTCTGAGAGTTGTCAACAATGCAGCTCTTACAGCTGGTTTTCTGCGCCTTGCTGGTCCTTCTTGTCTCAGCTCAAGAAAGATATCCTGGTCCGCAAAGGACGGAAATGGAAGATGGCAAAGAAGTTTGGAAGACAAAGATACAAGGCTTCAGCGATACACTTACCTACAGGGGTACCTCCGTTAACCCACATCGAAGCCTTGAAGGTACTAACATCCAGTCACAGTTAACGATCTCCAGAGCAGGGGTGCCCGCCCCAAGATGGTCTACAACTGTGCAGTTGTCCCAGCCCTCTGCAACAACGCCCGGGCCAAGCTCAACGGCGGCTCCACAGCCACGTTTCACTACGACTCTGATGATAGGAAGAGTAACCGCAAGAACGCCCGTCGGGACACCAGCTGTCCGGGGAACTGGAAAGATTCGCACACATGCCCCGAAAGCAACCAGCCACGCGAATTCTGGTTCACGAAGCCGGGGAAAACGACACTCGAGAAGAAGGCAGTTGAGATGTGGAGGGGAAAGCGTGGCCAGGACCCGCCGGATCGGGCACAGTTCGCTGAATTGGTCAAGATCGAGTACGATAACGGCATTGGGACCGAGACCTGGAGGAGGCTAGGGGCCCAGCTCTCATGCGACGAATGGCCAGCGGCATCGTATGCACCTCCTCTTGTTATCTCCCAGTACTGAATGCGGTTCCTGACGATGTCTATGCAGTTGGATCGAAGGGGGTGCAGGAGCAAATACGTATTGTGAGCTTTCCTACAGGTGTACCCCAACTATATCTTGAGCAACGACACTCATCAGCTTGTATTTATCCAGGCGCGCCGATATTTGCTAAATGTGAGACCGTCAAACTGAGGACAGAACAAAACTTTCAGGCTGGTATCCATGGCCAGATCGGCGTGAGCGGCTCCACCCTTAGCCCTATGTATATAGATATCATGCTGATCCCCTTCACACAACAGAATTGGTACAACAATTTCTACCCACAGTGGCCAGAAAATACAACATGGACCGACAACGCGGAAATAATCCACAACTTGAATTGGGCGATTTTTAAAGTTGACTTTGAGCTGGTGAATGATGGTGGCCACAAGTATGCCGCCTGGCTGGAGTCGAAGGGGCGTAAACGATACTGCGTTCCCGCGGTGGGTGATGATGACTGCAAAGTAGAATGGGACGAGGATCCCGATGGCTTTTTCGACCAACTGCCGTAGTCAGTGGTGCAATGTGATCCTTGATAGAGAGCTGATATTGATCTTCCCTTTGTGCCTTTGGGTTTATGGTGCATTTTCTGTTATTTAAATGTGTTCTATATTGTAGTACGCAGGCTGCAATTTCACTTCGGAGAATGAATGATGGTCAGTTGAACTAAAAACAGGCTTGGGATCACGGATTTACTCGTCCCAAGTCATTTGTCTACGGTCTCTTTAATATCTGTCTTTAAGTATTCCTCCCCGCCAGTATGGGGAGCACGACGGTGGTAGACAAGCCAGGATATAACAGCCAACAGCTATACCCGTAACATTCCTATGTTATCTAAAGTGGTTCTAGCCCTAAGTTACGTAAAGTAGGGAGGCCGCAACTGTTCAATGCTGGAAGTACAGTATGTCTGCTCTCTCTAGATCTATCAGATGTGAATCATCATTCGGAGATAGCATCAAGCTATTTATATCAAATGCACAATTACGGGGCTCTGCTCTTTAGAAACGGTCACCAAGGTATCTACTGGTCAGATGATGACAGAAACAGTGACCGTGAAAATAGGCCAAGTCCTTCGATTAGCCCTATCCCTTAGGCTGACGGTGGGTCCACTCGTGAGACGAGCTCAGACATTGCATTCCCATCTCGAAACATTCCAAGCAGATGTCAAAATCAATACAAACTTCGCAGTGGTAGTAGGACTTATTGTCCAAGATATATCTCGCGCACACATCACACTCCATAGTACAATCACCATTAGCCAAAGGAATGGTAGTTGATTCCACCCTGCAATCAACATCACCGGTCTCCATTCCACGTTCTCTAGCCCAGTCACATATAACTTCCAAGATTTTAGGTTCTCCGACTTTTGAAGCCCACTGAAGCAAGGTCCTACCAAAGCCATCTTCATGGTTGATAGGGTCTTCCGTCACCATGATCAACCGTTTGACGACATCGATATGGCCATTTCTGACTGCCGCAGATAGGGGCCTTGAACCGTAGCTATCCATACGGTTTGGACTGGCACCGTGTAGAAGGAGAGTGTCAACCACACTGAGGTGGCCGCGAGCAGCAGCCACGAAAAAAGGAGTTCGGTTGATTTGATTCACGGCGTGCACGTCAACACGTGGTGATTGGAGGAGTATCTCGGCAGACTTGACACTGCCACTACGTGCGGCGAAATGAAGTGCAGTTTCCCCTGCCTCACTGGCGTCTGAGGGATCCGCACCCTTCTGTAGAAGCAGCTCAATCATCTTTGGATCGTCATCCAATGACGCATACATGATTGGCGTGCGACTGAGATAACGCTTTTCAGTACTGTCCGCACCCCAATCAAGCAACAGCTTTGCCATGTCAGTTTCGCTGTTGCGAAAAGCGGCCACAAGTGGAGTATCTCCAGTGCCATCTCGCGCCTCTATATCCGCACCCCACTCTAGAAGTAGTTTCGCCGTCTCCATATGATTTTTTATTGCTGCTATAGCGAGAGGCGTTAGGCCGGTAGTATCTGGGACACTGGCATCTGCACCATGTTGAAGAAGTGTCCTTACCACGTCAATATGGCCGCCAGCCGTGGCCAAATTAATAGGTGTCCATCCATCATCTGTTGCAATGCTGACGTTCGCGCCATGGTGTAGAAGTGTTTTTAGCACTTCAGGATTCCCACCATAGCACGTTATGTGGATTGGAGCACACCTCCGGGTATCTCTGATATTCACATCTGCACCAAACTCGACAAGTAGACCGACTACTTCAGCATGGCCAATACGGCATGCCATATGGATTGGAGCCCACCCCTGACTATCTCTAACATTAACATCTGCACCAAACTGAATAAGTAGCTTGACTACCTCTGGGTTGCCGTTAATTGAGGCTACACTCAAAGGCGTAGTGCCTTTCGTATCTGCCATTGAAACATCAGCCCCATGCTCGAAGAGGGCTCTAACAATTTTTAAATTTCCTTCTCTGCTGGCTGCTTGGAGTGGCGTCTCTCCATTATAACCTCTGGAATGCACATCACACTTCACTTCATGGACCAAATAGTTCACTGTTTCTTCGATGCCAAGCCGAGCTGCATAGTATAACGGGCTCGCGGTCTCCGCTCCGGGTGGTGTACAGTCGTTTTGCCCCCTCGATGTTGTGTAGACGTTCAGGTCCAGCCAGGTTTTCCACGAAACCCAGTTTGGGTTATCCGGATTGAACAATCTGTTGATCGAATCCACCAATATCGGGTCGCTCATATCTCGTAGCATAAACTTTTGATACCAGGACCCTGCTGCATATGCTCGGAAAGCCCCTAAAATATCCTCGGCCCATACAGTAGAACTCCCAACCCAGGCCTCTTGACTATTGACAAAGCGAAGGCATTTTCTTGCGAGCACCATGCTCTCAATGGCCTCGGTTGACTGGCCAAGAATGGCATTAAACTGCACTGCGTTCTGCCGGGTAGGTATCTTGCGGAGCATGAACTCTTTCACTGAGAAATGTGCCAGGTGCAATGTTTTCCACCTTGGATCCCCTCTGCCCAGGGAGTCCCGCACTTCCAATAGTGATCCACAGAGTTCTGTTATCTCGGTGCTGATGTAGTCTTCATCGATAGTGTCTGGCAGATCATCCAGCCGTATTTCTTCACAATCATCGCCGACAACCAGTGCCCCGGATATTTCGGCAACTGTCAGAGGCCGTACACTGAAGGCCGTCCAATGTAAAATAGAGAAAGCACGAGTCCTATCCTCATCTGGTAGATTCATTATCCTTTCCCAGTTCCTTTCGTAGAAATGTTCAATCCCAGGTGGCGTGGAACTAATAGCTTCCTGGAGTTTCCTTTCACTCTTGCCGCTGCGTAAAGTCTCCTGCTGCAATCTCACCCATAGGAACTGTCCATTACACCTTTCCGCAAGCCTCTTCGTGATACTGTCCTTGGTTACATCAGGCTTTCTGGACAGTTTCTCGTTGACAATGCTTCGAGAGTATGCCACCACATCATCTCGGACATCGCCCGCGGTGATCTGATGCTCGAATATATTATCGTCAGGACCGCCATCCAAGAGACCGTATCGGATTTCTGGCTCGTTGCGGCTCATGATCAGAACTCGCGTAGATGTGCCTTCTGTCGCCTGACGCAATGATCCAATAAAGTTAGGTATAGAGTCGTCGGCGCTTCCTGGCCATGCTCCTTTCGCAAATTCACATTCGTCCAACCCATCCAGTACAAGCGTACATCCGGGAACAGCAGAGACAATCTCCTGCAGAAGGCTTAGAATGTCCCCGCGCGTTGCTCTCTGCGTTTCTGTCGTTTCCCATTTCCCACGGACAATTCCGAATGCCCTTTCGTGGGATACCAGTTGGGATAGCCAGAATCGCATCGCTAGGAAGGGGTCTCGCGTTTCGGAATCGCAAAGAAAGTACGCCACGGGCGTATCCAAACTGAGCAGCAAATGCTGAACGACCTTGGCGCACAATATGGATTTCCCAAAGCCAGCTGGCCCATTTATCCATAAGTATTTGGCTGATGGCAAGGGAAAGTCGACAGAGGACCACTTGAGGAACCAGGGACGGTCCAAGACCCAGTTACAGGATCCTTCGACGCTCCGTTTGACATATACTTCATAAAGTTCGTTTTGACAGTGGTCCCCTAACAGCCAGTTCTTTATATCGCGTCTTCTTTCGACTTTTTCTATCCGTCAATGAGGAGAAGTTGCAAGGTAAAAAGTCTGCTTACCTTCTTTTTCCTGTTCTATTTCGGCTAAGACTTTATTTAGATCGAGCAGCCAAGGCGCTTCATTCGCCGATGCATCTGTATACGAATCAGTTCCTGCTTGTGTCATATTAATAGCATTCAATACCTCTCTCTTGAACCGGCACCAGGTTATGAAGGTCATCCACAATTGATGAAAATCGACCAACCTGCGCAATCCGTTTCTCTTTGTTTCTTAACGCCCAATTGAGCCTCTGTCTTTTCAGCCCTTGCGGCGCACCTGAATGATCATGCTTCCCAGATATCTGGCTTTTCCCAGTCGCAGTTGGACGTATATTGTCTTGGAGACCACAAGTCTCTTGAATTGACGATAAAAGATCCTTGACATTCGCCAATATCCGTGCATCCTCCAGAAGTCCATGATGCTGGCTTGATAGACCCCCGGGTTCAATCCCAACTGCTTCGCCCCATCTCTCCAGGCGAATCTTCTGCGCCTCGAACTGTGCCGTCAGAGAACGGAAGTCAGGGCCAAAGCTCTTCCACGAGTCGTATTTGTTGACCACTTCCAGACACGTGTTGAAGAGCCCGGCCAGACCAACAAGGCCGACTGCCAATCCGGCCGGCTCCATGGTGCGCGGCAATTATCCAGATGGATGATGAGCAGAAGCTCGAGTGAGGGGAAGTTGGGCGCTGAGCGACTGCTTGTCAGCCTCAGCCTCGTGGGAGAGACATCACGTGTCAGCCCAACAGGGTCGCATACCAGACAGTTCATCTTGTGGTTAAGAGGATGGATGAGCAGCTGTACATCTTTACTTTATTTATCTGCGGAGTTTGGACTGTCATTCTAGCGTACCAAACTAACCGTGCAGAGTCCCCGATCTCGTATTGAGTCACTGCTCAGCCACATCGCATCTCCACTCTATACTTATAAGTACATCTAGTCCCCGTCATATTTACTTCCATCAATATACCTTTTTCTACCTATCTTACGGTTAAATCACAATGTCTACCCATATTCGTTCCAACAATACTATGAAGAATACCAAACAAAAACAAGAAACACCTCCCTCCCACCAAATTCGCGCCCTCCACACACCCACCACAATAACAATCTACCAGGCATATCCACCCTCCATCGCCTGCCCCGCCATCACCACCCAATCATTCACCAAAGTCCCCCAATTCAGCCGGACCCGGATGACATGGATAAAGCCCTCCTTCCTATGGATGGCATACCGCTCCGGGTACGCCAGTAAAAAGGGACAGGAGCATGTTCTAGCTATTGAAATCACGAGGGAAGGGTTCGAGTGGGCGCTGCGGCATGCTTGTCTTTCACATACACCCAATGGTGCTTCAGAGGAGGAAGTTAGGGCTTGGACGGAGAAGATGAAGAAGAGTCCGGTTAGGGTTCAGTGGGATCCTGAGCGGGATTTATGGGGGAGGCCGCTGGGTTGGCGCAGTTTGCAGGTTGGATTGAAGGGGGAGGCGGTTGAACAGTATATTGAGCAGTGGATTCTGGGGATTAGAGATGTTACAGAGCTGATGCATGATGTTAGTCGGAGGGTGGATGTGGGCGATGTTGAGGGGGCCAAGGCACTGTTGCCTATAGAAGATGTTTTTGAGTTGCCAGAAGATATTGGGAGGGGAATTGGAATGGAAGGATAGAGTATATTATAGACTACACCCATATAATAATATGCGAATACTAATTAGGGCTGTTGGTGACTCCTGACAACCGGACAAACGATGGTCCGTGCACCGTGGGGCAGGGTCAGACTGGCCTGATCCCTCCTCCATCACTCTACAACACAAGATGGCTCCATCTCTTTCCATCCTCTGCTTCGGCAATTCCCTGACCGCCGGCTTCTACCAGTATGGCCTGCAATACCACCCCTACTCCGAGAAGCTCAAGGAGCGTTTGAAAGAAGCCTTTCCCTCTCACACTATCCGCATTGACGTTGACGGCGTACCGGGTGACCTTGTTATCACTCCCCCAGGACGCTTCCTGACTAGAATGCAGGATGATTGTGAGTAGATATCCATTTCTAATCCGTTTATCTACTAACCAGGGTAGGCTCGAAGACTTCGTACGACTGGGTGATTGTACTTGGTGCAACAAAGTCAGTATTCCCTCCCAGAAGCTCTGGCTTGTGCTGATACAATACCAGTGATCTTGGTCGCGGGTATCCATGCTGGAAAATATTCCCGGCGCTGAAAGAAGCCTGGCAGGTGGCACTCGACAGCGGAGCACAGATCCTAGCGCTTACCGTCCCGGAATGCGCAGCCGTAAACAAACGGCTTGATACTGCTCGAGCTGAACTGAATTCCCTGATATTAAACCATTCTGACGAGCGATTGTGAGATCAACCTAGTTTTATTAATTGTATTAGTTCTAATTATGTCAGCCACGCATTTGACCTGCACAAGCATGTTCCGTATCACAGCTCTACGGAGAATTTCAGGGAGCTGATATTCGACGACGGTCTCCATTTGACGGCTGAAGGGTATGATCTGGTTGGCAATGTAGTTGCAGACCATTTGATACCGCTTCTCAGCTCGCGTGACGCTGGGGAGCAGTGACCGAAGTTATGCTGCGACGGTGATATCTTGATAGCAAATCGATGAACTTCGTTCCCACCGGCTTCTTTCTAAAGCTTGGACATTCAACTATTCCATAGTAACCTAGCACGCATCCTGCCTGTTCTGAGCCTTGCACGTAGCATTTAGGTGTTTACCCACCACACATTTGATATTCCACCTTACTAATTAGTCTGTAACCCCCATATTAATATGGGAACCGGCGGAAACTCCCGGAATTCTCTGTAACATGATTGACAGTCCAGCAAAACGAGCAGGCATCATGAATTCCTCCGGGCTCCATGTTGATCATCGTCCCCGAGGTGGAGCCTCATTGACCAACGATCGCTACACCAAGAGGCCCTGACAGGCAAAGTCTCTTTCCACAGCCACTTAGACACCAGACCTCGTATTTGCAGATCAGACCCCACTTTCGTCTATTGATGGTCCTCCTCCTGACCCCAGGGTCAAGGCACTTCCAGAACTGGGTTGTATTGACGCTCCATCTGCCCATATTTCGGGGGCCCTGGGTGAAGCCACTCTCCTCCATGTCAGCCACCAACTTCGGCTGGGCCCTGCGCAAGAACGGCTCGTGCCTGGCCTCGGAAGTTGACTGCGGCGAGACCGTCGCGCCGTACCGAGTCTGCTGTCCCAACGGTTCCTTCTGCCCTCACGCCAACAACGTTGCCTGCTGTCCGTCGAAATCGTACTGCACCGATGCCCTCAATGGCCAGCCCCGCTGCGCCAACAGTACCTGGGATCTGTTTATCAACGGTGGATACTTCTGCTGCGAGTAGGGCACCGATGCCTATGCTAAGGATGATAAATCAAATGGCTGTGGGAAGCCGGGTTATGAGTTACAGGCGGGAGAGACACCGTTGAGCGTTATCTCTGCGGCAGCGAGTAAGTCCGAGAAAAAACAATCCCTGACATCGGTTTCTTGTCTGACGCGAGGTTGAATTATAGCAGCGACGTCCACTGCAGCCCCAACATCTACTTCGTCATCCGCGCCGACGTCTACAACCACTCAACCAAGCGGCAGCTCATCTCATACCAACACCAGCGCCATTGCAGGAGGGGTCGTCGGGGGAGTCGTTGGCGCTGCTATAATCATCACCGTGGCATGGTTCCTCATTCGCCGATCGCGACGGCCTCAACAATTACCAAATGAATTAGCTGGCCCTATGGCTGCGTCGAGCGATCATCCTTCGGTGCCGCCAGCAGAGCTGGAAGGCAATCGCGTCTCAGAGCTTCCGGCTAATAAAAACCCAGTGGCTGAGCTTCCTGTATCCTCCCGATAAATGTACAACTAGTGAGCGCGAAGGAATGTGGTGTTGTATTTAAGGTAGTTACAAAACCATGCTGTTCATGAAGCAATGCGGTATTATCTGGCAGGATATAGTGAATAATACTGTTTGGTATCAAGGCTCTCTGGCTATATCAAGGCCCAAGTAGTCGGATCTCATAGAATTACCAGAAGCAATATGGATATATTGTTAGTAGAAGTAGAGATCTAAGGTATCTATAATATGAAGCGGCTTCTCTTTTTAATATGTTAGAAGAACCCCTTGGCAGGCCGTTGCTGTTACGATTGAAACTGTCTCGGAACAACAGAATAGGTACCTGACCTACAGGCCTACATCAATTGTCATTTACCTCAGAAGAGACCTTAGAAGCAATATATAACGTTTCTGTTAAATGGCAAAGTAAGGCAAAATTAAGGATCCTTCCGTTGAATATATAATGTATGATATCTAGTCCAGCCTCCTTAAGGACTTATATTCATTAATTCAGAGACAGCAGTACTAACATCAAAACCTGAGATGTCAGTAAATAACAGCAATAAGAAACAAGGCTGCGCTCACAGATAAGCTGCGAGGGCCGTGCCGCACCACGACAGCTGAACGCTGCAGGCGCTCTCTTCCAATCGCAGCCCTACTCTGCGCCACAGCGTGCAGGGAATGCACTACGCCCCGGCGCCTGGCTGTGAATCGATTGGATCATACCTGAACTTGCCAGGCAGGAGGGGTTGATTTGCAATGCCCAAGGGAAATGTCTTATCTGCCTCGTCTATCATCTAACAGGCTGCCTTGTGGTCGCATAGGCATATAACCATGCCTTCCCCTCCTCTGGTCGGGACAACGACCGGTCGCTAGGTTTACAACAAGACTTGAAAGATGTCGAAAGGAAAACAAACGACCAACTTACCCCCCAACGGTGGACGAGCTGTCCATTGCCATACCTGCCAGAGATCCTTCACCAACGCGGATGCTCTGGGTATGCATTGTCGGAGCTCAAAAGTGCATCAAGAGAACAAGTCAGGTAGGCTCCTCCGTCCAGTGCAATGAAAGATTAAACAATTCATTCTATTTAGCCCCGTCGCCTTCGCCATCCAGCGCTGACAAACCAACGCCCTCGCCGACGAACAAGGACTTCATGTGCATTCAATGCAACAGGCAGTTCAAAGACAAAGCAGCATTGCGAAGTCATAAAAGGAACTCCCGGAAACATAAAACTGCCTCACATTTTCCACTAAACGTTTCCTCCAACACTACGAAGGCGGCAGTCTCAGGCTCAAATGAAAGAGTAATAGCGCTAGAGCCAGGAACAGGCAAAAGTACCGCTGAGAATAACAGCATTGAAGAGGAGGTGGCAGATTTTCAGCATCAACCACGTCCATACCCACTGCCACGCCGACAGATACACCCAGCCAAAACATCAGGTCCCAATGGAGATTCGCATATTGACATTGATTTTACCACGGTCGAGATTTTGGTGGATGCCCTAATACCAGCCTTCTTCGAAAGCCTAGACGAGGCGAAACCTGATAACCCGGTTGCTTCGGTACCAGAGAATCAGGAGGGAGGTACAAATTCCGAGACCCATGAATTAGGTGCCAGCGAAGTCCCTGCACCGTGGTCCCGGGTCCCATTAAACGAGCGTGACGTGGTACTAAATGCTCTGCAAGCAAAATGCCACACCATTGGATCCCTAGCAAGGGAGGGATACTGGACCCAGACGCCATCGCCGGTAGATATTGACATGAGAAGACAATGCAGTGACTGCGGAGGTAAGAAGTTCCTTAACACTTGAACGGTTCATACTGACGGCCATTGTAAGTTGAGAAGCGAAGAATCAGTACACACCCAGAGGAGTCGGTATGCCGATTCCATCCAGCACGAAAGCCTTTTCAGGTGGGTACGAGAATATATCCCTCGCTCTAGACCGAATTGACAATTGCTGCCAGGACGGGATAATACGAGGTCGAGGCACACCAATGCCAAAGAAATCCCGGTGCGTTAACTGCAAGCAACCCGGCAGTTCAAAGGGCTGTATTGTCTACTCCTCCCATGCCTTCGCACCCCCTAATGCAAACCTGGGTAAGATGGCACCGACACCGGCCTACAACCGGGAAGCTCGCAAGGCCGTCGTGATAGATTGTGAAATGGTCGGAGTGCTCGGCGCCAGTGGCCGCGAATGCAGTGTGCTTGTTCGTGTCAGCGCGGTCGATTTCTTAAGCGGTGAGCTTATACTTGATACGTATGTCTCTCCGCAGGGCAAGGTAATATCCTGGCGCACGAAGTTCAGCGGCGTCAATCGCTCTGTTCTCGAGAAGAAGAATCAGGAGGGGAAGGTGGTAAAGGGCTGGCAAGCTGCAAGGGATCTGTTATGGCAGTTTATTGATGCGCAAACGGTACTTATCGGGCACAGTCTCAATAACGATCTTGCTGTCCTTGGAATGGTACACACGCGCGTTGTTGACTCGGCTATCATAACGCGGGTTGCGGTGGGTGAGGACTGCAAGCGTTGGAAACTACAAAAGCTCGTTCAGCAGTTTCTTGACCTGAGCATTCAAGCTGGAGATGAGGGTCATGATTGTGTTGAAGATACCTATGCTGCGCGTGAAGTTATATTGTGGTGCTTGCGAAATGCATCTGGGCTGCAGGCTTGGGCTGACGATGAACGGAGAACCATGGCGGGAAATACAAAAGAAGGGACATTGTCACAAAAGCCATCAAGGTAGCATCGACGAATCGACTCCTGCCGGTTTTGTCTGGTTGTGGTGGAAATTCAGGTCAACCTTGCGCTTATAATTTATGTAGCAGAGTCCGGTATAGAAGCTCAGACCTCAATGCAATGCGTTCCTAAACAAAAGAGAAAAGCATTCATTAGCTTAAGTACTAGGCTGAAGATAACCTTTTCAAAACGTCTTGGCTCTTTTGATCCAAATCTGGAAACTTCCTCAGACAACGCAAATCCATCCAGAAATTCTTTGCATCTTCATGGCCATCCCCATGTGCCTCGAAGCGCTCCCGTAGCAGCTTTTTCCACTTGGCATCATCATCGGTCCATCCCCAAGACGCTGAGACGTATTCATACCATACCGGATAATAAGCAGCGAATTCCCAATCAAGTATTCCAACCAGGCTTCCATCTCTGACCATAATATTCCCCAAATTCAGATCACAGTGAGTGAGAACATAGGGCCCACACTTGGGTAAACTCTTCTTCAGATTCTGTAAGACCTGTTGAGGCAGAGCCTGTAGGGTAAGACTCAAAGCTTCCCATAGTTCAAGGTCAGAGTGAAACGGTCCGTGTGGTTCGCGGTCAGAGAAGAGTAGCTCTGGGTAACAGGGACCCTGATCAACGCATTGTATAGATGATGCTGTAAGAGTTCGTAGCCGTTTGCGGACCTCCACCACCTGATCCGCGATAGCCAATCTTTGGTTCTCTGTCAATGAAGGCCAGGCCTGTTCGAGTGTTTGCCCTTGTATCCGTTTCTGAAGCACAAAGTATCGTCCGTTACCGTCGACCCAGTCATGGAGGACCGTTGGAGCTGGAATATCAGGGTAGGCTGCGAGGTATTTCAGCGTTTGTACTTCAGTTTTCGGGCCTTCATCAGGGCGTTCTTTCATGATCACATCGGAGCCAAGGGACCACACGCCCCGCTTGCTTGCAGCATAGAAGAGTTTCACATTGCTTTCATAGAAGCATTGACCCTGCTGGTCAGACGACCATCCACATGCGATGCAGGCATTCGATGATTCGGCCATAATGGACGGAGAAGTGTGATGTTTACACGAAGTCAGTCAGTCACCGCCACCTCCAGTGAAAGCCAGCTTATTAATCAGCTTGCAGCCTTGTACAACATTCGTCCTAAAGAGTATCATTGCCAATACTGGGTCTCTTAGGATGGATCAGCAAGCAGAGTACGGAGAGGCAAGCAGACTGTCTGTCCCATTGATAGCGGGGATAATGATATCGTGCGTGTTATTGCAGGACTTGCTGTGTGGATAATCCCCTCCACTCCTCTTACAGCCTGACCAAAGGCCCCTTCTCCTCGATTTTAAGCACGATGGCGAACTTAATTGAGATGAGAATAGTTGCCATCCCTCAGATATAACCCAATGTTTAGATGCAGTCAGTACATACGACCACAGGGTGTGGAAAACAGGGCTTCCCGTCCGCTCAGCCGTACTTAAGCCACACGCCGGCTGGTTAGTAGTATGGTGGGTGACCACATGCGAATCCCAGCTGTTGTATGTTTTTTGTTTTTTAATTTTATCACTTGATGGTGTTTTCTTGTCGCGAAGGGGCTTGGAGGACTTGGGTTATGCCTCGGCTCAGGAGCAGGATATCTCCTCGGTAGAGCTTTGTGGAGATATCGTCAATTGTATAGCAGCCCACTATCCAAACCCTAAGAAGAGTAGTGAGGTGGATATTGATAACTTGGACCATTTCGAGAACCTAGTTGGTAGTGGTCAACCCGCTGTTTATTTCCAAGGTGGGAAGTACCGATAATCTTCACGGTTGGCAGTAGGGGGAAAGCCAAGGAGGACATGGAGAATATACACAGTGCTAGCTACATTGGGTAAATGATTGGGCATAATCGTCATCAAATTACCCCGTACTCCATGGACATGCCGATCTACATTTCTTCAAAGGTGAAGGAATGACGGACACAATCTAATATCCCCCCCTGAACGAACCGAGCGACTGAAGAGCCTTACTAGATCGTGGATAGTAAGACCAACGGCTTCTGCCCTAGTGCCCGTTTGCGTATGGATTTCCGCCGTCAACGGCTGTCAAGCCGTGTTGGAGAAACTCGGCTGGTTTATGATTTGGAATTGTTTTGATTTATTGAATCTGCAGCACCCCGGAATCCTGGAACGACAAGACCGCCAGGACACAATGAAGCTCCCCATCCTGACCACAGCCCTAACTGCAGCCGCGGCGACGGCAGAAAAGACATGCACCACCACCAACATCCCCGTCCCCATCACGACCCGGAACGGCGTCTTCGACAAGCTCCCCACGCCCCAGTCGAATTTTGACGCGGCGACTTTCACGCTGGGTGCACTTCGTCAGGGTGCCAATGGAACTGAAGAGGCTCTGACTGGATACAGCACCATCCAGAAGACGTACCACATCTCCGTGCAGTACTGTAAGCCAGCTGGACCGGACTCTGGCTCGAGCCCTGTTGTGCAGATTCTGACGCACGGCATTGGGTTCGACAAAACGTGAGCTTTCCCTCTATTTTTATCTATATATTTATTTATATTTTTCTTTTCCTTTTTTTTTTTTTTTCGGAGGCTAATGAACGGGCGTACAGATACTGGGACTTCCCATTCGACAACTACAACTACTCGTACGTGGACAACGCCGTGGCCCACGGCTACCACACGCTCGCCTACGACCGTCTAGGCCTGGGCCTGTCGTCCCATGGAGACCCCAAGGATGAAATCCAGGCATTCATCGAGGTGGCTGCTCTGGCCCAATTGACCGAGATGGTCCGTAAAGGATCCATCCCTAGCCAGGGGGAGCAGAAGCCCGAGAAGGTGGTGCACGTTGGACACTCGTTCGGGTCTGGCCTGAGCTACGCCCTGTCTGCGACGTTCCCCGAACTGTCGGACGGAATCATCCTCACGGGCTTTGCGCTGAACTCGTCCTTCCAGGGGTACTTTCTCGCTGGAGGCAACTTCCAGCAGGCCCATCTGTCCACGATGAAGTGCCGGGAGACGTATGCACCGGGGTACTTGGTTCCCTCGGATATCAGCGCCAACCAAGTCCTCTTTTTTGCGCCGCCGTACTTCGACCCCAAGATGCTTGAGTTTGCGGAGGAGAACAAGCAGCCTGTTGCGGTTGGCGAGCTGCTTACTATGAACAGCTCCCCGACGCAGAGTGCCTTTGCTGGCCCTGTCTTGATCATCACGGGTGACCAAGACATACCCTTCTGCGGTGGCGATTGCTCGAATACCGGTGGTGTGGCCAAGTCGATTCCGGAAATGGCCAGAAAGGCGTTCCCCAAAGCGAACAAGTTCGAGGCGTATGTCCAGCCTAACACGGGCCATGGCTTGAACATGCATTACAATGCTACCGCGGCCTATGACTACATCGCCGCGTTCCTGAAGGGGTCCCTATAAGCACTCTACACCCCAAGTGCACTGCGGAGTGTAAACAGAGTGCTCTGTCTCATAAGAACTAGATAATAAGCCAGCTGGACTCATGCCAGTCTTTAGTTTAATGTAATACTATTTATCCTGATATTTCGTTGGAGCTCTACCATTTGAATATCATAATCCAATCTGAACCCTAGGTAGGAATACCTTGACCAGAACGCGTAGCATGGTCTCAATATCTAACTAGGGCTCTGAGAAACAGGGCTGAATACCTAACGAGTCCCTCCCCCTCAATCAAGCGCTCAGTCCCAACAATAACACTTCCTATGGGTGCGCCATGCCCTTAGACTGTAATTTCCGAGTTAGGGTTGGTCTACTACCTTACCCTCTCTACCTTGTGCATTCGGATTAACCTGGCAGTCTGTGCCTCAGGGAAATTTATTAAGAGGACAGATCCAAAACCTTGCTCTAGCCCGTGCTCTCCTGACAAAAGCCAGCCGCACGTATTAAACACTGGGGATTCTCACAACTGACATGGTCTATCTAGCAACCGCCACAATGGACTCTTCAACACGAATATTCGTACAGGGTGTAGTCAAACAGCATTTCTGCCCGCATACCGCCATCACCATTACTCATCACATCGAGTCCGCTGTAAGCAGCCCACCCCGTTTCTGGTCCGAGTATACCGTGGATTAGTTGGCTTACCCTTTCGCCAGCTCGATCACGATAAGGTCCTTGTCTTGCATGATGGGCAGGTCGCGGGCTACGATTACCCGAGACAGTTCAGGATGAGAATACGATTCTCTGTGATTTAGTGCGGAGGCGAGGATAGGGGGTGTATTGCTGGGTTGAGGGCACACACAGACTATATTAATATCTGTATAGGGCTCTGCGACTTCTTAGATATGACCATACTGGTGCAGTATGCTCACTACCCTTAATATGGAAAATCTTAGAATCCTATATACGTTACCCTCCTCATTTAGGAATACTTCTTCAAACCTATTTGCACTTTTCTCGCCATGATACCTACACTCGGGGGCCCTTGGTTGCTCCCCGATCTAGCAGCATCTGGACTATTTTTTCCTCACGCTCCCCTGCGGCTTGAAGTACACTGCCGTATGCTCCATCTGGGGCGTTGACATCGGCACCTCGATCCAGCAGTAACTGCACTGTTTCTGTTTGGCCAAAACATGCCGCCTGTTGAAGTGGAGTAACAGTACCTAGGCCGTAGATATCGGTACCTTGGGTGTTGATATCAGCACTATGGCCCAGCAGTATCTCCACTATGTCATTATTACCTTTCATGGTTGCGTTTAGAAGTGCAGTGCCGAAGGGTCCGTCGGTGTTGGGATCAGTGCCATGATCTAGCAGAATGTGCACTATATTTTCATGGCCTCCGAGCGATGCAGATTGAAGTGCGGTGCCATATATTCCTCCTGGGCCGTTGAAATTGGCACCTCGATCGAGCAGCACCTGGACTATCTTTTCATGCCCCTGGAATGACGCGCCTTGAAGCGCACTGCCATAATCCCCTTCTTCACTGTTGGCTTCGGGATCAGCACCCTGGTTTAACAACTCCTCCACGACTTCGAGGAAACCCATCCACGCGGCTCGATGGATTGGAAGTTCACAGCTTTCGGGCGTTATCCACCATCCGCCTTCACCATCCAATGGACTACTCTCAATACACACCCAGTTCAAGTAGGCCGTAGGCTGAGTAAAGAGACGATTAATCTTGGATTTGAGGCTTGGATCGAGTCGGTCAATGTCTCTCAAAGCAGTCGCGTGAGTAGACCAGTTCCGGGCCGCAAATGAAAGGAAAGGCCGTTCTGTCGCCTCTTCTGGGGTCAAAACTTTCGTCTGCTCCAGGAGATAGTCCATGGTTGCTGTCAAGAGAGCTTTGTGCCCGTTGGCCACCGAGAATTGGCATTTGTGGTGAGGATCACCCTCCTCCGAAACAATCAGGAACTCCTGGACCGAGAAATGAGCCATCTGGATCATTTTATCAGATACACTGACCAGGGATGTCGTGCATATATTGACGACGTCATCAGGGTCAGCTAGACCGGCCATTTCAGCAACTGTGTTGACTTCAAGAGTCTCCGGCGAAAGACAAATGAGCATGAGGATGTGTCGTGCCCGGAGAATGTCGTCGGGTTCAATGCTATTAAGAATCCTGCGATAAGTATCCTCCAAGTCTTTTGGAATCTTCTTGAGAACTTCTTTTATATCGTCATCGCCTATGCGGAGTTTGCGGCGCTTCTCAAGCATCTGGATTTGCAACTCAGCCCAACGGAAACGCCTGGTCAAAAAAGTAAGAAAATGTCAATATTAGAGGCAAATTGACGAACCGGTCCTCAGAATTTACCAATGTATGGAATATTAGTGCCCTGATTTCTTCACTATATTTCTGAAGTGTATCTCGTGAAATTGCAGCGGTAACGAATTGTTTCACGTCTTCAGCCAAATGGGCCTCTAGATCGACTGTAGAGAACCTCTCCAGCTTGTCTTTGATATCTTTCTCAGGCCGACTAGTAGCGAGAATGTGAACTTTATCCTTGTGCCGCTCGAGAAGGTCGACAATAACGCAAAGAAGCAACTTTCTCTCACTGTCGGCATTAGGGCTGTGCGGACACTCATCCAAGGCATCAAAAACCAAGTAAACATGTCTCTGGTCAGGAATATTAGATAAAACATCGTCAAGTACCCTTAATATGGTTTTTAAATCAGGCTCGCTGCCTGGGATGCGATGTCTGTCCCATAACTTCACCAATGACGATGGCAGTGGGGACCGGCTCAACTGTCTAATCAGCGACCTGGCCATAGAATAAACACTTTTCGTCAAGTCGTCGCCGAAGTGGAAATACCAGTAGGCGAGGTACTTGTATGGGTCCAATTCGCATCTCTCGCTCAGCTCATGGATCACAGTAGAGCTACAGCGGTTAGCTCTTGACAGGCCAATTGGTGAAGTCTTATTCCATACCAAAGGACAGACTTTCCACAGCCCGCTGTTGATAGTCGTCAGTAATCTAACAGGCGCCAGGAGGAGAATGGTCTACTTACTGATACCAGGTAGCCAAAGTACGTCTCCTGGGTTGGCCATCCAATCGGTATACTCCTGCGACCCAAAAAGCCAGATACCAGTGCCCCTAGTTCTTTTCTCACTCAAGAAGTTCTGGCGTCCTGAGAAATTGAACTGTGACATCCATTTGACCTGAGTCTCCTTCTCCACAGCTATAATGGTCAGCACTGCCTACGAATGGTGGACCATGAGGAACAGAACATACTCTTTGCTTTGTTCTCCAGTCTTCGTGTAGCTTCAAGGCTTTCATCAGCCTTGTCTAGAAGCTCCTTTGCACGCTCTCGTTCATCTGTACTCGATCAGTCGCTAACTTCCGGTCAGAACTGAGCTTTAGCTAAGTTACCAAGGTTTGCAGAAAGCTCAATCCACTGTTTTACAGCGGCTTTCTGCTCTCTGACTGCATCCTTCAGAGTCGACAAAGCTTGGTCCGTCAATGGGAAGATGCTCTTCCGGGTACGGACTTGGGAATAGTTAGTCTAGGGCTTTTGATCTATAACAGAAGCTGACACGTACCCGCTTCGTTCTCCTTCTCTGACTTTTTGACTTCAGCTGTGAACTGTAGTATCGCCTTATAGGCCCGAAGTAGAACCTCGTCAACATTCTTATCACATTCAGTCCCCTGGTTCCTGTAGTTGGTATCAACAATTGCAAACCAGGATAGATTCTCAGTGAGATATGCAGCAGACTCGAAGATGGCATCTCGGCGGTCTAATCTGTTTTGAATAATCTGACTTTGTATGAGTATCGCCGTAGTGTTCTGATATAAGAATGTAGAGGCTCACGCTCATTCCGAAAGAAATAACCACCCATGCAGAAGATGCTGGTTTGTTTCCCCCTATTAGCATATTTTTACTTGGCAATAGATCCTCCAGGCTAGATCTTACCGTGTCCTGTAGGATCAAAAGATACTGCCTTTGCAATCACGTCCTTGGCCTTCATTGCAGCCTCAAGGATTTCCTCTGATGCATCACGGATATTGATATCGCCTTTCTCCTTCCGGTGGATTCGGAGGCCGCCCTTCTGGAACTCCTTATACTTTTCCGTTGTAATATCAATAACGCCCTGGATGGCGTCTGTGGCAGGCTGTTCATTCGCAGGTAAAAGCTCCTGGGTCGAGCGATCCAATCCGTCATATGCTTCCTTCCACAGATTACGTGGTGGAGGTTTCTCTTTTGGCTCTTCCGCAGGCTTTTCCATGGGCTTTTCCTCGGGGTTTCCCTGTGTCACATCCGTCGAGGAGGAACCCTGGTTACCATTTGTCGGCGCCTTTTGGCCATTTTGCGATTCCTTTTCGCGAACTTGGTGAAGTGGTCGATTTGGGGTTGGATGGTCGTCAGGGTCGTTTTTGTCAACGGAGCTGCAACAAAGCGCACGCAGGAACCCCATGGTTTTGTGGACGTCCAAAGAGAAATGTGTAGTTTGTGTCAAGAGGGAATGGGAATTCTGAGTTTACTTTCTCATGGCACAGAGTTTCGCGGGGAGCTTTGACGTGGCCCACTTCTCCACTCTCTCCACCACAGTCGTACGAACTGACCAGCTAACTGGACGGCTGGGGAAGGCATCCTTGCAGATCGCTTACGGCAAACGAGAGATCTGTGTTTGTGTGGATTAATTATAGCAAACTCGAGATCTGTCCCCGCTCTTGTTGATCTGGCGCTTCCTTCATGGTTATTTCTTCGGATTTGCCATCACGCGGCTCTCACTCTGACAGACGATGCTCCGGGGCCGTCCACTTATGATATGTCACTAATGACGAGTCTATATCATGTGTGATTGTACAAAGGCGCCTTCTGTTTGGGGTGCTACCTGAAGAGCCGCGCGAGATGCACCCACGCAAGTTAGTGAGCTCAGCCATAAAATTAGTTGCATGTTTTTAGTTTTCTATTTTGTTTACTTTTTACTTTTCTGGTTTAAGCACGTCCCATGGCAGGCGCTATCACCTATCCTGGAAACCACGTGGCGCAGCATGGCCCTCAATGAATTCATAAACTTTATCTCGCCGAGGAGCTTTACTGGCTGTTATATCTCTTATATACTCCGTACTTCGATGCTTGTTTCCTGGTCGTAGTCCGCGTGGTATACTCCGCAACCCGCAGGATCCGAAGCATCCAAATAGTAACGAATGAGCTTTGCCTAGGCATGCACAACAGAGCGCTGCTATAGGCGCAATCCCTCCCGGCGCGTGGTATAGTATTTCTCTTACAGCTTCCAATACACCAGACTCTTATTCAATATTAACTTTTTCATGGAGGCGGAGGAGTTGATATTGCGCAGCATGTTATGCTACAGATCTGGTAGGACCCTCTACACTCTCCTCACTCTCCTTCTCCTACTTGTTCTTCTTCTACAAGTTTTTTTTTTTTTTTTTTTTTTCCCTTCTTCTCTAGTTCAACGCAGAGTTCCTTAAGTTCTATACTAGTACTCCCTAGTCTTTCCTTCCAGCATAAGATAGACAAGCTATCACTTAGGGAAACAGATAGCCAGTGGAGTTCTATCAGTAGCATTGACGTTGACATTCTTCATGAGTATACACGCCGAGGACATCTTAGCGACAGTGACAGTGACGCTTATTCGCAGGTCCACACTTAGGGCAGGGGTCATGTTTTAATCGCGTATCTGAATAAATGGCTATTATTGGCTCCCATAGAAGGCTGATTTCCTCCCTGGCGGATTTAAAAAAAAGGTAAGAACTAGTGAAAAGGTTCGTCTGAAGCGTTACACTGCGCAGGACTGTGGGTAGGTATGTAGCCATAGGTAGAACCGGCATTAACATCAGCACCAAAGTCAAGTAGTTCAGTTGTACAGGTGTGGCTGTTAAGAGTAATACCTGCATCCAGATAACTTTAAGGCTTACCTGTAACTAAATAATTCTTTAGACGTTTGATGAAGCTATTTATGGCTTCTTATAGATTCTTACTTAATAGGTTATCCAGTTGTAAGGAGCGGGGTACTGGTTGCTAATTAGGGTTATACAGATTACCTGTGACAAGTTGGCGACAGAACAACGATGACAACCACCCTAGGTTGGCATACTTGTTAGCCCAAGTAAGAAGGGAAGGGACAAGGCCGCCTTGGATACGAGCTAAGCCTCGGTCTAGCCAGGGTAAAAAGAGGGGTAAGCAACGCCATCCATATATCCATCCCCTTCGCTGAATGTACGCATATCGACGCCCGACAACAGAAAGCTACAAAATGGGCAGAATCATCATTACCGGCGGCTCCGGCAAGGTTGGCCAGTACACAATCCCTGTCCTCCTGGCTCAAGGCCATACCATCCTAAATCTCGACATCGCCCCTCTCCCTCCCCATCTCTCGCAAAAGGTCCACACCCTTCATGTCGACCTTACAGACAGCGGCCAGGTACACAGCGCCCTAACCTCTCGCTTTCAGCTAACCTCTCCTTTCCACTCCCCTCTAAACCAGATCCCTGATGCGGTCATCCACCTCGCCGGCATCCCGCGCAACATGATCGTGCCCGATGGGGAGACTTTCCGGGTGAACACGCAAGCGGGCTATAATGTCATTGAAGCAGCGTGCCGTCTGGGCGTGAAGAAAATCATCATTGCGAGTACCGTCTGCGTTTACGGACCACCGTATGCAGAGGGTGCCATGGAGTACGCCTCATTCCCAGTTGATGAGGAAGCTGATAAAACCCCGATGGATACCTATGCCATCTCCAAGCTTTGTGTTGAAGAGACGGCGCGGGGATTTGCAAGCCGGTTTGCACAGGCGGGGGTCGATATATACGTACTACGGCTGGCAGCCGTGATTGCGCCGGATGAATATGAGCAGTTCTTTCTGCAGTGGAAGGCGGACCCGGCGGATGTGAAGGCGGTTGGATGGAGTTATACTGACGCGCGGGACTTTGGACAGATGTGCCATCTCGCAGTCGTGCGGGATGGACTGGGGTATCAGGTCTTCAACGCGACAAATGACGAGATTACGGTTGAGACTGAGACGACGGAAGCGTTCTTAAAGAAGAACGCCCCTGGGGTGGTTTTCACCAGAGAGATGGAGGGAAGAGAGGCGCCGCTGACGAACCGGAAGATGAAGGAGATGCTGGGGTTTCGACAGGAGCATCCATGGCAGAAATACTTTGCTTCTGTCTAGTCCTATTTTGTCTTGGCAATGGGTATATTTGCAATCACATTTGACTTGGTATATCTTTATCCTCAATGCTTGTTTTGTGGTGTCTTAATGTTATATGTCTACATATCTGTAAGTGGCTGAGTGTTCTGCTGCTGTTAAGGACAAGATCTACATAAAAATAGGCGAGATGGGTAGCGGGACAAGCAGGAGAAGGTCCAACTAGGCAGGGTTCACCATGCAAGCCAAGCCAACCTGTACCCATCCCATTCGCTGGGAGACGGAGCGTCGGCTTGGAAAAGGCACATTTCCCATTTCGGGCCACGATCCCACACTGAAAGGGTCAGATCGGTCCAATTACCCCCAATATAAGGCCGGCTAGTCTTGATATGCGGCCGTGGGGTTGAAATCAAGGAATCGCGCTGCGCTGCCCGTGTTTCAAATGGAAATACCCCGCCGGAGGTGGATTTAAATACCAATGGTACCTGATGACCTTTTATTTATTTATTTTCATTTTTAAAATTTGCGAGGTGAGCAGCAGTCTACGATGAAGTCTCTCTTCCCTTCTCTGTTATTCCCCCTTGCCTTCGCGCGCCAATTTTCTCCGGCTGCTCAGACGGTCACTCAGCACGACGCCGATCTACTTCCAGAATATGATTATGTTGTGGTCGGAGGCGGGGTTAGCGGACTAACTGTCGCAAATCGTCTCACGGAGGACAGTAACAGTATGGCTCATCCGTCAAGAAGGGTAGAGTGTAGGCTAACAGTTACAGCAACCGTGCTAGTCATCGAAGCAGGCAAAATGTAAGTTTTTAATTTTCAAAATTAAAAAGGGGTACAGATGGCTCATACGGCGCAGTGACGACTACTCAAAAGGGATCCAGTACCCCCGGTTCGCGCGGTCAGTGTCTGCAAACTACAGCTGGCCGATTACCTCGCTGCCAATTGACGGGCTGAACAATCGTACTGCACCCGTCGTAGTAGCGCAAATTCTCGGCGGTGGCAGCGCAATCAATGGGATGGCTTTTATGCGTGGTTCGCCCGGTGATTATGATCTCTGGGCTGAACTCATTGGGGACAGGAGCTGGGGATGGGATGGGCTTTTGCCGTACTTTAAGAAGGTAATTGTTAAAAAGGCCCTGGATTCTCGGGTTTATAGGGTTAACTTTCCATAGAGCGAGACATTTACGCCTCCAACCGACGCTCAGCAGAGTGAACACGGGATTTCGTTTGACATGGATGCACGGGGGACAAATGGGCCTATCCAGTCTTCTTTCCCTCCGTATATCACGAGTACAGGAAGTAAGAGATCCATAACTACGTGATTTGCTTAGCTTATACTCTAGATAGGAGTATTTTTGGCGGCCCTAAGACAGCTTGGTATCCCAACCCAGATTGATGGTTCAGCAAATGCGCTGGGTGGGTACTGGAGTCCAAATAACCTGGACCCGGTGACAAGAGAAAGGTCCTACGCCCGGACAGGATACCATGATAGTGCGAATACTCGGTCAAACTATCATGTCCTTCCAGAGACCCTGGTGACAAGACTGACTCCAGATCTAATGGGTGTTGAGTATATACCAGAATATAACACAGCCTTAAACTCTACACCACCAGATATTAAGATAAAGACAGTGCGAGCGCGAAAGGAGATCATAATGGCCGCCGGCGCAATCCACACACCAAAGATCCTGCATCTATCAGGTATCGGCTCGTCGGCTGTTCTCCGCGATCTCGGAGTTAACCAAATACTTGATGTTCCTGGCGTTGGCGAGAATCTCCAAGACCATCCAACGATATACGGCTCCGTGGCCCTGACAAACCTCAGTGATCCAACACAGGATCCGCTCTATATATGGAACAACGCCACCTACGATGCTGAGATGGGCTTGCTGTATGAGGCCAACCGCACGGGGCCATGGACAGTAGGCACGGAGAATACGTTTTCGTTTTTGACAGCAAAGCATCTCAACTTCTCTGTGTCGCACTTTGAACACGCAGCCGGCCAGCCTGCAAGATATCTTCGTTCAGGCCTTGACCCGAGCATCATCCGTGGTTACGAAAAGGCGCAGAACCTACTCCTGAAACACATGACGGACAACAAAGTAGCCTTATCTGAGAACCTCCTCATCTCAATCATCAGCCTGCAAAAGCCTCTAAGCCGGGGATCTGTTCACGCCGGGTCAACAGATCCCTATGCTATGCCACACGTCAGTTACCGTACCTTCAGTAACCCGCTTGACCTGGAAATGTTAGCTCAAGCCGTGCGGCTGCAGACAGACATTCTTCCCCAGACACCAGCGCTACAGTCAATTGGCGCTGTGTTGGAATTTCCTAAGCCAGGGTTAACCAACACTGAACTTAAAGACACGATTAAAGAATCAGCAGACCCAAACTTCTACCATCCTGTTGGGACCTGTGCAATGTTGGAATTCACGGATGGAGGGTGCGTAGATAGCCAGTTACGGCTTTATGGCTCAAGAGGAAGAGTGCGCGTTGTTGACGCCTCGATATTTCCCATTATCCCGTCGGCTCATACCCAAAGCACCGTTTATGCTGTTGCCGAGAAAGCAGCTGATTTGATAAGGGGGGTGCATACAGTGCCACATTGATTTAGTTGTTTTGGAGTACAACGCCGATCCAAAGTGTTAGTATACCTAATCATTAGCATGGATATTCAAGCACACCCCATAGCATGAGTCGTCCGACTATCACCAGACTTCTCAGAGCCATCATTGTGGAAACCGCGCGTAAATAGTATCTCTGACGTATCATTAAACTGGTTATAATATATAGGTCTATAAATATATAGAATCTATCTTAATAGAGAGCTCTACTAGCTGCTATCTTCCTTTTAGATAATCCTATTTAATAAGCTACCAGTTTTAAGGTGCTAAATGTCAATCTCGTCAAAGGAAGCAAGAAGGCATCGGATGGCGTCTGCCCTCCAGGTGTCTTCCTCTAAATGAGTGCCGTTCAGACGGAATACAATGTTTGTCGGGTTTTCATTCCTATACACCGGCCAAGACCCGTTGGTTTGCGTTCCTTTTTAATATTAGCAAAGCCGCCTCACTGCTGTAGATGGGTGGACTTGCCTTTATGACCATTTGGCGACAGAGTGGCGGCTGTTTATCCACATCCTGCTCATGAGCGTGCTCAGATTCCGATATCTTTGCTGCAACTCGGTAGAATTAGATTCTAGAGGGTTGGCCTTGTACCCAACGCCGTCGAGGTTTCTGAAAACAAAGGCAATTTCCTGGAAATGCGCGACACCAAGAATTTCACTGGGTATCCCATTAGGTACAACATCAAAACGATAGCTATACGCAGGAACACCGTATTGATCCCACAGCTGAGTGACGCGCCGTCTACCAGCGTTGAACTGATAGTCTCCGATATATAGGGTAACCTTTCCCCAGAGGGAGCCGTATTCTGGGCTTGGTGATAGGAATACAGTGCCGAGATCACCCTGAGTCTCTTTATCAGACAGTTTGTTAAGATATTGATCAACGAGAGCGTCAAGGGTTCTATTTGTAAAACCACTCCCCCCGCTGAAGTGGGCAATCATCTCCCGGAATGCAGCTGCATCGTTCACCCCAAAGCCACTTTCAACCGAGAATGCAGTTCCTTCGTTGGTATTAGTTCCAATCAGGAGAGGGCGCTGCACAAATTGCCCTTGCTCGAGAAGAACGGACGGAGGCTCGTTGATGATCTTTCCATCATTAACTAAGTAAAAGTCCACGCCTTGAAACGCATCCTTCAAGACACTTGCTGGTAGGGAGCGAAGGCATCCAAGGGTGTCTTTCTCACCGGTGCAGTTCGTCGCCGTGAGGACATCATTGTAAAGAACATCTTGCTCCTCCAAAGGCATCAAAGGGCGGGTGGTAAGAGGTCCGCCACTTTCTGCAATACCCGCGTGGAAAAGCCCATCGTCGCGTCCTCCAAATGCAAGGAAATGATGTCCAACCGATACAGCACCAGCCGACTCCCCTTGGATCGTAACTCGGGCAGGATCACCGCCAAAAGCCTTAATATTGTCTTGGACCCAATGCAGAGCAAGCCGTTGGTCATACATCGCAGCATTCGCGACCCCAGCTTCCTTGACCACGCGACCCGGTAGCAATCCAAAGCCAGAGATGCGGTAATTGAAACTGACCGCAATGATCGGTTGGCCTATTTTGACAGATTCTTCGACAAGGAAGGACATGTTGTACCTTTGGTCCGCACTGCCTCCCACCAGGAATCCCCCGCCGTAAATCCAGACTAAAACAGGCAAACGAGCACTGTCGTCCACACCACTCGGTCGCACGATGTTGAGGGTTAGACAGTCCTCGCTTTCCTCATAGTCAACCTCCTCCTGTGTATCTGAAAACCCGGGCAGGGATAAGGTCGTAGAATGGCACCAAGCACCATAGGCGGTTGCGTGTTTCTCAGACCATGACTGGTTAATTGGCTGAGGAAGATTGAATCTGAGACTCCCAACTGGTGGCTGGGCGTACGGGATGCCCAAGAAGTAATCCTGGTGCAATTGCGGGTTTTGAAATCCAATAAGTGTTCCGTTGTTGATCACCGCAACCGGCTGGGCGTGGCCCAATATTGACAACGATATGATCTGCACAATCCGGCATCCGAATTTCATGATGATGGTGTCCGGCGGGGGAATTGACAATGGACAGGAGAAGTATTAAAGCGAAGATGAACAAAGAAAAGACAAAGAAAAGGCGGTCAAACGTTGGTTCATACCAAGAGATTCCTGGCACCCCCCTGCGTCATTGGTCCATATTGCTCATCACCACATCGCGAGCGGTATACTGGTACTTAAGCAGCTAATAAGTGTTTATTAATGGCTTATAAATACAACATTTGTCACCTGATTTTTATAATATTGTGCAGTAGCTCCATTCTTTCTTCTATAGGAGTCCAAAACTTAAAATAATAGATCTGAAAAAGTTAATATACTATCGATCGGGCCTTTTCGGGCGGGTACGAAATACTCCTCCAGCGGAAACTGAGGAATTTAGTCTCAAGCAGAGAGGTCCATAGATTGAAAGCTCACAATACTGTTCACTTTATTTATCTAACATACAACTCTTTTGAAAATTCCCAAGGGCCATCACCGTCATTGTATAAACTCTGACTAATTAAGTTGTAGGCTCGGCTCCTCCCGAGCCGTGGCCCCGCCCAAACCTTTAGCCTCTTCGGGATACCGCAGTATAACTTTGCTATGCTAATACACAATAATAAAAGCCAAGCCGCTCTTTATAGCTATGCTTTGTGCATGTACTAGTCTCTGATCTGTCCTATTTCACATTTTCAACATTCATGTCCAAGTCTTAACAAATGTAATTCATAAGGCTTCTACTTTTAGCGGTACACCATTATGCTATTTGAAGTAGCAATAGTATGTACTCCTAATTAGCCTTCTTGACAAGCACACCCTGGATCCTAGGAAGCAGGCTAATCGGGTCTTCAGGTTCCTCGATATCGCCCGGGTTCTCCCACTCTCCGGCGTTGAGGATGTCCCCCAGCACATTTCGCGTCAAATGGCATCCAACAAATGTACTCCACGTAGGATTCCAGAGAGCTTATACACGTTAGCCGGTTTTACCAAAGAAATATGCCAAACAAGGAGCAAATAAAAAGTAGCAGGCATACCTTGCGCTACAGTCGTCGACCGGTTTCTACTCCACCCATGCTCCCAAAAAATAAATTTGCCTCCCGGTTTCAGTAGCTTCCACACCTCTTTCATCACATTCTTCGGATCATTCACCGCACAAAGGACTTGGATGCATAATACTGTATCCAAACTTCCTTCGGTTATGCCTTCTCTCCTCAGGACATCGCTATCTTCAATACCACAAACTATAAGCTTATACTTATCTTTCAGGCCATACTCCTCTAGTTTTGCATCTATACCGTCCTTGAAACGGGGGTTCGGCTCTATACCATAGACATATTCGATCTGGGATGGATCGAAACGATGGAGCTGGTTTCCTGGCCCAGGGCCCATATCGAGAACAACGCCGCTGGCGGCTCGAACGAGCGAGGGGACAATAGTTGTGTCTTCGTACGCGATGAAACCGGAAGCTGCACATAATCGTCAGTGTTTAATGCACGTAAGTATAGTAGAGAGGAATATAGTTCGGCGAGTTGCTTACAGGTTATATTGAACAACTTTGCTGAAGCGGCATCTCGAATCTGGCTTACGCGTAGAAATCCAGCGAGACCTTCTCGGCGAACTGATTCTTTGAGGGCTTCCCAGTGCACTTTATGGCAGTGCTTATCAGTAGGGGTTCAAAGGTGGTGCGGGACACGGGCTTACGGCGAAGAGAAAACCAAATCAAGCCAAATGGACGAGTCCAGGAAGCAAAGCGGCCAGGTTTGGGAGGCATGTCTTCTACATGAAACAGTTGTAACTTATGTAGAGCCTGTATGGAAATGAGGGGGGAGAAAGCACGCGCTCGGGGTTTTCATATGATACAGTCGAATATCGGGTATGTTGGGGAAAAAACAAAAGTTGGATATTGGAGCGAGACGACAAGCGATACTACGCCAGGCCCCGTGACTGGAGCTTAGCCCTAGCCCCTCGACGATCGAGCTGGAGGTTGAGTCTTACATCTGGGAGCATGGCCATGGCTTACCTATCGCCAGGCATTGGTGGAAAGTATTCGAGTGGGGCGTGTTCAAAAAAGATAAGACTATTCAAAGCGTATGTCGCAATTCCACCTACTGATTGCGTACAGCGCAGTTCCGCGAAGAACAGTCAATACTATATAGTTACATGTTCACTGGCGATATTCGCCCCCTGGTTAAATTCTTAGCTGGCCGTTTGCGTAGCCCACATTCATAGAAGCGACACCAGCGCGACAAAGTAACCGTGAGTTCTATGCTGCTAAGAGGTTCTCTAAATTCCTTACTCTGCCGGTCCAGCTGCTTGCACTGCCTATCATGCTTTGTTGTGGTCAATTTCATGTTGATAAGAATCCGGGAATGCGAAGTACTGGGGACCAGGTAATTACTCTATAAGCCACGACTGAGAAAGCCAAGTCACTGTTTGATTAAACTTACTTATGATTTAACAAAACGTGGCCGTTTAAGCCCTGTTCAATATCAATTTTCAAGCCCTCACTATTTATATACAACTCAAACGTGGTGTGGACTACCGGCTCTGCTACGAAGCACTCACCCCCAATCTGATAAGCGGAACCCACTAGAACCCAGCATGGAGTCATCGACAATTGCTTTGTTGCATTTAAACTTCCCAGTGTCGCGTGACGAATTAACTCCTCGGACAGAGTCGCGCCCTCATCGTCGTATCTATTCTCCGGCTACACCCAAACCATGGTTCCCCCAGCCCGAACAGGAAACCCTCACAACCAACCCTGGAATACCTTTGCAAAAAGATTAAATCCACTATTCTTGCTGCACGCCACAGGTCTGTCACATGGCTGCCATACATCATTCTGACCGGGGGTCCTTCAAAAACCGGCCCTTGAAATAAAACGGAGGGATCCGAACCACTGTTTCTATTTCGTGATATGTGACATCCTATAGTTAACTCTGTTAAACAATCAAAATGGAGCCGAAAAAAGAGCCGCAACCCCCTGGTGAGGTAAGTCTATTTCCCCTCTACCTTATTAAAAGTATATGCCTATTAATCTTAACCCAAATAGTCGCTCTCGGAGCGCGACAAGCGCATCCTAAAAGCATATGGAAAGCTACCACACCTTGGCCCTCTTGGACATCAGGTAAGTCTGCACCCAAGTCAGCGTACCTACCAATAATATTAATAAAGAGCAGAAGCGAGTCTACTTCGACTCGGGCGACTTCGCCCTCTCCGCAGCGCACAGGGAAGCCGACGACGGCGCCATCCAAACAGGCACCGTCCACCCTGTCCGCGAGAGAATCCCACATCCACACGTTCCCGTTCCTCATGAGACTAACAAAAGCCCAAGTGCTGAGATTGCGAAGAGTCCGCTTTCTAAGGATTGGACTGAGTATATGCCGCCGGTCGAGTGAGGGGAAGGGTGAAGCAATGATTATACATGGAGTTCTTGTGGTGCAGTCATTATGCTTGCTTGATCTTATTTGCATTGGCGTTAGGTTGTAAGTTATAAGTTACGTATGATCGACTTTGTGGGTTGTTTTTTAGTAGGGCATGGGACTGTTGGTTCTCTTACTAGTTGAAAATGACTGTCCAAATTTGGATTATTGCCATTCGTATTTATGCTAAACTATTGTGATAAATGTCCTGCTCCCTATCTTCCCATCAATCATAGAGTATGATTTATTCGCCCCATTAGAAATATATTTTAATGCACCTGGCAGTCCTCATTCTTCAAGACGGATGATTGGTCCCTCAGACATCCTTTAAACTCCTTGTTGCTGGATTCTAATCACATACTCAGCTCTAATATCTAGAACATCTACAAAACTAGTTCAAGTACAGCAGGGCAGACAAGAGCTCCTGCTTTCCGTTCTGTGCACTTGTATAAGACTGGCCGATATCCTTATCTCCGATAAGATAAAATAGATAAGACATGACCGGCGATAAGAAACAGGCTAACCTCTTTTTAGAAATTAGATCACGTGCCGCCAAACCTCGTCCGCATCTCTTCCGCCCTTAACAAACGTCGACGAACTTCTCGAACAGCCTCGATTGCCATCACCACAGTGCTCCAGCCGCCAAAATGGCAAAGAAAGGTACGCATTCATTCAATCATCCGCCAATATTATGGCCGCTGAATCCATGAACCCTTAAGGGTCTCTGGATCGCTGTGCTAACATCACCCGCCGCAGCGAAATCCCGTACCATGGCCGTTCGCCTGATCTCCATGGCCATGACCGGCTACTACCGCACAATGTCCCGCCCCCGTACGCATCGGCCTTTGAGCATGTTGAAATACGACCCGGTTGTTAAGAAGAAGGTCCTGTTTCTGGAAGCGACGAAGGGTGGACGCGCGAAATAATTTACCATCAACCCCCCCGGGTCAATTTTTTATCCTCTCGGCTCGCGGGCTATCGGATGTCTTTCGGAAATACTTCGCGGCTTCGATTGCTTTCGACTCTATCAACTCGATTCCCTACTTCGGTCCCGCGACCCTTCTTCCTCTCGCGCACGACACCCCGGTTGCTGTGCTCCTGGTTTCGTTGAACGACGATCATGTACATTAGACACTACAATAAGGGCGCCTTTCAAGCTGCCTTTGGTTGCTATTATATTTGGAGCTGTATAGTCATCATGGTGTTTCATTCTGGCGTTATAACAGACAATCTTGGTCGAATCAATATGTTCTATATCACATATCTCTGCTCCATAATCTCGCTCTCATTTGCATCACAGATTTCCCAGAGAGCTATAGCTGTTATAATTCTGTAACATTCGTGCTAATTATATAGCTTCGAATCCGCCGTGGCTCTTATAGCCTGCAGTTACGCGTCCTAGGCAGCCTGACTAAACCGAGCATTGTATTTGTCACCTATGGAGTTAGGGTTCGCACAATCATCAAAAGCCATGTCGCTTACCTCGTGTCTTTCGCCCTGACCTCCGTCTGGGTTTCTGTTCGATGACTGGAAGATCCAACGAAGCGCGACTACTTCCGGAAGCCAGCCTGGTAGGACTCTTGCGACGATCATGAAGTTCTGGCCCTGCTCTTCCCTGGCTCCCAGTCGCAAACGGTTCCGCAAAAGTCTTCACTTTTTTATTGTTGTGTGCCTGCTGAACTTCAGACTGAGAATATGATTTCTCGCTGGTCGCTGCATCTTGCCGTTTTGTCGACGTTTCCCGCTGGCGTTTACTGTACGTCCATCGATTGGTTCGTGTTAGGCTGTCTCCGTTAAGTGATGACTCCAAAAGATTGCTTTGGATATTTTTCTCTTGCGAATCCGGGACTTGAACACTATCTGTTTCTGCAGCTGTATTTCCGGCCACAAAAGAGACTTTTCGCGTTGGGACTGGGTCCTTTGGCTGGAGGTGAGCTTGATCTATTGGAATGCCCAGATGCTGGTCTTGTGTGCGCACTTTAGTTGGCCCTTGGGCACTTAAAACACGCCTCACTCCAAGAATGAGATCTGTGCTTTGGGATCTTTCCCTCGAGATAATTTCTATTGGCGGGGCTTCCTTTTCCGGTCTCGGGGGGACCCTGAGTTCCTGCTGCACCGATGATCTTTCGGGGGTCTGCATAAGCATGCAAGAGAAATCAAACGGTTCTCCGTCTGCGACGGCGCAGTGGGTAGGTGACACTGCTATACTTGAGAAGGGAACAATTTCCCCACCCTGCTTCAACGGCAAAGGTTCGTCATAATGGTTTATAGGCGTCTTAGGTTCATTCTCCTCTGAATCCGTGTGCACTTCTTGGTTGCCAGAATTGACGTTCGTTCGAAGATTTACAACTCTTGCCGATGTTTCAGGCGTCCTCACTTGAGATGCGATTTCACCTACAATTGCCATTTGGCTCGAGTTGGCTGCCTGGAATGACTTCTCTAGCTGATCCATTATCTCCGGCAATGGTTGGTCCAACTGCGCGATATTCATCCGATGGAGTGTTTCTCTGATCAGCTTCGCTGCGGATTCTGCCTCTTGTACTCGCTTGAGCAAGGCATGGATTTCCGATTTTGCCTTCGACTTGCCAGACTCAAGATTTTCTCGGATATTGTTTGACTCCTCAAGTTCCCTACTCAGGGCCCGATACTCCTCTTCCTTGCCCGTGAGTCTGTTCTGGATGGTTGAAAGACTGTCTTGCAAGTTTTGCTGTGCCTCTTCGTTCTCCGTGGCCTTGTCTTGAAGCGATGAGAGGTTATCTTGCAAGTCCTGTCGCTCCGTTTCGTTCCTACGGAGCTCACCTTGGATTTCGTGAAGGTTATTCTGTAAATCCTGGCACTCCGCTTCTTTCCTCCCGAGTTGCTTTTGGATGGAAGAAAGGGTTTCTTTCACAGCCTGAAAATTATCCTCTTTACTCGCAAGCTCAGTCTTAAGGGCAGAGAAACTGTCTTGCAGGATCTGTTGAGACACTTGACTGTCTGTCGTGGTTCTCAAGAGCTCACCCTCGAAGCTGCATGACTTTCGAAGTGCTTCGTCGAGTTGGCTGCGTAGAGAATTCTGTTGCTCCGTGAGTATCTCCACTCGGTCTTTCATCCTTTCGATCTCCGCGTCTCGTTTAGCTATGTTGGAAGTTTGCTCAGCCTGAAAGCCTTCGAGGTCTTCGATTCGCTTTTGCCGCTCAGAGAGCTACTACATTAGCTCCTGTAAGCAGTAGATGCAGTGGATCACGTACCAATGCATCTAGATCCTTGCGTTGTCTCTTGGTCGAGTCTTCAACCTCAACCTGTTTCTCGTAAGCGCTATATTCGTGTGGATGCCATATAAGAAGTTACCAATTTGCGTTGCGATTCAACCAGTTTCTCCTTAGCTCGTTTTGCGTCCCCCTCAAGCTCGACCTTTTCCATCAATAGTTCATGCTGTCGTCTTTCGAACTCCGCACTGCATTTGTCTTTAACGCTTGCAACTTCCCTGTTAATGCTCTCTTGTGCCTCATTTTCCTTCTCCTCGATCGTCTCTTGCAATTTATCAGTGTGTTCTTCGAGTTTCATTGCATTCTTCTCTGCTTTGTGGGCTCGTGCCGTCATCTCACGTAAATCATCCTGTTTCTTCTCCCCATCCAGGTGCTGAGCCTCCAGTTTCTCTTTCGTTGACTCCAACTTGAGGTATAGTTGCTGTACCTCATTCTCGAGCTTCAGTTTCTCCGAAATGGGGAAATAATCGTCTTCGAATCGCTCCGGAAGTTTGACCTCGGCCAATCTTGCTTCCAGACCCTCCATCCTCTGTCCAAGATCGATTTCTCTATCTCGCAAGCCATTAATGCTCAAGCCGAGTTTCTCCAGAGCTGGTATCGCTCCTTCTAACTTTGTCTGAAGATGCATAGAACGTTCCTCGCTAGCGGAGAGTTGCTTGTATAGGGATGATTTGTCGCTCAGGCCGCCTTGGACGATTTGAAGCTGCTCTTCCAGGCACTTTACCATTCCCTCAGTTACGTTTGAGCCGCTCTTAATATCGTCTCCTATTTGGCGTGTCATCGTATCCATGCTTATCTGAAGTCAGCTGAACCATCCCTCAAAGAGCTTACCAAGGCTGGGCCTACCGGGTCTCAAACGTGTGAATAGCTTCGTTGCATTTCAGTAGATCCAGTTTGCAGTTAGAAAAAGTTTCGTTTGAGGTGCCGATTAATGCAATCAGGTTATTCAACTTTTCTTCAAAGGCGTCACCAAAGACCGCGCGTGATGATTCACAGCGTTTGGTCGTCGATTCGAAGGCAAATTCAAGTCTTTTCATGGCTTCGAGCTGGTTAGTCTTAATAAGCTGGAGCTTTTTGTCCTGAGCGCGTGAACAGTTTTGTATGTATAACTCGAGCAAGCGGGATCTTTTCTTTTCGTCAGTCAACTGATCTTGAGAATACTGTGCCATTTCTCTCGCATCTTTTAGTTGCTCTCCTAATAAGGCCATCAGAGTCTGCGCTTCCGAAAGGCAACCTCGCCTCTCCTGGGAAGCTTGGGAGATCTGGTACATTCGTGATTTGATATCTCCAATACTTTCCGTTATCTCCTTACGCTCCTTGTCCAGCGTCTTTCGGGTTGCTTTGAGGTGTATTGCCTCGCCGCGGAGATTCTGATAGCCAGTGCCCAGTTCGTTCAGGAATACCTTGACCTTTGCCAGTTTTGATTTCCATGAATCTGTGTGATATTTGTAGGCCCTGGATTCCATCGTTCGCTTCTGTAGCTTGGAGCCAAGTATCTCGAGTTCCTCCTTCAAAACTTTGTTTTCTTCGCTCAGTGCTAAAATTGTTTGTTCCATTTCTTTCTGTCGGTCTAAGGCTACTGCTTCGCTTTCCTCCCGAGCTCTCAATCGGCCGATCAATTGTTGAAATAGTGCTTCCTCTGGTACTTGCAAATTTATATCAGATGATGCATACGATGCCCTCTTTGTTGCCCTTCGCTTGTCGCTGTGTCGCCGTTTTGCACCTTTCCACGGGTGATCAGTAGGCCGCGTTTCGGACAAGCCATCCGGCACCGAGTCCGAGCGCTCCAAAGAGGGAGGTATATTGAGTCGCCTATCATTAATAGTCGACTGATTAGGAGTCTGACTGCCCTACTGAGGGTTAGCCTTTGCCTACTAAGTAGGGCATGCAATGAACTTACATTCAAATCAGAAGACACAGACACTACCGCGTCTGTCCTCGAGATTAACATCCAGAGGATCCAGAGAATTAAAGTACACACCTTGTATATCATTCTCGGATGGTTGCATCTGCAGATTACTTTCGGCGCCAGGCTCAGATGGTAAGACTTGCTCGATCTGGCAATCCATGGAAGCCCTGGACTGAGATCTCGCGTCCGTACTTGGCATGGTAGATAGTATGGGCTGCTCGCTAGGATCCTGCCTCTGGTCTGTCGTTACGGAAGAGGACTCAGCATGGTGTGGGGACGCTGGAAATTTGGCATTTCGTGTGCCAGCAGTCCTATAATCCTTTAGTTTTATGCTTTAATATGACCGAGTCACATACTGGTCCTGATCACTCTGCCCTTCACCTGAGTTATGACCCCCCGTACATCTAATCTGGCCTGGAATTGCTTGATTTACACTAGATGAAGAGTGCTTCGACGCTGGCTGAAGCGAAAAAGGCTTTCCGTTCTGGGCCGGCTTCGCAAAACTAAATGCTGAAGTATCAATGCCCGAGCTCTGTGGGCGCTCCATGAGGAGAGGAGATTGCTGCCTCTGCCCAGAAGGCCACCCGATATCGATGCGGTCATCCAGGACAGCTTGGAGATTGGGTGAAGCCGTGTCCATCATCTGAAGGAACAATACTTCCTCGTTGGCGTCATATGCGTGTTCATCAAATTCGGGGCCAGACAGAGGATCACCAGCCGATAGGGCATCCGTGGTATTACCGGTATTCTCCATGGTCGGCAGAGTCCATCTATTTCTGCGACAACTCCACCAGTTAATCTTGAAAACAACGCGGAAGAGAGCAGCCAGTTGCATCTCACCATCAGTACCGAGTCTTCATGCGGGCCAAGAAAGCGCTAGAGATCCAGTTGTTGTCTGAAGCGATATGAGAAGGCCAACGGGGAATGAAATTGAAGCAGCGTATGGACACGAGCGCAGTGTTTCTTGGAAGGCGTGACCTGGGATGTGGACTACCAAAAAGGGAAGGAAGGCGCCTGCCTTCACTCCCGCCAAATCTGGCAGTCTTCATCCTCAAACTACCACACTCCTTCATCAACTTCCACATCATTCCGCCCGCATTTTGGACCAAATTTCAACGACTGCTAGAATAGTGTTGTCTGCCACTGCCCTCCACATTAAATTGCTGTGTTTCTCTCCCCTCTGCCTCATGAGGTCGGTCATTTCCATCTAGATTAACACGGCGGCTAGCATTTCAAGCCACGGTATACCAAGAAGAGTTTTTTTCGATAGTACAAAATTAAGAATTGAAATCACAGCAACAAATGGGACCTTGTATGCCTCAGTGAGAATGCAACAAAGACAAGGCAATTGTAACACACATCGGCGTTATTCTATTTTCAGAAGACAAATGCTCACCAATGGAATGGCAGATAGCAAGACTTCCGCAGACACATCCACCACTGAAAAGCTCGCGCTTCGCCGCCATCGGCCTGCCAGGACGTTGCGCGTGGATCCATGAACAAAAGAAAGATCGACATCGGGAGTTGAGCCATTCTATCATTGGCCGCAGCGCTCGACCACCCAAGGGAAGCTCGGACGAGGCCAAGACCCTCGTCACAGCCCCGGCGCCTACATCACAGAGTGACAGGCCATCTGGAGCCTCTCATTCGCCTTTCAATTTTCCCCTGCGCCGTCGAATCACCCCTGCTGCCAATCCAGAGCACCGGTTCTTCAGTTCTCTTCACGCAGAGTTTCGGACGAGTGCTTCGTGAACCTATCAACAGCGTCCTACTGGTGATCCGATCCTGCAGATGCCTGAAGATTGGGAGTTTGTGTGACTCGGGCTGGTCGTTGCTATATAGAGACGGGACATGGAACCCCTCGCGGGGCGCGCACTATTTACTTCCTCTCTTCCACAAGCGACCTTTCACCACCATCAGTGCTTCGCTCCCTAGAGAAAACATCAATATCCTTCATCGCCGACTAGTATTATGCAGTCATAAGTCAATAATGGCTATTACATATCAATACACTCTATTCGTCGTCTCGTCTCTCATCGCTCATTTAGCCGCGGGCAGTGAGTGGGATGCGAGTGACATACAAGCCCAGAATGAAGCCGGGGCAGCTGGGAAGTCTGGAGGTGGCGGCATGTCTAATGGAGGAATGATAGCTTTGTGCGTGATCGTTGGTGTGGTGGTTATAATCGGATGTTCGTTACCCAATCCTGTCGCCTCCGAGCTATCTTGGTAAAGAAACTAATGAAAACTCCTGATAACAGTTTCATCCGCGGCGCTCTTCTATGTGGCCAAAAAGCGCCAATGGCAGATGCGCGAGAAAATCAGTCGCTCCGCCAAACAAGTCGCCCAAGCAATCAAAACACCTCTTACGGCCACGTTCCCGAGGAGTCAACGACAACCTACTACAAGCGGCGGCAGGAATAAAAGCAGTAGGGACGTGCCAATGACGAAGCCGAAGCGGAAACCAACAGACTTAGAAAAGGGTGCTGTTATTACAACGGATGTCTCGTCGCAAGGTTCGCAGTCCAAGTCTCGCGGCTGGGCCTCTTACTTCTCGTTCAACCGCTCATGAACACTACAAAACTCTGAGTCCCGAGGTTGATATCTAACGTTAATCTATAACTCCTCATTTGCAGCGACTATGGGGTGACCGCCAGAACATACTGCGTGTGTTCCCTGCGTCAGGACGCAGGATGGGTGTGGTCGACCCCATCTTGATTGATTTTTATATCTTATGCTCCGTTTTGCTTGGATGTATTAGTGGGCACGCTTCACCATTCATACAAATATTTATGTGCGTTTGGTTGTGGCTGTTTACTGAAGATTGAATGTCCTGGACGCTTCTTCAGAGATCTGTTGTCAAGATACCAGTTTGATTATACTGTTTAGAATATAATTCCAGATAATTATGCTCATCTTATGCATACTGTTAGGAGCAAAGGAGCAACTTGCAAAATTTCACGATAGATCTACCTCGTACCCGATGAACTTTTTCTTAAACAACTTACTTGTGTCATTACAATTTATATGTCGGGCACGGTTAGGTATCAGTTTCTCTCGACACACAAATGAACTTGGTCTTCTTTCGCATTCCCGAACGAGCCAAAATCCTTTCTATCATGCAGGAGAAAGGAATTTATCGCTGCATTGCCATGCTCTCATTGCACAAATCCAAAATAAATCTACCCAAATGTCTAACTACCACGTCTAGTAAACATCAGCGTAGGAAGGACAGCTACCAAAACAACACACAATCTAGACATCCGCTTCATCCAATGAATAGAATTCCACCTCAGCAATCATAGTCCTCGCCGGAATGGTAACACAGATCGGGAAGCCACCGTAATCCGGATCCTCGCTGGGCATCATCGCATAGATCCCGCTCCGTGTTTCATCACCATTAAGTACACGCAGTGTTCTTAGCTCACCAGTCTCTTTATCGCTGGCAAGTTTCTCTTCGAACCGTAGGATCCCTGTGAATGCAGATGTTGGAGAGAGGGACTTTGCGCGCACTTGGAACCCCCACCCGATTAGCAGGAATTTGGCGCCGCCAAGGTGGATGACCATTCCTGAGCCGGGGCCTGGTTTGCCGAAAACAAAGCAGCGCTCTATTGTTATTTCATAGCCAGAGAAGTGTTTGACGATGGGTTTCGATGGGTCTGTTCCGTCTGCAGAGAGGTCGTCGAAGTAGAAGCCGACTGAAGAGCCGGGCTTGCGGTGGGCGGCGAGTACGAGTTGGGAGACGGAGTCGAGCAGTGCGTAGTGCCGAGTAAATGGGTTTGTGGCTGGTTCCTGGGTGTCTATGCCGAAGGGAGAAACGCCGATGGCTTGGTAAGAGCCGTATGCAGTCCATATCCGCCGCGCGCCGTAGTCGTCACGGCGTTGTTCAGGAATGAATAAGGGCTGGTTGCGGTGGCGGTACTTAGCACAGGAGGTGGAGTATTCATTTAGGTAAACATCTGGCGCGATGAAGTTTAAGGATGGTGCGAACTTTTGCCATACGTCTAGAACAGTGGTGGTTCCTCCGCCAGATGGGTAGTCTCCTGGCAGCCCACCACCGCCAGCGATGATGGGGAAGTCATTATCACCATCTTCGCCGACATAATTCTGCCAGACGTTTGTATAAAGGGGAATTGGATATTCAGCCTTGCCTGCCGAGGCCACTTGGTTGAGGTAATGAGCGTAGTGATAGGCCATAAAAAGCTCATCGGTCCGAGGGCCCTTGCCGAAAACCTCAACCCACGAGCCCTTTGGCTGGGACTGTGCTTCGAAGTGGGCCAGGTTGTCTCGTAAATCAACATGGAGGTTCTTCCAGTCATCGGCCAGAAAGGAAATCAGCTCCTGCGGTACAGGTTGGGAGAAGCGTTTCTCAGCTTCTGCGCTGGCGTCTCGCGAATCCCCCAGAAGTCCGGTCTCGTTTTCCACCTGCACCATGATTACCGTGGAATGCTCCTCATCAAACTCCTTCAAATGGCGCATCAACTGGGAAAATGCTCTAGCATCGCATTTTGGGCCATGGTCGTGGAAGATTGAAAGCACATCGCCGGTCTGAAGGACACCCCGAGCCTTTCTCAATTTTGCACGAGGGAAACGCTTGGGATCTGTTTTGACCCATGCAGGAACATAGGTTGAAATACCATTCTTGAATGAGCCGAACCACAGCAAGACAATGCGAAGTCCATGCTTTCGGGCTCCAAGAATGGCTTTATCCAGTTCTTCGAATGAGAATTGGCCTTCGACCGGCTCAATCGATTCCCAGGTAACGCAGCCAAGAATAGTATTATAGTGGGTGTCGACTAGTTTCTGCCAGGCTGTATCCATATACTCAGCCGATGTAAAAGAAGAGTTCTGTAGCTCGCCGCCAAGGATAAGGAAGGGCCGTCCGTTGACCACAAGTTCTTTTCCACCGTCGGTTTCCCGGAGGTGAGGGAGCGCTGTGTTTGTGGAAGGCATTATAGTAGTCGGGATAAAGAGAAGATTGATCTGAAAGGTGTATGGACAGCTTCTGGTGTGGTAGGGACTGCATTAAATAACTAGCTATAAGCGATTCATGTCCTACCCCGCCGGAACTCTGCATAGGGTTCTGACGCATATTTCGGGATTGAAAACAGTCCATTGGGCGATACTGCGAATATGTCTCGAGTTGCAACAGATCGCCATCGTACGACTCTGGCCTCGACTACTCCAGCTTCCAGATGCTCTTGTCGCTTGGCATCAAGCCCGGTATGCGGGGGAGCGGGCAACGGCCGTTCCTGACTGGCTGATATCCCGCTGCCTCCCTTTCAGTGGGGACCGAGCCAATACCAAGGACTCTTTCAACTAATTTGGATAGCCTCCAAACATTTAAAAATATGGGGAAAGCTTCCGCTTTGTTTCTTCTTCCTTTGCGAGAACACCCCCGAATCTGTGAGACCAAAACGTGGCGAGGTATGTTAGCTCGGCAAAATAGAGCCGGTCCAACATCCGGTTAATAGACCATGACTCCTGTATGGTCCCACCGAAAGTATAAATCCTTGTAACATATCCTCTCTGTCGCACACACACTCTCTCTGGTCGTGGCCTGAGATATCCAGGCAATCTCCATTCAAACAGACAATTGGTGGTTTGATGATACCATCATGGATACTTCAAAAGACATTGATGAGAGAAAGGAATCTTCTACAGAACATGTCGAAGATTCAGAGCGGTTCTCTGAAGCCATCCAAATCCCTGAAGTCGTCTGGTGGAAGCACTGTGGATTGCGTAGGCTCTATGTCATGATGCCTATACTATTTCTCGGTTAGTTAAGAGGAGATCGGTTCGTCAACGTCAAGTATACTCATGGCATCACTTTTCAGGGTCGACAATCAATGGATATGATGGCTCGCTTCTGAACGGACTTCAGACAATGCCTCCATGGCGAGAGTGTGAGGTGTTTCCAAGTACTGTTCAGTTGACCTAGCTAACTGACACGGAACAGACTTTGGAAATCCAACCGGCTCAACCTTGGGGCTGCTAACCGCGATCCACAACATCGGAGGCATATGTGCTTTGTTTTTCTGTAAGATGCTTTTTCAATGAATGATATATACTAACACGCCTGTCAAATAACAGCTTCATACCTTGCTGATCTGCTAGGCCGCCGGACTTGTGTATCACTGGGCACAATTGTGTTATTTGTAGGGGTCATCGTCCAGTCTGTCCCCTCGGTGAATCGGGGCATGTTCATTGCAGGAAGGTTTTTGGTTGGTCTTGGGTAACACTTCCATCCTGGATAAATGTCAAAGACCAAATGGACTAACTGAAATAGATCAAACATCAGCCAAGGCGCAGCACCTTTGCTCGTAACCGAGCTTGCTCATCCTCAACACCGAGGGACGTTGACAACAATGTACAATACACTGTGGTATGTCGGCTCCATTATTGCAGCTTGGACAGTCTTTGGGACCATCAAATACACCTCAAATGCATCATGGAGGATCCCTGTCGCGCTTCAGGCTGCTATGCCTGCCATCCAGTTCCTAGGTGTTTGGCTACTGCCAGAGAGTCCTCGCTGGCTTTGTGCAAAGGGGAGAACTGAAGATGCATTCAATACCTTGGTCAGGGTAAGCATAGTTGGGGCATTCTTCTTACTTTCGCTTGAACGTACTTGTTCCCGACCTCCAGCTAACAGCGCGAGCATAGTATCATGGCAACGGAGATCGAAATGACACGTTCTGCGAATGGCAGTTTCATGAGATTCAGAGCACAATAAGGCTTGAGAAAGAGAACTCCGGGAATAGTTGGGCACTCCTGGTCAAAACTCCCGGTAATCGAAAGCGACTGCTCCTTATTGCCATGGTTGCGTTCTTCTCCCAGTGCTCAGGAAACGGGTTAGTTTCGTATTACATTCACTCTATTCTTCAGTCGGTAGGCATCACGTCTTCCAGTGACCAAGCATTCATCAATGGAGGGTTGCAGATATGGTCATTTCTTGTGGCAATCGGGTTTTCGGCTTTCCTTGTCGACGTTCTAGGACGCCGGAAGCTATTTCTGATTGCCGCAATTGGAATGTTGATAGCTTTCAGTATTTGGACTGGGTATGACAATAAATCCTACCTCATCAGCAGAATAATTAGGATCTAATCCAACTGTTGTAGGTGCTCGGCGGTATACGCTCAAAATCAGGACTCAGGGGCCGGAAGTGCGGTGATTGCGATGATCTTCCTATACTATGGTGTTGCTGGCTTCGCGTGGCCCGGTCTCACTATCGCCTACTGCGCCGAAATATTGCCATTCAATATCCGAGCCAAGGGCCTTGCCGTTAGTCTCGCCCTAACCGGCTGCTCGTCAGTTTTCAACCAGTATGTAAACCCAATCGGACTAGAGGAGCTGCAGTGGCGGTTCTACTTTGTCTATATTGCGATTCTCGTCGTTGAATGCCTGTGTGTTTATTTCCTCTTCGTGGAAACGAAGGGCCCAACTTTGGAAGAGATTGCGGTATTGTTCGATGGTGAAAAGGCAAACATGTTGAGTTCAGAGGAACTGGGTATCAAATCGAAACCGACCGTGGCCAAATAGCCAGGCCTAAGCCGAACAGGCGAGGTGCAACCAAGTCATTCCAATCTTACTGGTCGAAGGATGGAAAGTGCATCTTCAGCGAATTTGTCTCGTTCGGCGAGATAATCCGTGGCTGGTGGACGAAGATTTTTCTCAATCGGCAGGGCATGTTGAAGCAGAAATTTTACTATCCACTTATCGACCACATAGACTTGGTCTGTTGAGCGCATGCAAGCTTCTTGGAATGTGAATAGCCGTGTAATCTAGGATACATTAGTAAAAGCCTTATTGAAATTCAATCACGCCACAGGGGCATACCATCATATTCACGTCGGGCCAATACTGTTTCAGTTTGAGGAGAATCTGAAAATTAGAAGAAAGTCGTCTCCGAGTGTCAGGCAATTCGCTGGGCTCCCCAAACAATAATGTATGGAGCAAAGCCGATGACGATATTACCGTCATGTGGGAAACAATGAAATATACAGCTTCACACCCAGCAATCCCGTTGGACAAGTTCAAAAGGTCACTGAAAGCTGCTGCGTGGTACTTGCAACGCGCTGCAAACAGGTTTTGGTTGGGAACCTGTGAAACAGTAGAGTCCAGGTAATGAAAGTATAACAAAGTCGAATAATGATGATAGCCCAAATGAAGAGCAACAAAAGTTGCACCAAGTCCGAGCATTGCATGGTGTTCCAGGTTGTCTTTCGTGTGTGCCACATTGGACGGAAGGTTCTGAGCAAATCTCTCGAGTTGCAATGCCAACACACGGGTATGTTCCTCCGTCTGGGAATCGGTTAGATCACCGTTAGCAAGTCGTTTATGTAACTCGTGTATCTTTCCAAATATCCGAGCGAGTATAACCATGTAGCCCCAAAGGCCGGGATCGTGGTCTTTTGCCGTAGTTCTCATTCTTTGCTCCCCTGGTCTCAGCTGCCAATATTCCAGTTCTGGCATAGGCAGCGGATTTTCACTCGTATCCGAAATCTGTCGTGGCACATCTAAGCCAGCTGATGACCACTGGTCAATCATATATAGCGACCAGTATGTCCGAATTTTCATTTCTTTCATGATGCTGTCATCTTCCGGGCTTGGTTCAGGGAGACGAAGAATCAAGGCCATGCGAAATGCTATTCCTGGTTCAGTTATCAGAGCTTTGTACGGATTAAAATAATGCCCAAATTAAGCGCGCCTACCGAAAAAGAGCGACTCTCCGCTTGCATCTCCCTCTACTCCGCAAAGATTACCTATGAGAGTAGCAGCATGAACATTATCCAGTGTCACCTCATCGAGTGTTCTCTTGAAAGACTCTTTGGCGGTTTGAAAAAGGTCATAGGCACGTTCCCGTATATCTTGGTCGCTTGATAACCGGGCAGCCAAAGCCAGAATACTGAACAGGACCGGTTCAGGTAGCGCTCCAGCTTGCACCCGGGACTTCAGAGTTGCTGGGTGGAACAGAGTGTGAGGTTTGTCGTGGATGCGCTCTATATAAATATCGATAATCTGGTTTCGAGACACACCGTTTACTTTGGTAGAGCTCTCGGACGCCATTGCTGCTGGAGCAATGGGTTTTGGGCGAGTCGAGCTCAACCTGGTCAAAGAACACTCGAGACCCTTCTGGGCACATAGAGTGCAGGTAGAACGAGAAACAGTGTCAAGTGTGCATTTCCGCTTAGCCGTACGGCACTGGCGGCAAGATTTGGCCACCTTCATGGTCACTTCCAGGCAAATCAGATGGAGCACGGTGTATTTGTTGGGGCTGCAAGTGGACCTACAAAGCTCAGGGATATAAATGCCCGGCAGACCTGAGCCAGTAGTAGCGATGGTAAAGGTAATTCTACAGGTCTCAATAACAGAAATTTGCGGCTGATCAAGAGACAGTGAGAGATTTGAAGATGGCGAGATGCAAGTCAAGCATTGGGTTGGAGAACGGCACCACCGACACGTGACCCTTCAATTGAAGTATACAGCTTGCCATTTCAACCTACACTCTCGATATCCATTCTGTCATCTGTCTTGAGCTTCTTTTTTCAGGCGAGTTCTCGTTCAAGGTCATGGTTTTAGGATGCAGAGGCACAGTAGAAACGCAAGTTGACGAACATCATGCCATACACATCCACGTTTGCAGTACATAAGATTAAATATCAGTGTTTTGAGAAATTGGTTATAAGCAACAGAACGACAAACCATGGTCATGTCTGGCATATTCAGTACATCTTAGATTGTGTCTGGGCGTGCTGTCATGGAGGCTATTGTGCCGAGCCTCGCCATTTCCTCTTTGGAACTCAGTGCGTGCTTTCCATGGAGAGAGCACACCTATCCTATTCATGTATTATACGTACTCTACAACTTCTTTCAGGAGAGTTGCCAAACTAAATCCATTATTCACATTCGTTAAAACCTGCCAGATCTACATTCATTAGTTTTTTTTACCCTCAAGCTCTATACTAACCGGGTCATCTTACCACACCCGCCAACATCCGTCTCTGGTAAGTGCTTATCCGTGGTCCGCAAGATAAGATGACAATATTAACATTTCTGGTCTTATAGATACAAAATCCAGCGGTGTTACGAAGATGTCTGCACTACAATTCCCGGAACATCTCAAAATGACGAAGCGTACCGGTTACGATGAAAGTGATAAGACCGACTCAACCGAGACCCGTCCGCTACTGAAGGCTGAGAGTCCATCGCCCCCTGGCTCATCCGAATTGTCCATGGCTGTCCGAGGTAACTCTAATCCGAAGCTTAACGACGTTGATGCAATCCTCCCCGTCACTGGCGAGCCAGTGCTACATATCCTAGTGGCTGAACACGACCCTGTCACCAGAGCCCACCTGAAATCAAAGTTGGAACAGTTAGGACATGACGTGCAGGTGGTCGTCAACGGACAAGACTGTGTGTCGTTGTACCATACAGTGCTATTCGATGGCAATCTGCCTCCCTTTGACATCGTTCTTATGGGCATAACTGTACGGACACATCCATCTAGATATTTCTTTTGGGGGTATCCTCTAACATGAGTACACACAGATGGACCGTATGAATGGAAATCGAGCCGTAGAGGAGATTCGCGAAGCCGAGAAAAATGAGTGGGCCTCTACGCCCTCCGGAGCCAACCTTCCTCGGCGTCATGTTCCGGTCTTCGCCATCTCGGGGGGGCACCAAAATGAAAATAGTCGTATATGTTTTACTGAACTTGATTTCGATGGCTGGATCCCAAAGCCCATTGACTATGATCGACTGGAAGTGATCATGAAGAGCATGCTGTCGGATGATCTTCGAAACAAGACTGTTTGTACGGGTGAGACGTGGAGGGCTGGGGGCTGGTTTAGGGCAAAAGAGGAGTGAGGCATTGATATTGACTGGTATTGGGCTGGTAAGATCAGATCACCTAGTTAGATGGAGTACTTGGGTGTCACTTAAGTAGACTAGAGGATATGTGGTGTTGGCCCTGGCTGTCGGGAGCACGGGCACTCCTTCCTTGTTATTAGTTGTGTTAGTTGCAAGCTGTTACTCCTACTACCACTTACCACCTACCTTACCCTGGCGTTCCTTCCACAGTACTTAAGCTTCCTTCCCACTCTTTCCACTCCGTACTGCTGAAAGGACCATGGCCCTTGGCTTCTTTCGCTCGTCCATCTTAACTATCAAGCAAGCTGTTCACTCTTAAGAATGAAAACCAGGAAGTCCCGAAAGCGAAAGCCGCTTTCGAATCTGGGTAGCCCTAAGGCTAAAGTGAGTAGTCGGTTTTCAAGTTATCTATAACTGGTGAAATCTAACTCTGGGAGCCAGCAGTTAGGAATAGTTACTCGTTTGTGAAACCTCTTCTCTCGCCAACTTCGGGTCCTCTGTCAGTCGCTCACCAGAGAACGAAGAGTCCGAGACATCGAACCTCGAGCAACTCAACGGCGATAGCCTTTTGGCCAACAACCACGGCCGTGAAATGTACTCCGAGACCAGCTCCATGATATGAAACAAAAGCTCCGCGACACCAAGGAACAACTCGGCGACACCAACCAAGCAATAGCCAGACATGATGGCCTACTCAACGCGGATAGCGATAGATGGCTCAACATGAGGTATAGGACATTCTTATCTTGGACTCGGGAACACCAGCAGTCTAACTCGGCACAGAAAAAGAAAATCGCCAAGTTCAACGTACTTATCCACGGTGCCGATATCGGCACTGATGCCCGAATGTTTGAAGAGAAAAGGCTGGAATGCTTCGATCTGTTTAGCAACCTGTACAGATGCTCTGTTGCTGTTGCCCGGCGTTTGAGTAAGATTGACCTCTCTTCTATTCAAATAGCTGGAATTCCGCTAAAACATACTAGAGCTCGATCAATTGACATTCATCCTTCGAGCCTTGACCTCGCTGGCCGAAAACTGCTGAGAAAACTCAAGAAACAGTCCACGTCAAGAAGCGGTGTTCACTCACCTCAAGTCCCGCCTCCAAGGGACCGACCCCGAGACCCCCATACCCGAGACGGAGACTGCGATATTGAGCGACATTTGTCAGGGCTTCCGTGCTGCTGAGGGCTGGACTTCCCCATATTTACCTTCTTTTCAGGAAGCTTATAATATGTAAGGCCCCTTGCCTTCCCAGCTGCATATAGAAGAGTCACTAACCAACTAGTTGGTTACTTTCAGGGGCTAGTTACGCAAAGAGATTTCTCTTCAGCGTTAATCTACCTACTTTGTCAAGGCCTGCCTTTGCGAAGCCTCTATTCTTAGTTCTTACCTCACGCTAATTACACTACACGAGACACTTCCAGCCTCACATAATGGCAAGGCTAAATTTATCGCTATTCAAAATCAATAAAACAGACATTCATAAACGTGGCTTAAAAAATCGTAATATCTAATGCAGGAAACCGTATGACACAACACCAACACAACAAATATGCAAATAAATGGGGGTCTACTGACTGGGACGCAAAACATGCAAAGAAAATATCAGAAATACTCCCCCAAAGACCCGAAACTCGGTACATCATCCCCACACTTGAAGCTAGGGCTATACGCCTTAGAAGGCATATACCCATTCTTCCAACCACTCCGATAACTCCACTGCGGTGCCGACTCCGTTGTCCACGTCCAGTAGAACCAGCCCTGCGCTGTCTCAAACGCACTCATCTGGGCTTCCGCATACGTTTGCAAAAATGTCTTGTAATCATCCGAGTAGTCTGATGGGTCTGCGTTGGCGTTTGCGCAGCTGCAAGCGGGACCTGTATCCTGATCGGCTGTATAGCAGTACATGGTGTCGTCGCCTTCGGTGTAAGTGCCTTCCCAGCGGGTGCCGCGGCCGACATTGTTGAGGTTTTCAGCGCAGTCGGTGTCTGCTTGTGACCATTCACCGCATATTGTGGGGCCCCAGCTTTGGTTCTAGTCAGTATACATAACAATGAGAATGAAGTGGGAGGGGAAGGGCATACCCTGACGAAGTGGTGTTGATTTCACCAATCATAGCATGCCAGTCGTTGCAGACGAGCTCGACCTTTGCGGTGTGGTTGAGGACGATCTGGCCTGTGTTGAAGATGGTGTATTGATGGGTATCCAAGAGGAGTTTCGAAGGGCCATCCTTGAGCATGGATTTCCATTTGCTAAGGTTGAGGAATCCGTCATGGAAGGCGACCCAAGCGGTGATGCCGTTCTTTTGAACCATCTTTGTAGCTTCAGTGGTCCAATCCAGAACCTTCTCGATGTCCAAGGAGAGCATGTATGGTTCGTTGGCGAGGCCGTAGATAGTGACGACATTTTTGTACCGGTCTTGCGAGAAGAATTTGGAGACTTTGTCGTGAAAGTCAAGCGCACGTTGGGCATTTTTCTCGCCATCGCTCCCATTCAACCAGTTAATACTTCCTTGTCGTCCGCTATGGTTGAAGCCATTTTGACTACCCGGGAGACCATGTGGATCGAGCTTGACTCGCAGACCATACTTACGACAATATTCGATGGCGCGGAGGAGGTAACGCCAGGAAGTCTTGGGTACATACGGCTCACCGTCGATGGGGTCCACTGCCCAGTAGGAAAACGGAATCCGAACGTGGTCGAGTCCAGCATCACGGATATCGATGAAATCCTGTTCGGTGACGAAAGTTGCGTAGTGTTTTTCAAGCACTTCACCGGCGGAAGTTCCTAGCTCTTTGGTCAGCGTGTACTCATCGATCACATCTGATGAGTATCCACTGAACATAGATGGCGTTATCCAAGGCTCGAGGGAAAGCAATCCTCCCAGATTTACGCCGCGGATAGGTTGCGATCCGTAAGGAAACGGTTTGTTCAGTGGTGGTACATTGTCGTTTGCTCTGGCAGAATCGTCCCATTTGGAGTTCAGGCCCATTACAGAAAGGCCGCCAACAGTTTCGCTTGTATAGGTCACGTTGAAGCCCGTAGTTTCGTACCAGGTCCATGGATCCAAAACTGTTCCTTGCGCGGATTGCTAGCACCAGTCAATATCGTTATTACGCAAGGATGGGGAGCAAACCAAACGTACCGGAATACTATCACGATCAAGCCCGTCAAGTGCCGACTTGTCACCACCGCTAGAGCTGGATGAACCCCCTGAGTCATCGTCGGATCCTCCGCCTTTTTTCTTCGATACAACCACAGCAACGACAATGATTATGATCACGATAACAACAGCAATAGCTCCACCTATCCACCACCATTTCTTCCGTTTCCAGAACGGCGGCTGTCCACCTGAGTCATCGCTCTCTTTCTCCCAGCGTTTCTCTGTTGGCAGTGGTCTTCCGCCCCCGCGCAAACGAACTTCCATATCGGGGCCTCTACCTTCTTCTAGATAAGCACCCGACACAATACGACCTTTGGACTGGCCCCGAGGAACCTCGTCGGGGAATGGCTCAAGCGCACGTGTGTTCCCTTCAACAGCTGGGCGTTTGCGTCTTCTTTTTTTCTCTGCCTTTTCTGCTTGACGTCGCTCCTCGCGGTCTTGTTCTTCATGCTGTGCTCTAAGCTTAGCCAATGCGTCTGCCTTGAGCAATCCGGCGCTGCTATTCGAGGACTCTGTGCTCTGGTGCTTCGAAGTTGTACCGCCTCTTTCTCGTTCGCGCTCGCGTTCCCGGCGGCGGTGCCGTCGTGCCTCGTCTTCCAATTCCTCGTCGTCTAGATCCCGGTTCCGCCCTCCTTCTCTTGTTCGTGACCTTCGATCCCGATGGGCGCGCGGTATTGGACTAGCGCCATCATCATCATGAGTTCTCCGCCGGCGGTGGCCACCGTCCCGGTCCCGTGTGCCTTCGCGTTTGCGAGGGGAGGTCGTAGGTGAGGCTCTCGGTCGTTCGCGCCGTCGCTCCGTATCCGAACGGTATCTCCGCGAATCCTCCGCCGCGCGATCATAAGCTCTCGAGTCTTCTCGTCGGTCTAATTCGTCATCGTCGTAAGAATCATCGTATCGTGGATCGGCACGTGCGCGGCGGTAGCCATCGCGGCGGTATCGTCGATCGCGCGGGCTATCCTCGAAATCCTCCTCGTCGTCTTCAGAGTCGTCCTCGTGGTATCTTCTGCGGGACTGGATGCGGGAGTGGTCTCGATCACGGTCGCGACCATACCGGTCCCGACTGCGGGATTGGCTGGGCATGCAATTCAGTTATCTGGAAAATGCGTGGAAACTTGTGGTCGAATGTCAGTCAGCTGGAATGCTGTTACTGCCCCGCGGAAGTCTATTCTGGGCAGGACTGGCGCATCGGTGTGAGGAATAACCTCAAGAAGTGGGAGACATGCGCAGTCAAATTCATTCACAGAATTCTCTCGCCAAGTCGTCGACAAGAACGGCCAAGGAGCTGTTGTGCTGTTGTCTCGAGACGGTTGCCTGGGATGTTGCTGGATTTCCTAATCGGGATAGCGTAATACTGGCACGTGCGCAGCCAGATCTTAGTTGGGCGATTCCATGGTAGATGAGCTAGTACCCGATTTTTCTACCGTTATCACGACCAAGCGCGATTGTTAATGTTACAAATTGAAGCTCTAGTTAAATTCTTTGATACCCCTCGTTGCCAATATCGTTGTACTTGTCAGACGTTGATCGCCAAAACACCTGCATTAGGTAAGCGAGCCGGAACATCAATCGACCGCCAGCCGGCGCAGAGCGAAGAGGCGAGACCGCGCGGCGGACGGCGCATTCTTCGCTACTGTGGGCCCAAATATCGAGAAAAAAAAGACCCAATTGGGCTAAGGATTGCCTCTCATGGGCACACCCAATAATACGCGCCACTCGGACACGAGCGTGGCTGGGGCGCTGGACTGGCAATAAATACGGCCACAAATAGCCCAGCCGCAGACCCGTTCTCGCCTCCCCAAACAAATCAGATCCTCAGGCCCAGCCTTTTCTCCCGTTCGTTCAGGCAGGGTCTTCCACGGCGGCCAGCCAAGGCCCCAATAGGAACCAACCATCCCCATCCACTTGTCTCAGGCCTTGAGCTTGGCTTCCTTCCTGCGAAAGGGCCTCTCCGTTCATCTTATTATTTGCTCCAGAGGCGATCCACCAAATCAAACCCTTCTCAAATCTCAAGCGGCTGGCCTTGACCCACTGGCTAGTAGAGATCGTGAAGAATTTGGGCAATTCCTTGATCTTGCTTTGTCCGGTGTGCGATTCAGCGACTTGTTATCAATTTATGAGCGACGAGGACGACTGACCCGGGGCCCCTGCATATACCCCTCTCGATTATTCCTTTCATCAGTGCAAAGCCACCGGAACCTCACCGTCCCGCGCCATCAGCACATTCTGGGTGGAAATAATAATCCCAGCCATGAATCCTTGCTGAAAAAAGTCTTTGTCCATTGCATATTCACTCCTGGGTCAAAGTTCACTCCCAGCCGTTCTTTTCTTACACTTCTGCGAATACCCTGACCTTCATTCTCTCGTTACCAACTCCTTCGCTCCGTTACGATGGCGGGCCTGGTGAACAGCGCCAGCCGTTATGGCATGGCCATTTTCGTGTTCCTCCTTATTTTCAACATGTACCTTTTCAACCGCGTCATCCGTCTAAACAGCCAAAATGAGACCCTGGAAATGTCGCTACAAACCTCCCTCCCCACCTTGATCACCTCGCAACCCGAGCTCGCTACTGTGACGATCACGAATACTGTGATAGCTACGACCACCGTGGCCCCTGAAACGCAAGCCGAACCGAATAAACAAGATGACACGGGCTACAGCGCAGGTATTAAACCACTCCTCGCACACCAGGCTTCCCCTGAATTCCCTGCGAAGATCTGGCATAAATGTGGCCCCAAGGGTGTCAGCGAACCAGTCCAGAAGTACGTCGACACATGGTTCACGAAGAACCCCAACTTCCGCCACGAACTCCTCACAGACGAGAGCGCGGACCAATACGTCCGCGAAAACTACGCAGAATGGCCCGAAGTCCTCGAAACATACATGGCCCTGACGGTACCCATCCTCAAGGCCGACTTCCTCCGCGTGCTCATCCTCTACGCCGATGGCGGTATCTGGAGCGATCTCGACGTCACCTGCGAGGTCCCCGTATCCGAATGGATTCCCGAGAGGTTCACCAAAGACACTGAGAACCCCATTAACGTCGTCGTGGGCCTTGAATTCGACGGATGGCAATTCGCCAGCTGGACGGTTATGGTGAAACCCCACCTCCAACATTTCAAGGCCGTCATCGAGTACGTCGTGAGACAGCTCAAATACCAGGCGAACGATAACCACGTCTCTGTATCCGAACTCACGAAACCCATGTTGACCGATGTCGTCGCCGTCACAGGGCCTCAGGCCATCACAATGGCTCTTCTCAGGAGCGTCTCCGAAGAAACAGGCCAGGAGGTCACCAAGGACCAAATTCGCCATCTGAAGGAGCCCAAGCTCCTGGGCGATATCCTTGTCCTCCCTCAGGCCGCCTTCGCGGCGCTGCAGGGCGGTAAGCCGACAGACCAGGGGCCATACCTGGTCTCACATTGGTACTCTGGGTCGTGGAAAAACGACGCTGGTGGAGAAGAGGGCCAAAACCAGAACCCGCCGAAGGCCGCGGCGACTACTTCTGCTTCATCCTCATGATATACAATGTGCTTTCCGATTCCGATAGCGATTTCGATACCGATACTCTTGCGTTTTCAGCCTTTACACTTCTTTTCTCTTCTCTTCTATTTATTTTCTCTTTTCTCTTCTTCGATTCTATATTATATCTTTTACTCAACACTTTTGTCTTACTTTACCCTTTTCTCCCATTTTATATTTCTTAATCCTTTACATCATTCCTTGGTCCGGGTTTTTACGTGTTGCATACGAATGATTGGACGGCATGTATTTAGAAGTTTGTACATAAGATAGCTACCTGTACACCGGCATGAGAAATATCCACTTAATGTGTCTCAGGCATAAAAGGCCAAGCAGGACAACCTCGCGCAGCCAGAAGTAGTATGGTAGTATGTACTGCATATGCAACCCAGGCCAAATCTAGTCTAAACCAAACAAAAATTACCATGCTTATGCATCCGTGCTATCCCGCCAAAATGGACAAAAAAAAAAGTTAAAATGAACAGCAAAGGCCGCAAGAGCCTGAACAACGCTGCCTGCCTGCGGCGAAGAATACCCTCTCTCAAGTCCCAGCCTCGGAAAAAGAGGATGACCACTAATAACGCGACTCAATCAATGAGGCTCAACCCACTTCACTTCCTTGCAAGGATTCGCCTCTCGCCATTTCTGGATTTCGTCGACCCTCCACCCGGAGTACCAGCGTTTCCCGTTGCCCTCTGGCTTCTTTGAGCCGCCAATGAGGAAAGCATCCGTCGAGATCTCGCAGTCTCCGTCTGAGTTGTATCGCCATTGAAAGCACCGCGGGGTGTCGGTGCAGGCCTGACGGCATGTTTCGAGCGATGATGTCAGTGCACCGGCGAACTTGATGGGGATGTTGGAGAGGTTATCCCAGTCTTCTTCGTACTCGCGGGTGTTGTTTTCGGGGAAGGGGAGGTAGGAGAGTTCGGCGAAGGTGAGGGGCTCCTATTGCGAGTGAGTGTTAGTATGCAATTGTAAAGACGTGAAAGCTGGGGTTTGGAGGGCGGTTCGTACCGTTAGGTCCTGCCTGGCTTGTTCGAAATCGAAAATGGCAGTTCGCTCTCGCGGGTGAAGATGATGCATCGTCACGACGGGTTGGCACCATTGTGAGGGACCAAAGCCAAGAGTAGAAGGTTTTTCTCCGTTAATCTGTGGATACATATTTTGCACGCCCAAGTCCAATTCCTGGCGGATGGTGTTGGCCAAGACGGAGTCGCCGCAGCAGTTGCTGGTGAAGACATCGTCATATTTATTCGCGAGTCCGGCGTGGTCTCCAATTAATTGCTCGAGAAGCTGTCCCGAAATAACAATGCCACTTCCACCGTGTGCAAACGGGTCGTTCATGAAGTATTGGATGAAGCCGTAGTAGAGGGGTTCTTTGGGTGGCGAGATCCGCTTCATCCAGAGGATCAGGTTCGTCCAAACAATGTAAGTATCCGTCTCGAAGAAAAAGTACCAATCCCGACCAGGGCGCTCCAGCCAGGCCTTTTCGACCAGATGCAGGAATTTGTACTTGTCCAATTTCCATGCCTTGTCACCCTTCAGGTCGGCCATATCCTGGTTCGTACGGCGGTACTCCAGCTGCTCGCGGTACAGTTGAAAGTCCGGCAGTGTTTCCTTGAGTGTCTCATTGAAATCGGCAAGGGTGTCGCGGATATGGTATGGGCCAATTCGTTCCTCGAGGTCAGAGAAGAGGAGGAAATCCTGGACGCACCCAAGGGTGGTGAGCAACTGGGTGGGGAGCTTCTCGTAAACTTCGGTCGCCCCCGTCTTGATCACAAAGACGATGTTTCCGGGGTCCGCGAAGGCCTGGCATCGGCGGTCGCTCTGCACGGCATTGCTGGGGTTGTGCTGTGTGATAGTACTGCTACCGGTTTTATTACTTGCTTCCAGGACCGGGGTCCCTGGCACATGATCTGATGTAAACGGAATGCCCTCGTACTGGTAGAAGAGCAGCAGCGAAGTGCAGACCAGGCAGACGGCGGCCAGCGCCACCCACACGGTCCTCCGGGGTTTAAGATTCAGCCACGTGTCTGACAGGCCCATGGAGAGTGGGAATTGGGGAAAAGATGATGGATAAAGATGCAAGAAGAAGAGCAGAAGAGAAGTGGTCGAAAGGAATCATTAAAGGTACTGAAAACAGAGCTTTCTGGAGGTCCGGACAAGGATGACGAAGCCAGGGAATGGAACTGGAACTGGAACTGGAACAACGCTTCTCCTCCTTGTTCGCGCAATCCTCTGTTCTTCACTCTGCTCCACTGCCTCAGGAACTGCCATTCGACCGCCCTGTGAGCACGATGCCCACATGATTCACAGGCATCGTCATCGCCTGTTGAGGTCTCACTTGTTTCATGGTTTCAGACGCCCGCTCAACTCCGGGTGCTGCCTGGCAGCCTGCCAATCATGCAGCCACCGGTCGCTAGCGCGCACTAACCAAGTCCGCGCCTCGTTGCCGCCTCCACGCAGTCCCGCCAGGCGACCGCACAGGCTGGTCTATTCTTGATCATCCTGATGATCATCCTTATTCCTGCCTCAAATTCTCTGCGGCTGGTTGCGCCTCTTGATTGGCATTGTGGGCGGCTGTGGCCCTTTGTACCCGACAAGTCAACAAGATTATTTTTGGACTCGGCACTTGGCAGTTGGCACTCTGCACTCCAACATGCTGGATCCGATGTCATCAGGCGGCCAAGCCTCTACCGCTGCTGTGCTACTATCAGTTCCTCATTCCAATTCCCCGGACTTCAACGTTCAGGAGTAGTATCAAAATGGTTCCATGCCATTCTCCACTGCCCTTGACCTAGACCACCTACTGCGCTACTGCTAGACCCCCATTATCCGGGTATTTAATACTACGTCGCACTGGACAATTGACTTGCCCTGCTCAGCCTCGTTCTTCGCAAGAGATAGCAAGGCTAATCATGAATCAAGCTCTGACCCTGGAGATCAGGCCTCCAACCGGCGAAGTCAAGCGGGAGATGGAGTGGTGCGCTCCACAATAAGACCCTGTGTGGCAGGGTATGTTGCAGATTGGGGCCCGGAAAGTAAGATCTCTCCCCTAATATACGGCGTAAACCCATCTAGCAGTCTGCGTTTAATTCCCAAAATTTTACGGTTTATCTTATCAAACAATCAATCATGCGGAACATCCTTTACTTCTTATGACACCTTTCACACTGTGTTTGCTCTCGAGAATCGCCCTCCGCAGGTCCCAGGTCCAGGAAACCTATTCATGCTTGGGCACAGCCAACCAGACTTGCCAAAATGCAGCTCCTCTTCCTATTACTGTCCGTCTTTGGCGTCAGTCTCTGCTCTGCCCAGAACGTAAACTTTTTTGTTGTCCCCGGGTCTCGGCCGGCCCAGCTCAATAGCGGAAACAAAACATCAGACTACCCCGTCTATAAGCAACATGCTAGCACCCAATTCAGTTGGAATACCAATTGGACTAACGTCAGTCTGATTATGTACCAAAATGAGAACTCATCTGCAATCCGGCTTTTCGGTATGCACACACCCTGGTACCTGCAGAAAAATGTGGGAAAATATGAGACCTCATACTGACAACATCAAAGAAAACAGAGAAAACGGCCCAAAAAAATACACATTCGACATGAACCCAGACGTCAACTTCACCTGGAACGACGTCTTCTTCCTCACTCTGTGGAATGAAAACCAGCAAACAGAAGGCGGGCCTCGCTACTTCTCAAGCTCCTACTTCCGCATCAACACTTCAGATCCCTCATCCCCTTCTCCAGGCGGCGGCAACAACAACAACCCCAAAAACTCTGCCTCCGGTCTCTCACGCGCTACTAAAATCGGAATCGGCGTCGGCGTAGGCGTAGGTGTCCCTGCCCTGATCCTCGTCGGTGCTGCCGTCTTCTACCTCCGTCGCCGCTCAAAAACCACGGCTGCCCAAACACGACAAGGGGCTGAATGCGGTGCTGGTGCTGGCGCTAGCATGGGCGGGTATTCCAGTCAACATCCACCGGTATCAGAAGTCAGCGGTGACGCGGCATACAAAGCAGAATTACCAGACGAGTCCACCGCGCCGTGCAGAGCGGAGTTACCAGGTGGGTTGACCACGCCGTCGAAGCAGACGGAACCGAGCGAGGTAGATCCGACGAATGTTGGTGTTGGTGTCCAGTCTCGGTTTATAGAGTTGCCTGGGAATTGATTTTGTATATGTATATATATAAAAAAAAGCTTTCTTGGTTGTATATACGCATTTAAAGACCACCTTGTTATCTCCCCCCGTCATGGATTAATTTATACTCGACATGCGAGCGCTGGGGTCGTGAAATTAAATAATTACTCTCGAAACCAGAGATAAGAATAGCCTTACGACGCTCTTAAACATTTAGTACACTATGAATGCCTCAATTTGCAGCCTTTCATAAATGGATATGCACTCTGTATTCCCGTACATAGTGCCTGCATTAATTACGATTGATCCTATTATATTGCGTGATGCCATTTCGCCAACCTTACATGCCATGATTGTTCTGTGTATGTTCCTCGGTTCCCGATCCGTTCATGTGACTCGAATCCTCACCGCTCGAGTAAACAAAAAGATCCCTTGCCCGGGCTGAATGGAGAAAAGAATGTATTCAGAATGGAATCATCCATAGATACTTTATAGCTACTCGCTGTCTTAAATTCAAGAGTACAGTAACCATGACCTTAAAGCATTAAGTTGCTAACACGATAATATAATATTCACATAAACCAGCGCGCACGCGGTGTCCATTCAGATATTCTATAGAACTAGTGGTATGGAGAGAGTATGTAAGTCGAGCATCATAAATTACAAAAAGTCCTCCAGCGTCAGGCCAACAACAAAGCGAAAGTGGGTATAGATAGTAAGCACTATAGTTGGTATCAACACCAACCAACGAGCCCACTGTCAATCTCACCATCCGTCTATTTCAATCACGGATAATACAACAAAGACATGGCCATAACAGCAGGGTATGCAAAAAGGTACATAGATACCAATCACGACGCAGAGCAAAACAGATATTTGCGATTGCGACTAGTGCATTTGGATGAAACGAAAGAGATATGCAGATGGATGAGAGAGATTAAGTATATCCGGGCATCATATGTCAGTCAGTGAGTCAGTAAGCCACCCCGTTCTGTTAACTCCGGAGCCACCCAGGAAAAAGGAAATGAAGGACGATGCAAACGAAAAACATCAAATAGATCAGCGCTGAAGCCAGGGGAATCAGGAACCAAAAGAAAAACGAAGAGAAGAAAATTGATTATGGTAAATTGATTTCGAACATCGCCGTATATCCAGCACTTGGTTTCGATATATCCCCGCAACCTTGTCATGTTCAGGTTGTTAGATTTGCTATCGATTTGTAAACGTCATATATTCTCGCCGCATTGCCGAGGAACAGAGTTGTCCAAGACTATTGCTGGATCTGTATGGTGTAGACTGCGATTCTCGCCAGTTGAATCATCCAAGCCATGGGCTGGTCTCGGTATGCCTGCTTTGAACTTTTTACAGGGCACCTGAAATCAATACTGCCTTGAGGGTTATTTTGAGGGATAACTCATCCCGCGCATTCGTTCAGCTGATAATTTGTCGGGCTCCCTCCTTACCGAGAACACCAGGTTCTTGCGGCTTGGGGCTTCTGTCACGTCCCTTCTTGCGGCTCAAGAAACCAAGCATTCCGCCGTTGTTAGACTTTCCTTTGGTGGCAGGGTCGTAGCCTTCTGCAGGGAGAGTAGTACTTTGATCGGCAAGCTCACTCCAGCTACCCGCTTCCTCGAGAACCATTTGCACGCCGCCGCCCTTGCTGGTCTTGCGCCCAGTTGGTCGAGCCCTTCCGGACGGCGGGGGGACAAAGGGCCGATGGAAGTTGGGAGCAGGAGGGGGCACCCCAGGTGGCGGGGGCGGCGCGGACGTCGGCATTGACGGGCTGATAGGATGGCTGGTCGTGGGCTCTATAGCCTCACCGATAGAAGACTGGTTGTCTGGCAGGGGCAAGCGAGCGGGTGACCCTTCCGTACGGGCTGGCGAGCCTCGCGCCGAATCAGGTTGGGAGTAATGCCGTGAGTGCGTCGACGAGACTGTCGTCGTCGTTTGGACACAGTCTTCAGGGCGCGTAGCAGCCGCAATTGCTTCGGCTGCATTCCCACGATAGCTCATTACCGTATAATCAAACGGCTCAAACATAGTTTCGATGAGTCGATGGAGTTCGTCTTCGCGAATTTCCTTCGCTGTTGCATCTTCCCTCAGCTCGGCTCTTGGTTTCTGCCTTCGGGCCCTGGCTTCAAGTGGGGCTTCCTCCAGGAGCAACTCTTCCAAATCATATGTTGCGTCGAAATTCGTCTTATCGCTCGATGGGCGGAACACTGGGGGCACTTCCTTTCGCTCCAAGGCAGCAAAATCGATATCGGCAAAGAACTGGTGCGACATGAAGCTCTCAAAGCTGACCGCGCCAATTCGCCTACTCCGATCTTTTTCCATCAACGCGGACATGGCTCGCAGGCAAGGGATGGAGACCGCGGGGTTCGTGACATAGTATTTCGGTTGCGCCTTTTTGATGTTTTCGCTAAGAGTATCCTGAGAGCGGCCTTCAAAAGGTCTCTGTCCTTACATTAGCCCGGATGGCATGGTAGAAAAGGGCAAATTACTAACCTTGTTGTAAATGCATTCGTAGAACGTAACACCCAATGACCACCAATCGACTTCGAAATAGTAACCTCCTCCCTCATACACCTCGGGGGCAAGATAAGCTAGCGTGCCAGATTTACTCGTCAGGGGCTTCCCAGGTCGGAAGTCTGATGCCACGTTCTATTGTGGAGAAAGCCAGGTTAGGGGCGACACGATCAGAGTCGGAACGGAGAACCTACAAAATCTGCCAGATGGACGTGTCCTTCTGAGTCTAACAACACATTGTCTGGCTTGACATCGCGATGAATAATGCCTTGCGAGTGAATGTACCTCAAAGCACATCCAAGTTCAGCGAGCCAAAACTTTACAGCATCCTCAGTGAAACATTTTCGTGAGATGTGGAAGCGCAAATCGCCGCCATTCATCAAATCCACCACAATATAGCTTTTGTGAAAGTCAGCAACATTGAAGACGGGGATTGGCAGATTCCAACGCACATGTACTCAATATCCTGAAAGCTGTACCGCAAGTTACAAAGGAAGGGGTGGTTGAGGTGCTCGAGCATTCGACGTTCCCGAATGATATTTCGTACACTCTCTGAGCGGACCACTATAGCAAGACAAAAATTTTGGTCAGTAAGGGTCAAGAGAAATCTGCATTGGTAAAGAAAAATACATACCTTCCTCTTTGCGAATATACTTCAATGCAAAGGTCAAGCCCGTGTCCTTCTTCTCGACGATGCGGACCTTGCCAAAGGCACCTTTGCCGACAACTCGAAGCAGCCGGAACTGGTTCAAGTTCACTATCGCAGAGTTAGCCAAATCTTGCACCAAATATATTTTTCCGGCGCGTCTGGCGGGGTCCGCGCCCACTGCCACTACAGGGGTGTGATAGGTCCAGACCCGTTCAGGTAGCACATACCCTCATTGTCGGAGGCAACCTGTCTCCCTTGGGAATTTCCCATCTAGAACAGTAGTCGTTATGACAACAGAGGTGAGATTGTTGTTTCGCGTCACCTGCGACAGCATCCCATTCGAACGTGTATCGTATTGCCGAGGCAGACAATCCGTGATCAAAGCTGGTCGACAGCTGGAGAGAGGTCGGGGAGGACGGGAGAAGGGAGTAGAGAGAGCGGAGGAAGAGCGGCGGAGGACAGGGTTTATAGGGAGATAAGCGGATCGAAGGTTCACCGCATGCAAACCTAGACAGAACAAGTCAGAGGTTAAAATTGAAGGTCTCAGGTAGACAAAGAGCAGTCAAGGTCGGCAAGGGCGTTTGTAGGGGGCAAGGAACTGCGGCCGAGGCAGGTTGGCAGCGAGGGTGACGTACCAGAGCAAGAAGAAAAAGAGCCAAGATAGAGACGGTCTGCAATTCTGGACGAGAGGGAGTGGGCTTGGATGAGAAGGGCTCAGGACGGGCAGTGGTGAAAAGGAGACGGTTCGTGGCCTGGCGACGGGGAAGTTGGAATGAAGATGGAGGCGGGCCGCTAGTCTGCGCAGTCTGAGGTGGAACTGGGATGCGATCGAGATAGACAGCAAGAAAGTCGACCAGAACAATTAATTCCCCAGAACAAAGGAGGAAATGACGGGGTCACTACTAAAGCTTCTTGTCCGGCCACTTTGCCACAGAAAAACGACGGGTATTTCTTTCAGGACACCCATGAGAGGCCATCTCGTGGCCGCCACGTTTTCCATTCATTTCGTTCGCAGACTGCGAGCTGCAGATCGCGTTTCATCATCTGCGACTTTCTTCTGCCGTCTGACAAGTCACTTCACAATCAGACTCATCCGAACTCTGCGCTGGAGGGCCTGAATGCCCCCTGCTAGTGACAGCATGGTTTCTTTTCCTCCTTCCACGCTATTACGTGTTCCGCTCCTTCGCTGAGACTTCTAGAAGCCATCCTTCTGACCCTGCAATTCAGGGGTTGAGGTTATCCATAATCCATGGTGGAAATTCCCACTACATCTCCACTGCGTGGAAGGGCCATCCACACTTCCTCACCGTAATGCTACATATGACTCGTTCAGCTGCCTCTCTACAAGTGAAATCTCTTCAGTACCGAACATCGGACTCAAAGATAAACCGTTCAATGCAATGCCGAATAACTCAATACAAAAATCCCGAAATGAATAACTATCTAAACCACCTCATAATAAATCTATTTCCATCCCTCGTGTCTCATCCATTCAAAACTCCTGGTGGGCTACCTGGTAGACTACCAGCGTCTCCCATACACCGAGTGCTCAGTTGAAGGCGCTCGACTCTCTTGTCTGCCCTTGCGATCACGAGAGTCGTCGCGCCCGCTAGTAGTGGTGGTATCTGACCGTTCTTGGCTCGTCGACTCATGGTTCGAATTGAGTAAACCTCGCTTTTGCGGCGAGAATTCAAGACTGCTCTGGCCGCCCGTGTATCGCGATTCGGCGTCCTTCCCGAAGAGCGCCATCATGTCGTTCATCGTAAGCTTGGCCGCTGCTGTCTTGCCCTCAATTGTGAGGTTGGCCAGTTCCCGCTTGCGCTCCTGTAGATCGAGAATGCGCTCTTCGACTGTATCTTTAACAATCATCTTGTAAATTTTCACGTCTACGGTCTGATTGAGTCGGTGTACGCGATCGATCGCCTGTTCTTCGACAAACTAAAGCCAAGGATTAGTCTATTGTCAAACAAGCAAGGGGGTGTCAGCTTACAGGGTTCCAGAATGGTTCCAGGATGACCACGCGACTTGCTGCAGTCAGGTTCAGCCCCAACGCACCAGCCCGCAAACTACAGAGCAACACTCGGGTAGCCCGGTTGTTCCGGAGTTTGTCAAGACTCGCTTCTCGGAGGTCATTGCGCATACTGCCATCGTATCGTGCATAACCAATCCCAGCGCGTTTTAAAAATGGCTCGATCTTGTCAAGCATGGACGTGAAAACAGAGAAGACAATAAATTTAAAATCGGGCGCCTCGCGACGGAGAATCTTCATCAGTTCGCGGACCTTGGTCGATGGAAGCTCCTGGTTCTCATCATCTCCGGGGTTCAAGTAGATGTCTTCCTCAGAGTCCTCATCAACCTGAGATGCCTGGGGACGACGCCGCTGACTAGGGCTTTCAGGTTCGCCATCCGTTTCAGAATCTTCGTCTCCAATCCATTCGCCGCCTCCCTCTGCGTCTTCGTCGTCGGATCCTCCGGCCTTACCCAGGGAGAGCCCTGCTGCGCGCTGGTCCTCAGGAACTAGCCATTCGCCGCCCTCTTCTTCATCATCACTATCCATGACAACTCTTCTATTCCTGCGGACACGGCCCATGCGATCTTTCGAGTGGCGCTCTGATGGAGATGCAGTAAGGTCAACGATATTTTTAGATTCCTTCTTCTTCGTGGCCCCATGTGCCGCCAAAGGCGTATTGAAATCCTTCTCACATGAACTGCATCTGCTGCCACCGCCAGTTGATTCGGCTTGGCTCAGTTCCATCTGGCAGATGTCGCATTTTTTCGACACGACACTGAGACCACCGAACAAGTCCGCCATAGCATCCAAATCATTATTCTGCTTTGCGGACGACTGGCTGTTCGAGGCACCCGTCTGCAAGAGGATATCTTTATCTTTCGCCAAGTCGCTTTTGACTAGATCTGGGTGGTTACAACATTGCCGAAGCCGCAGGAGCAAAACTAATGCCCCAGCGTAATCCATTTTAGAACCGTCCATCATCTTTTCGAGGCTATTTTCTGTGCGCTGTTCCAATCGCTGGTAGAAGTTTCTCTCGCCGGGCATGAAATCTGGCGCAACCTTAATGACCTCACGCTTGGTGATTTGGAAACCAGGATTTTTCTTTTCCCCGTCAGCTTTTCCTTCCCCAGGCTTGAGGTTTGCGTTCAGTTTCAAGACGTCTTTGGTTCGACGCTTCATGAAGGCTTTCAAGACAACCTGTAACCGCTCAATTGCAAGACCACCACGTCCGTTCGCCAGGGGTCTTGTGATTTGATCCTTCCAGTTTGCGAGATCGTTGTACGGCTTAATTCGCAAGAATCTAATCAGACTCTGCAGCTCGTCAAGATTGTTCTGCATGGGTGTGCCGGACAGGCACCAGCGATACTCAGCATCCAGTGAATATGCAGCCTGCGTTGCCTTTGCGTTGCGGTTCTTAATGGTGTGGGCTTCGTCAAGAATGAGGCGATACCAGTGGACGGAGAAAACACCCGACTTCTTGTCATTTTTTGTAACAGCAGTATGCTCAGAAGTCAGGGTTCCATAAGTAGTGATCACAACATCGTAGTCATCCAGACGGTCAGTTGACTTGGCTCTAGTATTCCCATGGTAAACGAGTACTCGGAGTGTTCGAGACGGTTCCACCTTGGATTTGATCTCGGATTCCCACTGTTTGATTAACGCAAGAGGGGCAATGACCAGGGTGGACTTGCTCAATCCCTTCGGGAGGTTTCGCGACTCGGCATCTTCTTCATCACTGTCATCAGACTCTTGATCATAATCAAACAATGCAGGTCGCCGTCTGGTGCCATCTTTCGGCTTCTGATTTGTGAGCATGAGAGCAATGGCCTGGACCGTCTTTCCAAGACCCATGTCATCGGCCAGGATTCCACCCTTTGGAAGTACACCCTTCCCCTCTTTCATAGTCTTTCGCGAGCCGATCTCTTTCTCGCACATCCAATTGAGTCCCTGTCGCTGATGGGGAAGAAGCTGAACATTCAGCCCCTCAACAGTACCATCATCATCATCCTCGTCATCTTCGTCGTCTTCCTCGGCTTCCGATTCAGCATCACTAGCGTCCTTCTCATCATTTTCGCCCTGGTTTTCGACGTTGGCAGTACTCTTCTTTGCTATAGATTCGTTCCCTTGCACCTCATCCGAATCATTGTCGTCATTGGTTGCTTTGGTTTCATTCACACTCACTCCCTGTAGCTGAGCAGCTAGATCGTCCATCTCCAAACTATCCTCTTTTGCCTTGGGCTCACTCTGGCTATCTTTTTTCTTTGCCTTGTTGCTCTTCTTCTTGTTCTTTTTCTTGCCCTTTGGCTTTGGTTGCTTTTCATCTTCGTCCTCGAACGCTCCTTCTAGTAGTGCCTTTATATTTTCATTCGCCTTTGCCGTATCCACCCAGTCACTTGCTCCCGTCGATCCAAAGCGCGGCACTGCGCCGGTCGAGAATCCACCTCCAGCGGGTGTCGTTAGGTCGACGAAATTCTGCAGGTTTTTAGCGGCATTCGCGGGCTTCAGTGGAGATTTCGAGGCGTAAAAGGTCTTTGGGGCTTTGGGGGTATTGAACGTGACGTTCTCGGGGCGGCGGATCTCAAACACATCGTTGTCAACAGGACGAGACATTCGATCATTGTTGTATGCAGAAGGTCGGACAGGCTTGAAGGGGTCGAACGGCTCGTTTCGCTTCGGCGTTGACGCAACAAGCGGGGGAATGTTGGGTCGAGTCGCGTTTTGCTGGAGCGGATTGTGAGGTCGTGGATGTTGCTGCTGTTGCTGTGATCTGTGGTGTTCAGGTCTTGGGCGATTCTGCTTAGGGATGTAGAAAGGGTTGCTGGTGCCGTGATTCTGAGGGTATGCAGGGCGACCCAGAGGTGACGGTACACCGAATTCTGGCTGGTGTTGTCGAGGACGGTTCGTCTGGTCTCTCGGTTTTCCCGGAGTAACCGGATCGGTCGGAGCATTGCTTTCTCGTGCCATTGCGTTCAGCTCGTTTGCTTTCTTGTGTGTCGGGTCGTTATGTTGTGATCTTCGTTAGTTGTACTCGGTGGTATGGCGTCAGAGTCGTTGCAGCCAAAGCATAGCAGCAGGTTATTGTCTAGGGTGGGCGGGAAGTCTATGCATTAACCTTCCAGGTATACTAGTCGTCTATCGTTTGTAGTTGGAAAGATGACGATCGTGTCAAGAGTCGGAATTTCTGGGGTGATTGTGGGTTGAGCCGCCACTTTTTTCTTATCGCTTCGTTTGTTTTGGATTCTGCCCCAGCAACCGCAAAGCGGAGAGCCGCCATGAATGACATGGTCAATGCAGCTGTCAACGAATAGTCTTGAAAATCGTTTCTCTGGTCAACGCTCATTGGACTTGAGATTATTTTCATTTTGTTAATATTTCTGCGACAGCCCAGTATGCTATTTATGTTAGTCGACAAGGGCACCAAAGTATAAGTGTTCACTGCCCCTCACGACTGAACTAACTACATCACCATTCATATAAACCCCCCAAATATACATATAAAACTGTGTTTTTGGTAAAAAAATCTAGATTGGATATAAGTTTATTTCACAATGTCGGACTGAATACGCTTGTTTAAATGAGGTATTTTCTGCAAATAGACATTAAAGCTAATGGAAGTCCAATGCACAAACAGAAATCCGTCATCTGAATGTATCAATACATTAAAGTGTGTAAATAAATAGAAGTATCTAGGCAAGTCACACCCGCCGAGAAGTAATTAAAGGCACAATATCCATCATTTCCACACTGACTCATACCGGTAGTTATACATAACGGCACCGCCACCAACACAATTCATGAGCTCAACAATCAAGCACTTAGAGATCGCTGCAACCAAGAGCAAGTGTACCACCCTACGGTATGTTAGTTGAATACCAGATATTTACTAGAGCTCGGGACTTACCAAGAGGTTAATCTCAGTGCAGCACTGGGGAGCGGTGGTGCAAGACTCCTTCTCGTAGGCGTGGCCTATCAAAGTTAGTAAGGTGAAGGGACTCATACACATATCAAGACATACAAAGAAGGCCTACGGAGCCAACGATATTGGCGGCGTTAATACCCAGCCCCTCGAGAATGGGGTCGACGATGGGGTCAAGAGGAGTGGTGAGGGTGCCACAGCATAGAATAGGATCAATGCACTTGCTGGTGTCCCTCTTCTCGAGTTTGGCAGCCTCAATCTGGCGAGCAGCCTCCTGGACTTGGGCAGTGAGCTGCTGGGTGAGGTCGCTTTCGGTGGCAGGGAGGGCAGTGGCCAGAGCAGAGCCCGCAACAGCGAAGGCAGAGAGAACGGTGGTGAACTTCATCTTGACGGTTGGGTTTAGTAAAAGTGAGGTATCTAAGGGCGTTTTGGTAAAGGTTTGGGTGAGTAAGAGACTTTATATTTGGTATTGAGATTGATGCTGTTAGGATTCAAGTGCCATTGGGAGGGGATTCTAAGTCCTATATATATGCCTGTCGAGGATGTCTATGACAAGACTCAAAGCAGGTCTATAGAGGCCTTATCTGATCATCACGTTCCCTTCCTGAACAAGAAGAGCTGAGTTTCCAATAATTCCAATACCCAGGAACACTATCTCGGATCACTGGTCGCTTAAAGGAATCCCTCGGTATACACTTCAGGCTGAGAACCAACCCCAATGTACAGAGTAGTTCGGAAAGTCTTTGGATTCCAAATCAGGAGATCCATTGCAGATCCAATATTCACGTAGATAAGACAATTGCATCGTTCCAAGTAATGACAGGCGGAGGGTGATTATGCCCACGTAATTCCGAACGACTGAGCCAAGAGGTTCATTCAATCTCACGGCTCCAGGATAGAGCCCTGAGGGATAGATCTTGGCGAAAGGTTGATCATTCTCTTGGGGACCGCATGAACTATCTCGAAGCGAACAATGGGAATGGATGATCCGCAATTGACCGGTCACTCTTGAATGGAGACTGATATGGATGGGTTCTCCATGATTCGGTGGATAATATCCCAAAGCAGTCTTGCGAGCGGGTTCGGATGAACAAGAAGCCCTAGAGAACGATGAAAGTACCGAGGCAGAGGCAGCGATGGTTCGCTTAGAGGCTGATAAAGAGGTGTCGTCACAAAAACCGATAGTTCGGGGGTGGTTTGAGGCGAACAAGTCTATCCAGCCTGTGAACCGCGAGACTCTTATCAGTGGAACCTCATCCAAATGCACAGACTTGTTTGGTACCAAATCGGATCGACAACTGGGCTAAAGATCACCAGCGTCAGCAGTCAGCAATCAGCACGGATTGCAATGCAGGCCCTGGGTCATATCAACGCAATTTCGAAGTGTAATCATCCAGGGCTCTGGAGTAGTGGTGATCATGCAAGGCTAAAGTGTTCCAGAAAAAGAAACGAGCCCATCTCCGCCACTAAGATCCAAGATGACTGGACGACAAATGCGGAGCACGGCTTTAAAAAGGGGAAGATACAGATAAACTCATCCCTCTGAGAAATCAAAACTGATAAGCTACGATCTCGACGACTTTGTAGGAGCGGCTGACCCGAGACCAGACTACTAACTCAGTGATCATTTTTCGTTAACCGCGACAGGATCGCTGTCGGAGGAACGCCATATCTGGGTTTTAGATTGTATTCAGCTCACGCCTACCTAACCCTGCTGGGCATGGTGCATCCCAGAAACCAAGAGCGTCTCGTCGCGCTCACAATAATAGTTCCTTGGCCGACTGTGATTTAACTTCCGCATCCCAGAGTACCTGGTAAGGCGGATAAGATCTGTCAACACAGAAATTGTTTTTGTTCTTTCAGTCCTGATAGATATGAGATATTTACGTAAATTGGGTCGCATAATTGAACGAGTGTTATCAAGAGCATCGAATTCAAGCACTGTTGAATCGAATATTTAGGTTGACCAGAAAGGTTTCTAGGATGGGAACATCCGGAGCCAAGTCAGCAAAATTGAAAATGGAGGCTGCGTAACCGTGGACAATTTGAGTAGTAGAGATTTTCTCTAGTTTTTCTTCTCCCGACAGTGTTTCAAGGAAGCTGTCGATAATAATTCAACATGAACCCCGACTCCCATACAACCCGGCAATGTGGCGGTGCCAGGCGGTGTGCCAAGCCCACCAGCCACACACCCACTCGCGACACAAAAAATTGCCATTCTGACAATCTCAATATCCCGCCGCCTGCGAGCTCACCGTCTCCAGAATTTTATAGGCTACCTCGGTCCGTGAGGAGCTTTTCAGACGTTTAGGTCATCTTCGATTGTTTCATTTCTTGTGGTTATCCCAAGTATCTGAACACCATGGCCCCCATCTCCATCGCAGACATCGTGGCGGCCCTCCCCGCAGAGGACACCTGGGGTCCTGCTACCGCAGCAGACAACATGCTTGAGGGTGTCCCATATGCTCCCTTCTCCAAGGGAGATAAGCTAGGTCGTATGGCTGATTGGACCGCTGATTCTAAAGACCGTGATCGTGGCGGTCGTCAAGCATACAACCGCAACTACAGAGGTATGAACCTGACAAACCAGGAACACCATCGCCCATAAGCCAGTTCTAATGCAAGTTTCAATTTAGACCAACAAGTCTACGGTGCCGGTTCCTCTAGCCTGTTCGCCGTCCAGGTTGCCGAAGATGAATCGTCCTTCTCCGTCGTTGACAACACTCGCACTTCCGGAAAGCGTACTTTCGGTCGGGGTGGTGGCACCGTCTTCCGTGGCCGTGGCCAGCGCGGCGGTGTTGGACAGAGGGGAGGCCGTGCAGGCTTCCAGCGTGTTGGTGCCGGTCGTGGCCAAGGTGGCGACCGCTACTACGATAACCGTGGTGGCCGCGGCAATCGGGGTCGCCGCTTCGGATGGAAGGACTACGACAAGCCCCAGAGGACTCGTGAGCCATCGGTCAATATTCGCCCAGATTGGTCAATGCTGGAGGAGGTAGACTTCAACCGCCTGTCTAAGCTGAACCTGCAGGCACCAGATGGTGAGGACATCGACAAGTACGGTTTCCTCTACTACTACGACCGTTCTTTTGACAAGGCCCCTGTGAAGAACGCCGAGCGTCGCCTGCAGTCTCTCGACCGAGCTGCATACAACGTCACCACTTCGCAAGATCCCGTCATCCAGGAATTGGCCGAGAAGAACGAGGCCACCATCTTCGCTACCTCCGACATCCTCTCCTTGCTCATGTGCGCTCCCCGCAGTGTGTACTCGTGGGATATTGTCATCGTCCACCAGGGCAACAAGATCTTCTTGGACAAGCGCGAGGGCGCATCGTTGGACCTGGTTACTGTCAACGAGAACGCCGCTGATGCTCCCTTGGAGGCCTCCGAATCCTCTGGCAAGCAGGAGTCGATCAACACTCCCAGCGCTCTCGCCATGGAAGCCACATTCATCAACCACAACTTTGCCCTTCAGACCGTTACGGAGTCTAACTCCGCAAAGGTTGAATTCAGCAACCCCAACCCCTTCTACAACGCCGACGAGGAGACCGAGCCTCTCGCCTCGAAGGGTTACAAGTACCGCCGCTTTAACCTTTCCCTGGAGGGTGATGAGGAGCCTCTCAACTTGGTCGTCCGTACCGAGGTTGACGCCGTGCTCAAGAACCCCACTGGTGGTGAAGACCAGCAAATGATCATCAAGGCTCTCAACGAGTTCGACAGCAAGGCCCAGGGCTCCGGTGGATCCCTCGACTGGCGTAGCAAGCTTTACTCTCAACGCGGTGCCGTCATCGCCACTGAGATGAAGAACAACAGCTGCAAGCTTGCCCGCTGGACCACGCAGGCTATCCTTGCCAAGGCCGACGGTATGAAGCTCGGTTTCGTGTCTCGTGTCAACCCCCGCTCTGCTGCCGGCCACGTTATCTTGGGTGTTGCGGGCTACAAGCCCCGTGAATTCGCTGCGCAAATGAACCTTAACCTCGGAAATGGATGGGGTATTGTCCGCACGATTGTCGACCGAATCCGCGCCCTTGATGCAGGGGATGATGAGGACAAGATCAACAAGTACATCTTGGTCAAGGACCCCAACCGCCCCGTTCTCCGCCTGTACAGTGTTCCTGCCACTACATTCGAGGAAGACGACGAGGCCGAGGAGGAGCAGCAGGAGGCTAAGGCTGAGGACGAGGAGGAGGCATGAAGTAATGAATGTGTTTTTGTTGCTCGAAAGATATGAGATATCATGTTCCTAAATGTTTTTTCATGTGCATATTCCAAAAAGTACTAGATCACGAGTCTAACTGACAAGATTTTGGGTCACTTATTGTCACTCTATTGTAGCGTAGGTTTTCCACCGAGCTGGCACCCCCTGCAGGTAAATTGCAGCTGCAGTTGGCAAGCATTTCACCCGCTCAGGAACGTGTAGGCATTTTAATCCCACTCGACCCATTATCCATCCCCCTTTCCCGGCTTTCTTCACTCGTTCAACTCCACAACCACGTCACAACTACGCTCATCGCAGCCCTGTGTTTGCTTCCCTGTAGAGATTTCATCTTCAAATGGAGCGGATAAGCCCCAAGTAATCGGACACTCGCGGCCATGGTCGAATAAGAGCATCGGCCAACAAAATAAAAACCACCTGTTTGAAAACTCAATTTACGACAATGCAATTGGATGAAATTAAGGTATTTTGGGTACAGGGTACTCCACAAAGACTCCAAATTTAGAGACATTCCCTAGTCATCTATAAACTCACGAACAGGCGGCTAACTCATGTTATGTGTGTACTATAGCCAAATACTACCGTAATTCATTATCTCCATCTCGGCCTTTCCCCGTCTTTGCTAATCCTATCCATCTGGCGCGGGTGGCAGATCCTGCTGGCAGACCCTGCTTGGTTCGTCTCAGAGTAGTGTGGTGAGGATGAATTAGGTCTACGGCTCGAACTGCAACATCCACAACGAACTGCCTGGCCACATGATAGTATATCGGGAGGGGGTTTCTGCAGGTGATCGCCATGAAGAACTAGAGAACGGAGGACCTTCCAGATTTCGTCTCCGTATGGGGCCGCTCTAACATCCAATTCTTCAACCCACTAGTTCGGTATTCCACCATCTTTTGGGTATAGGGCCGGAATTCCTTGCCTTTCCAAAGAAACCATCGCCGAGATATTGCCGGAGACAGAAGCAATCTCTTACAATTGGACGGCTGAGAATGTCAATATTGCCAGTTTGGGAGTCTGCGCATCCTGCCGCGGTATCCGGTGTTTCAAGAAGGTGCAAACTTTTCTGCCTAGCGCACAAGATCCGACAAGCAGAAGACGAAGAGTGACCTGACCCTTCAAGTCTTCAAGTCCAGGGTCCAGAGATCTTATTAATCAATTTAAAACAACATCGTGATATCTGCCGGTTCCAGGTTAGCTGTACGAACTTGGATCCGATCCCTCGGTCTTGGCCTCGTTCCGGCAATTGATATCTCGAATCGGGGAAATCGATCTGTCTCTTTAATATTGGCCTACCGTTGAGCATTTACCTCGCACCATCAGAGAGTTCGGCGGTGGTACAGTCTAGCCCTTCCTGGTTCGGTCTCACCCACATCCGGCGGAAGTATACAACCATCGCCAATTTTTGGGGTTACCTGGGCCGATCAAGCGGTCAGACATCCGCAGCCCTACGGTAACGGATGAAATCCAATGATTCAAGGCCGTGTTTGAACGCCAAAGCCACGACCGAGAACTGACTTGCCAAGCCCCGCCGGTTGTTTAGGTTTGACACAGTTCCCGTTTCCCAGCGTTCGTTCCCCACGCAAGGAAGAGTGTGCCTAAAGAGAACCAAGATAATATACCAAAACAATTACCTCACACTCCATTTTTTGGGGCCCGGCATTGATCAAAGAGTTTCTTGGCCGAGGTTCGGCACTGTGAAGCACTCAAATCCATTGTTTCAGGATTTGATTTCCAATATTTACAGACAATCTCGGACCTCGTGGACACTGGGGAAGTCCCGGGCTAAAATTGAGACACGAGAATGATACTTGGCTCCGCAAACTTCTTGGGCCTTGTCGCCGAGGTAAGGATACAATGCAAGCTATATAAGGGGGGTAAACACCCAACAACAAAGGAGACCACAGCAGGCCTGACTCGGGTTCATCTCAGACATCGTCACTCATTGTCACCCATACACTCTCTTCTAAACATTCTTTTTAGATCTTAAGCCACTATGCATCTCAAACTTCTGTCTCTCGCTGCCCTTGTCGGCTTGTCCATGGCCAGCCCCGTGGATCTTGACGTGCGCCAGCGTATGTCATCTATCCAATAAAGCACCGCTGTATTTAGTTGCTTACTGATGAGAGACAGTTGGCGGAAGCAGTGGTGACGACCTTCGCAACGGCGACTGCAAGCCTGTCACCTTTATCTTCGCCCGTGCCTCCACCGAGCCGGGTCTTCTGGGAATATCAACTGGTCCCGCGGTCTGCAATAACCTCAAGAAATCTGGGGATGTAGCTTGCCAGGGTGTTGGACCCAAATACACTGCTGGGTTGGCCGAGAATGCTTTGCCCCAAGGAACTTCCAGTGCGGCCATCAAGGAAGCCCAAAGCCTGTTCGAAATGGCTGCTTCCAAGTGCCCTGAGACCCAGATCGTGGCTGGCGGATATAGGTACATTCCACAAATACTCCATATATGTCTCTTTCTCACGAATGTTTACTGATGTATTGAAATTACAGTCAAGGAACAGCTGTCATGCACGGCGCGATCCCTGACCTCTCGGACGAGATCAAAGACAAGATCAAGGGCGTGGTGCTCTTCGGCGACACCCGCAAGACGCAGGATGGCGGGCAGATCAAGAACTTCCCCAAGGATAAGATCAAGATCTACTGTGCTGTTGGAGACCTCGTTTGCGATGGCACGTTGGTCGTTACTGCCGCGCACTTTACCTACACCATGAACACTGGTGATGCTGCGAAATGGCTCGAGGGCAAGCTCGGTAACTAAATCTCAAACACATTCCCTCAGGATCTTGACTGGCTGCGCTTCGGAAGGTAGCGAAGATCTGGTGTATGCGTCATGGCAAGGATATGCTGGTCATACAATACGACGTCGAGGCGGAAATCTTACCGGTTCGCCCGGCTACGAGCAAGACATCACGAAGGATGAAACATGATGCCCGAGACAAGTTGAAACTAGTTTTGATTCAAGTAAATATTATTTAAGATCCATCACAATGACTTGTCAGGTGCTCTGTCCAACAACTAGTGTAACTGACTCGTATGTAACTCGCTTAGCAGCCAAGGCCAAGACTGCATGGCATCCCGATCTCGATCTGGACCGTTGGAAACCCAACGGCTATCCCCACCTCACCCCTCGACAAAAAGTCGCACCTCTCCTTACCCCTCATCACATCTCTCACAGTAAAGCACTCATGCAGAGTTAAAGCGGGAAATGGCTCCAGTATACCCAGATTCAAATCTCACGACATTAACCTTAAACCCAAGCCCCAATTCAACTCCATCCCCGGACACCGACAGGGGAAGCCAACGGGACTGCAGCGACAAGCCATCAAAACCCCGCCCCGTAACCTCATGTGCTGCCTGTCGCATGCGAAAAGTTAAGGTATTTAAACTCTTCCCCCCTTACTATCTACCATTACATCTTACCCTTGCTTTATCTATATCTTCTCGTTGTTCCTTTTAGTTTTTTGTTTCCCCCCCCTTTTTCACATGCTAGTATATGATTTAACCAAAAAAAAAAAAAAAACCAGTGCAACCGCGCTTCCCCATGCAGCGCATGCATAGCACGCAAAACTGAGTCAGAATGCACATATGCCACGACAATGGAAGACCGCGAAGCAATCGCGCAAGCAGACTTAATTGCAGAGCTTCGAGGGACTCGAAATAAACTACAGAGCCAGTTAGCGAAGACAGGGGCTGGCGCCGCTGGGTTCGGGTCTGCTACGTCTACTGCGAGTACATCCAGTGGGATGTACATTCGGGATCAGGAGGAAGAAGAGGCGCTGGAGGCTGTGTATGCGGCTTTAAGGGGTGGATCGTTGGATCTGGTAAGAGAGGTTGTGGGGAGGATACGCGCTGGCGAAGGGGTGAGGGATGTGCTTGGGTGGTTAGAGGGAGGTGTTGGTGTTGGTGTCGGTGTCGCCGGTATTGCTGTTAGTGTTGAGAGGGATTAATCACGACTTGGTATTGATTTGAAACTTGTTCTTCATATCCTGAATATGATCCGATTCTCATCTAAAAGTGGTATATACATATATAGTCCCTCATGGGGAACACGATAAAAATTGGAAAGGGATAGGTAACTATCGAAAGACAGAAGAACAACGCTTGCAGAGCTTAATATATATATACAACTTTCTTCGAATATTAGTGGCAAAGATAAAGTCAAGTTAGAAGGTTGAATGAAACAATCATGAATACATCTCGTCGATAGGCTGTGAGAAGGCGCCCTCAAACTTGGACCCAAGGACGTTGCTAAAGCAGTCCATGAGCTCGAAGTCCTCGACCACCGCTCCGAATCCGTAACAGCGCACCTTGTTTTCGAGCGTGTCCATAATCAACTTCACATCATCCCGCGTCAATCTGGTATACATATCGTGGCTCTTTAAAGCCTGAAGTGCCATAATCGGTGTAACTTGCCCTTCCGTTACTAGCTGTCGACTGAGATTAAGGAGGGTTGACAGGTTGGCATGTGGTAGGTCATAGGTCTTGTGTGGGTATACTTGTTCGTTCGTCGTGTTGGCAATGTAGCTCGGTGGCGGGCACGTGGCCATCAGCGCGTGTCCAGAGAACGGCATGTCTTCGTCTTCGGCTTCAGTAATAGACCGTCGGCAAAGGTAATCCGTATGCTCTCGACACGGCGATTCCAGCCTAGTTCAAAATCAGCACCGATCATGTTTAAACGAAAATATTTGAATAGAAAAAACATACGCCAAGATAAAGTCAACTTGAAGTTGGGGGTTGTCTTCAAAAACTCCCCCACCACCACCAGCCGGGCGTCGGTCGATGGCCGCGAGCGCATCGCAGGGTATTGCGGCGACTGCCTGGCTATTTGATCCAGCATCTGGTGCGGACGAAAAATCGATCTTTTCCACCCCGTTTGCTTTCGGGCTCATCCCTGAAGACACTGTCGTTGGTGGTGTACTGTAGGTATGGGTAGTCATCGAAGCCATGCCTGTCTGAGATCCAACGCTTCCGGGTGCAACGGGGCTGGACTGAAACCCTGGCATTGGGCGCTCAGCCTTGCGGCGTTCCAATTCAGCCTCGAAGCTGATGTTGTGTGTCGCAAGGATTTCTTTTAACATGTTATTTTCCTCAGATACAGAATTGATCATTTCACGGTGTTGATGAACAGCAAGATTGGCAGCCGAAATCTCTTGGGTATATGCTTCTCGTAATCGCGCAACTTCACTCTCTAAAGCTCTGATATATTGTTCTTTCCGTTCACGATGTGTTCTGGTGGTCATTTATGAGCATTGATCTGAGCCAATACGATAAAGATCATACCTCTGCGCCTGACGGTTCAACTCTTGCCGTCTCGTAAGAGCCGGCTTGCTATCGGGTTTTGGTCCTCTTCGTTTGGCGGGTTGCCCATCTAAGTCGAGTTAGCACATAATACATACTTCGAAGAAAGGCGGAACAAACCTCGAGTGGTCTTTTTATTCTGATTTCCACCACCACCACCACTAAAGAACTTAAAAAAGTCCGTGCTTATAGAGCCCCTCATATTAGGTGACTCTTGAGCTGTCACAGTATGAAGTTAGCAATTTGACATCGATCATGGACGGCCACGGGAAGTTAAAGAAAAGCGAAATCCAGTCATGCAAGGGATACGGCATCATCCACCAGGTTCCATCAAGCGACAAAAAGCCCTGGAGCAACCATCGCCGGTAAGGCATCCATCAAGAGATGGATGTCCCGTCTACCCTTGCATTCCCGTGGTATGCTTCATTCCTCAAGGTGGCTCAACAAGTGGCGTTCCGGCTTACCAGGTGAAGCACTATGCCCTAAACTTTGCCGATTCATTGCATCCATTGCTTCCAAGTCCAACGGTATGGGACCACTGCTAACTGAGGTCATGATTGCGGTGTTGTAGGTAACGGAGAAGAAAGAAAAGGTGGAATGCGACCGGCGAGTCTGCGACAAGAGATGGAGGTGCAGGCGAAAACAACAACCCGGCGACTGGCGCGATATTCAATAAATTAATACTCGATAGATGCGACACTCTACAGATCAAAAGCATTGTCAGCCTCAAAATAAAAAGCTCCTGAAACATGTGGGTTCCTTTGTCCAAGCGTCAGGGATTGATTATTGAGATACGCACCCGCTAAGCCAGGACACGGTCCTTTTCCCTCCACGAACCACAGTAACGAAAAAGAAAAGCCGCAACCGGCGTAGATGTGCGACCGTCCCAGATAATAGCCTACAAGGGAGTGTCAAATCTCACAGCGAGGGGAGGGGCTTGGAAAATGGCTGATCGGGTGTCCAAAGTCGAGGGGAAGGCAAAGGCAAAGGTAATCGTCGATGTTAAGAGCCAAGATCCGCCTGGAACCAGGAAGACAAGCCGCGTTATAATGATCGAACGCTCAGCCTAGCGGGTCAACTGTCGAATCCCAGTTACCCCGAAGTCCATCCATAGGCACAGCAAAGCACTGGATTATTGGTTCCTGGGCCGTTCTTGAGGACCCAGTAGGCTGGCGTCGATACAATTTCGATGAGATGGCTTCGCTAGCAACGATTTGGGCAGGCTGGATCCCTCTTCCCGTCCACTAGTCAGTAGCCCGAGAGGATGGACTAGCGAGAAGAAAAAAAAGAAAATAAAATAAACTCAGGTAAAATATAGAGAAGGCAAAAGTTATGCCTAAGTTATCTCTAGCACAAAGCAAGTTCAGGGCAAAGTGTGCGAAGGAAAAGTGAAGAACACCCAGGCGCCCGACGATCTGATGGGAATACGGTACTAGTATGTGCTTTTGACCTCTGGGTCCAGATCACCCCGTGGAGAATAGCGATTTCGTCTCGGCCCAGGATCAACAAGAAAAATGGAGGGAAACGAAATAGGGACGGAGTAGCAAGGAGCTCCGAAACTGAGACATTTCCTGAGCCTGCGTTCAAGTGTCAATTCCCGTTGATGTTATGATGAAGAGGGAAAGAACTCAAGACACCTGTGTGGAGGGTGACAGGAGACTGGTCATGCATTATTCTCGAAAACGAGCAATCATACCTCACGAGTTACGACATTCTGTTGGATTTCAAGTCTAGGACGGCAAAAGGACCACAAACTCTAATTCTCTTGACTGGCTCCAGAAGTCCAGAGAGGTTGTCTGCCTCAATTACACAAAACCAACCCCTGTTCTCCCCAGGACTGGGAGGGAACCCAACTCACCAAGCAGTGGGCCATTCATTGGCCTGCAACAGAGAAAGGCCCCGTAGGCTATCCTGTGTCTTCTTGACCATTTGGGGAGTCGATGACGGCGCCTCGCGGCTATGGGTTCCAGTCTCCACCAGAGGACCTCCCGTTCTCGGGAACGGCGTAAACGGCGCCACTGACCAGAGGATGGATATGTTGATGATCCAAGTTTCGACATCTCAGATCTCAGTGACTGCGGCGGCGGAACCTTGTGTAACCCAATATGTTCGAATTCCAAGCGGCATTCTGGCACCATATTCACAACCAAGGGGGGAGGGGCCGCATTTGGAATTTGTACTGTCTAGTTCCGTGATTTCGGAGATCTCCCATCTCTGGAGCCCACCAGGTCGCCGCCGTCGTTTCCACAAGCCAGGATACCCTGGCTTCGGATTCCACGCTAGATATAAACGAGGCGTCTGTACCCGGAGTGTCATTCATCCCTGCGATTTCCAACGGTCAAGGGTGCAGCACTGGATGCTTTCAATCGCCTCGCAGCCACAGAGGAATTCCTTCTGTCCTCGTAAGCCACCGTCGTCCTTAGTTTAATGCAAAGACAATGTGCCATCCCCATCAACGAGTAGATAACATATTTTGGGTGTACCAGCACTAGTCTCACGAACGGGATGCTATCGGGGAGTGATAACCAACTTGAGGCTAGCACCTGTCAGTCATTACTGAGATTGGGAGGTTCAAGGGACGAATTGCCAAATGGAGACTCACTAACTCAGTAGAGCAGGTGGAGCAGTTACACTTTGTATTTGGCATTTGGCAATCCCCGTCAAATTGTCAACATAGGTCTGCATCAGAGTAGAACATTTCAGATTCACCCTGCCTTCCCTTCCGATTGGTGTAATCCAGGGTGCACGCTTCGTCGTGAATAATGCTGATCAGTGCCCAGATGTGTGGGAGACGCCCCTCGAACCAACCAATCTCTCCACGTTCCTGGATAAACAAAGCGCCAACCAAGCCAGAAGATCATGGCATGAGACCGAGGCTTGGAGGTCGAAACCTGCGCGGATGATCATCGCAGCTGCATGGAAATAAATTCCAAATCACTAAGAAAGCAGATCTCGAGCGAACATCCCCGGACCAAATAAGCACGCATACCGCACAATCTAAGGTAAATGAGCCAAGAGAGGTATGAACCTTGCGACGGGATGGGCCGAGCCAAACACGCGGGATGAACATGAGCTCAGACCCTCAGGATGGGATCGTTAGTAATTTGTTCCCGGCCTCGACGGCTGCGAGCCGAGCCCTGGAGTGTGTGAATTAATCATGTTTTGGGTGAGACCTTGACAAGTTTTGGACTACAGAGAACTATTGCCGGTGATCACCGGCCTCAGGCTCTCGGCGCTCCTGATTGGGAAGTCACGCCCCTCGTCCAGAGGTTAATCTCCCGCTTTTCTTTCTCGCCTCGACCACGTCCTTTTCTACAAACCATCCACAAAGCACACCATGGCCCATACGCTATATAATGATTACCCGCTAGGATGAACAGGGTTCGCGCATGGACAAATCAGAAATCCTCGTCCACATCTCCGCGCCCAGCGGCGCCGTTGATGATGCTCGCTATCGTGCTCAAGTCGATGCCATCCTGAACTTCCAAACTCACTCACGTGAGACCATCACGCTTCGCCCAGGCGAAACAGATTCCTATCCTTCTTCCTCCCATCCAGGCACATCATCGTTTCTGGGGGCAGTAGAGACTATTAGTTCACCGCCCCCTTCACACCGAGTCCCGACACAACTTGGCGCTCAGAAGGACTCGCTTGAGACCCCTCTTAGTGTCATCCCCGACTCCCAGCCTCAACCAGCTGTCGACACAGAATGCCTAACGCTCTATCCAGAGCCAGAGCCAGAGCCACCTCAAAGCTCTTCATATCTCCCTTCCAAGCATCTCCCTTTCAAGCGGCGTCGGGTGGATTCCCATCCACAGGCCCTCGGGCATCTCCAACATGATGAAAGGCAAGCTGGAAACGTAGGGCATCGCAACACCATAACTGCACATACCAGCCTTATTGCCTCCCCAAACACGGTCAATGCGGGAAAACAGCCACAGCCAACAAACACTATAGCACAGTCAAAGTGCCCCACAATACTCCTCTCCCTTCCCTTAGAAATAAAACCACCCCCTCCCCCAATATCTGCATCTCCTTTCACTACTCACATCACACCAACACTCGAGATGTTGACCACACGCCTCAAATCTCCTCGAACATACAGTCCTGCAGAGCAAACCAGGGACCTCGATAACCTCGAACGGGGATACTGGTATCTCCGCCTGAACCTCATTCCTTCAGGTCAGGATAACACCAAAGCTCCAGCAGTAAACACATCCGCACCCACGCCCTGGGACATGTTTATTTTCTCCAGATTTTGGGCCTTCCTTTCAGATTTCATAAAGGAAGGCCGAGCTGGGTGGGGCGTATGGTGTATTCTTGAGGCCGAAGATGAGGAGAACGATAGTACCTTTCCATCAAAAGAAGCAGAAGGGCACTCCAATTCTACAGGCTCCGTCAAAGCCCGGCAATTAGTGTCCCTAAAGGTCTTCACTTGGGGCGAAATTGCTCGTCATATATACCTCCTACTCTTCCTCGCCAGTGAACGGCAAGTCCGCAAATTGGGTGCTCAGTGGTACGATTCCCGCGGTAAAGTTGTTATCCAGATGCCGTAAGTGCGTTGCATACGTCACTTTTTAACTTGAAAATAATATATATACATACCAATAAGATTTATGGATACGAAGTTTCCCCCTATTTTTACTCATATCAGCATACCTTTAATATTTAGGCACTGGTCAATTGTATAAAACCTCGATTAGCCTGATTTTGCAAGATACTGTACGTGCTAGTATGATTAAAAAAAGAAAACAGAAGACTATGGTACATTCAAATCGCAGGTCAAACAAACGACCGCATTTTTGGAGTCCAGGGCAGAAAAAGATGGAAAACCCATGTGCGAGGATATGGTTACAACAAATCTGCTTGGCAAATGGAGGGAAAATGTGATCATGTGTGAAATGGTTTTCAAGAGACAGCAAGTGAGGATCAACGAAGAAAAAGCGAAGGGTAATCCTCTTTTACGCGCCGAGAGAAAAGCCGCCAGCAAGCCTTGACTGAACGGAGGTGAAAAGTACAAACAGTAGAAGAAGGGAAACAAAAAAGTAGGAAAAGTTGGATGCCGATCCCGAGATGCAAAAAGTGCTGTGCTTAATGGAGGACAATAGATCAGTTCCCATGTTGACGCCGATTGGAAAGTAGGAGGGGAAGAGCTTAAGGTTATTTAGCCCGGATGTGCAATTTCTTAGTAGTTCAACTCGCCGCTTCCAGCGCCACCGACTGCGTCAAGATCCTCGTAGCTCTTCAGACTACGGCCTTGAACGGCCTCGCGCGGGCCCATTGCCTGTTGGGCTGCGTCAGGGAAACCTCCGGCTCCAGCAAAAGCGGCAGCAGCAGGATGACCAGGAGGGATGTAGGGAGCGCCTGCGGCTGGTGGTAAACGGCCAGAAGGTAGCATACCACGCCCTGGGCTCATGCGGCCCACGCCCTGGGGTCCATGCCGGTTCCCACGTCGATCATAAGGCCCGGACCGGTTGTTGAAGCGACCTCCACCACGACGCATAACGCCGGGTTGGTGTAGGCCAGGGTGGTCACCGCCAGCCATGGTATTTGCAGCCCAAGACTGATTGCTGAGTCCCATGAATCCGGGCAGGCCTCCCGGTACTCCTTGGAAGCCAGGTGGAACGTTTGGTCCATTAGCGAGGTAAGGGGGCATCGCCGCCAGGCTGAACCCGCGAGGTGTACCAGTCTGGTTTTGGCCCGAATTGAGCGGGAAGTGGCCGTTGCTATTGGCATCAGATCGCGAGGGCGCAATACGAGCAGGGTCAAGAACATAAGCGTTCACCAAGATGAGCTGTCAGGGTGATATTAGTTTTTGGGCGTATTGGCTGGACTGGGGACATTATCAACTTACATCACTTTTGATATGTTCATACCAATCCGCATGTCTCTTCTCAATATGCTTACGCCAAAAGTGATCTGCCTTGAACAGCTTGGAGCAGTCAGGTACCTTGCACCGGTATTTAGACTCATCCTCCTGTTTGACGTGCTTGGACAATTCCTCCTCCAACGCTTCGTCAACAGACTTCCCACCAAGCTTGATGATGTCCACATTCTCCGGTTCAAGAATTTGAAGGAGCTTGTCCTCGAACGTCTTGACCCAGTTGAATGCGCGCTGGAGTTGCTGTTCCGACTTTGAGCTGAATCTCTGAGAGCGTTTCTCTTTCTCACTTGGGGGCGGAGCTTGCTCCTCCCCCTCTTCGCTAGGATCTTTCTTCTTAACGGGGAATGGTTGACCGAGAGCGCTGGCTCTAGCGACAGCTTTTGACTGTGTCGTAAGGCCAGTTCGCGGACGGCGAAGGTGCCCACCGGGGCATTTCCGCGTGAGCTCATGAATGGAGTCGCACTCAAAAACGCAGAAGAAGCAAAAGTTATAAACCCTGCGGAGATATTCCACCATAAGGTCCAATTTCTTTTTCTTCGCCAAAAGTTCCTCGTCATCGACTTCGTCATCTGCCCATTCTTCTTGCTCCTCCCCCTCCTCCGCCTCACCTTCGTCAATATCGTCGGTATCAAAATCGGGTTTTCTTTTCTTAACACTGACAGGCCCAGTAACGGGTGTTTGAAGCCAACCTTTTCCACGCAGTTCTTCAACCCGATCTTCAACCTTAGCATAACCATCGACGCCGCGACCCATTTCAGAGTCAAGTTTCGAAACTAGTCGCCTAGCCAATTCCAGGTCACGCTCAACCCGGTCAGGTGAAGAGAACAGATCCCACAGCGCCTTCTTTCTAAGCTGAGATGGTGGAGCATGGACACCGACATGGCAGACAAAGTCCCCATGAATGGGGTCATGTATCGTCTTGTCATTGGTCGCCTCGAGAGCCTTTTCGGCAACGCTGACAGTCCCCGTCCCGTTGGCGACGTTATCTTGGTCCATCTCTTCGCCCTCTTCTTCTCTTCCGTCTCCCCTCTCCACAACCGTACCATCACCAGCCGGGTGGAGCATGATCCATCCCATCCGATGATACTTCTTCGAGGGATTCGGATCGCTTAGACTGAGCCATTTGAATCCACCGTCACGTTCACCGAGATGTTCCTTGCAAAACTCCTCGATTTTATGACGGCTTACATTCGGTGCCAACGTTTTGATAAGCAATGCTGGTTGGGACAAGGCTTCGTCACGCAGATCTCCACCCCTCGCTGGAAGCAAATCCAACACACCGAGGGTCTCCCCCACAGCTGTCGTCTCCCCTTCCTCCTTCTCAATCACACCACCGGCACCGTCACTTTCGCTTTTGTAGATGCCCTCAAGCGTGAATTCATCAAAGAGGCCACCTTCAAGATCACGCTCCCACTGCTGATAGGCGTCTACCCGGAAGTCCATGAGCATCCGGCGAAGAGGATCCCGTACTTCAGGAACGTATCGCTCTCTAAACCATTCCTCATTCTTGTGTTGTTGAACGAACGTCCTCGCCATCTTGACCTGGAGATCCACCTTATAGGTATCGTAGGCCGCCTGGATCTGAGCCCGTTCTCTATCCCGGTCTTCGCGCGCCTCGCGTTCTCCCTTCACACGGTCAGATGGCCGGCGCCCGCCGTGCTTTAAGCGTTCCTTTTCCTCCTTTATAGACTGCTCAGCCCGCCACCATTCCGCAAACCAATTGAATCCGACTTGGAAATCAAGGGTTAGAGGGTTTGGTAACGGGTTAGGCGGGATTGCCCGCTTTCCCCCGTCTTGACCAGGTACATAACGGTCGATATTCGCTGGAATCGGCGAAGGAGGGCGACGGCGATCTTCACGTTCTCGAGCAGTATGTTCGCGCGACGCGGAGTAGTAATCGTCCCTAGATGGCCTGCGATCGGAAGGCTCATACCGATCAATCATTACAGGAGAACGCGATCGGCCCCGTCCACGCCGCCGATCCTGAGATGCTATATCAAATAAGTTAGTCAAGGCTATTTGGGAGACAATATGGGGACAGCAACTCACCAGGAGATCTGCGCCTATACGAATCCATTGACGCCCTGGACCCATAAGGATCGCTTGTTTCACGGCCCCTGCCAGGGGAACCGTAGCTATCATACGAATCCATCGACGGCAAGAGCAGGTCACCAATGTCAGGCGTCAATCGCAAATATCTGCACGAGCAAGGCCGCAGGTCCGAAGTGTTATCCGAAGGTCGGCGATAAGGAGCTCGAAAGAAGCAAGAGACGGAGCGTAGGGAGTGTTGTGCTTTCGGTGAGAGAAAACAAAAGGATGGTTATAAGCTAGAACCTGATACCATCAAAATTAGAGGATGTCCTGAAGAGAATCGTTTGATAGACTGTGTTCATCTGAGCGCTGACGGGTGCAGGGAATGGGTGAGTGAAAGGAAGAGCGATGACCGCAGAGCGGCAGAAAAATATCTTGGGAAGTTGCCCATTGCGGGGGCCACAAAGAAGAAATGAGGTGATAAAAAGGCAGAGGGCTTTTGAGTAGCCAGAAGGAGAGCAATTATATGAGGACAAAATGACAAGAGTTCGGATGTCGCAATTGCCAGGGGTGGTGCAATGATGCACAGACAACACCAAGGAGGCGCAGAAAGAGAGGCGGATAAGAGGAAGAACAGCTAGTGAAGATGATTGAAAAGTAGAGGAATCAAGATAGATAAAGGCTTGGGGACTTCGTTGGCAGAGAGCACGAATATCTGGCAGGGAAGGGAAGAAACAAGAGCGGGTAGATGGTGATAAGAGTGAACGCAATGAGAGGATATGAGCAAAGGCAGGCAACCTACAAGAAGCCTTAAAATAGAGGACAACGGTATCGAATCAACCTCTAGAAATGTCCAGTCCGACGAGGTCAGATGGAATGATAAGATTGGAAGAGGGAGAGGTCTCAAAGAGCAAGGCCAGAGAATCACTTGCAAGTTCCAGACGGGAGGCCGGAGCTGAAGGAAGCACTAGTCTTGATACGGAAATAGCACAAACCGACCCCAGTCAATTATGTAATCATTTGGAGAGAGCTTAATGGTGTCACATGAGTTGCAGTCAAATAGGTCTTTGAATCACTGCAAGAGAGGATGTTGAGTTTCACAGTGGATAATTATAAGTATAATAATAATGTGGACTTTCTTGTATTCCTGTTTGATGTTAAATCTATAACCAACCATGCTACGCAACCCTCCGTACGAATGATCCTACTACACACCATGCGCTTCGATCAACATATATTTATGCCGCCAAACGATTAAATTGATTTGATATAATCAACGAAGCCTGATTTCACTCCACCTACACAATAAAACTACTGGACTGCTGCTTATTGCACGTAGAATAGGTATAGCAGAACGCATATTTCATAACAATATTTGTACACAATGATGAGGTGAAGGGGGAATCATTTGGGAATCATAGCAGCACAGAAAACATTCCAAACGAAGGACGCCAGAATTAAACAGTATCAATTTCACCATAGCCGCGAGGCTTTTCTGCCACCAACTACCCGCCACCACCCAAGCACGAGGGTGAGATTGTCGTTCGAGAATGGTAAGACGAGAGAACCAAAACCACTGGCAATCACCGAAACTCAAGATTAGCACGGAAGAGCCAAAGCATAGATCCAAATGGGATCGAAAGCGCTGGCAAGCAACGGTTGAGGCGGGAAAGCTCATGGAACACTCCAGGTCGCATCACTGTAGAGCGCTGTGTACTGGAGCACAAGCTCACACTTCCGCAAACCAAAAACAAGAACTCCCAAGACCAAAAGACATGTACCCATAAGGGAATCAATCCCTCTATGCTCCAATAAAGCCGCCGAAACACAACTTATGGGAAAGGGGGGGAAGTCAAACAGGGGGTGGTGGATGGTTAGGAAAGATATACGACGCGGTGTTAGCATCTAAGGACGCCTGTGGGGAATAGAAACAGAACATAATATCAGTGGAATATCTGTATTTCAATCCCGAGCCCGGTCAATTGGGGTTCGGTACAGAGAACTGATAGGGGTATCGGCTATGTCACCCATCCAGGAAATCAAGCTCATCCACCACGCTAAGAAGAGAAAATAAAGACAAACGAAAACATAAGCACATCATACATGCAATCCTGAAAAGCTGAAAATCATGGAGAAAGTGATATCGGACCTCATACCAGCATGACAATATAAACAGACATAGGAGAAACGAAGAGAAATACAAACTTCCTCCATGGGTATTAATCAACAATCCGGATCACATTGTTCAACCATCCTCATCTGAGGGCGCGCCGGATTCGGGCTCGCTTTCATCAGCATTGGTACTGGCCTTTCGCGCACCGGTCTTTGCTTTCTTAGCTGAGTTAGAATTATCGTTATTCCCATCACTTGCCTTGCGTTTCTGAGACGAAGGCGAGCTGTCACTCAGCGATTTTGACATATTCGGATCTGCGTTCTCCTGGCCTAAACCGACACCCTTCTTCTCCATGGCCGCGACTTCATCTGCAGTAAGGAATCGACCACCCGGGCCGCGGGGGCGGCGCATCGCATGATTGTGGCGTGACTCATGGAGATACGGCTTGCGACCTTTAGAGGTAAGTCGTAGCTGCTCTTCTAATTTCTGCCGGGCAACTCTCCGCTTCAAAATACGATGGAATTGCTTTGCGTTCACGTACAACGGAGACTCTTCCGCACCACTGGGGACCATGTCGGGTGATGCTTGGGTCTGTTGAACGGGGTGTTGGGGAGGAGGCATTGGAGGAGGTACAGAAGGTCGACCGACATGATTGAGAACTGGCTGCGCATTCTGCACGTGTGGGCTACCCACATGGCTCATGCGACGTTGCTGCATCTGGGCGGCGGGAGGCAGCGGCACCTGCGTGCCCATCGGTGGTATCTGCCCAGGCATTTGAGGAGGGGATCGGGGATTCCTGTCAGTTTTCACCGGTACCCCCGCCATGCGTGGTGAGCCGCGCGGGCCCTGTTGCATCTGACCAGCCATCGAATCGCCATGCACGGGATAGAACTGTCCCGACGCGGCTGCGGTGGCCATAGCAGCAGCCTGGGTTGGGGATATGCCGTACGGCTGCGGTTGCATGGCCGCTGTGACGCCGTATGATTGGGGAAAATTCATTTGTTGATGCATCGGGCCCGGTGCATTTTGTGCCTGTTGGTAATGCGATTGTGACGGTACAACAGGCGATGCCTGGTGTGTAGGATGCGCTTGCTGCATGTGAGCTTGAGGATTGGTTGGAGAAGTCATCGACCCCACAGAACCCGGGTTTTGGGGTGTTGGCTGATAGGGACCGGCCATATGAGAAGATGGGTGGCCAGGATGTTGGCCATGTTGTTGTTGATATTGGGGAGAGTATTCCATTGTGAAGTTGCGGGGGGAGGAACGCGCTTGTCACGTTCCTTGCTTGCTATGATCAGCGATCTTCTGTTGATGTCAGGAACCCGCCAACCAGGAGAAGTAGTTGCGGTGAAGGTAGATGATTGGTCGATAGATGTTCCAGTCGGAGAGAGAGGCAAAAGAGTTAAAGCGGTATGATAGGATATGAAATCGGTACACTTGAGATTATCGGTCAAGCTGAGGGGCAGTTCCAGAGCAGGCGCTGCTTGTAACTTATGATTTGTAGATCAAATGTGCAAAGACTGCAGACTTTGGTCAACTAGTGGATTTGGAGCGCAGCACCGAGAGGTCACTGGATCAGTTGGTGGGGTTAAATGGGAACGGAGGGCGCTTGACTTGGGCGCTTACCTTTGGTTCCTTTTTGTCCGTCCTCAGCTTTTCAACTCTCAGCGTCAATGAGATTAGCTTGAGGAGATGCTTGTTTCACAGCACCACTTCTAACTTGATCCTTCAAGGGGTCCGCCTTTTTTTTTTTACATCCAGCTCCAAGTGTAACGTGGTTGGGCTCGGATGCAGCTAGCCAGGATGCCCTCGTCTGGGCTCGTACTCGATGTGTTGTCAGACAAAGCGCGATCGCTTGATAGAAACGCACTGCTGCTTATTGCCGCCACAAATGAACAGGCAAAGAGCGGGGGATTTGGGAGCTACACGGTTTTATCTGAGACGACAGGTGGCAGGCTACCTCGTCCAGATTTTGAATCCGTTAGGCTGCCAGGCGACGTCCGTACGAGGCGGAGACACGGCAGGAAACAAAGATCTGAGGCGGTGCAAACAGCGTGTCCGCAGAGGCGCTGTGTTGATCCCGATGCAGCCCGCAGGTAAACCACAGACTTCGCGAAGGTTGATGTCAGAGTCCGCCTTCAAAGGGCTTGGCCAATGAGTGCACCTGTAAAGGATCGTCAGCGGCCTTGTCTACATAAAGTTTTACTTTTGGCACTTTATTTGTGCGCTGTCATGATGAGGAGAATGGGAAAGGGTGGCGGGGAATGGGAGAGACCAAGGTTGTCGCGGTTTAGTTTCTCCAGGGCTGAGGGAATGTATGCGTTGGCAAGCGGGAATCATGATGCAGCCGATGACATACCTCGTCACAATTCGACGCACCACCCAACCAGGGTAATTTTGTCAATCTTCCAGGTTGCGCGCAGATGCACAGAATAGTGATCGCGCCAGTTCAGAGCTATTCAGCGCCTAGTTGAAGAGATATATCAGAAGCAGCTCGAGGACTATGAAGGTTGACGCGTGGTGATTGGGTCGCAAAGCGGGACGCGACAGAAAACATAACAGAGTGCAGCGAGACAAACTCAAGTTTCCACATGCACGATGACAAGAGGATGTGCCAATAAAAACTAAAGCGAAAAAAAAAGGTGGATTTTCTCTGAAATATTCCAAAGAAGATGCAGACCGGGGTTCTCAGATTGTAATGCTGTCTGAGTGGGAAGGGGGGAAGATGGTTGGGATCACAGTCGCAGTCGCGGTCTTCCCGGGCCGCGGTGGAAGCCAAGTACGTAGTAAGCACTGACCCTCAGCCGTGGTGGGCGAGCGACTTTTTGACGTGCGATTATTTCATGCAATGGGTAGAAGGGATTGAAAATGATGGGAAAGGGTCAAACAACGCGGCAAAAGCGTACACTTCTTCTGGTCGCAGGAGCCAATTCGACTGACGGCGCGAATTGTGCCAACCAAAGCACTGCTCGTTGCGCGACGGTGGGCTGCCGCTGATGTCAGTCTCGCCGGGTTGGGTCCCCGACAAAGGCGGGCAACGGCACGGCGCGAGTAACAAGACAGTCGGCGGTAATGTGGAGGATGGAAGGTTCAGGGATGAAGCCAAACTGCCAAAGTGATATGATTTGTGGAAGGAAAACAACCGATGGTTTGGAAACCAACGAGAGAATGCAGCCGAGCACCTGGGGAATGCAGACACAGGATAAATGGTGGAAAGTGATGGGATTTGCTGGGAAAGGCCTCGAGGGAGACAGCATGCAACGGGATTGGGCACGGACAAATTAAGGTGTGCGATATTGGAGCACAAGAACAAAAATACACAAGAGCACGGTGGTTTGAGTAAGGGGGGAGCACGATGGGTGTCTTGGGACGTACCTGAAGATGGTGATTCGACCGCAAACCGTGGAAGATGGTCAGGTCGCCAACAAGTGATCAATCACGAAGAGGGACAGCAGATGGGGTGGGAAGGCAAGCAATGATGCGGTTGGACGACGGAATATCAGGGCTCTTAAGGGGTGACCAGCGGCGAGCGAGTAGGAAAAAAAAGAAAAAGGAGCAAGGCCAATGGGCAGAGTGCGGGCAGGAGGACAGAGTCGATGACTGGAGGAACGCAAGGACTGGAGGCTGGATGACCAACGAGAGGGAGCAGAGAGAGAAAGCCGCAGCAACGAGAAGGGGCGGGCGATGGAGAATTTGTACCGGAGCACCTGTGAATCAACTTCACTCAACACCGGCCAGCGCTTTGGAGGGTCAGCCCCACTTGGCGCCGACCGTGAATCGCGATGATACCACTCGGAGCGGTAGATTCATTCACCACAAAATAATTATTCCTCGTAGTATGAAGTATCTCCTCCTACAAATACTGCCGAGAGGCTGTTTTTCATTTCCAGAAGGGACACTCAGAGTCTGATCAGGATAGTGTTTCTCCGCGAAGTCCCTCACTGCTCAGGGTGTGATCGCGTATGTGTGGACGGTCGCTGTACCAGCCGGAACGCCCTGGTGGAGCCTGTATTGCAATACCGTATTGTGATGTAAAGCTATGCGACACATACAAACATACAGTCAGCATCAAGACTGTCAGTTGTTCGCGCGAGGGAATCGAGGCTGTAAGATTTATCCGGAGGCGAAAGAAAGAAATTGTAGTTGCTTATTCTGCGACCCCCTGTTTTATTTTGGTCCTGACGCTTATCCGCGGCCAATCCGACAGTTCCGAGACTGTGACGGTCTGCAACCGCTGCATTGGAGGTGAGGCTTCCACAAAGTATTGGTGTGATTGCGGCGGCTCGCCTGCTTAGGCAAATCATGATTCGTTCTGCTGAACGGATTTTTTGACTGGTTCTCTGCTCTTGAACAGTGTTCTTCCTTGCCCGCTGTGTAACTCGAGATGTGATTTTTGCGTATCTACCATCTAACCGTGCTTAGTATGAGTTTCCGCTGTTATGCAAGGCGAGCATATCCCAGGGTTGAAGGCTCCAAGGAGGTCTGTTCCACGGACATGTGTTCCGTATTGAGCCAAACAGCGGTAAAGTCAAACCCAGCCCGGCCTCGGTTATATTCCCCATTAGGGGAAGACCCAAGTTGCAGCCTGTCAGCATTGGGCAGCCAAAAAGAATATGCCGAAGAGATGTATATCGACAATAAAACTTACCTTGATTGTTCAACCCCCTGTCCGTTCATCCATAGAATTATAAGTCATAATCCAGAAGGGTGGAGCGGTGAAATGCTTTCTGAGACGGGGGAGGGCGAACCTGGGGAATGGACAGGGGCCGAGAACCGACGTCGCGCGTCAACAACATGAACAACACGAGCGCTGACGCGAGAACTTGGGGTGCCATTCTTGCGAGCGATTCCGAGATTTGAAATTCGCTTTTGGATGATCCATGCTGAGTGCGACTGGGGCTGTCTGAGAATACGAACAAACCTAAAGCCAGCGCATTTTTGAAGAGCCCAGCGATTATGATGGATTCGAACATAGCCTACCTACACCGGAGGCTACATCCAGTCTACACAGACAACTTGGCTTTCTCGCAACCCAAGGCCGTTTTTTCGCCCCTGTTTATTTTCGCGCGTTTCATTTACAGGTTCGGGGCTGCCGATTAAGATTTCGGGGCAAGCTTGACACGAGGGTATCGATGTATCGATTGCTTTCTCCAACTTGGAGTGGCTGTGATATATGTCTTGGGATTCCATTCCCATGTATCCGAAGTTTGAACTGATATGAAACCGATCAGCCCGACACCACGTGGAGGAGCTTGACCGCTGCATTCAAGGATCCTGCTGCCTTCTCTCTGTAGCAACGTGGGAGTGTTTACTTTGGGTCTTCGAAACTGTATCTTACTGCGGCGGTATCTTATGTACTGTAATTAGTGAACGTGCGATCTGACGTCAACTTGAACCAAGTTGACCCCCACACCGCTTCATTATTTGCTGTGAACTATGTAAATTTGGTTTTTGTTTCCTTTTTTTTTTTTTTTTGGGTCAACAAGCAGGAAAATCTTAATTCTTGCTTCGGTGTCGAAAATTTCTTTTTCCTTTCGCTCCTAGACAAGGGCAAGATGTCTCTGATTTTCAGTGATGCTCAATGCGCAGTTTCTTTGTCCTCATTGACCACACGGCCCACGACTCCACGAGGATGTCATCGATCTGAAAAGTGGAGCCGTCTTCAGCGCTTTGCCGAGTCAGCTCTTCGCCGAGATCGAACTCCCAGCCTCCATATCTGATGAATCATGGTCGGTTGTGGAAACTTGGTTTGTGACTGGCGAGCCACGGTCACGACTGCAACGAGTGAGCATGCGGAAGAAGCTCGCGCCATTCCCTTCTTGATAGGATATTTTCATCCAAGGGCTCTCCTCTCCTCGTGGTGCACGGTCCACTTGCTTCCAGTTGACCCCTACCATATCCCCATCGAGTACTCTTTCAGAGCAGGTCAATTAACTTAATATTTGAACTTAAAGTCAGATATCAAGTTTTGTTACTCGATATACCTCGCCGGCATCGTATCTTTTTGGTGAAGGCACTTTGCACTCGGACGTCCTCGGAAGGAATAATTATCTTATCACAACAAGAGCCTGCTGATGTGTTCATAGTAGAGGACGACTTGCGCCGTTCGAGCTTTTGTGGCTAACGTTGCACAACGACGACAACTGAGTCTCCTTTGCTGCCTTCGCCGAGTCATGCTCGAGATCAAGTCTCATGTTGGCCGAGCTAACACCCGTTGGTAGGTATACCTCGGATCCGGGAATATGGACAGTACTGCGGTCTTAGGCAGTTTCATATTTGCTAGCATTTGGTGGCTATAGCAGTATGCGCGACTTATTTTTGAAGAGTATCGTTCTGCACCCATTTGGAATCATTTCTACTGCCTGAGCGCCTGCATTCTCTCAACGCGGACACCGAGTTTCGAGTGGAAGGCCTATCTCCGGCTGATGCTGATGATGACCCTATCACCATCTTGGCCGTTCCTTTTCCGTGCGGATGAGGTCGCGAAACAGAGAATGTTGAGTTAATGACCAATCGCTCGAATGCCAACCTGCCATATGAAACACAAGATCAAGACTGACGAGCCATATTTGTTCAATGGGAAGCACAAGATGCATCGCAGAGTACGGGCTACGCAGCAGCTGTCATGCTTAGTATCCCTCTCCGCGTCATCATTCGATGGAAGCTGCTCCTTCTCTGACGTGGCTGAGGCATGGCCAGATTTCGGCTGATACTCTCGAGTGCAAAGCTGCGAAACCGTATTACGCAGCTAAGCTTGTTATCTTGCTGTCGTAAAACCCTTGAAAGACGCTTGCCTAGGAGAGCCGGCCCAGAGGGATGAGGCAACTAGCTGATGATGTCGCCCTGTGAATCGCCTCGGCGCCAACTAGCGGCCTATTTGAGTATGTGTAGGGGTCTCGTCACCTGGATCACATACCCAATCGGACTTGCCATGGAGCTCCTCGGGCTGCGACGGGGCAGCGCGGGGTGTGGATCTCACAGTATAACCGCCTCATTGGCCTCTTTCAGCCTGAAGACAGGAAGAGAGACACCCGTTCTAGGCCGTCTCGATTTAGGGAGTCGCAAGTCGCCACTGTCACACTTCTACGAAGACCAGTGGTGTCACCGGGTTGTCGAATCATCCCTGGATCACCATTAACGAGCGACGACTTTCATAAGATATGAGAGTCCAATTTCCAGTACGTGAACGAACCAGCGTGATGTGACAAATATCTGAATACCGTGAGGTATTCCTGAAAAGAATGTTGCTTGTCTGAGTATGCGATCTGATCTCTTGTGACCCCCTGACCCTAACCTGTGAAGGATGCTACAGCCCCAGCCTCAGACCCATGCGCATCACAAGTTTAGAACGTGCTTGGTGATTTCTTTGTCCGTTTGATAAATTCTCCATAGGCCTGCAGTCTCGAAATGGGTAGACATTTCTCCCATTTGATATCTAGCATCGTACAAAGTATCCATGTTACTGTATAAGGACTGTTTGCATTCTTCTTGGTTGTTCATATCCCTTTTCAGGAAGGAGATGCGATAAGCTCCTTCTTCTATCTCGATTCTCTATCCATTCTCAGAAGACAGAAGATCCATATGTGGGTGGGTATGTGCCTGTCATCACACTAACCAGGGCCGTGCGTGCCCAACTAGAATGGAAAGAAGTTTCACCCATTATTGAAATCTCCCACTACACGGCTGACTTCACACATAAGCCAAAACTCCAAGACAATCTATACAGATCGTAAAGCTATCTTGAAAATTATGTATCTATCTCAATTCCAGCAGTGCCAAAGTCGAGGGTTGAGCCCTGAATAACGGATCGCATAACCAACCAACTGATTGGGCATCGACCCCCAACTCTCGGCCAATTTCCAACCCACCAGCGTGCCGTGCACATACCATTTCTACCAGGCAACTCAGGCTGCTGTGGACACTCTTCTGAGTTGTCCAGCGCATTCCCAGCAATTCGAAATCCTGATTCCAGCCTCTCTATAATGAGGCGAATTATGCCTCTTCTATTGCACCGATGCTACTTGTTCGTCTCTTACAGGCTACATGCTGGCGTGCACGACACCCACAGCTGGCGCTTGCCAGTGTTGTCTTCAATTCCCACCCAGAGATTTGGTTTATAGCTACCTTTGACGCATCGTGAGTGCGAAGAGGGCTCTAGCGGAGGCCGTAGTTCTGGGCCTCAATCCCCTCAAACCAAAGACGTCCTGGAACACTCTGGATAGAATGGGCTGCAGCTTGCCGGGGTCAATAACCGCTAGGACGTATGCCTAAGGCGACTGCCACATGAGTCGTGTATGCAGCGTTTTGTTTGCTCGAGGGGCACATGATGGAGAGATGGGGCTGACAAACAGATTGTAGTAGTCTATCTTGGCTGCCTTCGTGTCTCGAATGGACTGTGTTGGTCGATACACCTAGCTCAGATGTTTTCCCTCTCTTGCTCACCTAACGCTCTTACAGTCTTACCCCTTCGGACCCCCGAGGCTGCGGCTGGTTGAAAATCGCTCGCAAGAGGAGTGAGATCCGGGTTTGTTGGGACTCGGGGAGTTAATCGACTGCAAAGGGTATCCATCTCCTACACAATCTTACTCTCGTTGATGAGGTTACTGCTATCTCTGGTTCATTGATGAAATATGCACAATCCTCATCCCCTATGATGCCATCTGCGCTTACAGCCCTGAGAAGCTGAACGAGGACCTCGCGTCCTGCTAATACCCAGGAATGGCTAACTGGGTCAAAAGAAACTGAACAACGGGCAGGTCTATCTTGTGCTTATTTCGACATGGTTACCCCAGAAAGGCTAAGAATCCAACATCCATCCGCCTTCCGCCTCTCAAAATATGGGTGACTGGTACAGACAACCCAGTACGCTTATTTTTAACTGAAGCCCACGCAGTGAAGACATGGACCTGCTCTGTTTAACTGCGCCAACAGCCCTGTGAAATGCCTTGAGAATGTATTTGGATTACGACAATAACCACAAGATATTAGCTATCAGGTTTGTGAAGAGCACTAGATCATTTGCATGGTTCGATCACAGCAACTTCACCGGTATGTGTAACCTATTGCTATAAGGAGATTTCGAGGCGGCATAACCTAGTATGGCTGACCCTGAACCAAGTAATGCTTCCAACAGGACCAACAGTAACACACTCGTGCCGCGATCTCCACTCAAAGACCCAGAGTGGGAAGATAAAGCTGCAGCTTCGAACAATATCCACTTCCTGGCCCGCTCATACTGCCGGAGATATGAACCCGCAAGTCAGCTTTCCCCGTACCGCGATCCTTTTACCTACGATGTATCGGTACCTCCTACCGGAACACGAAAGCGGATACTAGGACCAGTGAGGGTTGGACATGGCTGTCGCGCGCGTCCAAATATTCTAGACACATGAGAGAAGAGCTGTCTTTCGGCTATAGCGCGAGCTTCCAAGACAGCTCTTAGAAGGATATCTACTCGATTACCCTGGCTAATATCTTGATGGGGAAGAGAACTGTACGACGCGCTCGCGAACCCGCGAACCCAGATCGAACGATAACGGGGATATCAACCGTTTAAAATTCCTTGGGAATGGATGCTGTTAGATTATGCGGTACGAAGTGGCCCTAACCTAGAGCATCCTATATACATCAGTGCTGTGGATTGTCTTCGAAAACAACCTGGCTGGATGGGATATTAACACAAGGATGTCAAGCTGCACCTTGAAACAGAGGCAAGTGCTTTTGGATGCTTAAATTTTTACTGGGGCCAATAGAGGAACTGTTCACATAATCCCCACAAATGTATTCGTCATATTGCTGTTGCTGAGGAAAGGAGGACGGGGACCTGGTGCTAAAGAGTGTTGTCATATTCCATGACGGACACTTAGTTACAGAAGGAAATAAAAGGCGAACGCCCAGTTGAGAATAAAGCCAGCCAGCTGCAATCACAGTCGTAGAAATGTCTAGAAAAGTGTAAATACACTGGAACCCTCCACATGATAAAGAGCACATGGCCTGGGCGAGTGGGCGCCAGGACGATGGATTACCTAATATCCCGCGATATCTCAGGTGGCTTTTCAAGTGCCTGGGGAAGGAGGGTCTCCGCCGCTTCTTGACTCCGGTACCGTCAATCGTATCCATTCCTCTCCCTCCTCTCCCTTCAATCAGACTCTCGCAAACACCGCGGAGACCGTCCCTGTCGCGCGACCGACCACGCTGAAAACCGCGTGCTCGATTTCTTATCGCGAATTTTAATCCTGGGACGCGCCACATTCCTTGTCAACACAAAGCGGTACCGCTACATGACGTCTTTTGTTGACCCCCACTACGAATCGTCGATTCTTTCAGGGCTGCATACCGAGAACGAAAATCCTATAATTTGGGAACCGTGCAGAAAATTTAGGGATATTCAACTTGCGATACATTGAAAGGCGGCGCTCCTGCGGCGCTCGCAACTTTTGTTGTCCGCTAGTTTGTTCCGCCCCCTGGCTGTCAGCGCCCAAACGCCGAAGTGAACCACGATCCCGGAGTGCATGGGGCATAGGTCAAAATGGCGCCCGGAGGAGGTGGAAACATTAAGGTGGTGGTGAGAGTACGGCCGTTCAACAGTCGAGGTGAGTTTGTTTCTTTGGAACAGTTTACCCTGCTTGGAGGTCTAGGGGGTCTTGACTGACGGGCTGTGGTTTTGAAATCTACTAGAAATCGAGCGAGGTGCAAAATGTATCGTGTCAATGAAAGATACCCAAACGGTCCTCACGCCGCCGCCAGGAGCCGAAGAGAAATCGCGAAAAGGTGGAGCTAAAGGTGCCGTCGAGGGCCCAAAGACGTTTGCTTTCGATAGGTCGTACTGGTCTTTCGACAAGAAGGCGCCCAACTTTGCGGATCAGGATAATCTTTTTATGGATTTGGGTGTACCGCTTCTGGATAATGCCTTTCAGGGTTATAATAACTGTATCTTTGCTTATGGTCAGACTGGTTCGGGAAAGTCATACTCGATGATGGGGTACGGTAAGGAATATGGTGTTATTCCTCGGATCTGTCAAGATATGTTTCAGCGCATTTCGACTATACAGCAGGATAAAAACCTTACCTGTACCGTGGAAGTCTCTTACCTGGAAATTTACAATGAACGGGTTCGAGACTTACTCAATCCCTCGAATAAAGGAAACCTCAAAGTCCGTGAGCACCCGTCTACGGGTCCATATGTCGAAGATCTTGCCAAGCTTGCGGTTCGCTCGTTTGAAGAAATTGAAAACTTGATGGATGAGGGAAACAAAGCTCGAACTGTTGCCGCCACGAATATGAACGAGACGTCTAGTCGATCACACGCCGTCTTCACGCTGATGCTTACCCAGAAACGACACGATGCCGAGACATCTATGGATACGGAGAAGGTGTCACGAATCAGTTTAGTCGATCTTGCGGGTTCTGAGAGAGCCACATCGACTGGAGCCACAGGAGCTAGGTTGAAGGAAGGTGCTGAAATTAACAGATCTCTTTCTACGCTTGGGCGTGTCATTGCGGCGCTGGCGGATTTAGCCGCTGGAAAAACCAAGTCGAAGAAAGCCGCTTCGATGGTGCCATACCGTGATTCGGTTCTTACATGGCTGCTTAAAGACTCGCTGGGAGGAAATGCCATGACGGCGATGATTGCCGCAATCTCACCTGCTGATATCAACTTCGACGAGACACTGGGTACACTACGTTACGCTGACTCCGCGAAGCGAATCAAGAACCATGCTGTTGTCAATGAGGATCCCAACGCGCGGATGATCAGAGAACTCAAGGACGAATTGGCGCAGCTTCGAGCGAAACTTGGCGGTGGTGCAGGAGCAGGCGGCGCTGCTGGAGGTGGCGGCGGGATAGTCGCAGAGGAATATCCTCCGGACACACCTATGGAGAAGCAAATGGTTTCCATTCAACAATCTGACGGCAGTGTCACTAAAGTGAGCAAAGCAGAAATTGTGGAACAACTGAACCAAAGTGAGAAACTTTACCAGGATTTGAACCAAACTTGGGAAGAGAAGCTGGTGAAGACCGAACAGATCCACAAGGAACGTGAAGCTGCCCTGGAAGAACTCGGTATCAGTATAGAAAAGGGCTTTATTGGTCTCAGTACTCCCAAAAAGATGCCTCATTTGGTCAACTTGAGCGATGACCCACTGCTTGCAGAATGTCTCGTGTATAACATCAAACCAGGAACCACACAGGTGGGTAATATGGAGCAAGGAAGCCACGTTGAGATCAGACTGAACGGGTCAAAGATCCTAGCTGATCACTGCAAATTCGAAAACATCGACAATGTTGTCACTATTCTGCCTAGCGAGGGCGCTGCAGTGATGGTTAATGGATTGCGCGTCGACAAACCCAAGCGATTGAAGAGTGGATTCCGCATTATTTTGGGCGATTTTCATATTTTCCGGTTCAATCATCCCCAGGAAGCACGGGCCGAGAGAGTGGAACAGAGTTTACTCCGTCATTCAATTACAACGAGTGAACTTGGCTCACCGGCACCAGGTAAAACCCATGAGAGAAATCTGAGCAAAGCTTCAGATTTAGGCTGGGACTCGAGCAGAGCCGAGTCTCCAATGCCTTCTCAACGGGGGCGAGAATCCGATTGGTTCTATGCACGCCGCGAAGCTGTGAGCGCGGTGTTGGGACCGGATCATATCTCTCACCTACCCGACGACGAGCTTGATGCTCTTTTTGAGGACGTGCAGAAAGTGAGGGCTACACGCCGGGGCCTGATGGACAACGAGGAAGATTCAGATTCACTCAGTTCCTATCCGACCCGTGATAAATATATGTCCAACGGCACTATCGACAACTTCTCCCTGGACACGGCTATTACAATGCCGGGGACACCTCGCCAAGGCGAGGACGATGGCCAGAATGGTCTTTCCACCCTACAGTCAGTACGCCAGGATATGCAACGACAGCTGGAACGACAAAAGGAGCAGTATCTGGATAAGCTAAGAGACTCAGAAGCCTCTCCGAGCCAAGGCGTTGACGATGTACGCTCCGAGAAAGTCCGCATGGAAGAGGCTCTTCGAGTCGCGAAGGAAGAGTACGAGGAGCAACTCCGGAAGCAAAAAGAGACATTCGAAACCCATATGAAGGAACTTGGCCAGCCGATCCCGAGAATTTACGAAAACGGTTACCCCAAGTTGGATCCAAGGGAGTTGGAGGTCGCGCGCACCGTCTATGCACACTGGTCTCAGCAAAACTATGTCCGAATGGCAGAGAAAGTGTTGCAGTACGCGTCGTTGATCAAGGAGGCTCAAGTTATGAGCCATATAATGGACAAAAATGTGGTTTTCCAGTTCGCGATCGTCGACCATGGACACAGTATGGCCTCGTCTTATGATCTTGTGTTGAACGGCATATCTGGAGACGAAGATATCATTCTTGATGATGCCAAGAAACCTTGTGTTGCGGTCCGTGTCATTGATTTTAAACAGAGTGTCATCCATCTCTGGTCTATCGAGAAGCTCCAGCGTCGGGTCCAGTCCATGCGACAACTACATCAATACATTGATCGACCGGACTATATCCAACACTTCAAGCTTGAGAACCCTTTCTCCGAGCCGTGCTCGCCCCAGTATTCCCTTGTGGGCGACGCTGATATTCCCCTCACTGCTGTGTTTGAGACGCGAGTCCAGGACTTTTCGGTTGATGTGATCTCGCCATATACACAGGGTGTAGTGGGCATCATCCGATTGTCTCTGGAGCCATCCTCGGCACAGGCGCCGTCATCTACGCTCAAATTCAATGTTGTCATGCGTGATATGGCGGGGTTTGCCGAGTGGGAGGGAACGGATGTCCATGCCCAACTCTTCGTCCCTGGTATTTCCGAGGAAGGTGGAGCTACGACGACGCAGATGATCAACGGCTTCGATGAGACGCCGGTTCGATTTGAAAGTGTTCACAGCATGAGCCTACCGCTCTCCAGCCCGCGAAATGCTGCGCTGAAAATCTGCGTCTATGCCTGTGTTACTCAGATGCATCTCGATAAGCTTCTTAGTTGGGATGACATGCGTGATTCGGCCGAGCAAGGACCCCAAGATCAGAAGACGCCACGTATTGCGGAATCTGAATATTTCTCGGAGGAGAGACATGATGTCTTTGCGAGTGTCCAAGTTTTGGAAATGACCGAAACTGGAGAGTACCTACCTGTGGAGGTTGTACAAAACAACGCCTGTGATGCAGGGGCGTATCAGCTCCACCAAGGACTTCAGCGCCGGGTCTCTGTGAATTTGACTTACAGCTCCACGGCAACGCTTCCCTGGGACGATCTTACCAACATTCGTGTTGGTTCTGTGCGCTTGTTGGATCCTTGGGGCAAGATACCGGACCAGGACCTCCAAACCCCAGACGTCCCACTGAAATTTATCCAAGAGCCCATGGTGAAGGACAATGCCGATGGAACATCTAACATTACACTTGTGGGCCAGTGGGACTCGAGTTTACACGGATCACTTCTTTTGGACAGGGTGACTGCAGAGAAATATCGTGTACAAGTAACGGTTAGATGGGATCTTCAGTCTTCACGCTTGCAGGAACCCGTCTTATTTGAAGTTGACTTGACGCTTCAAGTGCAAGGTCGGGCATATGTTCGTCCGCAGTCCATACTTAAGAACTTCTTCAGCACAACGCGCGTTGTCCATTCCACTGTCCGCATGTACTCCGTTGCAGTTCGCCCCGTGTCCGCCAAACGCGCCGCCGATCTCTGGCGCATGAATACCCAGAATGATTATGTCAAAGGCGAGGAGCTTCTCACCAAATGGGCTCCCAGGAAAGTTTCACTTGTACGCGACTATATAAGTTCCCGCAAGCGACGGAGACGTATTGCCGATTTAAATGCCGCGAAAGGAGCTCATAGTCTCAATAGCCTCACGGTCGCTTCGCCTCCACGGAGTGGAAGGTCGACACCACTTCGCGGCCAAGAGCCTGATCGTAAGGCCAAACTCCTTCGGAAATATGTTGACCTCTGGACTGCAAGAACCGACCCTATTGATGCCATTCTCATACGAGGCAACACAGAGCCCCCAGAACGAGGTGCGGCATTTGCTTCTCGCGGAAAGTCACCTTCCGATGGTGACACCAATGGTGATCATGAACATGAATCCCTGACACCGCGGTTTTACGCTACCGTGCAAACACTTCCGAAGAATCCGTCCGCATCGAAGACCGGATACCTGTTAGCACCTGACGATACTTATACTCACTGGGCGCGGCGGTTCGTCGAACTTCGCCTACCGTACCTACATGTTTACTCTGTTCCGGAAGGCGACGAAATCAATGCGATAAATCTGCGCAACGCCCGAGTCGACCATGCGCCTGATTTTGCTAGACTTCTTGATGGCCCTGGAGCTGACGGGTCGGCCAAAGGTCGGCCGAATGTCTTTGCAGTGTACGGCCCGCAGAATACTTTCCTTTTTGCGGCGCGAACGGAGGCTCAGAAAGTTGAGTGGATTTTGAAGATTGATGATAGCTACTTCAGCAATAACGCCCCTCGAACGCCGACGAATGGACCCGGGAGATGATTTCCGCTTAATATTTACAACTAATCGCCGATGAAAATTTTACACGAATTTGCCGACTTATGGACGTGATATACCCATGGATCTTGCCGTTCTTCGCCCCGTAACCTGTTCCATCCTTGCGACGTCTTGGATTTTGTTATTTCTGTGGCCGTTAACAGCTTTGGAGGCCATACTTTTCGTTAAACCATGTTGATATCCCCTTTCCCACCACCTATTACATATTGATTGGCTTTGAGATACCCCCAAATACACCTGCCCTATATACTATAGCACTTGAGATCTCATATGTGTACATACCGACCTACCTAGAAATTACGTATATATCCAATGGTTGATGACGGCCCAGTGTCGCTGTCCGCGGGCGGCAGTCTTCGATAAATTATTGACCTAACTAAATCAAGATTTAACAAAGTTCGATGCCGTGAAGGATAACCTGTTGATCTTTCAGTGACGTCTCGGCACGATCGATTGTTGCTATGGAAACCCCATCCGCACACTCAAGCCTGGTGACAAAGGAAACTTCTTGTATAGGAGAATCGAAGCCGTATGGCTTCAGAAACGATGGGCGATACTTCAATAATAGAATAGAACTCGCAATTTCTATAAATCGATAGTAATTCAATGATGTTAACTAACTCTCTGGATTGGTACTAATTCTGGAAATGCTCGTGGGCTAACTACACTAACGACGGTTGCAGGTCATGTGATGTGCCTTTCTCAACGGCCAGACCAGCGTCCCGATCAAAAAAATCCTGGGTCCTGGAAACAGAGTTCTTAATGACTCTCGGACACCCAGGGCGGTTATTGCCTATAAATCGACTAAGACCGGCATGGCAAGACGATATCGCACGCCATCTTAGCGCAGGATCTGATTAGTAACGTTGGGGCGGAGCTCTTAGCAACTGCCTCATAATTACGCACCACGCATTCATATCTTGCATTCCTGTGCAGCAACCACACATACCGGTCTATACCAGTATACTACTGTCTATATACAGTTGAAACCAAATCCCGGGATGCCATTTCGCCCACCACAATCCTCCCTGTTTCGCTTCCTCGGCGCTGGCGCCGTCTTATCGCTGATTTTGCTTGCATTCGTCACATTCGGACACCTTGAAGGCTATGGATTCTCGTCGGGATATGTGATTAAAGACAAAGCAAGCTCTAATTTGCTATCGCCAGAGCAGTGCGTGGAGGCGCAGGTTAATAGCACGGGGGAGTGGGAATTCGATGCGCGGCGCGACGCCGATAACCATGGGCTATCGGAGGGTCAGTGTCTGAGTGCGTTTCCGAAATTGTTTGCGGACGTTGATCGGTCTGCTGAGGCGAGAGCGAAAGGCGAGAAAGGCGCTATTACATTTAAAGAGGTGGACGAAGCTGGGAAGATTGAGGAGAATGGGATGGTTAGGGCAGTCATTAAGGGCGGAGAGGTGAGTCTATGACTACTTGACAACTTGCTTTGTTTCGTTAAATTCAATTATGGGTTCGAAATTGCTAACGATTGATGGTGGTTGTCATAGTTGTACGTTCTCGACTTCGGAAACATGCAGTATACATTCTCTCGAGGGAAAGCGACCTTGAGCTCCCTGAACCGCGCCCTCGCAGCGTACCCGGATAGAAAAAATCTCCCTGACATCGAGTTTGTATTCTCAACAGACGACTTCAGCACTGGACAGTCTCCTGTCTGGACTTATTCCAAGCACCCTGACGAGGAAGGTGTCTGGCTCATGCCCGATTTCGGATACTGGTCGTGGCCGGAAGTCAAAGTCGGCTCGTACAAGGAGATCCGAGAACGAATTGTAGATGTCGATGAAGGCGATGGTACCAAATACTACCGCGGTCTACGGTTCCAGGATAAAAAGAAGCAACTTGCATGGAGAGGCAGCGTGGGCACGAACGCCGACGTAAGAGGCCGTCTCATTGAGGCCTCCCGCGGGAAAAGCTGGGCTAGTATCTACGAGATTAACTGGGGTGATCCAGCACATGTCAAAGCCAACCTTCTCCCCATGGAAGAATACTGCCGGTATATGTTTCTGGCGCACACTGAAGGCCGCAGCTTCTCTGGCCGCGGCAAGTACTTCCTTAACTGCCGGTCTGTGCTGGTCTCGCACAAGCTTGAGTGGCTAGAAGCGCATCACGGAGCCTTTATATCGTCTGGTCCTGATGCAAACTTTGTTGAGGTGGAGAGAGACTTCTCGGACTTGGATAAGAAGATGGCATTCCTGATTGATAACCCCGAGACGGCAGAACGGATTGCGGAGAATTCGGTGAGGACGTTTCGGGATAGGTACCTGACGCCGGCGGCAGAGTCATGCTATTGGAGGCATCTTATAAGGAAGTATGCGGCTTCTTGTGATTTTGAGCCGGTGTTGTATAAGACCACCAGGACTGGGAAGAGGGTGGATAGGGGTGTGCACTTTGAAAGCTGGATTCTTGAGTCACACTAAAAGGTGGCTTTTTCTTGACTTATATATTTTTTGATGACATGGTAATATGGGCATATACGGCGTTTTTATAGTGTTCTATGTTATATATTATGACTTATAGAGATGCCCAGTATCTGGGTGTATATAGACATGAATTCAGTACATATTTTGACGATGCCCCTCGAATACCCTTAAATGGAAAGACGGTCCACCTCAGCCAATATACGCAGCATATTTCTTAACTTCGGCATCCATTTTTAGCCTCTCCATGTCCTCCCCCTTTAAACAAATCCCCACAACAATACTGCCATCCAGCCCCCTGGGCAAGAAGTACACTAAACCCTCTCTGGACCCTGGTCCAAACGAAGGCCTCCGAATCGCCTCTGGCTTCCCAAGTACAGACCCGAAATCAAGTCCATTTAGTTCCTCCTTCGCCCAAGAACTTAGCCGCACGTCGAGTGCAGGATTACCCGGTAGGACGGTTCCAGACTCTGCCTTGGAGGGCATTCCGCCGTCACGGTCACTGTTGATCTTCTCGATTATAAGCAAAGCTTGGGCGAGTGTTTTATCCTTTAGGGCAATTGGGTCTAGCGCACGACGAAGACTTAGCGCGATACTTCCTAGAGGTTCTGCGAGTATTTTCTCCACTAAGAATGTGTGACTCGTAGCGCTCGTCATGAAGCCCGGATAGGAGTCTGGGAGAGAAAAGTGTCGGCGGACGTCTACATTTCTGGAGAGCGTTGAGGGACGTAGCAGTGGTGACTGATCTTTATTTTGGGACCTTGCGCGTGTAATTGATTGCCAGACGAAGGCTGAGAGGGCATCGTCTGTTGAGATGAACGTTTGCGATAGACCTTTCTCTGGACGGCTGAGCTCTGGTTCAGGTTCTTGAGGGAGGGACGCCGTAGCGCTGGATTTCAGAGCTGTAAGAGAAGGGGTGGAGAATGAAAAATATGCCCAAACTAGAGTTGGACCCGGTGCTGGGAGTGAATTTGAAGTTGTAGCTGTGGGCTGCTGGATCCTGGTTTTGGTTTCGTCGTTGTTTGAGGGCTGGCCAGATAGAGGGAAAAGCAGGGGCAGAACATCTCGACGATCTGTATTCCCAATCTCAAGTTCTGTCACTGTAAAAGGCTCGCCCCGACATCCTTTCGCAAAGAGGCGCATTACGCTCCCCAAACCCGCCATATCCATGGCACCATGCTGTCCGTTGAATGTGAGGGATAAGCCACCTTGAACAAGAGAAACTTGAATCAGAAGTACCGGTAACCCAGTACCAAACTCGTTGAATGTCTTTACAGGTGAAAGAAGCGCTTCATCCAGGAGATTGAATGGGAATTGGGATTGTTTGAGGGTTGCATAGTCTGGAAGACCGACGCCAAGACCACCGCCTTTATAGTCCTTTACAACGAGGCTGGCGTCTTTGGAAGGGTTGATCTTAAAAATCCCATCCTCTAAAACAACTGTTCCAGACGTCCAGGGGAAATGTTTCGATAGTTCTATACTTCCTCGCTTGAAGATATTGATGCTTTCTCGCTCCGAGGCGGGGTCGCGGAGAGGGAAGAAGAGCGTGACTTGGGTGTAAAGCCTGTTGAGTCGAGGTTGCTGAGCGAGGGTATCGAGGGAGATGACGTTGTCAGCCGACATTTCGTTTTTTCTTTTCTTTTCTTTTCTTTTCTTTCTACTAGAGTATGGATTCTTGCTTTGATGCTAGGCTCGAGATTTTGTTGCGAGTGGATGTAAGTCCGGAAAGCGAAGTAAGCATCGTGACCCGACTGCATCACAAGTTCGGTACAGAACCTACGAGGAACAGTTACAATTTCATGTTTTTTCTGGATATAAACAGGGCTATTGCTGCTCGATGTACCATAGGGATATCTTATTTGTATTCCAACGGGCTGGGTGAGTCCTGCATTGGTGACTGGTTCTAGCCATGTCTAGTCTGTAAATTATTGGTCTATTTCTCCTCGTTGAAGCTTGCCCAGGACTGGACAACCCCTCCTCTCTTTTGTTCTTGGTCAATGAAAGTTGAGAGCTTAGATGCTATGTAAAGCTAGTAGGCAATGCATGTTCCCAAATAGATAAGTACTTTAGCATTAGTGCGTAGGATGAAAATAGGGAATGTGATGTGATGTACAACATATTAAGCGTCAGACTTGGAAAATGACAGACAAACGCGAACCAGGGGTTTATACCCCAAAACAAGAAACAAAGAACGAGCAAGAAATTTCAGATCATCAAACGCCAACGGTAAAATGGGCCAAATTAAGCCATATAGATTAAGCCGAAAGCAACACCAACCAAGGTGGCAACTCCGGGGATAATAACCCTAGAACCGGGGCTGACACCTCCTCCGGTGGCCTCTGGGCCGGCCGGTGCTTCTCCTCCTTCATTGCCTTCATTCGTGCTCGTTGAGGTAGGCTTGGAGGTCTTATGGGCGGAAGAGCTTGCGTGGGCGCTTGAGGAAGCGGGCGTTGGCTTGATGAGAGGCGTGCTCGAGGCAGCAGGTGCGCTTGTTGGGTGGGCGCTCTGGGCGGGAGCACTCTGGGCGGGAGCACTCTGAGCGGGAGCACTCTGAGCAGGAGCACTCTGAGCGGGAGCACTCTGAGCAGGGGCACTCTGAGCAGGAGCACTCTGAGCAGGAGCACTCTGAGCAGGAGCACTCTGAGCAGGAGCACTCTGAGCGGGAGCACTCTGAGCGGGAGCACTCTGAGCGGGAGCACTCTGAGCAGGAGCACTCTGAGCGGGAGCACTCTGAGCAGGAGCACTCTGGGCGGGAGCAGTCTGAGCAGGAGCACTCTGAGCGGGAGCACTCTGGACAGGAGCAGTCTGGGCAGGAGCACTCTGGACTGGAACACTCTGAGCAGGGGCACTCTGGACGGGAGCACTCTGAGTAGGGGCAGTAGTTGCAGTAGTGGTGCTAGACTCAGAAGTAGGTACAGCCACGGGGCTTGAAGTGGGCTTCCCCTGGCAGGTTTCATGGGTGCAAATGGTGGTAACTTCAGTCACCCAGGTAGTCTCGGGGACAAAGGTTGTTGCGTGCCCATCAGGACCAAAAGTGACGCCGGAGGACTCCTTGGGGCCTTTGTGTCCAGCAGCCGCAGTAGACTGAATGGCAGTGCTCTGACCGACAGCACCTGCATCGCCATTTGGACGTGCATTGGCCGTTCCAGCCGCGAGGGACAAGGCAAGTAAGGTATAAGACTTAGAAAGATGCATGACGACGGTGTTTGGGATAAAACTTGAGAGCAGATAACGGAACTCGAATCAAACAGGGACGATGTATGTCTCGAGAATTGGACGAGTTCTTGAGCGTTCTTTATAGTACAAGAGAACAATACCAAGCCGAAAACAACCATAATTTTGATATTTCCGAATTAGCAAACAAGCGGGCCTTCTTTCGCTGCCTGTTGACGTTGCCCATCTGGAACCGGGGTGATATGTTAGAGCACTCGCCTCAACTCCATACTGCATCCGGATACATCTGGATATCTGTTTATACAATCCGGCACCGCTGATCATCTCCAAATCGGAGTCGAAGCTAGCAGTCGCGCGGGCGTCTCCGGCTTCGATCTTGAACATTCCAGCTGGTGGCCAGTATTGTCCAGTGTAATCACGTGATTCACGATTTCAGCATGTCGCTGAGTGCATGAAAACAGACAGCCCCAGAGTCAGGACTACATCATTAGCAGTTCAGAGGAGACGACGATCCATTCTTGATTATGCGGCCTGATCTCAAAGATCGGAAAAGATCTGCTGCGCAGCACCGCAGAACGCGGACTTTGAAGAGGTACATCGGTGTAGGTAGCCTAAACTGGGTGAGGCCGCGCGAGACGTTTGCAAATTCTGGAACCTTGTTCAATCTTCTCCTGGATTTGTTTGTTGTCAAGTGACTTCTGCCTTGAAACAGAAAATACCTTGTGATTAGTGGTAGAGCTTGGTGTGTCTACTGTGATTCCTCATAGGTGAATGTTGCGGATGTGGCTGGAGGGGTTCCGCGGGGATGTTTTCCTGCAGTGACTAAGACTACCACAATGAGTCTCTTAATATGTAGGGATAATGGTGCTTGATATTTTGCTCTCCGGGAGATGCGAATCTGGGATCGGATACTAGAGGTTTTTGGAGGAGATGCAAGTGTTTCGTGTCGAAGGTACTCAGTTCTTGGCAAGCCACCTCGGTGGTTGAGACCTCTCATTCTCTCTCTCCTTCCATCTCCTTTCCAACGACCATGATCCTCACTCTCGCCCATGGCGCCCAGACGTGACCTTCTTTCGCCGCGCGATTACGATGACGACGCCGAGTCGTTGCGGTCTCCGCTGTCAGAGCAGGACTCTGATAGCGAGGACGACGAATTCCTCGCCCGGTCCCGCACCACTCTAGAGCTTTCGCAGCATGACCGCGCCGTTCTCGACGACGAAGAGGAGACTGAAAAGCTACTCACCAGGTCCGGTCCTACTCACGATATCCGTCGTATCTTCAGCCCGAACCGGAGTAACATCAGAATTGGGAAAAGGGAAGAAGCCCGGCGGCAACGAAAGCAGGAGAAGAGAGATGCACGGAAAGCACGTCGTGAGAAACGCCATGGCTATGGCGACGACGAAATGTATGAGATGGAAGAAGGGCACCCGGGAGATGACAGTTCTCTTTTAAGTAGCTCTTCATCCGAGCTGGATGAACGGATTAAGGAGAGGTATGCACATGTTCAGGTATGTTGCGATTACCATCTAACCCTCTCGTTGGCCGCGCTGACCCTGTTTAGGACGGCAAGACTGTCTCCTGGCGAAAACTAACTCTCGTTTTCTCTGCCATCTTCGTTCTGTTTCTCATTCTTCTCCTCGGGGCGTACAAAGCCTCCGCCGGTTTTCGCAAATCTCACTCTCCCAAACCCTTACTTTCCAACGGAACCGCTCTGTTCGCGCCTACGACTATCTTAATATCGCTCGATGGATTCCGGGCCGATTTTCTCAATCGTGGGTTGACCCCTACACTCAACGCCTTTGTCGCAGAAGGTGTCTCCCCGCGCTATATGCTCCCCAGCTTCCCTAGCGTGACATTTCCGAATCATTTCACCCTCGTTACTGGGTTATATCCGGAGAGCCATGGAATCGTCGGGAACACATTCTGGGACCCAGAACTACAGGAGCAGTTTTACTATACCAACCCGTCCGTTAGCATGCAGTCGAAATGGTGGAATGCGGAGCCGCTTTGGATGACCGCCGAGAATCAATATGTGAAAAGTGCTATCCACATGTGGCCTGGCTCTGAGGCGCACATTGGAAATGTAGAGCCAACGTATCTCGATAAATACAACGGCTCAGAGGCACTTCCCCGGAAGACACAGCGCATCCTGGAGCTACTCGACCTACCTGGGCTCGAGGAAGAGTCGCCAGCCGGCCCCGAACGACCGCAGTTTATTGCCGCATATGTTCCAAATGTGGACGCCGATGGCCATAAGTATGGACCAAATAGCACCGAAATCCGAGATACCATTTTACAAGCGGACAATATGCTGGGAAACCTCTTCTCTGGCCTTCAGGAGCGAAATCTCACCGATGTCGTGAATATTGTTGTTGTATCAGACCATGGTATGGCCACGACTTCAACCGAGCGACTTGTCCAACTCGACGATTTGATTGACCTGAGCTTGACGAGCCATATCGACGGTTGGCCATTGCGCGGGATTCGGCCCAAGCGCCCTGAGGATCTCAAGACTATCCAGGACCAGCTAGAGCTTGCTGCGCCTAAATATTCAGATGCAATTGAGATATACACTCGCGAGGATATGCCAGAACGGTATCATTTCAAGAGCAATGATCGCATCGCCCCCCTATGGGTGATACCAAAGACAGGCTGGGCCATCGTCGAACGACCCGATTTCGATGCCCAGGTAGCACTTGAGAATGGCGAAGTCTACCATCCAAAAGGGGTTCACGGGTATGACCATGAGCATCCGTTAATGCGTGCGATTTTCATTGCACGGGGCCCTGCCTTTCCGCATGCTCCCAACAGCCGCGTTGATGTTTTCCGTAAGTTAACTGATTTCTTAATGGCTTTATTCTTTTTGCTGACGAACTAGAAAACATCAATGTTTACAACATCCTGTGCGACTCCCTCGGGATTGATCCGCACCCAAACAATGGGACACTGCGTCTTCCATTGAAAACGAGCGGCCTCCATTCGGATGAGGATGCGCCTACGTTGGACAATCCGTCCGACCCCCCGATCACACAAAGTGTTGCAAGTGACGCAACTCCTTCTCCTACCTCTGCCGTGTCGGCCCCATCTCGGTCTGCGTCAGCCTCACCCAGCGCTAAACCCGAAGAAGACGCCGGCGTTGAGCAAGGCACAACCTGGTGGGGAACTGTCTGGGACGAAGTCGAGGACAAAGTGGAGGATCTAACGGACTGGGCGACCGATTTATTCGGCGACGTCAAAGACAACTTCTCATAATGGTGCCCGCCGCCCGCGCCACAGTTGATTCTCGATTGTGGGGATTTGGAGGCGAAGTCAGCCTTAGTGTGTTCAATTGAGTTAACTTGTAATACCAGCCAACCATAATAATCATTAGAGATACCCCCTGTCATGAATCGAATTTTGTTGGATAATGTTGCTTGGCCTGAACCCTCGCTGTTGTTGTCATTGATCCTGAGCCAAGGCAGATCGTCTCCTGTACCAAGAGGTGACTCACAGGTGCACAGAGTGGAGAGCGCTGAATCACTCCTCAGCTCAGCAGCTGCAACATTCATGCGACTAGAAGCCTAGAGTGAGAGCTACTGACTTTTGGCTGCCTGATAGCAAAGGATGCAGGGCAAAAAAAAAGGCGACCATGTCTGCCTGCTCAATCATGGCCGCTCCTATAAGAACCCTGAGAGATGCCTCGAAAGTCTCACTCCCAAATCAACAAATTTCTTACGATAAACGAAAAAAGCCTTCGTGGTTGTTTTCTTTTTCTTTTTCGCTTTTCTCTCACTTTCGTATTAATTACAATATACAGACATTAATCCTCCAAATCGACCACCACCATGGCGTCCGCCATGGCAGACATCCACAAAAACACAACCATGAATTCAACACCCATCCTCAACCCCACTGACACGGCGCTCTTGGAGACCTTCATCCCGGGGTACTCCATGGTCTCGCGATTCCTAATTTCTTACCTTCAGATTGACCTCTCTCTGTACTTCCCCTACCTCATCGCCGCGGCCGTTCTCGGAGCAGCAGCCCGCTACGTCTTCTACCAAGTCCGCGGGTTTTTCGGTGAACACTGCATCTCGACCGCTGAAATCCGGCACGATGATGAGGTCTACAGCTACCTGATGTACTGGCTTGCGCAGCAGCCGTTCACGAACCGCACGACGCACTTCGTCGCGGGGACTAAGATCTCTGGATCCTCGCGGTATTACGACTCGGACGACGAAGATGAATGGGGCGAGGCGGACGAGATCGATGACGAGGGGAATGTCATCGTTGATTTTGACCAGTACTGGGCTAAGGCTACGGCGCGAGACAAGCACAAGCGGCTGCGGTTCACCCCGAGTGACGGGACGCATTATTTCTGGTTTAATGGGCGCCCGCTGGCGTTTATTCGGGAGAAAGAAGATAACAAGAGCTCAGGAGGCTACTACGGTTACGGAAAACAGTTGGAGAGGCTTTATATTAGCTGTATGGGTCGGGATCCGTCCGTGCTGAAAGAGTTGCTGCTCGAGGCGCAGCGTTCCTACGTTGCGAAGGACAATAACAACACTGTCATCTACCGCGGCCAGAAGAGCGGCGGGTACACGGAGTGGTCGCGGTGTATGGCGCGGGCGCCGAGGGCACTGTCGACCGTTGTGCTGGATCAGGAACAGAAGCAGAGCTTTATCAGTGATATCAAAGAATATCTGCACCCGCGGACGAGACGGTGGTACTCCAACCGAGGCATTCCTTATCGCCGGGGGTACCTCCTGCATGGACCTCCTGGAACCGGAAAGACAAGTCTCTGTTTCGCTGCATCGGGCCTGCTCGGCCTGGAGCTCTACCTTCTTAATCTAAGCTCGAAGAACCTAGATGAGGACGAACTCATGAGCCTCTTCCAGGAACTCCCACGACGGTGCATCGTGCTCCTCGAAGACGTCGACTGCGCCGGTATGTCCCAGAAGCGAAGCACCGATCCCTCCGCTTCCTCCGCTTCCTCCGAGGGTCAAAACGAGCCCGAATCCAAAGACGAAGACAACAGCGCCCACGGCCCTGCAAAGGGTCTTGAGAAACAAGGTGTCTCCCTCTCAGGCCTCCTAAACGTCATCGACGGCGTTGCCGCCTGCGAAGGCCGCATTCTCGTCATGACTACCAACCACCCCGAAAAGCTAGACCCCGCGCTGGTTCGCCCCGGCCGGATCGATATGTCTATTGCCTTTAGATACTCCACTGCCGCGGATATCAAGGAGCTCTTTACAGCTATCTACTCCACGCTAGAGGGTGATCTGCGCGCATCACGCGCTGAGCGTCGTACTCCAAAGCTGCAGAAGAAACTGCAGGAGAAGGCTGGGAAAGACCCAGCTGTTAACAGCATGCTGGGGAAATTCACTGCGGTGCAAGTTGGCGTTTGGGCTGGGGAGTTTGCGGCCAAGGTTCCTGAGTGCGAGTTTACACCTGCCGAGATCCAGGGATATTTATTGAATTATAAGACGGATCCCGAGGGGG